CCCCCCCTTTCAGATTGTAATCCTTGAGCTCATCATAAGTTTCTGGGTAGTCCCCATCACCACGCTTGGCCACCCTGTCCAAGTCCAAATCGAGACCCAAGGGCCCGTCGTTGGCACTGGTCTCATCACGGCGCGTGGCCTCCCTCGCCTTTCTCAAGTATTAGTGCCTGCATTCGGGAAGCACCGAGGGTGTGTTTCACAAACCTTCTGACCCATAGGGATAGCCAGGGCAGCAGAGGCCATGACCAGGAGGGTCGCAAAGCTCCTCATGGTTGTGTGGTCCTGGATTGACCTTTCGATCAAGATTTTCTTTAGCACGGAGGGTCGTGAGGCTGAGGCTATATGCTTTCGTCGTTGGGAAGGAAGATGGTGAGTTGGACCAAATCGGCGGGACAGTCGTGCCCTTTATGTCTTTCGACTTCTTCTACAGACTTCCTATGTGTTTTTTTGTTCGTTCTCGGATTTCATCCTACCGCCGCCCACTGGCCGCCCAGAGGTCTACCTTGCTTCGGTACAGTAATTGCCTCGTCGCATTGTTTACACGGTCTATTGGCACACCCAAGACGAGGCAAGACAAAGACTGCCAGGGGCCATGCCCGATCAACAGTGATCTACTCTGGTTCAGCTATTGCGCGAGATTCTTAGCTTAGCCCTCCCGGCAGTGTGGGTGGTCGGCTGGAGTACTATGCAAGGACCGAGCTTTGATCGGACTACTGTCCACGTCATGGAATGACGTGCTTGTAACTAAGATGCAAACATGAAGCACAACCTACTAATTCAATGGGGCACAGTGATGGATTATACTGGGGAACCGCCTACAACATGCATAACATTATGTCGGTGATTCTCGCCCCCGCATTGTCTTGCATCGGAACTAGGTTGTCGCAGAATGCTGGGCAGGGAGCGGTTTGCCCCTAGCTAGGTCGGTGTGCGGACCATGAGCGGAACAGGAGGACGTACCAACTGGAAAGTTTCGGGACTCCTGTGTTCTACGTGCGTTGTGAATGGGACGATTCATACAAGAAACCTTCCAGGGAAGCTCGATGTAAGGGGGTCAACCTCCGGTGAGATCGTCCCCAGGACTATCAGTTCCTCCAAAACCAAACCGCACACATCTCTATTCCTCCCACGAATGTTTTGACTGTGGTTGAGTTTCGCCGTCTCCATATCCGTGGAGTGCAATGCCCCTCATCCACGATACAGAAGCCCTTCGCACACATGTTTTCTAACCGCCTTTGGAATTCTCGCACATCGTACGAAGCTGTAAGAACTGGGACCGACGATGGGGTACGCGAAGAAGGCTGTCATTGTCCGCACTGCCACTGCCATTCTCCGGGTTCCAGGCAAGTCAGTACCAGTCGAGTGGCGTTGGTCACCGGCGGTTTCTTGATCACCGTGTTCTTGTTCTTATCATTTGCCGTGTCCCTGGATTCATATCTGAGCCCCGTTAACGAGGCGTTGCGACAGACAGTATTTTTCTGTAGGCTGTACGCGGTTGAGTGTATGGTATTGTCCCAACTGATCAGTGATGCAGCCCCTATTCTTCACGAGAGAGAGATTCCTGCCTACACCACCATGATGAACGGGACGCTTTTTTCCCCGCCCCACCCCTCAATGGCACGGAAAGAGCCTAGTCCGGAAAATGACGCCGAGTGGCTCCAGCACGTAAACGCCACGATCTTCCGGCTCAGCCGCGAGGAGGTGGTCAAGTTGGGCAAGGATCCCAACACCGCTGCGCGCCTGGATCCCGAATATTGGGGCGTGGACGACGATGTTTATTATGGCAAGTTTGATATCACACATGTATCTTCTTCCCCAGCTCCCTTCACCTGTCGGCAAGTCCTTACCAGCTTCCTAACCAGGAAATCCACTGCCTCGATCAGTTGCGCCAAGCGACCTTTGCCGGGTACCCTGGGTACCACCCCGACGGCCATCACGGCGGTCCGCAGGGCAGCATGGATTGGATCCATCTAGGCCACTGTGTCGACATGCTGCTGCAGTTTTTGATGTGTAACGCCGATACGGCCGTGCTGACCATGTCCTACGTCGAAGACCAGGAGGGTCCCTGGCCAGACTTTAATATCAACCGCCAGTGCCGAGACTTCAATGCGTTGGAGGAGTGGGCCAAGCCTCGGGCAATCGATCCCTGGAAGATGGAACATGCGCCGCGACCACGAGACGCGTATCTCTGGCCCAACCCACTTAAACAGGACAATGTAGACTCGGAATTGGGCTTTCCCTTGGGAGATCATCATCAGCAGGAGGGACATCCGGAGCTTGTTCGGAGTTCGTAGCCATTTCGAATGCAAAATGTACGTCTGATAGAAAGGTCTTACAGTGGGTCGATGAGAGACTACTTAAATTATTAACACATCACGTCTCTCAAGTCTGGCAAGTGTTCACATTCGTCTCATGGATGGTAGGAGGATATTGCACACAGAAAAGCAGATCGTCGAGCTTTGGGCTGGATCCTTCCACAGCTCGAGAATCCACTGACCCACTCTTGATCTAACGGGTAAATGGGCGCTCCATGAAAACCACCCAGAATTCAACGAGGCTGGCTCCATATCCTCCTGCACAGCTCTATTTGTGAAGGTTCGAACATAGTCTATCTCTACTTAACTGCGGGTGTCCTCCCTGATACGTAGCGGGAAATCGTCATCCACTCCCCACTCCTAACTTACCATAATCATCGCCCAAAGATTCAGAATTACTCAATTCCTTTCATATTTCAAAGCCTTGTTCCCTACGTGGTTTATTCCGTGAAGAAGATGGAGGGACTTTGTGAAGAACAAAGCACAAAGGTGCTAAGCATGAAACAGATAAAGAACAGCGAAGATCACGCTTGTTCAGTTCTTTTACAAACTCGTTTCTTCCAAGTTCCGAACCACTGGCCAAGGTCCACTGGGGCTCTTTGTTTCTTTATGGATGTTCCCGAAGAATGTTCCTGCTCGGTGGACTTCTCCATATGGCTCACACAATAAGCCTCCTAACCTGGAACAAAGACCGTTTACTTCGTTTCAAAAAACTTGAATTATTTCTAAATATAACACTGGTACATATGTCTAAAATACGCGGTCAATTGTCTTTGAAAGAGATATATTGGCGTGGTCGAACATATAAGGACTCGAAGGTGGATCCTGATCCATCGGCACAACACCGGCTATCATCATCGACAACTTTTGAACAACTGCCCCCGGCACTACTTAATCACACCATAATTACCCTAATGACACCCACAAAGAAGGGAGCCGCAATCAATTACATCTGGAAAAGACTCAATGGCTCTATCCCAGATGGCGACAAAACAATCATCGTCGCCCAGTTGATGAAGGCCATGGAGGGCGAAAACCTTCTAACAGTGGATATGCGGAAAAAAGGCGCGAGAACTGCCGTTGACTCAACCGTCAAGAAAGTAATCTCGTCAATGCCATCGACCCTTCGCGCGGTTTACGACAGGAAACAGAAAGCAGTGGTGATGGCGCTGTCCCAGCTTTTCGTTCAACATCGAGTCAAGGGGCCGGAGAATGGGAAACGGATACGACGGAAGAAGAGCGTGGCAAGGAGATGGTCAAAAACTTTGTTCAAGCCCAGCTCGCCGACTTTCCCAAGAAGGCGTGGACGCCCTGCGCTGGTGGTGCCGGACGACGACGACGATAACGACGACAACGCTACTGTTGCTGATCATGCAGAGACGTCTGCACCGGTCAAAAGACCTGAAGATCCTTCTGTAGCTGAAGCTCAACCTTCTTTTGCGCTGGAAGAAGAGCAGGAACAAGCAGAGGAAGGAGCAGATCACGGGGAAGGAGCAGAGAACGAGGAAAGAGCACAGGAGCAGAGACCTAACAGGGCTCCAGTAGACGAAGAGTCCAAAACAGCCACACCTATCCGTACGACCCCATTGAAATCCATAAACAGCATGTTTGACAGTATGCCCCCTCGGTCAATCCAAAAATGAACGACAAAGAGAAAACTAATTGACCAAATTCCAGTGCTCCCAAGCCTCACAACCGCCTACCGAAACCAAACGCTGAAACCCGCCCAAACCACTCACTTCCCCCCGTCTCGTCGTCTCAATGACATGATCCACTACTCCACCAGCGACATCACCAAGCTCCGCGCAGACTGCATCGTCAATGCCGCCAACTCGAGCCTCCTCGGTGGCGGTGGTGTCGACGGGGCCATCCACCGCGCCGCAGGGGATGGCCTGGTGAACGAATGCCGGAAATTGCCGGGGAACCCACGCTGTCCCACCGGCGAAGCCCGCATTACCGGTGCCTACAAGCTCCCCTGCAAAAAGGTGATTCACACCGTCGCCCCTGATCTACGCAATGCTAGCGAGGTCCCCACGTATCGCGCAAAACTGGCCAGCTGCTACTGGAATGCTCTGCAGCTGGCGGTCGACAACAATATGCACAGTATTGCCATCCCGGCTCTCGGAACCGGCATCTATCGTATCAGCCATGACGACTCTGCGACGATCGCCCTTGCGGAAGTGAGACGCTTCTTAGACGGGATGGCCGATGACAACGGGTTTCTGCTGGATATCGTGTTCTGTGATGTGAATGCGAATATCACGCGTACTTATGAACGGTATTTTCCGTATGTTCCCTGCTTCCTTTCTTTTATTTACAAGCATGACTAACTTTCTCGTGTAGGGAATACTTTCCTCCAGCCCAATACTAGCAGTACTTAATTACTATATGATTCTTACTGCCATAAATTCCATGGAACAAGCCTGTCCCGCCCAAAATTACTTGAAAATCGTCCTCACTCTCCTCTCACTAGAGAATCTATATGTGATTGCTAGCTGGAAGGTCTACATAAAGGTCTTTGACGCCGAGGTGAGTCATAGCCTTGATTTAATTAGTTACGAGTCATGTGTAAATAAATTGTTTCAAAAGGTGCCAATAACTGTAAATTTTGGATCTAGATTAGGTCATCTGAGTAGTCACAATGTGCCACCCTACATTGAAGGATAAACAGGAAAGAAAAACACCATCCATTGCTCTAGTTGATATTAGTGTTTCAAGTGAATGTATTTTCCCTTCTTATTCATCACTACTATGGACATATGATGTGATTCCACACGCACAATGCAAGAATTTTCCTGAACATTACACTTGAGGGGTAATCCATGCGATATTGTTTCTCGATTGGTAGGACCGACGAACGATCGGCCATGGCTGGTATATTTGAGATATCAAAGCCCAGGTAGTCCAGGCGATGCAGGTACTAAAAGCATAAATCATAGATCAACAGCCTGTCAACCTAGTGACGGAGCAAATAGTTATGCATTCCATATGTACTTGCACTTCACTTAGGGCTAGCCGAGGCAGGTGATGTAGACAAACGACCCATGAAACTACACGAAGAGGCCGTATGTACCGAATAATCGAAGAAAAGATATGCGTATCCAGGAATAAATTAATATAGCTTTTCTATAATCCCTTTGCCCATCTCCAGGGACCTCGAAACATAACAAGCTCTCGTCATTTCCATTCTTCCTTTTGGATTTTGACCAGTTGCGTATACCAAGCCAGTATTCCAGTTACAGGCATATATGTAGCTGAACTTCTCAATCGCTAAAAGGGAGTTTGGTAAACGACTGTTGTGAAGGTTTCTTTCCAACGCAGCAGGCCCTTCGCATTCAGTTCTTGGTGGAGTTTGAAAAGGGTCTCCAACTCACCGGGTTCCTCCGAATTGTTGGTTAACCGTTCGTTTAACGAAAGCTTTCTCAAGAATGCTTCAATTGCAGGAGAGGCTAATGCACCAAGCACATTCACGTCAGGATAATCATCGGAGTGGTAGTCGGCCTTCGAAAGACACCGTAAGCCGTTTTCAAGACCCAGCCTGTGAACGATGTCAATGATGCTGGCCGAGTCAGCCCTATCTTTATGCTTCTGATGGGGAACTAGACAACCTAACATACTGGGAACTAAGGCCTCTGGATCGCATATTGCGGAATATAGCTTCTTTGATAGCCGAACCTTCGGCAAGGCCGGACGTTTCCTTGACTGACGTCCAGTTGGTATCTTCCCAGTACAGATAACCGCCAGGCTCTGCGAAGAAATATTAGTTCGGTGAGCTAGACTGGCCTTGCTGTACTGACTTAAGATCCGCAACAGGTTTTCCATCGCTATCTTCAAATTCACTTCTTGGAGTGCGAATGAGAAAAGCCGTACATGCACCAAGTCGAATCGCGATCGAAACACTCGCGGGAATGGTTTTAGCACGTCTTGTGTGGTGAACTTTAACTCAAGGTCCTCGGAGCGAGAGTCGGACGGAAACTGCGCATCGCCGATATCGAAACCGTGATAATACCGCTGGTCATAATTCGGTGACAACTGAGGCGCCTGTGATGCTAAGCTTTGTAGCCAGATACTACCTTCCAGTAAGACCAGGAAGCTGAGCATCCTGCAAAATTGGGTGAGAACATACCCTGTTCCTGTCCCCACATCGGCCACACTGTGGACTTTCTCCAGCGGTATCGATGATGGGAGGAGCCTTTGTCCGAGAACCCGGAACAATAGATTATGTTGCTGGTTTAGCCTAATGGTAGGATCAGTGTGCGTTTTTTTCACATGGCTCGTCATACTCGCTTATATGCCATGACTGGCATGAAGAACAATCTTGCCTTTCCGCCTCTGTTGCGTCGCAAGGAAGGATATAAGCGGGGTTTTCCAAATTCGCCATGGTTTTCGTGGGGTCTGTCTTCTCAAAGACGATGTCTGGATGATATCAAAGTCGAGTAGAAAAGGAGGGGAGTCCGGTCATCTACTTAAGCCCATCGGTCAGCATCAAATCCCGATAATATGACGAGTCGCACAAAAAGGCGCCACGTGAGCATACTGAAAGCGCCATATCCTCCTACGTGCATATTTTCACATGCACATACGACCAATGATTGGGGACGAGCGTCTAGGAGGTCTTGGATCAAGGCCGGATGTGGTGACGAGGGACGGTTCTATAATTCTAGAAATATGGAAATATAATATCCCTACCTCTCAGATGTTAGAATCCACTGTAGGCTACCTAGAAGCCAACTAGTCAGGTAAGGAGATTGCACTAGCTGATAGTGTCGATAGATCTAGCCACTCGATTGATTCTATATGACCTTTTTGACTTGATCAAAGTATGAATGTATCTCATTAACGAACATCATAGAAAGTATCTTTGCTTTTCAAGACACTGCTAATTTCTAGCTCTGCTTTAGAAAGAAACAAAATGTACGTATTACTATGGATAGTATTATCTGATAACTTAGTAAGGTATAAAAAAGCACCGGAGTATATCATAACAGGTACGCCAAAACGCTGATCAACGTTTGGTATAGGGCTTAACCTGACTGTGAAATAACAAGATCCTCAGACCTTCTTAAATTCTAATCTGATTGTGTGATTTTTACCATAACCACACATAGCAGATATCAAACTAAAGCACGTGCACCTTACAGATACAACGCCGTGTCCTTGCAGTCTATCTTTACAAGCTCGACTACCATGCAAGGCCTTGGATGTCTCAACCCCAATTACTACTTTGAAACAGGCGTCAAACCCAAACTTTCCTGAACGCGGGAAATGTCTTTTCTTTTGCGAGCAATACACCACTTTATTACCCATATAGGCTAAAGCTAAATCTACCGTATTGCGTTCTTCGCATTCAGCGCCTCCCAGTCAATCTTGGGCCCTGCAAATTTCTTCCTCCGATCAACCACCCACAGCAGAATAATCACCACGAATATGCCCGCTATAACAACAGAGCCACTATTCAAATCAGCAGACATACCATAAATTTGTAAAAAGAGAGAACAAACTAGTTCATATTCCCCTTCGTTGGCGGCCACCTCGTCGGAAATAGCATCAACACTCCACTCACGACCAACCACACCAACGAGAACCAATTGACAGCGTAGCCGCCCCACCAGCCCAGCGAGAACTGCCGATTAGGAAGGCTGGATCGACGACCGACGGCGAGGATGCACTGCGGGACGGTGTAGGTGATGTTGAGGAGGAGGACGGCGGTGTTGACGATGGAGTCCCAGGCCGTGGTGCTTGCTATGTAGACGAGGCCGTAGACGGCGCAGAAGCTGGCGGAAAGGATGGTAGTGCGCATAGGAATGTTGTAGTGTGGGTGGATGCGGGAGAAGTAGGTTGAGAAGGGGAGGCCGTTCTGTATAGTGGCTTTGCTTAGCATAGGGTTGGTGGATGAGTAGGGCTGGGGGATGCGCACGTCGCGGGCGAAGGCCCAGGTTATGCGACTACATGTTATCCATGAGCCGGGGATGCAGGCTGGTTTTGTTAGTCGATCGATCTTTATTTCTCGTTTCTCAGTTGTTTGTTTGTTGTGGAAGCGAAGACATACTGTAGTAAAGAACGGTCATGTACGCCTGCAGAAAAGTTGCCACAGCCTTACTCCCCGTCGCCTGGTAGTAGATCTCCAACGACGGGACAAAAGCCCTCTGTACAGCATCCATGTCCTGCACACTGCTCATCATGACAACCATCCACGGGGCGGCGGTAGCCACACCCAGCACCATGGCGGAGTTACTAGTTCTGTTAGCAGCGGAGAAATCCGAGGACCCTACTTGTTCTGATATGAGCGGAGCAGAGTGCGTACAGAATAAGAGGCATCATCCGACCCGGCTGAGGGATCTCCTCTGAGATATGCGTCACTGCGCCCACGGCTGCGTAGATATATTCGCCGGTGGTGATGCCCATCAGCCATGCTGGGGCGGGTGCCCACCCGCTGATACCCCGGTATTGGGTGATCGTCTGGGGATGGAGCTTGTTGCGAGCCATGACGGGGACGAGGATTACGATAATAATTATACCAAGGAGGGACATGATGCCCGTTGTTTTGGTAAGGTAGTCGACGCGGCGCTGGGGGATTGTGAAGATGGGGAGCACTGCATTATATATCGGTCAGTGGAAAACCGGAGAGTCTTTGTCGAGCCTGCAGTGGACACTTACAGGACAGCCCAATAACGACAAGAAAGCACAAATACACGTGCCACGCCTCGTGGTGAAAATCAGGGTGCCAGAACTTTACGATCCCAAACGCCGAGACCGCCGTGTATAGCAGTCCCGACGAGGTGCCCGCCCACCATCCGACGATCGTGGTGATCCCCACCGTGTAGGCAGAGAAACTGCGAAGGGAGGGCGGTGCGAGGAGATACGTGAAGTGGTACTGGCCCTGCGCTTGTTAGAATGAGACCGGACGGTCGTGAACCTAGTGATAGAGAGATAGGCAGATAGGTAGATAAGGAGAGATAATTACCCCCGACGAAGGCATCGCAGAACACAGTTCCGCCAATCCCAGCTGCACAATCCACTGCATTACGGCGGATATGATAACAGCGCCGACTGCCACTTGGGCGCCTCCGAAGGCGAGGAGAGTACCCAGTGTGGCGCCGCAGCCCAGCCATGAATTGGTGATGCTATTGCCATCAGTGCCTCCCGGGGCCTATTATCAAGACAGACATCAATACCTGTAGGCAAGCCCCAAGGCACCCGTCCATGAGAATGATCGGTCCAACTCGCGACGGTGACCTTGCGCTTGGAGAATGGCGTCGTCCAGGGAGGTCTCGCTGATTGCTTGGGCCTCTGCGGCGGGCAACTTCTCAACCATGGCGCTACCCCGCTGTTTGAGGTTTGTTTCCCATTGTCGTATGTATCGTGCTTCTTGTAGTGGTCAGCAACCACAGGGCAAACAAGCCTTTTGTGATCAGGCGACTCTTCGTAGTACGACATGTTCTGGTGTCACCGTCACGGGGAATCGTCAGAGACCTGATGCGAGGGGTTGCGCAGGGGGGTTGGCTCAAGGGGGTGGATACATCCCGAGATATGATGTTGTTACTGGCTCTCGACAGATCCAAGCATTCTTGAGCAGACGGTTCACATCCAGGGCGGTCAATCCCTACGGGGCAATCGCGATGCCCGACATGCCTCCCATCATGATGACAGCATCCACACCTCAGCTACAATTTGCCACGGGGGTCGTTCAGAGAGATCGGCCGTTAGAAACACCATTTCATTGCCCAGTATAATACAAGTCCATTAATCCCGGCCCATAAGCCATATTAAGTAGTCCGTCCCGTGCAATTTCTCCACAATCATCACGCGAAAGCGCCCAGCACGACCGACACGCACAGCATGGCAAACACACCCAGTCCACCCTTGGACACGGGCTGCATGACGTGGACCGCGGCGCCCTCGCTGCCGGACTCCTTGGCGGCGCTGTCGGTCTTGGATGCGGAGGGCACGGCAGCTGTGGCTGTGGCGTTCATCTTCTCTTTGTTGCAGAAGAACTCGCCGTCTTTGGCGCCGTTGTCGCGGAAGCAGTCGGTCAGGTCGCCAAGGGACTGCTCCTGTGCGAGGCAGTAGATGCCGCAGTCCTTGTCGTACTTGGTGACCTTGGCTGGGCCGCAGCATTTGTCCATGATGTCGGTGTAGTTTCCGGTGTTGGGGACGGCGCAGGCGGCATCTTTGATGGGGATGTCCCAGCGAGTGCTGCCGGTGCAGGTGGAGACGGAAGCCGGGGCGGTGGAAGTGGAGCTCATTGTGATAGTTCGTTTGGTGGTATGTGGAAGAGTGGAGGCGTTGATCGGAGTCGAATTTGGTGGAAGAGAGATATGTAAGGGTTGAGGAGAAGAGAGAGGAAAGAAGATGGAGAAAAACAAAGACAAAGAAAGAAAGGAGAGCTTGAAAAGAGCGAAGGAACCCAAGATAAGCCCAAAGCCAGCCTTGCATTGAATGTAGCCTTGTTCTTTTATTTTTCAGTCCTTGTCTGAAACAGGATGGGGCCGCAGCGCGACGGAGCCAATCTCAGCCTCCAATTCGGGCCCTTGTCTCACTTGGGATACGGTCATTTGCGGAGGATGAATAAATATGGATAATTATAGCCAGCATGACTCAATATCACCAATGGGAAAAAGAGCCATCATACGAGTCAGACTGTCGTGTCACACGTTGAGTGATGGCCATGAAATTATAATAATAACGCAAGTGGCCAGGGAGCGACCAGCGCAGTTAATCAGAAACTGACTAGCTGCCCTAACCCGAAGCTATCCAGGTTAGCACAAGGCCAGCAGTTTGTCCATTCTCCCCCATCAGCCCTATAGTGTATTCCCGTCTCCATCCGTACAATAGGTTCCCTCTCCTAAGTCTTTCAATTCTGCTTTAAACCTCTGTCAACCCCCATCTAAACCAACAGATGCGCATAGCCCAGTCGGATTTTTAACCACCAGCGCTCAGGGGCTACGTTCCTTGTAGTCCTAATCAGTCTCTGCCAAGCTTCCATTGCATGTGTAAGACCTGTTCGATCATTTTCACTGGAACAGCAGATCGCACCATCATGTTGTGCACCATCGCTGGCCGTATGTCGTTCCGAACAACTGACCAGGACAACCCTAATGAATTGACTGATTGGATAATCGATCGCAAGATGTACTAGGGCTTAGTTTGAGATGACACTGGCACCATGGCGAAAATCTCCTAGTTCACTATGGCCCTCTGTGCCGCCACCATGTCGACTAGCAACGTATAAATCACGCAGATGTATTGTAAGACTATCAAAGTTGAAAGATCATCGAAAATTACCCACCCAACAACTCATGCGCACATGGGCTGTCTTTATGGGTCGGAACAATCGAAATATCCAACTAAAAGAGTGACACACGTCATCAAGTATGTTTGAGAGACTGGGCATTGCTACGACCACACAGCGGAACGTCGCTGACGTATGTGGATAAGACAATCTGGACATGAAGTCTTCAGGGTCTGATTTGCACTGTGCAAATGAGCTGACCGTGGGTCCTGCAGTAACCCCACTGGGAGCAGCTTGGGGATATGTGATAGGCAGGGGGATCTGTGTTTCGTTTGATAGCTTAATCGTCTACATCTCTACTAATTGACTTAGTACATTGTCAGTATACGTATCCAAAAGTGGCACCCTACTGGTTAGTATATGGCGAAAAGTGATAGATCTAACATGGACTAATGATTATAATTGCTCCACAATATGGCCACCAGTCGTCATCAAACGGATGGAAAAAGTCAAGCCCCCGAGAATCATATATTGACCAAGTATGCCAATAATGACCATGTTCTTGAGCCCAATCAATTACTCAATCACATCCATCACTTTGAAATCACAACGCAATCCACTGCGCCACATCTGTTTGGCTGGTTGAAGTGAAATGAAGATTTTGCTAGTTTGCGCAAAAAGTTCTATATCTCTCCACTGAAATACCTTGGGCCATTTGCACGACTAGAAGCGCCAGAACTGGCCACTAGTAAGGGGCTCAGCTCGGTCCGGTTGAAATTGACCATCATGTCATCCAGCTGGGTCGAGTGGTCAAAGCTGATTCCCTCGATATCGACAACCGAATCCAGGCTATTTGGGAACACTAAACTCAGCCATTGAGGTAGATGACAAGGCGACACGAACTATGGCTCGACTTCTAAATTCACAGCGCTGAACAGTGGTACCATATATTGGTGGTAACAGTGTGGGATTCTTTCCTCTGATATCGTCGAAATGACCTCTTCGATCAAATACTGATCCTCGAATAATTCTTATTCGCTATCAGGTCATCATTACATTACTGTACAAGTCACCTATGCAATAAATCCCGGGAGAGATATAACAGAATGAGTCACCAAGGTATTCAGTCAAGAAAGAAAGGGATGAACTAGGAGAGATCACCATGGCTGTGGTCCTCCCATTCCCGTCAATGTGGAGAAGGCTCACAACTTGATGGGCAAAGTCAAAGTCCGAGTATCACTGCAGATCTCTGGTTGTTTTCTACCGTGGTTCGATCAATGGACCCCGACAGACATTTAGCCATGTACACAGAGTGGGATATAGGACTCAGCAAAAGTCACCGACATCGACTATCAACCTGTTCACATGCATACCAGTGCTCAGCCTATGTAAGTGTAAAAGAAACCTCTCGTTTCGCCCTTGTATTGCAATTCCCGCTCCATCCCCCCTTCTTCCCCTGAACTATTCTTTAATTTCCACACTCCAGTCAATGCAATGGGTTACTCCTTTGAAGGAATCCTTCGCCGCTCAGATGGCTCGTACTACTACGACGAGACCAAGTTTCCCCAGGTGGAAATCCCCTTAGCCTTGGAATCCGAAGGCACCTACCGCCTGAAGCGCGAGAAAATTGACGAATGGTGGGGCGTGACCAAGAATATGCCCAAGTTGCCCAAGTACATGATCTTTAACGACACACGGGAGGGGCCGCTGCACACCGAGAACGCCGAGTGGGATTTGTACCGCGCGTGGCACTACCTCAACGGCGGATACACGGTCTACGAGCCGGTAGAGTGGGTGCCCACCGTGCACCTGATTAATGCGATTCCGAAGAGCGAGCTGAAGTCGCCCTTCAAGCGCACGACGACCAGGTTCCGGAGCGAGCGGCTGTGCGGCAAGATCTCCGCTGTTATGTCAGCGTCGGCGAGCGCCAGTTACGCGAACATGAAAGGTTGACGCTAGTATTAAGATCGAAGGCGAGGTGGAGGCCGCGCTGAACACCAAGACCGTCGAGGAAACAACGGAGGAGGGGACGATCGGGGACAGACCCATTGTGGAGGTCGTGCTCGGAATGAACATCCGCATGAAGCCCGTGTACTCGTGATGTTTTGTCCGCAACGACGTCTGGTGCCGCGACCGCATTGTGACCCTGGAATACCTGGAAGTATGACGGTAGCTGGCACACGGGTCCGCCCTGGAACGAGGTCCACGTCCCTCGGGATGACCTGTCGCGGGTCAGTGAGCTGGTCTGTTCGGCGCATGGGCTGGTCGCTCAGATTCTATCGGTTCTCTCGAGAGATCGTATCACGGGACTCCATGTAGCCCTAAGCGCGCCCGAGTGGCCGGATTTCTACGCGTATGTGTCGGCTCACCCGGGACCTGAGGTCGCTGGAGAGGAGAAGAGAGCGTGGCTAGCGATAAATCCGGTGGCTACTCTGATGGAAGTTGACCAGTAATTCCTTCTCAATTGTGGGTTGACGTGAGTTGGGCTCCATCGTACTTTTCAAGGTATTGGCGGGCATACCCTCTCGGACTTGCGATGTACGTAGCACGCGACAAGAAATGACTTGACGTCACTGATCACTACTCCCTCGTGTCAATGAGCGCATCTGGCCGGCGTAGGTTCATGTAAGTACTACCTCCATTCGAATTGTCGCCTATCTGAACCCTGAATCTTGTAGCCGGGAAACCACAGCACACTCCACGATCTTCAGCCTACATCGCGCACGGCAGATATGTGGATCATTTGGTAATCATACACGAACTTCGCTCAGTTCTACACCGAATGAAGTAAGGGACCTCTGCTCGATTTCGAACAAAGAGACAATTGAACGGGCAGCCTCTGTCCCCGCAAAATCCACCTTTCAAGCCAGGGCTAGACCCGGGCCCTAATTTCCGCGGTTCTAGACGGTCCATGCGCAAGGATGCTCGCCGTTCTCGGGTTCAACAAAGTGGCTAGAGATTTTCGTCGTTGGAGACAGTAAGTATATAACAGACTATACATCTTTCACTTGAAGGACCGACGTGAACTCTTCTACCCACCATTTCTGCACAACAAACGATGGATCACCCTATTATCGAGTATTTCACCCATCATGCAATCCATGGTCGAGATCGGTCCCGAACCCCATCGCCCCTGGACCTCTCGCCGCGGTCTTCACCCGACATTCCGTCTTCCTTCAACACAGACCTCTTCCCGCTGATGCACCGCGTAACGGCGCTGCACTTCCATTCCAGACAGGAACCGACCATATCCTCCTCAACGATCTGTGAAGCCGTAGAGCTCTGGTCACAGCTAGACGGGTTGACCCTGTCCGACGAGAACCTGCCATCACCCGAATACCAGACCCTCCACCAGCTGCACGTATCCGCTCTCTTCATCTGGCTCCACTGCATCACCCATCCCGACAACCTTGCCAACCAAAAAGTCCAAGACATGCTAGCCGACGGACTAGGACGCATCGCCAATCTCGACTGTTCCTCCCCCGACGCAGCCTCCCTCCTCGTCGTCCCCCTCTTTCTCCACGGCGTGGCCAGCGTGCACAGCCCACATCGCAACGAGATCAACCAACACTTCACCCGACTAGACGACACTATCGCAGACCCGATCCTACAAACCTACCAGACTATCGTCCAGTGGACCTGGACCAGACACGACAGTCAGATCCACCGCAGCTGGGACTGGACAGATTGGGAGGATGCAGACCTGACCTGACGGGGACCAGACTAGACGGGAGATATCGGACGCAGTAGCCACCTATGAAAAATCAAAAAGGACAACTTTCATCGGTCCGCCTTGTTTTGCGTCTCGCAGATCCATAGCAACCAACCCCTTAGTGAACATACTAGTAACCCAACCGACCATCTTTTATAAATGAATTGCCCGCCATTGGGACCACTTCACTGAGACTACTGTGCGATATATAGACAAACCAAACTCTGTCGCACCCCTCCCCCGCCCCATGATGGTGGGGCTCGCGCCAGTCATAACCAGGGATGGAGTGAGGGACATGGGTGATTTAGAGCCTCGCGCAAAGCGCGCTTAACCATAAATATACAATGCGGATATCTCCACATGTTGCTCGCCTTGCATAGCCGGAGTAGCCCTAGCAATGCGGGTCCTGGACCCACCGGGGAATCCGGGACCTGGAGTCCCCCAAGCCCCATCAGCTAGCTACCTGCGAGCTCTGCTGTCTTGATGCCGGTGTGAGGTGGCGCTGGGTCCCCACTTCACTTGTTTTTCTTTGTTCGCCGCGCTGTGTTGCGTTAAGAGATTGGGATAGGTTCTGTCGGGTTGGGTCGGGTCTGTTATAGTGATACGCTAGGCGACAAGCATTTACGCAGCGCATAATTCGATTGTCATTTCCTTTCTCTGGGATATATTTAATGGATCCTGAGAAAATTCTCACACTCAAAACAGCCTTGATTTGATGAAGAATTCACCATCAAATACAATCAAGCACTTAAAGGGCTTAATTCTAAATTTGTTGATTATCTTATACAGCAACAGGAAGACCTCTCTCAGCAATTACAAGGGTGAATTCAACGTAGTACGAATGCAAATACGCTTTTCTCTCAGCGCCTAGTGTTTTGTGAAGCGGGTTCAAAGAACGCTCAGTTTCATAAAGCTGTTGCAGATGCTCCGAAAATCAAACAAGCTATTCTTGAAGCAGGTCTGCTAACACTCTCGCCAGCTAATGCGAAGCAGAGGGTCCTGAAAAAAAAGCGAAAGGATTCGAAGACAGCGCTTCGATAAGCAGCGCGGTATACTAAGGCGCTGGATGCTGAATTGTAAAAGCAAATCGTAAGGGATTTAGAAGCAGCGTCCCATAAAGCTGGATTAATGACTCGGCAAGCTGAAAATATATCTTTTCTGTTTCGAGAGTCGCCGTATTATTAGACAGTGTGTATGTCAATACATAGAGCTGGTGAAAGTATAAAATTGCTAGTGGGTTGGTGGGCTTAGCACAGCTACAACTTCCTGCATGTGTATCAATAGCACCCTATCTCGCGCAAATTTAAGGCATCAAAAACCATGACAAGCTCATCAAAACCAAAGAGGAGTCGCTTGTTAATTGGATCCCCGACCTTGACCTTCGCAGATCAGTACCCCGGTCCGAATTCGCACCAGAAATCGCCGATTTATTGCTCCGGGGAGCGCGGTGACGACCCGCCGAAGACGGTGGGGATAAACTGGGGTGGAAACTTGGTGAAACGGCATTCTTATTCTTCAATGTCGCTTTTCACGAGGGTAGGAGTACCAACGGGCAGCCTGCGAGGAGCCTGAGGTCATTCGGAAGTGATTTGATCTCGTCTGTAAATATCATCGGCAAATACTGTATGGCGGCGGGAAAAATATCTAACTTTGGCGATACTGGTTTTTCGCAATGGGCCTTACCGCGACCGCGAAAGTCATTACGAGGTCCGACTTCAGCGGTAGACCCCCCTTAGGACTTCGACTGCGCGAAAAAGCCCTGTCATACCTGCTGCCACGTAGTTCTGAAGTCTGATCTCATGTAAACCATGTTATTTGGGGCGGTTGATGGAAAACTTCGTGCCGTCTAAGCCGTAACATTGGCCGGTTCCGCCATTCGATACCTCCATGCCCTCTAATCCACGACATGAACCGATTTTACCAGTCATTCCTAGACTGAAGGTGGATACCGTGTGAGTCACGACAAATCATCTAGGGAAATGAAAGACGTCATGCTCTAGGGGCACTCCAAGATTCGACGATGTTGGCAATTGAGAGCCAGACACAACATCCGCCGTCCCTGGAGCAAGACTTAACGATGCCTCCGAGCTGAACAAGCCCGGATTAACAAATTGCCACGCCCACGCGCTGGATGGAGATAGTGAGAATGATGCCGGTGCGAATCCGGGTACATTTGCTGCACATTGGTTTGTCAGTCCCATGAGTGTGGTGGTCAATAAATGGATGAGCATTGTTACCATCAAAATCAAATGCGGTGATGAGCCTTGTCAACGTATCTCGACAACGCATGACGGTCTCACTGCCTTTGTTCAACCCACGTAGGACTTCCATGGCTGTCTCGAGCAGACCTCGCAATTCAGATACGGAAATGGTAGATAATTTTTCGGAGTATGAGGGGATCCTTTTGATCAAAAGGACTCCCAAGACCGCAAGGGAGGAGTTGAAAGCTGCGTGGGGTTAGTACTAATCAAACACATCATGAGAATAGAGGTACGCATACTATAATAACAAGAAAACCACCAAGCCCCCAGCAGATTCTGATCATTCCTGGAACCAGCCAAGATATTCTTACTGGTTTGTAGGAGATCGCCGCACGTGCGGACCAGATCCACCAGCAAAATAGCACCTGAGTCCCGCAGCCATTCCGACTGGTGTTCGCTCGAGGCTGTCATGCCCGGCAAATCGAGGAATTGACTGAGGACTGGGCGTAGAATAAGTATTCTAGCACCAAGGAAGCGGAGAGAAAGTAGGACGCGGAGTCTCGTGGTTCCGACCGTCAAGGGAACATCATCCAGCGTATCTTGGGAGGTTGTTATTTGTAAACAGGATGGGAGATTATCCTGCCACTGGGCTAGATTCCAGCGCAGTTTGGAGATCTGGTGCAGGCTTTCACCCATGGGGAGACGGGTGCGAAGTCCGAGGTTTGAGTCATAGAGACGTTCCAGGGCTTCGCCCATGATGTGAGTAATAGATCTATCAAAGATTAGTTAAAACTGCAGAAATCGTCGAGGACAATTTGGTTACATCATAGCATCGAAATAAGCCAGGCTGGATACGGTAACGGCACTGGACACATTGCTGAATGGTAAATAGGCGCTGGCCTCGAATCTCACATGGGACAAAGGAATTAAAGGGGGGCGACCGTAAGTCACGCTCAGAAACCTGATCATCATGAGTATACTTCGTCATATACGGAATTACAGACACTAACCGATCATTCATAACACACCAATACCATGATCTCCTGCGCACTTCCCGATCGGTTTGCGATAGGCTCTTTGAGTCCATGACATGAAGACCAAGTTGGTACGCCCCTTTCACAGCCAGGCCATGTAAAGTCCAAGCAAGCGATGAAGATGTAGTTCCTTCAAGATACGCCTCCATCAAAAGGAATAATTGCACTAAGCACGTCAGTGTGGGTTGAACGCAAGATGTTATATGGGTAGGACATACCCATTTCCAATGAAAGACGCCCTAAGATATCTGATTTCACCAATTCCATCGCCCGCTCAAAATACATACTGGCCCTCGCGGCCCTTTCAATGTTCGGTGAGGTCGCCGTCATGACATTTGTCGCGAGAGCGAACACGACATTCAGAGTCGCCAGCCAGGATCTCCGCACACACAGAGCCCCGTCGATCTGCAGCTTCCTGTACGTGTCTCGGAATGAGGCTTCATAGATGCACGGAATCATCAGGTTGACGGTGGTGAAAAACAAATGTAACAAGGCGTCTGCTTCCGTTTGAGGGGCAAGCGCGAAGGGATCCACGCGAACTCTTCCCTGGGACTCGGTTAGACTGCTGACACCTGATGGTCTTCTCAGGAATGCATCGAAGCGGTCATCGTTTGATTGGCCAACTTCGGTGGAAACATCTATGCTTGAAAGAGGTAAATTATCGACCGAGTTGACCGGATCGCCAACGGCATGAATGAAACGCAAAAATGCCACATTAGATGAAGCACCTTTCCGAATAGTTAGACGGGGTCCCACGAAATGATTTGCAGTGATGGATTCAACTATACCAAAATATTCTTCTTCGTCAGCCCCATCTTTGAGTGCCACGGCACCCATGCCATCCACTTCATCGTCTTGATCCAACGGCCCTTTCATTCCTGGACTACGTCGGGGTTCATGGTTCTCCTGAACTGTTGAGGAGGTGGTTGCATTCATTTCAGAGCTATCCAACTGCTTGTCTGGCCCAGATAGCCGCAATCTTTTTTCTATTGCCTGTAGTCGCTGCTCGAGCAGATCATCCTCTTGCCTATGCGAATGAGTTTAGATCGTGTAGACATCCTGAATATATTGACTCACCGTTCACTGCTGCCGGGGTTAGTTATCGCTACAGGCTGGCTGTGCGGCTGCTCATATCGGCACTCCGTGTCCATATCTTCACATGTTGAACACGGCCGTGCGCCATCACACTGTGATATTGAAGAATGAGCCGTCGACGCTAGAATATATGAACGGCGATCGTATAACATACCCGAGACTTGCGGACCCGACAGGAGCGACATGCCACCGATACTCTCTGACGTTTCCGATTCTGTGTTTTCGTCAACCGGATATGACCGGGATCACCCACTGACGGGGTCGAAGACTGAGGACGCTGGTCTGCCATGGAATAATTGTGAGAAGAACTCTCGTCCGAAGGAAACCTGGGAATAATATGCGGGCGACGCTCGGGAGTTGCACTAGTGAAAGACCCGGGGTCACTTCTCGCCGATTAATCACTGGGTGAGCCGTTTGGTTGCAAAAACTAGGGAATCCCGAATCCCAAGGTGGAAGCGGGGGAAGTGTCCCTTTTTCCTTGCTCCTGTTGCTTGTTGAGGCTTCACAGTGCGCGCCTACAGATGACCTTGATGCGTGTGTGTTATAGCATGCTGCGGGGGTAGTCCTGAGTACTGCCTATCTTATAAACACCCATTTGCCTTCACAAATATTGGTCAACTGGATCTGCCCCTGGGTCCTGCCAAGCCTGAGATCATTTTAAATTACGCACTGTAATACAGTTACAGTGGAAACTTAGATAGTGTACGGAGTACAGTTCAATATGGTTTTTGAGGTTTGCTCAAGAAAAAGCGTTGTATATGTGTTGGGTATGAATCTCTCACAACTCTTTTTAACCTCACAGGCCAAATATGAGCATTCTTAAGTCCTATTAACAAGTTAATCCATATACTTCGTTGTATATAAAAATAAAAGAAAACATTAAATTACTAGTGTGTGCAGATTAGGAGCGTTGGCATTGACAGAGTTCCTCGATATACAGAAGGAGGATTCAAAAATGATAATCAGCCTGTTTCTGCATGCTATAATTAGCACGAGTCTTGTATCCTGCCTTATTATGGGTAGCTTCCAGGATTTTCTTCAGTGAGTAGGAACGAATCTATGACAAGCGAGAATCGATCCCTAGGTTTTCTATACCAGTTTATCTCAGGTTTTATATACATTTGAATGTATTTCATATTATGTCCACCCATCTCACACTTAATCTGTCGCCAAGCTAAGTCGCACATCAACCTCATCATCCAGTACTATAGTAATCGCCTCCTGTATGTTGAGATTCTTCCTCATAACTTCTTGGGGGTTGAACCGGCGAACAAACAGTGATAGCACAATCTTCTGCTCGATGAGTGATAGGCTATACATTATCAGCACCAGTATCTCATCAGACAGTAGTAGGTCTTACGTTTGTCCAACACATTGTCGCGTTCCCCGCGAGAAAGGATGGAAGTAAGCCGACATCTCTCGCTTGAGATCCTCGTCGACTAGCCATCGCGTTGGGTTGTAGGTGGTGGGAGCAGGGAACATGACCCCATCATGGAGGGCATATAAAGGTGAGGCACTCACTTCTGTCTGCAAGGGGTCAGTCTGAGGAAAGGGAATGGGAAATGGGAAGATGAAACTTGCTCCAGCGGGTAGGTAATGTCCTCCAAAGCTCCATCCACTAGCAGGGACGGTCCGGGGGAGTCGCGTTCGACTAGGACAAGAGATCCGGAGGCCCTCTTTGGCACATGCATTGAGAAATGGCAAGGCCTCCAGTTCGGGGACGGTCGGTCGAGAGTCCGGTGTGGGCATGACTGTCCGCACTTCGTCTTGGAGTCTCCGATAGATATCCGGTTGTTGGAGAAGATGATGAAGAGTAACTGCCAGCGCAGCTGCGGTTGTGTCCGTTCCGGCAACGAACATTACAATGGCTTCAGAGATCAAGTGCTCTTTGGTCAGCTTCCGGGACTTTTTCTCCGCGGCTGACATCATGTTCTTGAACATGGTCCAAGTCTCAGTTGTATGCATCTGTTGAAACCCTGAATCGGATATCTGCGCCAGTTCCAAAAATCCGTTTGGAACGGCACTCAGATTGTAGTAACTCGCCCACCGAATACATTCTCGCAGGATAGGGAATTGTTGAAACTGGAATTTTTAACATCTTATTTCGCTTGCTTGACAGGAGACGACACCTACAAACGGTACCGAGTGAGTCGCCTTGTCAATGGCTTCAAAAATATGAGACTTGTAATCTTCCAGTTGTAGCGCGCCGGCAGACTTTCCGAAAGCGAACTCGGAGATGGTATCAAGCGTCATGCAACGGAATGCCGGGAAGAGTGGGATGATCTGTCCATCCTTTGCGCTTTGGGTAAAACGATTCATCAGATAATGGCCTTTGCCATATATGGATCCCTCGTGTTGAATAATATTTGCCCTGGAGAACGCATGGGAGATGAGACTCTTATCTTTGGCGTGTTGCTGATGGTCCCGGATTGTAAAGAGATTGGGAGCCTGGTCTTCAAAAGCACGATAGAAGTACTTGGACTTTTCGAACTTCGATGTTTGTCCGTAAACGATGCTAGAGGCTTCTGGGTCGTTTATTGAGATCTCGTTGGGTGAGATCCTCAACATCGGTCCTGTTGTGTGTCGATGAATACTTGATAGTAGTAGTTTACTGCCTACTCAGTGGTGGTAACATACCATATTTCCGGTGCAATTCAAGTATCTCCACGTGAGTATTTCCTCTCCTTTCAAGCTTAAAAATCCACCATCGAGATATTTTAGCCATAAAAGGGCCTGGGATGGTCTTGAGAGCATGGAAGAATACATTATACACACAAGTTCCAACAAACCATGAAACCACCACAATGGTCCCATAGGTAAGATAGATCATGTTGATTGTCTCATGAAAATGATTGTTAACTTTGTATTTTACTGCCCAGACATTGGCAGGTGGCTCCTCTTATAAATAACCCTGAGTATTCTCCCAACATACACTATCCCTAAGACCTCGGAACGCCGGGGTTAAGCTACCCACCCAGCACGATCGAAATGAGCTATACATTATTGAAATGATCACCTATATATCCAACCTTGAGTTGTTTCGAAGGCTCCACTGCATGACGTGTAAGCGGGAAATGGCCCAGTGGATGCTCCGAATAGACGAAGCCGCCCAAAAGCCTCTCCGGGGATACCGGGGGTATATAAGCCGCCTCACCGTTATTCCGTCGGGGGGGGGAACAGAAGTGTAGATCACGCGAGGTTGTACCCCCTTCATCATATTCAAGTCCTGTGATGATTAAATAAAAAGTTATTGTTTGGATGTATCTACAGGATCAAACTTGATTATCCTTTTTGCTACACACGATCTTCTCTCCCTGTTGCCTTTGAGATAACAATCAAAATGTCCGTTCTTTCGCAAAAGCCCCAGAAAGATTTTCCAAATCGCCCGCAATTTTCCGGGTTCATGAAGCCATGTCGAATGGAAGGAGAAGTCCTCAATCTGGAAGTCCATGGCGAGATCCCGGAAGACATCGATGGGACATTCTATCGGGTTATGCCCGATCCCCAGTTCTCGCCCTTCATCGAGAATGATCCAGTAAGCGAATTTATGCGAATCTTCAATCCCAAGATAGCAGAACAGCTGACGTGACAACAGTGGTTTAACGGCGACGGCAGTATCAGCGCCTTCAAAATCAAAGACGGAGTCGTCTCCTTCAAGCAGCGTTATGTCCGAACAGAGAAATTCGTCCGGGAACGAAAGGCTCAAAGAGCATTGCTTGGTATCAACCCTCGCCGTTCGCAAGCCCACATAGATTGGACTGACTCATTTCTTTTTGTAGGCAAATACCGCAACAAGTTCACCGATGCCGTGGAATTCGTGAGCCGCACCACTGCCAACACAAATATCGTTCACTTCAATGGCAAATTATTGGCTCTGAAGGAAGACTCTCCACCATATGTGTTGGATCCTCACACCCTCGAGACAAGCGGCCTATATGACTTCGATGGACAGTTGCCCAGTTTGACATTCACCGCACACCCGAAATTCGACCCGCGCACGGGGGAGATGCTCTGCTTCGGATACGAAGCCAAGGGCGATGGAACGCCTGATATATGTTATTACCGCATTGGATCCGACGGCAATTTCTTGGAAACCGTGTGGTTGACTGCGCCTGTTGTGGCTATGATTCACGATTTTGCTGTCACGGAAAACTGGGTGAGTGGTGTAATGATTCTTGTATTTTTAGCAAACCCTCTTCTGACATTGTTCCTCTTGTTATCTTAGGTCCTTTTCCCCATCATCCCTCAGGTCTGCGATATTGAGAGAATGAAGCAGGGCGGCGAGCACTGGCAGTGGAGCCCCGAAACTCCATTCTTCATTGGAGTCCTCCCACGACGGGGAGCAAAGCCATCCAATCTCAAGGTATGTTCCCCACACCCTATCTCTAATATCCCAATCATCTAATCATTTGTCACACACCTTCTCAGTGGTTCCGCTACCAAAACTCATTCCCGGGCCATGTAGCGAACGCCTACGAAGACGAATCCGGTAACGTCGTACTCGACCTCGGACTGAGCGAGAAAAACGTCTTCTTCTGGTGGCCGGATGCGCAAGGAAACTCTCCTGAGCCGAGCTCCATCCACTCCCAGCTAACCCGGTTCACCATCGACCCCAAATCCGAGGATCTCAACTTGGTGAGCCCAACGGTTCTCCAAAGCGACAATTCGGAGTTCTACCGCATTGACGACCGCTTCGCCACCCAATCGTACAAGCACTGCTTCTTCGACCTAATGAACCCTGCCCTCGGAACTGATTTTCCGACTATCATGCCTCAACTAGGTGGTGGATACCCGCTGTATAACGCTCTTGCGCACTTGAATATTGAAACTGGAGTGACAGAGATCTACTGCCCGGGAAAGACACATATGGTGCAAGAACCAATTTTCATTCGGCGACGCGGCTCTACAGCTGAGGGCGATGGGTATGTTATGGCTCTGGTGAATAACTATATTTCCATGTGCAGCGAGTTGCACCTGTTGGATACCAGAGAGTTCACCAAGACAAAGGCTGTCATCCTGCTGCCGCTTCGGTTGAGGCAGGGACTGCATGGCAATTGGGTTGAGGGCGATGAATTGTAGGCTGGGCTTGGGGCATTCTCAGAGATTAGGGCAGATGGGACTGGCGAGGAACGTGATTTATGGTGTACATGATTTGGCATAGAACATCATCATAGACTGAACACTGTTTGTTGATTATTTGCTTTGAAATTCAACTGATAATACATATATACTTCTACTCAATTCCGTAAGATATCATTTCTAGCCACTTTTAGCCCCAAGAGGTCTATAAAAATCACGTAGGTACACAATATGTATAGCTAGTATAAATGGCTTGAAACTGCAAAATTCGCCAGAGGACCAGGAATATTCCCTAATGATTGATCGAATTGTATTAACCGTGTTAAACATCCGAAAGAGGGGCGATCAAAGTTTAGATATTGAGTCTAGCTAGCATTATCTCGGTCTAAGTTATGATTATGTGTATTCCCCGGTCACTCATTCCTCCCCCGGTATCCCCAAAGTCAGCGCTGATCCCAAATTTCATTGGAGCGAGCGAGGTGGGTCCATACCACAGGCCGAATTGTTGGGGGACTGACCGCGTGTGAGCTTCCCCCGGTATACCCGGCTGTTGGCAACTATCCCCGCAAAGAGTAGGAGCTGTTGTTGATCATGAGTTCAAGACCTAGAAAAAAGGGAATTTGCATATAATAAGTATATCCATAGCTCTCTGTAGAGATGTCGCAATCCTCAACTAGCAACAGCGACATAATGGCACCCAATAGTTCTCCAACCGTCAACCCCCAAGCATTGGGCAACTTCTTTGACGACGTCGCGCGTGTGCTCGGAGAAGCCAACATTTCCCGCACGCCCAGTCATGGTGCACTCGAGGGTACTCAAGGCCGGAAATCTTACGGCGATCCATTCTCAACCTCAGAGATCCACGCACCAAGCGGTGCCGTTCGACCCAGTACTGTGGAAGAGGTCCAGGAGGTCGTGAAGCTTGCAAATAAACACAAAGTGTGTTTGTGGACAGTGTCACGGGGAAAGAATCTGGGGTAATACCATGATATCTCTAGCCCCTATGCCATCTGCATATTACTAACAGTCATAGATATGGTGGATCCAGTTCTGTCGTCAAAGGATGCGTTGTTTTAGATCTGCACCGAATGAACAAGATCATCGAAGTGAGCGAAGAGTACGGGTACACGATAGTCGAGCCGGGTGTATCCTTCTTCGACCTTTACGAGGAAATTCAACGACGGGGCCTGAGTCTCTGGCCATCGGTGCCGGCTATTGCATGGGGTTCTGTTTTGGGAAACACCATGGACCGAGGCTTTGGATATACGCCCAATGGAGAGCATTCGCAATCGCAGTGCGGCATGGAAGTGGTGCTGCCAAATGGTGAATTGCTTCGGACGGGTATGGGAGCGATGAATTATAATAAAACGTTTGCGCTATACAAGGGGTATGTTCACATTTCACTGGCTGCCCTATGCAAACCAGTGATATATTGACTGACCATTCAACAAGAGGATTCGGTCCAACCCTTGACGGTCTGTTCTACCAATCCAACCTCGGTAAGCGTTAACGTTATCACTCCCATCTCAACAACTCAATCACTAACAAGAAACAGGTGTAGTCACCAAGATTGGCATGCATATCACTCCCGCCCCCGAGGCGTACGCTACCCTCGAAGTCAGCGTTCCCGAGGAAGCAGATCTTATCCCTCTAACCGGGACTCTGTCAGACCTGATGCGCCGCTCCATCATCCTCAACTCACCCTCCATCGCCAACATCTTCCGCATCGCGCTTACATCCAATGTCCCCGAGGTTCACGCCAAACTGGCCCAGTACATGAAGCCCAACTCATACGTACCTTATGACGTACTCGAGAGGATCCGAGCGGAACATAACTGGGGATTCTGGAAAGCCTACTTCTCGCTATACAGCTCAGTCGAAATGCTCCCAGCATTGATCCAAACCGTACAACGCGCGTTCTCCACAATCCCAGGCGTGAAGATCGAATGGCGCGAGTTTCCCGGATCCCCAGGCCGCGCCATCACCACAGCAGAGATCAAAGAAGAACAGATTCCGCACAGTGGTATCCCGACGCTTGGGCCCCTGGGCATCGTCGACAGCCGATCTGAGAAGGGCGGGGCACACGTCGACTTCTCGCCCATCATCCCTCCATCCGGACGTGAGTTGTACGAGTGGTACCTGACTGCAAAGCAACGCACCATTGACGCAAAATTCGACTTCTTTGCCGACTTCCATGTCTACCCGCGCTACGTGGTCGGAATCGAGCTGGTCATCTACACGCTCAGAGAGGAGGCACGCGTCCTCGGGTTGTGCAGGAATTTGTTGCATGATGGTGCGGAGCAGGGATATATGGAGTACCGCACACATGTGCGCTACATGGACCAGATTGCGGCCAAGCTTAACTTCAACGACTTTGCGATCAATAAGTTTACTAGACGCTTGAAGGATGTGCTGGATCCCAATGGGGTGCTTTCTCCCGGAAAGTCGGGCATTTGGAATGGATATGTGCAGTTCGATAATGTGTTGCAGCGCAAACTTTAGCCTGTTTACACGTCACTTAGTTACAGAAGGCCATGTCGACTGGGAGAACATAATAAGCTCTGGCTTCTGTCAGGTAATGATAGATCATCTCTCTTCGTGGTTTGGATCCACTTTACAGGTATGGTATTATCTACTAGATCACAGGTTGCATAAGAAACTCAGGATAACAATATTCTCGGCTTTTCAGTGTTCCGTATGTGAAAGTACTTTGGCATTTTCCGTGGGGAAAGAAGATTCCAATACAACTGGTGGCCAGCCTACCGTATCTTGAGATCTAATCCGCTATACAGGACTTTCGCAAAGCCCTAATTCTAGGGATGGCAGATACTACACCTATAGTTGGCGCTGTCTCCCTCAGGGGGATAAGTCACATTATACGAATGAGCTTGGTCGGGTGCCTTGTCACTTGATCGAGCGCAGTGCGAATAAAAGTGGTTCTCTCAGATCCAGAGTTGTTAAGGCCAGACAGGAATCTTTTTGAAACCGACCACGGGAAGCATGGCTCTACCGATTTATATCCTCTTATTAGCAATCATTGCGTGCCATCGCATGTCTAAATCACCACCGGTTCTGCGAAGCTCATCGCTTTTGTTCCGAAGCAAGCGAAAGCCAGACACAAAGATTGAGGCCCACTCACGCGTCTTACACTCACCCCTGGAGCACCAGAAGTCGGACTCGAACCAGATCCCATTGTACAATCGCATCACGACGCTCATCAGTTTTGGCATCCTTATCATCACAGGTCTGCTTCGAGATCTCTTTGGAAAATGGCTCTATCCAGCACACTACCAGACGCTGACGACTCACAATGGATATGCGCCGCTCAGTCCTGGATTTGATAACTTCTACCTCCGTCGTCTCCATGCGCGGATGGAAGACTGCTTTGAGCGTGTGACCTCCGGGGTACCCGGACGACATATCACGCTTGTTGACGGCGCCAATGGACTCCCAACTACAACGCTGAATCTGAGTTCCTACAATTATTTGGGATTCGCAGAATCTGAGGGTCCTTGTGCGTCCCTGGTGGCAGCCTCAATCCAAACATGTGGTATCGCCTCAGCCAGCAGCCGTGCAGAGGTGGGCACGCACAATCTCCATGTGGAGGTCGAGGCCTTGGTCGCGTCGTACGTGGGCAAGGAAGACTGCATGGTGTCTTCGATGGGTTTTGCAACAAATGCAGATATATTCCCTGTGCTGGTAGATGCTCGATGTCTGGTTATTTCAGACGAGCTAAACCACGCTTCTATTCGGTTTGGCACCCGTCTGTCGGGAGCGACGCTTGCCACATTCCAACACAACGATTTGAGAGACTTGGAGACGAAGCTCCGGGAAGCGGCATGCTCGCATGTCCCGTGGAAGAAGGTTCTGGTCGTTGTCGAAGGGCTCTACTCTATGGAAGGAACACTGTGCCATCTGCCAGACCTGATCGCCTTGAAAAGGCGCTACAAGTTTTACCTCTTCATCGACGAAGCACACTCGATAGGTGCGATTGGACCGAGCGGCAGAGGAATCTGCGACCATTATAACGTAGACCCTGCGGACGTCGATATTCTGATGGGAACCTTCACCAAGTCGTTCGGGGCCGTGGGTGGCTACATCGCAGCGAACCGGGCCGTGATCCAAAAGCTGCGCGCCACAAACCCGGGTTCAATATACAGCGAAGCTCCTGCCCCCGCCATTCTCGCCCAAATTCTTGCATCTATCCGCATCGTCAGTAGTGGTCAAGGTGACAGACGGTTGAAGCAGTTACTCTCGAACTCTAGGTATCTTCGTCGGGGGCTAAAACGCCTTGGCTATATAGTCTTCGGTGACGACGATTCGCCGGTCGTCCCCGCTCTGCTCTTGAACCCAGCCAAGATGCCAGCTTTTTCCCGGGAGATGCTCCGGCGCAAGATCTCAGTGGTTGTCGTTGGCTTCCCGGGTACTCCACTGCTTCTTTCGCGGATTCGCTTCTGCGTGTCGGCCACTCATACCCAGGAGGATTTGGACTATGTTCTATCGGCGTGTGCAGAGCTTGGCGGGATTCTGCAACTGAGACTGTGTCAGACATAGCGAATTTCCTTGTATAGGCACTGCAAAATTTCCGTACCGGAATCTTTTCTTTCTCATCTTTGACTTTTTCAAAAGGAGGGCTTAGGGTTAGCAGGTATTGTCGATCGCCACAATAAACGGAGAGTTGAGACATAGTTCTTCTGTCAAAACTTCAAACGTCTATCATTAATGCTCCAGCGAAGCAAAGATCATCAGTACTAACTCAATCGTTATGGTCTTATATTATGTAGGTTCAGGTAGCTTCGTGCATGAGATATCACATCACGGTATTTCACATATCAGATGTCAGAAATCTGTCTATCTTACAAATTCCAAATTATGACCTATCTGGGCTTAGAGGATTATATCATTGTTATCCCACTGGCATGAGCAAACTTCACATTGAACATTCAAAAAAGCCGTCTATCCAAAGTCAAGTATGTCGTCTCGTCCCTTGAGCGGGATAACGAAGAATACAAACTGTATGTTCTTTCTCTCTTCATATTCTCCCGACCTCTTCATAGGCTACATGGTTTTTATATTCCCAGCTTGTCAGGGTCAAAGCTAAATGAGTGTCAAAATGAAGGGCATTTTGCTGGGATACTCTTGTCCCTCGTCGGCGTCCAGTATGTGTCAAAAGGACCCCTGTCTTGGGCAAAACAAACTGGAGTCACGAGTTTCGATCTACCGTACTATGATTCAAATACAGGCAACTATGGACGAGGATGGAAAGACATATACTTTATAACTGCTACGACCATCCTCCTAACCACAATGTGGAGTGTCTCGGTGAAATACGTCTTTGAGCCCATAGGCAGGCGCATGGGATTAGGAAAGCACAAGGCCAAGCGCTTTGGAGAGCAAACATGGTTAGGCATGTACTGTCTCTCTATGTGGACGCTGGGAATGGTTAGTTAATTACCTATTGAGGCCAGAAGACACCGTCATCTAATACTTTTTTGCACAGTACATCTGGACACAATCCGAGCATTGGATGGATGGATGGGCCTTTTTTGCCACATTCATGTCCAAGCAGCTCGACGGGAAACTAAAATTCTACATCCTTACCAGCCTGGCATTTTGGCTGAGCCAGATTATTGTGGTCAACGTGGAGAAAAAGCGAAGCGATTACGCCCTGTACATGGCGCACCACGTTCTTACCGTCGTTTTATTTTGGATTAACTACGTGTACGGCATGCATGACGCGATCCTTGTGGTCTCGAATCTGATGGAAGCTGCCGACGTTTTTCTATGCGTATGTCTATCCACAAGTATCTCCCAACTGTGTAGCGCATCATCGGTCTAACCGCGTATCTAGTCTACGAAGATCCTCCAGTACCTTAATTGGAAGACTAGTGGAAACGTTTCCTTTGCCACTTTTGTTGTCGTTTGGATTGTGTCTCGCCATGTTATTTTCGTGCGATTTTGCTGGATTTTCATTCGGGGAATACCAGCAGAAATGCCCTACGGCTGTTACTCGGGGGTGATACGCCAGCTAAACGAGACTGGCAATGATTGCCACTCTTGGGGTCGTCTAGCCGGCCCATTTTGGGACGCACAGGCCCCAGTCTGCATGACGCCGGTGTTCAAGTCCATTATCGTCGTCTTCCTTCTGCTGCTAGAGCTTATGTGCGTGGCTTGGTCTGTCGAGATTGTTCAAGTCACTATGCGAGCTGTAAGGAAAGGATATAGTGAAGATGTGCGTAGCGATACGGAAGAAGACGCGTATAGAGAGGCTGAGAAGAAGGCCAAGGTTAATCAACAATAGATGGCTACCGAGGGAGACTGGCTGCGGACCATTTTCCTTTCTGTAATTGCAAAGCAAGCTCAGGTAATGCTGGAATGGTTTCTCTGAAGATTCCAACCTTCCTCTCAACGCGTTTCTAGATGATTATCCCGTTTACATCAGGCGTTTCAGCCATGTCATCTTTTTCTCGTATACACTAGAGAGTTCAAATTAATCACCCACGGTGGAGTATTAGTCAGGTCATATTTGGGCATTCATATGATAAATGTGAGCTCAGCATATCTGACATGTTGTCAGGAGAATCACCAGGATGTATCACAGGAAGAGGTCATATTATCCCGGAAGATACTACTTTCAATAAAAGTATTTTCTTGTATGTATCAGTTGCATAGATCAATAGTTGATCTAACAATGACAGCCCGGTACTACACTGGTTTCATTGAGTCTAATCTAGGTCTCTATCATCTTTGCGGGCATTTTGGTCACATTGGGGTCACTGTTATGCTTCTTCCACTGGATTGTTTATTGTTTGTTGCTACCGTGGAAACAAAACTTCTATAGAGATTCTAACGGCCAGTTCCCTTTTGACCATTTCTTTTTTTTACCTATTTTTCTTATTGACATGCCCAAATAGACTATGTCTTCTATTGGTAGAGCCGCGTTGCTGGTTCTGTGCCATGGACTGGGCCTACTCTCACTGTTTCTCTTTGCTTCAGGCTTCTTTCAGCCAAAACCACTTCTCTCCGAGCTTCTAGAAAATGAGCCTCCACATGTTGATTACCGCAATCTCTCCGGAACTGCTCCATTTGACAAGATTGTTTTCATGGTGGTGGATGCTCTTCGAAGGTAAGTAGTACATCTCTCCCGGTGCTATCCTTATGCCCCAACTGACAGAAAAGGGCAGTGATTTCGTATACTCGGAAAGATCTGGGTTCAATTTCACACGGAGGTAGACACTCAGCCATGCCAATATAAACTGACACGAGTAGCTGATACAGACCAAGTCTGATACAATCCGGTGCAGCATTTCCTTATACGATTCAGGCGACAGTTCCCACGCTCACAAGGTCTTGCATCCAGTCCATGACTGTGGGCGCTAGCCCGTCGTACGCAGAGGTCTTTCTCAATTTCCAAGACTCGTCAGGCGGTGCTGCCATTCCTCGAGGGCAAGCGTGGCTGGATCACCTCAAGGCTGAACTCCGGGGAAACTTGACCTTTGCCGGCGATAACACTTGGTTGGATCTCTTTCCCGAGACCTTTGATCGAAGTCAGGGCTACAATGTGAATTTTGCCCCGGTATGACGAACGCTTGATCTACAGTATTGCCGCCAGGGCTGACCTTTTTCTTTTTTTTTTTTTCAGGACTTCACGTTCATCGATCGTGCTGTGGGTGCTTATATCGATGAAGAATTACCGAACGATGACTGGAGTACAATGGTGGTCCACTTCCCAGGAATTGACCATGTCGGTCATATGGACGGGGCCGATAGTCCACATATGCACCAAAAACAAGGTGAGATGGATGAAGTGGTTAAAAATATTTACAATTCAATGACAACGAGCCCACACTTGAGTTCGACGCTGTTTGTCCTTCTTGGTGACCATGGAATGAATGACCAAGGAGAGCATGGAGGAAACTCTGCCGGCGAGACATCTGCAGCCTTGTTGTTTTTGTCGCCCAGACTGCAAGGCCTTTTGAGAGGTCCCCATGCATATATCCCTCCCAATCGCGGCGAAGGCCGTTTTCAATATTACAACTCTGTTTCCCAGTTGGACATTGTTCCTACTATATCGGGCCTTCTCGGTCTTCCAATGCCGCGCGACAATCTTGGAGCTTTTATACCCGACTTTCTTCCTCTCTGGGAGACGACAGAAAAGCAATTATGGTTGCTCTGGCAGAATGGGGCTCAGCTTGGTATGTCGATTGACGCATCTAATCTGACTGATTCTTTATCGCTCCTTTCAACGGTAACTTTCCTCTGGTAATGCCATATAGAGCCCAATGCATAGATTGATAATATATTTCCAGGCTTCCAAAACTGCTCAGGAACTTGTGAATAACGCTGCGCTTAACAGTCGCAGCAGAGTCCTTCTCTATCTAGGTGTCGCAGGCGCAGTCGCAACAACTCTGGTCGCCCTATGGGCCTGCCATAGATACACACAATTTGATAAAGGTTGTGTAAGGGTTATCGTTGCAATTAACATGTCATATATCTTCACCATGATCTTCCCCTGGGGCGCTGCGAGGGAGCCTGAGTTTTGGGCACTGACGGCGTTCGTTTGGCTAGCATACCTTCTTCTCACCAGAACCCGTCTCACGGCAAATGGATTAACAACCCATGTCTTACAGGCCCTGGCGCTCCAAATTATAACCTATCTGTGGAGGGAATATATTACAACGGACCATACATTCAATTCGATAGATAAAACCTTTGTCATATGGGCCCTCTGTTCAACCACTTATGTTACGACGAGTGCCCAGTCGGTCAAAACCCTTGCGCGACTTATGCACCATAGTCCCTTCTATATTCTGGCTGCTGGGGTAGGAGCATTGAGTCTATCGCTGGTTTCTTTCGTTCTGAAAGTGGTATCTACCGCCCATTACATGCCAGGGCAGGTACCGTTCGTCTCGGAAAGAACCATCTCGGCACTGCAGCAAATAGATCAGGTCCTTCTAGCGCAAACGTTCTTCCTAGGACTGGTAGCCGCATTTGCCTTGCTATGTTTTTCTTCTCGGTTTGAAGAGAAGCATCAGTCCAGCGCCGGTATGATGAACGCTCCTCGTCTATATAACGAGCTGTTGATTAACAAACGTACAGACATAACGTCCGTGGTGCTGGAAATCCTCAACCTCTTTTTAATCAGCATGTCGAGAGTGTCAGATATTCCGCTTTTCCTTGTTTACCGTTTTCAATTGAGCCTGTTGGGTAAGAGACTATATCACACTCGGGAAGGTCTTGCCCAGGCTAACCGAGTCACAGTATCTTCCCTTCAATTGACCCCATTTGAAACCGGCGCAACCGCCATAATCCTGGGTGAATGCTCTCTATACGCCACGGGACGTCGTCGCAACATCGAATCTCTAGACATCAGCAATGCCTTCCATGGACTGCATCGTTACTCAGCCATTATTGTTCCGATACAGACCCTGGTGAGCAACCTGAGCGGGCCTCTATGGTGGGCCTGGAACGCCAGGCGATTGCTGCAAGGCAATCCCAGGGCAGGATCATCCAAAGAGTTTTTAAAATGGATTCCAGGAGCTTTGATATATGCAACACAGTCACTGTTTATGGGTTTTGGACTGTGTGCGTTAATGGCGCATTGCTTGTCAATGCTAATGGTTGGAAATCCGGCTTTGCTTTGGTCTATGGCTGCACCACGTTTTGCATCTGCTCTCATCACGGTTCCCGTTTCTTCTCTAGCAATCAGCATTCTCTGTCTTGCTTTGAGCTGGGCTCGTCAGTGGTCTACCACATAGCTATCTTTTTTGCCGGAATTGGGGGTGTCATGGAGGCCGAATGATATACAGAGGGACTCTAGACGAAGGCTGGTTCTTTTGTTTTCGGTGTAATACTATGAATTAGATATTACCATCATATCCAACCTGGAAAACACATTTTAGACACGGCCAGAAGTGAGAAACCGGTCGGTCAGGTGAGCCTATCACCTACGTCAATCACTTGATCAACGTCTTCAACTTCCACCATATTGTCAACATCTTCCATCATCTTCTCTTCTATCAACCCGTCATAGAATTAAGCAACTCTTTATCTATCCAACTCTCTTTTCTACATTTGAGATACACTTATAGGACAGCGTCCACTAGGAAAACCCTGGTTTTTTGATCGGCTCAACGACAGGCACTTGCGATGACAGCTGCCAGACATCAGAGTCGAGCCATGCAATGCACGACCCGTCCTTATTTCACGCCAGGACTTTCCGGATTTGTGACAGCTTTCACTCGTATATATTGAATTATGGAGGTCACTATATTCCTACAGCTCACGCAAGGGGTCTTTAGAGCCTACACAGCTGATCCTGCGACATGCACGCCTTTGTGACATATCTACTTGCCAACCAGATAATTCGAGGAACCGAAACCTACCAGTTATTGTAATTCTCTTTTTGGCAATTCTTTCATGTGCTTGATGCTCTCATTCTGTATGATTTTATCCTGGATTTTAAGGGGGGCAGTTTGGACGATAACGCGTAACACTTGGGCTCCCTGTGGCACATTCAGAGAATACTCAGATCCGAGGAAGATGGAACAGAATTAACCCGCAAAGCTGAGAATAGCCTGGACAATAAACGATCCCAGTTGCTACTGATATACCCTTTCAACCGTTACTAATTGAGAAATCGTTCATATGAAAGGGAACCATGACTCAACCAATGGCCCTCAGGGCTACATCGTCAACGTGCTCGATAAAAGACCATAACCAATTTGGGCCGATCGTGAATCAAGATTGTTACAATGGCCTTGATTTCACTCTCTTGTTCGAAGAGGTCTTTTACTCCATCGTACCCTCTACCATCAGTATCGTTTGGGTAGTGGTGCGAATGTCCCAGCTACGACACGAAAAGATCATGGTGACGCGGCGGTGGCTATACTGGTGCAAGATGGTAGGTTACGATGTTAGTAACAAACTCATATGTGTAAAAGCTTATGACAATGTCTAGACAGCATATTCAGCACAAATAATAGCCCTAATCGTCCAGTTGGTGCTATACGCCTCCAGCCCGCAGACATACTTGTCTTCTGCGGCCGCCATTCTATCGACCATAGCCACCATCGCCCTCGCCATTGGGTCGCATATAGAGCACCGGCGCTCTTTGCGCCCCTCAACAGTGCTCGTGCTGTACCCTCTCATCATGATCCTCTTCGATGTTGTGCACATACGGACGCTGTGGTCTGTTGATGGACTAAATCGCGTCGCAAATGTCTGTCTTACGGGGTTGGGGATCAAGTCTGTCCTTCTGGTATTTGAATCGTTTCCTAAGACGCGCTTCATGCATCCAGAATCCAGTATTCGTAGCCCCGAAGAGGTAGGAGGTCCAGTAGGCAGAGGCCTTCTCTGGTGGCTCAATCCCCTCTTTGTTCTAGGGATGGGAAAAAGGCTTACGCTTCATGACCTGTTTTCGTTGGAACCTACGATGATTCCTACCACCAAAAAGCACCATCTTGCAGTGCTATGGGAGCAAAGTATGTCACTATTCAAAGAGCTTCAGGTCTGACTGGAACACTAACCGTAAATGGATTGATATAGCCAAAGAAAAGACCAAGCCCCACACATTGCTCTATCTGGCTATTCGGGCTTTCTATTGGGAGATACTAGCCTGTGTCATCCCTCGACTATCATACGTTGGACTTGTAATTTCACAGCCGTACCTTATTCGCAGAGCAGTCAAGTTATTCGCCCTCCCTCATAGCGACAATGCGCGCGGTCGTGGAATCCTTCTTATTGCAGCGTTTGCTCTGGTGTATGGTGGCATGGGGGTAGGTATGTTCTTGCAGATAATGAACGAGGTGGTCACTAACAGTTGGTATTTTGATACAATAGATAACACTGGCTCTATCAAAGCACAAAGCCGTCCGGCTCATCGCAATGATGCGAAGTGCTTTGATAACAATGATATACGATCAATCATTGCGCCTACCGGCATCGCAAGACCAAGACCGCGTAATCACTGCCATCAGTACAGACATCGAACGGATTTGTCTTGGTCTCCAGGCATATTACGAATGCTGGGCAGCGCCAATTGAACTGGGGCTTTTTTTTTGGTTCATTTATAGAGAGCTCTATGAGACCAGCATAGCAGCCATGCTTCTCTCTTTGGGTCAGTTCTCCACCCGACGAGGTTAGTGATTGGATATTGACACAACATCAGTGGCTGTCGTTGGGGTGGCCCTACTGGCACCCTATGCTATCCAGAAGCAGGCTGCATGGGTCGACGCAATTCAAAGACGGGTATCTATAACAGTAGAGCTCATCAACGGAGCCAAGGGGGTCAAGATGTCAGGGCTCGTCGACCGGCTTCACACAATTCTGACTGCCCTGCGTCTGGACGAGATCTCGGCATCAAAAGATTCTCGTTCATTTTCAATGACTATATTTACACTTGGTAAGAGATTTCCAAGACTATGACCTTGGAAAGCAATGCTCACACGCTCAACCAGGAAGCATGCATTCCATTCTGACACCGACTGTGTCATTTGCAATTTACATGTTTGTGTCGCGCTCTGAAAATGGAGAGATTGGGACCCTCGATAGCCCACGTGCCTTTACCTGCCTAGCTTTGCTTGAGCTCTGTGGCGAATCGCTCTTGGCCTTGCTGCAGAACATCGCCAATGTGGCTTCGGCTGCCGGCTGTATTGGTCACATCCAAGAGCTTCTGTGTGCAAGCGAACATGAAGCCAGCCAAAATCGCCAGCAGCTCTCCTTCCCAGTGGAATCCGAAAACAGTCCACCTCCCTGCGTAGTGGCTGAGGATGTGTCCACGGGGTGGCATGGCCCCATCCTACACAACTTATCATTTAGGATATATCCCTCGTCACTGACAATGCTCATTGGACCCGTAGGTTGTGGGAAGTCCACGTTGCTCCAGGCTATTCTTGGAGAGACGACATACACCACGGGCACGATACTTGTAAATGCCTCTCAGATTGCCTACTGTAGCCAGACACCGTGGCTCGTCAACGACACGATTAGGCAAAACGTTCTGGGGGCTAGCACATTCTGTGCAGACAGATATAAACAGACCATCAGGGCCTGCGGCCTTGAAAAAGATATCGAACTCTTTCCTGATGGCGATGAGACATTCGTTGGGACACAGGGCGTGTCTCTCAGTGGGGGACAAAAGCAGCGTTTAGTGAGATTAATCTACGTCCTACTTGATATATCATTATACTAATATGAATAAGGCGTTAGCGCGTGCAGTCTACGCCAGGACAGACCTAGTTATCCTTGATGATGTCTTAGCTAGTCTTGACCCAGTGACAAAAGAGCATGTTTTCGACGAGTTACTAGGTCCTTGGGGCTTATTTAGGAGGCTCGGAACGACTGTGATCATGACGACAAGCCTGGGTAAGGCACGCATGGATGCAATATATGTATATGCAGATGCGTCTTTGCTAACGGTTTGCCAGAGCATCAACTGCCTCACGCGGATCAAGTCATCGTCCTAGATGGATATGGATCGATCTCAACTCAATATTCTCAGAGATCCGCCTGTACTGACACTCCAGAGTGCAATGAGTGTAATACCCACCTTGAGAGTACAGATGAGAAAAAGACCCCCACCATGGCAGTCCAATGTAAGAGCATCACGTCAAGCGACGACGATGACGAGGTCAGCCTGAATCGCAAAGTCGAGAGTCCAGGCGGGGATGGACCGCAAGCGAGCGACTTTGCGACTTACAGATATTATCTGTCAACAGCTTCCTGGCAGAGATGGTCCATGTTTCTCACTACGCTGGCGGCTGCCATAGCTACCAAGACCTTCATGTGTAAGCGATGCCCTCCAACACCCATGGCCCACTGCTCACTGGGAATTTCCTCAACATATCAGCCACATGGATAAAGTGGTGGGCACATGACAATGACATGGAGCCCAATCGCAACTTGAAGATGCGAGTTGCGGTCGACTGCGCTCTCTGTGGATTATACGCTGGAATGTTCTGTCTCACCCAGTGGTAGGAACTTCCGCGTTGGACAGTACGGGTACGGTGGTGCTCACGGAGACATATAGGGCCATGGTTCACCTCGTCATGTCAAAGACGATGATATCCATGCATCAGAGATTGCTCGCCGCGGTGGTCAAGTAAGACAGGAACCGCCTCACTGGATAAAGTACCGTTGTTGACAGCTTGTATAGGGCACCGATGTCGTTCTTCACAGCCACCGATTCGGGAACTACAATTAACCGGTTCGTGATCCCGTGGTGTGCGTTCGTACTCTCCAGTCGCTCACTACTCACGAGTGCCAATAGCTTCAAACAAGACCTAGAGCTAATCGACTTCGAGCTGCCCCTCGCCGTGTTCGTCGCAAGTGCCGGTAGGTAACTAACTACATCAACTTCCCAAATTTGTACATTCCATCGGCTAATAGCCCCGGGTACTCCAAAAGCCGTGCTCCATTGCATCGCAGGAATAATAGTAATCATTGTCAACGTTCACTACATGGCCGCAATTATCCCCCTAGCGGCGATCATAATCTGGGCCATCCAAACCGTATATCTCCGGACCTCACGCCAACTCCGAATCCTCGACCTGGAAGCAAAAGCCCCGGTACTCAAACACTTCATCGAAACGCTCAACGGACTCGCAACAGTGCGCGCATTTGGCTGGCAGAAACAGTACAGGTGTGCCTTGAACGCCCACCTCACAGCGTCGCAGAAACCGTTTTACCTGCTGCTGTGTGTCCAGGTGTGGCTTGGTCTGGCACTGGATTTTGTCTTGACTGGTTTTATTGTGCTACTTATGGGTATTGGCGTCGGTACTCTTGGCGACCTCCCTGCCGGGGATATGGGTCTCGCTTTGACTAGCACCATTACCATTGGTATCTATGTGAAAACCTTGGTTAGGTTCTGGATGAACCTTGAGACGTCGCTGGGGGCTGTCACCCGGGTCAAGGACTTTGAACAAGGCCTAGCTGGGGAAGATCTATCCGGCGAGAGCGGCATTGTGCCGGTAGGTTGGCCAACGCAAGGCTGTATCCAGTTCAAAGGGGTGACTGCCTCCTATGAGTAAGTCCCCAAACTAAGGAAATGGGGAGTGCTCCCCGGTCATGAAGCATCTAGCTGACTTGTATCATGCACTCAAGAGGTCACTCTAACCCGGCCCTAAAGGACGTCTCATTCACGGCGCGCCCAGGCGAAAAGGTCGCCATATGTGGTCGAACAGGCAGGTAAATTTTCCGAGAGTCCACCAAAAAATCTAATGCACAAGCGACGACTAACCCCCGAATAGCGGGAAAAGCACCTTAATAGCCGCCCTATTCCACATGATCAACCCATTTAACGGTCAAATCCTAGTCGACGGGGTCAACATAGCAACCATCCCCAGACAGAGACTGCGAGAGTCATTGAACGGCCTTCCCCAAGACTCATTCCTGCTCCACGGCTGGACGCTCCATGAAAACATTGACATGTTCGCGACTAGCTCGGACCAGGCGATCGTCGAGGCTTTGAAAGCTGTGGACTTGTGGAGAGTGGTCGAGAATGACTTGAACGGGCTTGACACTATTGTGAGGGAGAGTACCTTTTCGCACGGCCAGAGACAGCTGGCTTGTTTGGCGCGCGCGATGGTGAGGCTTGGCAATGTGCTTGTTTTGGATGAGGCTATGAGCAGGTGAGAGTGATTGTCCCCTAGGCCCAATGCTTGTTTTTCTTTTCTTTTTTTTTTTTTTCAATGCTATATAAGCCCACCCATCAAAACCCATCTAACAACCCTTTCAAACACCAGCATCGACACCAAAACCGAAGCACAAATGAAGCTGGTGATGCAATCCCACTTTCAAAACCACACCATTCTGGCAGTGACGCACCGTCCCTCGACCGTCCTTGACTTCGACCGCGTGCTAGTCATGGAGAGCGGGCGGATCGTCGAGAACGGTGTCCCGCGGGAACTGATCGGACGGCCCAGTAGGTTTTTGGATCTTTACGTTAGTGCGGGGGAGGGAGGGTGAGCTGTGGATTTGGGTCGTTGAGGGTCATGTTAGTACCTAGAGTGCTATATGTATATGTATGTGTAAGGTGGAGTGGTTGGTATTGGAGGATTGGCTGTGGTTATTAGTATGAAAGGAATTTGTTGTTCTATAATCTTAATATTAAATCAAGTAATTACCTACCTTTTTCAACATTGATTCTTTCGATGGGCGGTAGGGGCATATAATCAGCAATTGGGCAATGTGTTTTAATTGTTAGTTAGAGTCAGGGGAAATGTGGCTATAAAATATACAAGAACTCATGAAAGCTTAGACAGGTCGCTTTTTATTCTATTAAGCTAGACATAACTCCATCGACGCATTCTTGGTCATCGTACAGTCCGAAGCGGACATGGGCCCCGTGCATCTCAGCGGTACGCAATTATAATAACAGAAGAGAAGGAGACCAAAGATATAAAACAAATAGAAAAATAGAAAGATACATTAGACACAAGAAAATAAAGAAAAGCAATAGAAGAAAGCGAGAAAGGGTAAAAGTGGAATAAAGGGAATAAGAAAGGCTCGGAGAATCATCAGGATTAAATAGTTAGACCGCCTTCGACAAGGATGCAAACAGAACCACGTGTCTTGTCTCTTTGTTTTTTGGTTTCTTTTTGTATAGCGTTTCGCGTAAGAATCAGAATCCCGTCAAGGAAGCTGACGGGTTTACTCCGGCTTGCGGCCCACCATCAGGTACATGGGGGTGAAGAGCTTCTTCTCACCGCCAGCGACCAGGCAGTCACCGGCCAGGGCCAGACTGTCGGCCGTCTTCTGCGAACCCCGCGGGAAGAGACCGATGGATTCAAAGGCGCCGACGAAGCGGTGAGCGATGCCGCGGCCCCACCAGGTCATCCGGGCGATGGTCAGGAAGTCCCAGGGGGACGACATGTGCCTGAAGGAGCCCGCGAGGGGGAAGTACCAGGGGATCTCGTCGGGTCGGTCGGCCAGATCCTCGTGGTGCTTGAGCTCGAAGCCGGCGTTGCGGATGGCGTCCAGACCCTCGGAGACGCGGACCATGTTGGAGATACCGTCACCCTGCTCGATACCGAGACGGATCTTGCGGTGCTCGGCGTTGTCGTTGTTGTACTCGTCGGTCATCAACCACTCGTAGACGCCGAAGACGCCGCCGGGCTTCAGCACGCGCTGGATCTCCTTGTACACGCCCTCGAGCTCGGGGGCGTGGCAGGTGGCCTCGATGGCGTAGACGGCATCGAAGCTGTTGTCGGGGAAGCTCATCTGCATGAAATCACCCTTGACGAAGCTCAGCTTGTCGCTCAGGCCCTCGCGCTCGGCGTACCGGGTGGCGCGCTGGATCTGGTAGTCATTGTTGTTCAAACCGACGACGTTGGCGTCGGTGAACTTGACGATCTCGCGCGCGGGGCCACCGACACCGCAGCCGACATCCAGCACCCGCATGCCGGGCTTGATGTTGATCTGATGGGCGAGGTAGTGCTCATGGCGGGCAATGGCCTGGAGGAAGGGCTCGCCCTTGGCGAAGCGGCAGAAATGGAACGAGGAGCCCCAGCCGTACTCGTAGAAATCAGTCGCAAGGTTGTAGTAACTGCGGCGCGCACATTAGTATTGGAATGGATTTTTTGTTAACGAGGGACGGAGTGTGTTGCGACATACTGTCTGGTCAGGGTGGCATATTCGGCGCGACGGGCCTAAGATAGCGATCAGTCAGTACCATCCTGCGGTGAGGTTGAGCGACAGATTGCCCAGTACTTACGGCGCGAGTCTCCTCGGTCTCCTCCGCAGCGTCCTTGTTATCCCAGTGCTTGAAATACTCATCGACAGCAGCCTCCTGCGCCGCGGTATCCTTGCCGCGCAGGGCAGCCAACCCACCCTCGGATTGGAAGGACTTTCCGTGCATGGCACGGTTGAAGTCCGCATCGCGCGAGTGGTTCTCCTGTTCGAGAGCCGCGGGAGCCATGATGTGAAGATAGAAAGATGGGGTAGCGGTGAGGAAAAAGGGGGTATCAGTGAGGAGGAAAAAACAAAGTAAGTTTCCGATGTAAAAGAAATTGAGAGAGGAGCAATTGGGATCTCGCCGGGAGAAAGAAGGAGAATTTATAACACAACCTAAAGAAGGGAATTGAGTTTAAAGGGTAAAGGGAGGAGCGAGGTGAAGATGGGGGAAACAGGGAGAGAGACTTTGGGGCAGGGGAGAAAAAGAATGGGGGAGGCAAATACGACGGGAATACGACAAAAGGAGGCGGAAGGGAAAAAAAAGTGCCTGAGTGGGCAGGCTTGCGACTCCCGCCCCGCAGCCAATCACCACCCCAGGAATGGGCCCGCTAACCCCATTCGGTCCGGGGCTAGACCCAAACAGTCCGGGGTAGCCTGGGTGCCTGAACCGTTCATTTTCCACCCGGGGGTTCTAGACGATCAGAGATATCGGACGGACGATTGTAATTAATCTGAGGATATGGAGTAGTGTACGCTGCACACATAGAATAGAGAAACTGAGCAAGAGAAAATCTCTGGAGGTGGCTGGCATGTGACAGACACCATAGATAGTGTCGAGCCCGGGTCTTTGCTAGGGATCCACTTCTCCCGGCTGGGCACGTTGTTATTTGTTGCGGGCATTTCTGTCTGTGGCCCTGGATCTGGTCGACAAAGGAGGTCTCGAGTGAGATGGCCATCCGACTGGTCTCGGGCTGATTACAAGGACGGGATTGGATTCAATGCGACGCATCGAGATGCCGGAGGGGTCCACGGACTCGGCGGGCTGTGTCTGCAAGTACCACTGGTTCGAGATTGCAATGCAGTGGAATCACCACCTCCTTGCACCGGTAATCTCTCATCCGGGGTGGCTCGAATTCGCTCCAGTGGGTGGAGAGGGTGGTGGCTGATGGGTTAATACGGTCAATACGATATGAAGAGAGGGACCGATGGACGTTGGCGTCAGCCAGGCCAACAAGGCCACGAGGCCAACATATCCAATCCAACAACGATAAGATAAGGATAGAAATAAAAATAAATTTAAGACTCTTATCGATAAAACGCAATAGTCACGTGAGAGTTGAGTCAACCCCAGCCACACACGCGCCACACACGCCACCGTTGGCTCGAGCATTATCGATAATCATCAATCTCCGTCAATCCCAGCATCATTTCCAGCATCACTGCCACCTCCACCGGATCTTTGGCTGGGTTTGGATCTATTTTCTGTCCCGCCCGCTACCATGCCTCCCCCTCAGATTAAGCAAGACCTTAATCGGTCCGGCTGGGAAACCACCGACTTTCCCTCCGTCTGCGAAAGCTGTCTCCCCGATAATCCTTACGTGCAGATGCTCAAGGAGGACTACGGCGAAGAATGCAAGATCGTACGTGGCCCACTCTTTCTTTTTTCAAATGCATTCTAGACTCCGACACTTGGCTTCACATACTAATTGACTCAGTGCACCCGTCCGTTCACCGTCTTCCGCTGGAAAGCCGACCGCACCGCCCGCACCAAGCGAACCGGCATCTGCCTGACTTGCGCCCGCTTGAAGAACTGCTGCCAGTGCTGCATGCTCGATCTGTCCTTCGGTCTGCCCATTGTCGTCCGTGATGCCGCCCTCAAGATGGTGGCCCCGGGCCCCGAGAGCACCATCAACCGCGAGTACTATGCCCAAGGCCACGAGAAAGAGATCGAGGAAGGACGCGGTGCCCTCGAAGAATACGAGAAGACGGACGAGAAAGCGCGCGATCTGCTCCGGAGACTCGCCAACAGCCAACCTTACTACCGGAAACCGCGCCAGTTGGAACACAAGCCGACGGAGGAGGAGACCGAGGAGCCGGCGGGCGACGCGCCCGTCGTGCACAGTCGGTACGGCAACGGACCGGGCCCCATCCGGACGAGCGACAGCCGACGGGGAACCGCGTTGCCTGGGCGCGGACGAGGCAACGCACGCGGCGGCGGCCGTGGTGGCCGGCCCTTCCCCGGCACGGCGCAGCTGCCTCCGTCGGCCGAGGATATCCAACCCCCCGCGGACCAGAATATTATCACGCTTTTCGTCACGGGCGTGGAGGACGACTTGCCCGAATATGCCCTACGGGAGTTCTTCACGCAGTTCGGCCAGCTCCGCTCGCTGGTCTGTTCGCATCGCGCCCACTCGGCGTTCGTCAACTATGCCACGCGGGAGGGAGCCGAGGCGGCTGCCCGCCAGTGCCAGGGCAAGGCCGTCATCCACGGCTGTCCGCTACGCATCCGTTGGGGCAAGCCCAAGCCTTTGGACAACCTCGATCGGGAAGAGCGGATCAAGAATGCCCGCGAGGGTCGAACCGCGGTGCCCAACGCCCGGGGAGGGGGGCATGCTGCGAATAAATCGATCACGGCCGCAGGCGAGGACGCCAACAAGCAGGAGAAGCCGCGTGCTGCCGTCGTGGCACCGCCCCCGGGGAGCGGACAGGTCACCTATTCCAGCATGTATGGGGACTAGAGAGTACATTTATCGGTTGCTACAGGGATCAATCGGAAATTGGGAGGGTCCAGGTGTATGTTCGAAGCGGGCGTTGTCTGTTTATAATATGTTCACATATGTTTTATTTTTCCCTCTTTTCTTTCCTTTTCTTTTTCCATCACATCCAAAAAATACCCCCCACGATGACGCCAAAGGAGAGAGACCAAAAACGTTGGGTATAACTAGTATAATACAATGCGCACAAAGCATGACTTTCACAGCGTAAGCAAGTTTCGTATTATGACGAGCACGCCTTGTCAACCTTGACGCTCTTTCCCCCGATCTTGATCGAGTCGTTATCGCCGCGCTCGATATCCTCGTGGATGCGAAGTTCTAGCCATTCCCCGCCACCATTAGCATCATTGCGTAGTCTGCAACTCATCAGAAAGACACCACTTACGCCATTTGGCGTCTTCATTGCCGTCTTCCCTCACCCCCTGGACGAGGTTGTGTTTCAAGATGTCCGCCACTTCCAGGGCATGGTTGATCTGCATAGGCGTGTCGATGCCTACCCGCGGATGACTGTCAAACTGCTGACGGGCCTCTTTACGAGCGCCGATCATCACACGGACATCCTCTGCAGCGAGACTGTATTAGTACCTTCCTGTCATCCGAAAGACCATGGTCGGAGTACAAACCGCGGAAAGCAACGCGGGTGCTGCGAAGGAGCTGGCGATAGGCACTCCGCGCGGAAGGAACAGCAGAAGCCATGTCTTGATAGGGTGAGAGTAGTCGAGGGGATTAAGAGAAGAAATGGATCAAACGTCAAGGATAATCGTCAATTATGGAGAGGAATCCAATCGAACGATGGGCGAAATATTTGGTTTCCAGCGCCACTTGATGACCTCCGAGACCTCCCGTCTCCCATTGGTCCTCGTGAGGGCGGCAGCCCGGGGCAGAAAACACCGCCCGAAAATGACTTTTTCAACTTTTCACGCTTTTTTTTCTTACTTTTTTACTTCCGACTTCTTCATCCCCCCACCTCATCTCGAAGCACACCTCTGTCCTTTGGCTTCGACACCACCACCATGTCTACCCCCCAGGTCGTGAATGTGACCTTGCCCGCCCTGCCTCAGGGATGGAGTGCCGATAAGGACTTCAAGGCCGTTGGCACTCTGTCCGCCGGCACCCAGCGGACCGTAGAGCCCGTTGGGCCTCACTTCCTGGCCCATGCCCGCAGAGTATGTCTATCTTACATTACAAAATAAGGCATTAGATTTCGGGAAGATACTGACAACCGCATAGAAGCGTCATCACCGCACTTTCTCCGAGGATGAGCGCATCCAGGCCCAGCACACCGTCAAGAAGACGGAGCAGGAGGAGGACGACGACATCTCTGAAAATGAAGACCCCATGATGCTGTCCCGGGACGCTAAGGACTGGAAGGTTTGTCAATCTGGCTACCATCCCATCAAAGCAATTTACTCACCCACTTCTAGAGCCAAGACCACTATGCCGTGCTCGGTCTGAGCAAGCACCGCTGGCGCGCCACCCCCGATCAGATCAAGCGGGCCCACCGCAAGAAGGTCCTGCGTCACCATCCCGACAAGAAGGCCGCCATGGGCGACCGTGACGAGAACGACAGCTTCTTCAAGTGCATCCAGATCGCCGCCGAGCTGCTGCAGGACCCCGTGCGCCGCCGCCAGTTCGACTCCGTGGACGAGGCCTGCGAGGTGGACCCGCCCAGCAAGAAGGAGGTGCAGAAGGGCAACTTCTTCAAGCTGTGGCGTCCCGTGCTCCAGGCCGAGAGCCGCTTCTCCCGCGTGCAGCCCGTGCCCGAGCTGGGCGACGAGAACTCCACCCAGGAGCACGTCGAGAACTTCTACAACTTCTGGTACAACTTCGACAGCTGGCGGACGTTCGAGTACCTGGACGAGGATGTCCCCGATGACAACGAGAACCGCGACCAGAAGCGCCACGTCGAGAAGAAGAACGCCAACGCCCGCCGCAAGAGAAAGACCGAGGACATCACCCGTCTGCGCCACATGGTCGACGACCTGGCCGGCATGGACGAGCGCATCAAGAACTTCCGCAAGGCCGCCCGCGCTGGCAAGGACAAGAAGCGTCTCGAGAAGGAGGCCGAGGCCAAGCGTCTGGCCGAGGAGAAGGAGCGCGCCCGCGTCGAGGAGGAGGAGCGCAAGAAGGCCGCCGAGGAGGCCGCCAAGGCCGACCGCGAGAAGAACAAGAAGGCCAAGGAGGCCGCTAAGAACGCGTCCAAGAAGAACAAGCGTGTGCTCAAGGCCTCCGTCAAGGATACCAACTACTTCGCCGAGTCCGGCGCCCCCTCCGCCGCTGAGGTCGATTCCGTGCTCACCGACGTCGATCTCATCATCAGCAAAATCGACGCTGAGGAGCTGGCTGGTCTGGCCGAGCGTCTGACTGCCGCGGGCAAGGATGTCGCTGCCGTCAAGAACGTCTACGCCGAGGAGTCCAAGCGCCTGGTTGGTGCTGGCAAGCTCAAGGAGGGCGAGACCAAGACTTTTTAAGTCTTTTCTTTCTGTTTTGACGGTTCGATGAGCCATGCTTGTCATGGACTGAAAAGCTTGATGGTTAAAACATGACGTATATCTGCAGCCTAGATCGATAGATTTCTTGCTACATAATGGAGCCAACGACTTATTGTTATCTATGTACCTTTTTAAACCCCATACACTAGGAACGTATGCCAGTCATGTCACCACCTAGATTACCAATCCTAGATCATCATACCCAACAACCCAAGAAATCACCGCCTGCCATTCCAAAGACTAGATCGACCCCATGCAGCAAACCAAGTAAACAACCAAACCACATACTCAACAGCAATCCATAAAGAGCGCACCACACCCCATTACCTCACTCATGAATGACGTAACACCAGTCCAATAGATTATCAACAGAAGCAGTTGCTTGAGTGAGTGACTTCCGTCAGCAGCTTGATTAAAATCGGTGATAGCTTCACGCCTTGTAAGTACCCCATTAAACACCCTACCCATTACATGATATCTACCATTCTTCTCTCAGAGAGAGAGGGATATGATTCGATAGAGATACAGTGCAGTGCGGTCATCTACCTAGCTACCTGAGTTGTGGAATTAACGGTACTTAGTTCCCCACGGGAAATGACCGCATGCTTGCTCGGGTCAGGTCAGACAGGGTGTACATACGTCGTTATTTGCGGCTATGATGTCGAGCTGGGTATCCATTCATCTGCTTGGGTCTGTGGTTTGTGAATGGCCTAACCCGTGGTCTGATAGGACTGATGGAGGAAGACGGTTTTGTTGAGATTATGATGTCTATGTGGCGGTGGATATAGATGGATGGATGTCGTCATTGGTATATATCTACATTTCAACATACATACTTCCCTACCTATCTACTATTCATCTATTATAGACTACACCAACCAAGATAACCCTACAAAGCCATCCTAACTAACAACCATGACAAACTCACCCTACAAATCCAACGAACGCCACCCCATAAACTGGATAATCCACACCTCCAGCAGAGTCATAGCATACCATCCCGAGACAGCAGCAACAAGCACAGGCAGGATCACCCTATCCGGGCTCGTCTCCCTGTCTCGACTAATAGCACAGCACGTCCGGCGGATCCCGTCCCGCGTGTTCCGCCTCTTCCGGTCGATCATCGCCGCGAGGTCCGCGATGCATGCGTATTTTGAGCGGGTCGCAGACAGGAGCTCGGATTCTAGCCTTGTGGGGAGTATTCGCTCGCATGGGGTGTGGATTGAGGGTTTGGTGGAGGCTTTAAGGGCGTTGGGTGGGGAGAGGTGGGAGGTGGAGAGGATGGAAATGGGATGGGGATGGGAGTTCAGAAAAACAGTGCGGTGACGTTTTCGAATAGGTTTGCGGTGTTAAGCTTGGATGATGGGAGGGCATAAGGATGGGAACGAGCACCGACGGTGTGAATTCTAATTCGGTAGCGGTGGCTTCTCGAATGCGACAGGACGTCGTGTTCTGTGAGACGATGGGAGTTGAACACGACGCGCTTCTCGTTGAGCATTCCCATGCTAGACGACGGAGGTCTGCTGTCCACTGACTATCGCCAGGCTGCAACTGTGACGGCTAACTGTGACTGCCAAGGAGTGGGTCCGGGGGCGTGGATGAGTACTCCCTCGGAGGAGAGTAACGAGCGGTTCTGTGGTGGAATAACACGGATCTCGGGGCGCAGTCCAATGTGCCTTTTCTTCCAACAGACCGTCGGTGCTAGATTGTGCCCGATTGTCCGGCGGCGCTTCACTGCGCAGGAATGGTGCGGGTGCGCCGTCTAGCGTGTGGTTTGGTACGGGAACAGCATGCCTAGGGAGCTTTCCAATCACGAAGCGCATACCATGGTTCTCTGCAACGTCTGAAAATAGTTCACAACCTGGGAGAAATTCTCCATGGGCCATATAACCCATGCGTCTTGTTTTGCGATGTCGTAACGCAGTAGGACAATCGCACTTGCATGAAGTCGCGCTAACTCGACGCCTCAAGGAGATTGGTCACAACCACAAGGAGCTTCAGGGGTCGAGGACTGAAGCTTACAGCTTGTGGCCCCCAAGAGAACACCGGATCGCGTGCCGGTGACGCCCAGGGTTGACCGGGAAAGGGTGCGCCGGCCATAGATAGGGTCGTTTTCTCAGCGCAATGGCTACATCATTGTACCGTTTGCAGACTATCTATAATAGCGATCCAATTCTCGCCGTCATATTATTCTTTTCAAACGTTGGTATTGGCACTGAAAAGCCTGGGGTGCGCGTGGAAGACCTTCATGGTGCCTGGCCGATATAGCCCCACGTGACTGACCAATGCCAGCCAAAATACTGGCTGGAGGATGTGTGGAAACTTGGAAGTGCCCTAGGGCGCACCTTGGATGATCCTCTGGGATCATCTCTGATCCTCTCTGGTCCTTCAGGATGAAGAATCCAGCACCAGGATCGGCCAGGTCGAAGGTCTAATGAGGGAGAATCTCCCCCGCACGTGTCAGGCACCCTTGGGGCCACCCTCTGCATAACCAATCAGCTCAGTCAGCGCGTCTCCACTAATTTATGCGGGTCCCGTTTAGGCAATTCGGTGCCTTGGTTATAGTTCCGCCCACACATCCTTCGTCCTTCAATCCTCTTACCTACCCTTGGACCATGATGCTCCCTCCTTCTCCACTCCATGGGGGACTTCAAGCAATGCAACCCTAGTCAGGGCGCGGATCGGCCGGTCAAGGCCACCGACCGGGTATTTAGACGGCCTCCCTCCCGTTTCCTCGTTCGTGCGTCTGAACTCCCCAGCTCAAGGTGTTTAGTATCGGTACTGTACTTGTCGATTCCTAAGCCAACATGTTGCCTCAATCTCTCCTGGCCCTCGTTGGAGGCCTATCGCTAGCACTGGCCGCCCCCACGTGCAAGAAGCGCATTTCCAATGGCGACAATGGCGGCAATGGTGGCAATGGCGGCGATGGTGGAGGCAAGGATGACCCCTTCTCGCCGGTGTCTAACGTGAAGGGGTTGGCTTTTAATCGATTTGTCCAGGTCTGGATGGAGAATAAGGTATGTTCAGATGCATCTTCTATCGGACGAGAGGGGGATGGAGGCCATAATAACAGCCCGCATCATGCAGGACTATGAGGACGCCGTCAAGAATAAAGACTTCGCCGAACTCGCGAAAGAAGGCTTGCTGTTGACCAACTTCTATGCCCTGACCCATCCCTCCATGCCGAATTACATGGGCGCTGCCGGTGGCGACACCTTCGGTCTGGACAATGACGAAAATCTGAGTGTCCCCGCCAACATCTCCACCATCGCGGACATGTTCGACACCAAGCAGATCTCCTGGGGCGAGTACCAGGAAGACATGCCCCACGTGGGGTTCCAGGACGAAGATTACCAGAACGACGGCGAGGACGACTACGTGCGCAAGCACAACCCCCTGATCATGTATGAGTCGGTGACCAAGGACGCGACGCGCCTCCGCCAGATCAAGAACTTCAAGCACCTCGACGACGACTTGCAGCAGAAGCGCTTGCCACAGTTCAGCTTCATCACGCCCAACATGACCAACGACGCGCACGACACCGAGCTCGAGGAAGCCGCTGGCTGGGTCACCGGCTTCCTGAAGAACCTGCTGCAGAACGAGTATTTCAGCACCGATACGCTGGTCATGCTCACCTTCGACGAGAACGACAACACGGACATCGGCAACCAGGTTTACACCCTTCTGTTGGGCGGCGCCGTCCCCCAGGAAATGCGCGGCCAGACGGACGACACCTTCTACACGCACTACTCCACCATCGCGTCCCTGGCGGCCAACTGGGGCCTCCCGTCCCTGGGCCGCTGGGACTGCGGCGCGAACCTGTTAGGCTTGGTGGCCCAGAAGACCGGCTACGTCAACTGGAAGGTCGAGAATACCAAGAAGCTGATGCTCAGCGAAACGAACGAGGGTCCGCTCTCGAGAGAGGATGGAGGCCATTTTTCGGGCGAGTGGCCGGCTCCCTTGACGGAGGCTCAGTGCTCTGCTGGACACGGCATCTTGCCGGTGGTTCAGAAGACCTGGTCTGGACACAAGCCGACGTTCAACTACCTCAGCCCCGTGCCGCATGACTCCAAGAACGACATCAACATCGGTGTATCGTATAGCCGAACTCTGGTAAGTGTGCTCCTGTCATGACAGATCCAGTGCTTGGTCCACTAACCGTCTCGATAGAAGGGAACGCAAGAGAGCGGAATCACCAAGTAGTGATCAGTCGGGTTATGAGTCATGAGAGTTGTAAATGATATAGTGAATCACTTCGAAACAACGCCGAATAAATGAAGGACGTGTCATATGAGACCATCAACCTCTCGAGCACGATGTTTCCATCTGAATGATGGATCATGTCGCTTAGCCACTCCCACCTGTCAAATAAGCACTAATTACATGAATGAGTGGACCGCGCCAGTAAGCGCGCTGCGCAGTAATCTCCATAAGACCATGGTAACGGTCGTCTTTCGGACACCCTTAGATTGATTCTTTGATCTCTGACGTTCACTAAGGATAGCAGCAGACAGTTCCCGGCTGAGGATGAGATGCACCAGGCTCGTGCAGCTCACCATGAGGCTCTTGCCTGGCTACTTGAATTTGAAGCTCAACGCCTAGCTATACAAATAGCAAGACCCAGTGGACGCCAAACATCACCTCAAATGGTCAACATACCTCGTCATCGGCCACGTTAGTTACTCGGAGTGTTTAAATACCTGAACTTGAAACCATCGCCAATATGAAGCATCATACAGCAGATTTACGTGATCAATCACTAACTAATGCCGATCTGGCATTACCAACAATGGCCCCTAGCTTAGCTTGGTCAAGATCTCCACCTCGATTCCTTCGGGGTTCGAAAGTCCGGACACTCGAAATACGACAGGTCCCAAAAGATCCCTGCAGTGGAAACCTTTCAAATCCCAAGAGGACCATTCAAGACCTTTCACACCAATGATTTCTTCCCATTTCCAGTGTTAGACGGGGCGTGGTCTCATCCTCCACCGCTATTCCACCCTAATTCTCCTGCCAAACCTCCCCCATGAACGCTCCACCCTGTCTAGCCAGTGGCATCGTTTTATCTTCAGCGGGGCGTCCACAATACCCAGTCCCGAAGTCCTAATTGATAAGGGTTTCAGGGATCTTAACTTTTTCGGGTTCATAACAGCCCACTCACGTCTACGGGCCTTCCAAACCCCGACGGCTCGAGCATAAAAATACCATCTAATAGCCATAGTCTCCCCGCAATCATATTATACAAAACGGGGTGGAGCCCAGTCAGCTTTCCTCCTATAATCCCCAATTGATTCGCATTGCACCGGATCGCTACCATGGGTCTGGTTCAAGGCTTGGTCGAGCTGCTCCAGCTAGCGGTTCAGTCGCCTCTCCGGCTGGCGATCTCTATCGCAGCAGGTCTACTCTCGTATATGGTCGGGTTGGTGATTTACCGACTGTATTTTCACCCACTGGCGCGGTTTCCGGGTCCGAAGTTGGCCGCTGCGACACGGTGGTACGAAGCGTATTATGATCTCAAGGCGCCGGGGGGGCAGTTCATGTTTCACTATCGCAAGCTGCATGAGCAATATGGTAATTCACCCTTTCCGGAGTGCAAGATACAGTCTCACTACAGTGAACCCAGGAAGGAAGAAAAGGCTAATAAGAACAAGGCCCCATCATCCGTATCAGTCCGTTCGAAATCCACATCCAAGATTCCTTTTTCTACGAAGACCTGTTCTCGCAATCCCTCCCCTGGGACAAGGGACAGCACCTCGCACACCGCTTCAACAACCCCACCGCCACCTTTGGAACCCCCAAGCATGACGTCCATCGTCTTCGTCGCGCCGCGCTGAACCCTTTCTTCTCCAAACGATCCATCGCGCAGGCGGCGCCCATGATGCAAACCCAGGTGGACAAGCTCTGTGACCGACTGCGCCGGGAGTATGCCGGGACAGGGAAGGTCTTGCAGATGGACTGGGTGTGGGGGTGCATCGCGTCGGATATCATCGTGCAGTACTGCTTCGGCGAAGGGTATGGGTTCCTCGAGGCGCCCGAGTTCCGGTCGCCGTTCATCCATGCGCTGGTCGATCTGCTGGACGGGGTGCACGTCGTCACGCAGTTCCCGATCGTCACAGAGCTTATGAACATCTTGCCCGACTGGCTCGTCATCATGCTGCAGCCGCGGATGAAATCCGTGATCAATTTCTTCAATGTCCGTTGAATCCTTCCATGCTTTGTGGTCCTGTGTGCCTGAGCCACACAAGGGAAATACTGACACCCACATTTTTCAGCAACTCCAACTTCAGATCGACGAGATATTGCGCAACAAAGACTCCGTGGTCAAGAAATCCGATCAGCGCAATGTCTTCGAGGCTCTGCTTCAGTCCGACCTGCCGCCGGAGGAGGTGTCTCGACAACGTCTGCACCACGAAGCCACACTCGTCGTGGGTGCCGGTTTCGAGACAACCAAGTACACCCTCACCCTCTCCAGCTTCCACATCTTCAGCCACCCGCACATTTGGAAGACCCTGCGCCAGGAACTAGAGACCGCCATTCCCGATCCGGCAAACCCGCCGTCTCTCACAGACCTAGAAAAGCTGCCCTATCTTACCGCCTGCATCCAAGAGAGTACGTCTTCTCAACACCTGCATAATAATTAGATGAAAAGAGAAGAAAAAACTAATAACGCAAAGGCATCCGACTCTCCTACGGAATCCCCGGTCGCAACGGCCGCATCTCCCAGACCTTCCCCCTCACCTACAAATCCTGGGTCATCCCCCCGGGCACTCTGATCAGCATGGACAACTACGCCGTCGCGCACGACGAGGCCATCTTCCCCGACAGCTGCACCTTCAAGCCTGAACGCTGGCTCGGCGACCCGCTCGCGCCAGACGGCAAGAGACTTTCCCGGTATCTGGTATCGTTTGGGCGCGGTACACGCTCGTGCCTGGGCATCAACCTTGCTCAGGCGGAGCTGTACATCGCGATGGCGAACGTCTATCGCTCGTTTGAGTTCGAGTTGTATGAGACGGGGCGGGAGGCGGTTGATTGTGCGAGGGAGATGTTCTTACCGCAGCCGAAGCCGGGAACCCAGGGAGTTCGTGTGAAAGTGCTTTGATTGACCGAAGGTGAATCATACATGTTTATCCTAGTCGAGTAGCATTTGGGATGTGTCTGCAGGTATAAATGCGACCGGTGTTGACTGCCGATGATATACAATTTATATTTATATATCTAAATGACTAATCCACATAGCCCTAACTCGTGACCTCGCGACCTTCTTAACAACGACCAGAAAAGCCAGATGTATAGAAAAGTAAAGAGACAAGGAAGAGATAGCAACTATGTATCCCTGCTCACCATCTAGTACTGCAAATGCACGGTTGGCTCCACTCTGCCAGGACCAGGCTCCACTCTCTCCACCAATCCGGATTCCCAATCCCTTCACCAACCGAGTCTCCCCCGCGCATTCCTGCCTCCATCCTTCCACCGACAACTGACCAACCTCGACACCGTATGGCGGTTCCTACAACTCCAATATCATGCCCCCGAAGAAGAAGCTTCGGACTGAACCGATCGTGCGCGTGCGAACAGGCTGTTTTACCTGCCGTCGCCGCAAGAAGAAATGCGACGAGTCCCGCCCCGCGTGCGGGGGATGTGTGCGTAATAAGTTGATCTGCAACTGGCCGTCGCCGAGGAGGGAGAACCCGGATGAGGATGATGCTGGAGAGGATCTCCTCCCGCATCTATCTCCGTCGGCGAACCGGGACGCGTCGGTGTCGTCTTCTCCCCCCGATTCTTCCTCCGCGGGATTGACGACCAGTCCTGGCGATGCTGTCGTCGAGGAGGAGATCCTGGCTCCCCTGGTGCCTGTTGGATGTACCCATCCATCACCATCATCCGACAGTATGGAGCCAACAGGCTCATGCTGGCCCACATCCGTCAGCACCATCCTCCCCCGCAGCCTATCCATGCTCCCCGGCTACAGCCCAGACAGCTTCGAGCTCCTCAGCCACTACCTAGCCACGACGGCCGACTGCATGGCGAACGGCTCCACGCCCGTCAACCCCTTCCTAGTGCAGATCGTCCCGCTAGCCTTCACCAGCGACCTACTCCTGCAGCTAGTCCTGACGCAGAGCGCCGCCCACCGGGCCTTCCGGCGCCAGCGCGACCACCACCAGCAACACCAGCCTGACGATGCCGTCGCGCAAGGACACTACACGCGCGCGCTGCGTCTTTTCCGCCGCGGCGTCACGGACTTCCTCGACGGGAAGGAGACGAACCCGCTCATGCTAACTGTCGGTGCGCTTGTTATGTGTTTCACTGAGACGGCTAAGGGCGATATCACGGGGACTATATTTGACCACTTGTCCGCGGCTAACTCGCTGCTGAGTCGGTTGTTGTCGCTCAGTGATGCTGCTGTTCCTGCTGAGCTGAAGGCTTTTGTGATTGAATATTACACTTATACTGCTGCGACCAGCATGATCTCCATCGATGCCCGGCTCAGCGCACAGCTCCTCCTCGACTTCGACCTCGAACAACGCGCCCGCCAACTCTCTGACAGGCAGTACGTCGGGAACCTCTGCGGCTGCTGGATGGAGCTGCTCCTCCTCATCCCCTGCATCTTCGACCTCGGCCGGCAGTGGATGCGCAACGATGCCGAAAGCAATAACAACAACACCAATAGTAACAACAACAACCGCCCCCCCTCCGCCGACGACATCGCCATGTACGGCTCCCTCCAAGCCCAACTCACCCGCTGGACACCCTACCCCTCCGTCAGCCACGAAGTGATGCTCGCAGGCCGCATCTTCCAACAAGCAATGCTCCTCTACCTCTACACAGCACTAACGCCATTCTCGCGGCGCGATGACAGCAGCCCCACATCAACCGGACTGGTCGGCATGCACCGCGCGCAGATAGACGCCGCCGTGTTGGACGCACTGGCCTACCTTGCGCAGCTGGACGCCACCGCGCGCATCAACTCCGGTCTCTGCTGGCCGATCGTCGTCGTGGGGTCTTGTCTCGCTGACACCGCGCACCAGGACTCGCTGCGTCGGAGACTAGTCGCTATGGTTGAGCGGTTCGGGCTCGGTAATATGCAGCGGACGCTGCTTCTCCTTGAGCATATGTGGCGGGTGCCGCCTGATCAGGCCGGGCCGTGGAATATCTGCCGGGCTATGGAACGAACGCAGATCTGGATCTCTTTTGCTTGAGTCATTTCATTGCATTTGGGTCTATATACAGGTTCGTTATTGTTATTATTACTATCATGTGATGGGTGTCTAGCTGCCGAGGTTCTTGGGCGCTTCGGCGGCGGGCCCCTCGGGCGTCACGTAGGCCTTGGTCAGGCCGCCGTCGACGACAAAGTCGGTCGCGTTGACGAAGCTGCTCTCGTCGCTGGCGAGGAAGACGACCGCGTGAGCCTGCTCGATGGCCTCGCCGAACCGTCCTGTCGGGAAGTGCACCTCGCGGCGGAAGCGCTTCTCCTTGTCGTCGCCGAGCCAGTCCTGGAGGAGGGGGGTGCTAGGTTGGTCAGTACAACCTGGAGGTGAAGAAGAGGAGGTAGAGAAAGAAGGGGACATACTTCAGCGGCGCGGGACACAGCGAATTAAAGCGGAATCCCTCACGGGCATGCACAATCGCCAACTCGCGAGTCAGCGCCAACACAGCACCCTTACTAGCCGTATACGCCAACTGAGGCGTCGCAGCGCCAACAAGCGCGACCATGCTCGCAGTGTTGATAACGCTAGCACGAGCCTTCTTGTTCCTCCGGAAAGCCAGCACCGCATGCTTGCAGCCGAACCAGACGCCCTTGACGTTGATGTTCATGGTCATGTCCCAGATGCGCTCGGGGGTGCTGCTGGCGTCGCCGTCGTCCGCGTGCATGATGCCCGCGTTGTTGAACATGATGTCCAGCCCACCCCAGCTGTCGAGGGCCGTCACGGCCTCGGCGACTTGGTCTTCGTTGCTGACGTCGACGGTGCGGGTCTCGACGCGGCCGGCGTGGTTGGGGGCGGCTTCTTGCGCTTTGGTGATCGCGCGGGAGAGCGCCGGGGCGCTGATGTCTGTCATGAGGACGGAGGCGCCTTCGCGGAGCATCAGGATGGTGGTTTCAAGGCCGATGCCTCTGTTGGACTGTTAGTTATGTGGATTGGCGGGGGAGGGAGGGGTGGGGGAGGAGGTACCCGGCGGCGCCGGTGACGATGGCGTTCTTTCCGGCGAGTCTGCCTGGCATGTTGCTGTATTGATATGATATAGAAGTACTGAGGGTGTACGTGTGTAGGTAGATAGTAGAGTGTAGAGAGAAGAAATGAAGAGTGTTGGAATTGAAGAAAGAGAATCTTATAAAGGAACCAAAGTGGGGAGCCGGACGATAACAGCTCCCCGATAGCGATAACGCCGCGGTCTCGGAGCGCGCATCTTTCCTCACTTCCCCACCACCACTACCCACCACTCAACTGAGCAAGAGAGGGAAAGAAAGAGCCAGAATGACGGGGTAAACATCATACGCATAGAAATGAAAGGCCACCATGGCCACAACCACCACCCACTCGATGTGCGTGCGATACCAGCGCGACCAATTGCCCACCCGCCCCCACCACACAGACCGCAATCCCCCGCTCTCCTTCCTCGCCGACTCCAGTCCCGGCAGTCCATCCAAGCTCTGCGTGTTCCACTCCGCTCGGTATCCCTCCAGCTTGCCCACGCGGTTCAGTCTCTCCGCTTCCTTGAGCCAGGTGTCGCGCGTTGCCAGCGTGGGGGTGGGCTTGTCCGTGTCGGGGTCGACGGTCAGCGCCAGGCGGGGGACGCCAAAGCCGCAGGACGTTTGGACCTGTCAATATCAGCCAATGCCCAACTCATACAGCAGGAGCCATAACATAAGTGGAACTTCAACGTAAGAAGAGAACAGAGGGGAAATAAAAAGACGAACCTTGAAAATATCCAAGACAATCACCGCCCTCGCCCCAACCAACACCTTCCCGCTCAACCCCATCCTCTCCACAGCCCTTCCAAACGCCCCCTCATCCCCAGCCTCAACCACCCTCCCCGTGCAAAACAGTCGCAGGATACGGGGCGTCGTCTCAAACGAGCAGAACATGACCGTCAACCGGCCGTTCTCGCGCACGTGCGCGATCGTCTCGTTGCCGGACCCCGTCATGTCGATGTAGGCCGCTTCGTTGGGGCCCATGATCGCTAGCGAGGTGTCGGCCATGCCCTTGGGGGACATGTTGATGTGCTTTCCGCGGAGGGGCGCGCTGCAGACGAAGAAGACGGGCTGCTGGGTGGCCCATGTTGTGAGGCTCGGGGTGAGGGAGGGGTAGAATGTGGGCATTTTCTTTCTTTTTTCTTTTTCTTAACCTTATTGTTGTTTTGATTATGATTCTGATTTCTTCTGATTCTGATTCTGATACTGGTTTTCCGGGAGCTGATGACTCTGGTGTTGTGAAGAAGTCGTGTTTAGCAGAGAAGACTGGCCGTTGGAAACTAACGCGCGGAGTCGACAAGGATTGTGCAAGGCTGGAATCCTGCATCTCGTATTGGCCTATTATCTAGATGACTACCCAACGTAACTTCATATCTGATTGGATCAACCCTGCTTCTCACGAATGTGGAAGCTCTTCAGTTTGTAAAACGCCTCAAACGCATGCGGTCCCAGCGTGCATCCCAGCCCCGAATTCTTCCATCCAATCCATGCCAGATCCTAGTTACCCTCGTTAGCAAGAAATATTTTATCGTAGAAGAAGAGAAACGTACCGGACTCGGGTAATCCGCCCGGTTGATATACACCGTGCCGGCCTCGATCTCCTCGATCAGCTCCTCTCCCCGCGCGATGTCCTTCGTCCACACGCTCGCCGTCAGGCCGTAGTCGCTGTCGTTCATCAGTCGCACGGCCTCTTCGTCCGAAGATACCTTCATGATCGGCATCACCGGCCCGAAGGTCTCCTCCTTCATCACTTCCATATTGTGGTTCGCCCCCGTCAGCACCACCGGCGCCAGGTAGTTGCCCTGCGCGGGGGGGTTCGCAAAGGTCTCGTTCGCGGGAGTCACGTCCTGGGCTCCCTTGGCCAGGGCGTCCGCCACATGTGCCTTGATGTTTTTCAGGGCGGCCTGCGAAATCACCGGGCCGACCGTGGTGCTGGTCGCGGCCGGGTCGCCCAGTTTGTACCTGTCCACCCGTCAGCATCTACAAATACACACAATCCATCAGATGGGTCACGTACGATCCCAACTCCTTCTGCACCTCCACCACAAACGCATCATGCACATCCGCATGCACATACACACGCTCGATCGCACAACAACTCTGTCCCTGGTTAAATACGGCCCCGTCGACCAGCTGCTCCGCGACGTATTTCAGGTCTGCGTCCGGCCGCACGTACGCCGGGTCGTTGCCTCCCAGTTCCAGGTTTACAGGGATGATGCGCTTGGAGGTCGCTTCGCGGAGGCGCACACCGCCAGCGGTCGAGCCCGTGAACGAAACGAAACTGATCTCGGGGATCTGGACCACCGCGTCGAGGACGTCCGGGGACCCCACGTGGAGGAGCTGCAAGACGTTGGGCGGGAACCCCGCCTGCGTGAAGTATGTGTGCAGGCGCTCGCCGACCAGCGGGGTCTGCGGGGATGGGCGCAGGATGACGGTGTTGCCGGCTAGAAGGGAGGGGAGGAGGGTGTTGATTGTTACGAGGTAGGGGTACTGTTGGTGTTAACCATGGCTTTGACGGCGGGATAGACAGGCAATGCTCACGTTCCAAGGGGTGACCAGGAGTGTCACTCCCAAGGGCTTCTTCTTCAGGAACCGTCGAAACCCGCTCTCAGGCTCGCCCTGGTAGTTCTTGAGGCTCTCGTCGGCCTTGCCGATCAAGTACTCCGCCCGCTTGAGCATGGTCTCGACCTCTTTGATGGCAAACGCGATGGGCCGACCCATCTGGGCGCTCAGCTCCTGCGCCAGCGTCTCTTTGTTGGCATCGACGATTCCCAGCGCCTTGGTGGCAAGGGCCTTTCGCTCGTCTAGAGAGCTCTTCTTGAACGATTGGAAGGCCTTGAGCGAGTCGACGGCGATCTTGCGCGCATCTTCAACGCTGTGTCCGGGGTGCTCGAACACGGACTTGTTGGTGGATGGCGAGAGGGTTACGATCCGGTTAGACATTTTGGATATATTTTAAAACAGAATACCAGTATAGATCAGTAAAATGGTGGTGGGAGAGTTGGCGGGGAAGAGAGTTATAAATTCAAGTGGGATGGATGGATAAGGCCGATAAGACAGTCCAATGTGGCGCGGTCTGAAGTGGGGAAAAGAGCGCGCATCGGGTGGAGCTCTGGTGGGTTCGATGACACAGCTGTTCCCTCTTCCTGTTCCTGTCTATCTATTCTACCAGTGTCTAAATTCCATTGCTAATGCTTTCATAGCTCCTGCAGAATCAACTGACAAATGGCCTTTCCGACCACCACGCCGTCGTGGGCCTTGCCCACCCGCGCCAGACCGTCTCGCGACAGCTCCGGGTCGAATACCCCCGCCGCCGTTCGCATCTCAATCAACTTGGTCTCGACGAACTCGTCGTATTCCGGGTGTCCCTGCACGGTGAGGAGACGTTGCGGTTGGTACAGTCCTTGAACTTCGCAGAGCACACTCGACCCTAAGTTGACGCATTCCTTGGGGACTTCGATTACGATATCGCGGTGCATCTGATGTAGAGACTGCGCACTCCATTAGCCCCAGACATTGACTTCAATTCTCATCCACCTACCAAGGTATCCCTCTGGAATAACTTCCATCCAGCCTCGCCCAGCGAGATGGGAAGGACGGCGATCTCCCAACCTGCGTCGCTGCGGCCGACCCGCATCCCCAGCGCGCGTGCAACGATCTGGTGCCCGAAACAGATTCCAATGATCGGTGTGTCTTGTTGCGCGTGGATGCGCTTCACGTAGTCGGTCAGACTGAGGATCCAGGGCTCGTCCGACCATGCGTCATATTCTATGGTCGTCAGTCCAGGTGCATGCTTCTCGGGTCAGACGACGTACTGCTGCCACTCAAGAGTAACGCATCGAACTGCTTGGGGTCGGGATAATTTGTGTTGTTCACCACATCCCATTTGCTGATTTGTAGCTCCGTCTCGCTTTTTCCAAGTTCTTGTAGGGATGTGCGGAGGAGGCGCTCGAAGAAATCCCCGTAGGTGCCATAGCGCTCTCGGAGGGGGTCGATAGGAGTGTCGCACTCGAGGACGGCGATGCGAAGGGACATGGTGACTCTTGTATACTGTCAGAATTAGAAATGGCGATTAGCACTGGTTTAGAGCATCAAGTATGAGAAGACTCGTGGTTGGATTCATGTGGATGGCACAACCACCGACCTGACCCGAGGTTAATCGCTTTTCTGACACCTCGTCTCGAAATAATTCATTCGATTCAATTGAGTAATCCGTTGGTCCCTCTTACTCAACCACATTCTGGAGACATCCATCGATCCAGTGGATGAGGGGAACCCAGACCGATAAGATAAGCGCGGTCTTCTCGTCCCCACCGCGCTCTCCGTCATTCTCCCCGCCCGTTTCCTGTCGCGTCATTCGGACAACTTCGTCATGGCCAGAAACTAACCGCCGCCACAAGATGTCCACCCTTTCTATTTTTGACGTACCCCGTAGTCCACTCCCCCGCTGGTCCCTTTAAAACCACCGCCGCGACCGTCGCTACCTCCAACTCCCTCGCGTTCCAGTATACACCCACCCTCACAATGTCGCAAGTCACAGTTGAAACCCTCCCCGATATCCTCGCCGATGACATCAAAGTCAAGGTCGCCGGCGTTGACTGCGATGGAATCCTCCGCGGCAAGGTCATGTCCAAGGAGAAGTTCCTGGGCATCGCGCAGAAGGGCTTCGGGATGAGCTCCGCCGTGTTTGGCTGGGATATGCAAGATGTGCTCTACACGACCGATGCGCGCATTGCGCCCCCGGAGTCGGGGTATGTGGATTTTATCGCGGTCCCTGATCTGGAATCCTTCCGGCGCATTCCCTGGGAGGATAATATTCCGTTCTTCTTGGTGCGCTTTGTGCAGAACGACAAGCCTGTCTGCGCGGACGGGCGGAGCATGCTGAAGGGCCTTTCCGAAAAGCTGGCCGGGTCGGGTTGTCAGGCGATGGCTGGAGGTAAGATCCGCACTATCCATTGGGATTGAATGGGTGCTGATCAGCACAGTCGAGCTCGAATTTATGAACTTCCAAACTCCCTCCGAAGATGGCTACGGCGCCAATGCCTCCCAGACCCGCGATCTGGCCGCCTTCCTCGAGAAGAATGAACCCCGCGCCCTGCGGCCCATCACCGGGGGTAGCTTTTCCTACAGCGCCACGCGACCGGTCGCGTTCAAGAAGTTTTTCTACGATATTTTCAACACCAGTGCCGAGTTCAACTGCGGGATTGAGGGCTGGCATACTGAGGGCGGGCCCGGGGTGTACGAAGCGGTGGGTATCCAGCACATCGGAGACAAAGTACCAGGCTAATTCAGAACAGGCTCTCAAAGTCTGCCATGTAAACGACATGGCCGACAAAGTGGCTCTATTCAAGTATGCCTCCAATCCCCTCCCCCTCGCGCTCCTCCATCATCTAACCCCAGTAGGCTTCTCGCTAAATCCATCGGAATCGAACACAACATCACCCCCTGCTTCATGGCCAAGCCGATCCAAGGCCAACCAGGCAGCTCCGGCCACATTCACGTGTCGCTCTGCGATCTCGAAGGCCGCAACCTGTTCGCCCGGGACACCCCCGACCCCAACGCCCAGTGGCCCGACTCCGCAGGCCTCTCCGATCTCGGCCGCCATTTTCTGGCGGGGGTGCTGGAAGCCCTCCCGGACATCATGCCGCTATTTGCGCCCACAATCAACTCCTACAAGCGTCTCGTCGAGAACTTCTGGGCCCCCGTCAACATCAGCTGGGGCCTGGAGGACCGCATCGCCTCCATCCGCCTCATCACGCCGCCCGTGTGCAAGCCGGGCGCCACGCGGTTCGAGGTGCGCATCCCCGGCGCCGACCTGCACCCGCACTACGCGCTGGCCGTGATCCTCGCTGCGGGATGGCGCGGCGTCGAGAAGAAGCTCGAGATCTCCGTGCCGCCCATGTCGGCCATCAAGCCCGAGGACCCGCGGCCGACTATGCTGCCCAACACGCTAGACGAGGCCATCCGCCGGTTCAGCGCGCCGGGCAGCGTCGCGCGGGAGATTCTGGATGATGAGTTCGTGGACTTCTTTACTGCCACGCGAGAGCACGAGTTGCGCGTGTGGCGCGAGGCAGTCACCGACTGGTAAGTTTGCAATCTGAAATTCGATAGACGAGGTCGCTAACAATTCATGCAGGGAGTTCAAGCGATATATCGAGACTGTATAGGCTATTGGTGCAGGCGGGCCAGGCGCACCTCTTCTTCATGTAAATAGACATTTCAATCATTATTCTATGACCTTCAGTATCTTTGTATATACAAATGTCAAGCAATCACGATACACTCAGACTACCCAGTCCCAATATCGGGCTATCAATACAAGATTCATCCTCGGTAGATATTCAAGCAGGAGCAACAGCACTACCACCCTCCCTCAACAGGACATGCTTTGCAAACCACCCATGGTCATAAGTCCGCACTATGTCCGTAAGCCTCAGACACACTCTCTTTACACTTTTCTCCAAGTGACAGTCATCCAACCCCGTGACCCGGTCTAGCCAGCCGGCGGCATACATTCACCTTCCTGATTCGGAAGCCATCCTGCCAGTGACCATCTTTACAACACATGATATATATATTAAGGTAAGAATACCCTGACAACAATTGGACGTGATAGCAGAGTGGGATTTAGCCCCACACTTAGTTCCCCGCGTCAGGTATTCGATTCCCTGATCGTCCTCCATTGTTGGGGCAGTGGGGGGTGTGATGGGCTTTTTTTAGGATGGGTCTGTCTGGCTTGGTTTTGGACTGGTCTTGTATGGGGTAGATGGGGTTCTGTGAGTGCGGTTGGCTTTCGGGTTGGTTTTGGATCAATAGTGGCTTCTGTCTGCGGATGGACGGGGGGTTGGTGTGTCTTGGTGTTGAATGTGAAGCTGATAGTGGTATACTTGTATACTGCACGGGGATGGCGTTCCCCACAGAATATCTGATCACAAGCTAGATGTCTATATCTGATCAGTCAACTGTATCTTATGATAGAATAGCAGTCTGGTTAATTCTATGTTCCAATATGTTTCAAGGTATTCGCAGCTTGAATCCTTTCTTGACATATCACCACATGAACATTCTCCATCGTCTCCGATCCTCTTGTCACGATTTTCTGACAACATCAAGAATCCTACCCTTCCAGTCATTCCACCCTTCATAGCACATTCCATAGAGATAGATTCCACCCTTTTCTCACGTGGTGTCCATCTGACCGCTGTCTCCTCAAAATCCACCATTACTTCTCGTAATAGATTTCATTTCTGCACCAAGAATAGAACCCTTACATCTGTGCCCTTTTCGTTCGTTGACCCGTTGCAGTATGCTATACGAGGCCCAGCATGCCCCTCACCCTCTCTCTACGGAGTCACCGCTCGGCCCTTGCATGCTGAAAGCAAGGGTAGATCTCGCATAATGAAGCAGGGGAAGATATTAAGGGGCTAACATGGCAGCATTCCTCATCCACAGCCACGCCTCCATCCCCAACAATAGCCCAATAACTCTCGTGCTCAAGGAGAGATCCATCTTCACGAGAAATGCCGATCTCTCTCAAAATACGACCGTCTCCCCACACCGACAACGCACCACTTCTCGGATAGCCATGTCTGAACTCGGACCACCCGACCTATGATCTTGCCAATGCGATATCCGAGCTATATCTCCGACAGCCGGTGTGGTTCCACCGTCATCCTTCCGAGAATGGTGGGGGCATTCACCGTCGATCGGTATATCCAGCTGAGAAGCTGAGAGATGTTTGTAGGACACGAGGTGGATTCGGGGCCTTGATTCGCCCGGGATTTGCATTACTCGAGTTGCAGGATATTGAATTCTGACTGCAGGTGGTATTTACCCCAGAATTGCATCTGACTGGTGAATATGCGAGTTGAAGGCAACTTCAAACAGATCTAACTCGCGATGCACTGCACCAGCACCATGTGCAGCAATTGTTGCACACCCTCTGCTTTCTATTTCCCAGTAAATCTCCATCCCCTCATTGTATACAGTTCAACCTCCCCTGCAATACTCCCCAGAACCTCCATCTTGGCAGGGACACCAGCCACGGGGGCTGCATTTCTGTTGAGGCTCGTACTGGCCACCGCAGATCATCGACGATCACCGTCCGCACAGTCCAATCAAGCCTACTCTGGGCTCGTATGCATGGGTGGATACCTATTTTTAGGGGCAGTTTTAGATTTGCTCGTTTTGGTGGCAATTCACGATTCCTGTACAGCAGGATCGTGGTTATCGTGATGCTGCTTATTTTAGAGTCGAGATTTGGGGGCCATTCGCCAGCCTTTGCTCTCCACAACGTCAATTCTCCCATGCTAGACTAGACACGAGATGGTAGACGGAGATACGAAACGATTGACCTCGTATACTGAGTGACTTCTTGCCGATCGGTTATTTTCCGGCCCCGGGACCTGAATATGTGCAGGAGAGCAAGGGAGAGACCTACCTACGAACACGAGATGGACTCGATGGGAATAGAGCTGAACCTCACAAGCACACCAAGTAAGGTGATAGACAGCGTTGACATAGTCCTTTCTATAGACTCAAGATGCCTTGATCCTCGAATATAAATACCCCCTTCCCATCCACCCTTCCCTCTCTCTCATCATCAACAACAACAACAGCTTCACTTCCACTTCCAACTCCAATCCAATCAATCCACTTCACTTTCAAGACCTCCGTCTTAAACCAAACCAATCAACCTTCAAAATGCAGTTCTCCACCATCTTCCTCTCCGCCGTCGCCCTCTTCGGCTCCATCTCCCTGGCTGCCCCCGCCCCGGTCGCCGAGGCTGCTCCCGCTCCCGCCCCTGAGGCCGAGGCCGAGGCCGAGCCCGGCGTCATCCTAGCCCGCTCATCGTGCCAGGCCGGCAGCATCTTCGATGCTGGCGATGCCGCCTGCAGCGCTTCTGTATGTGTCAACAAAGACATCCTTCTTGCTTTTCTCCCTGAGCATTCAAACTAACTATATACGCAGTGCATTGCCCAGGGCCAGGGCTTCCACGGCGGCTACTGCTCCAAGAAGGCGTGAGTACTTCCTTTTCTTTCCCTCTTTCACCATGTCTTCGACGACAGCATACTAATGGCTGGTTTTAGCGTCTGCCACTGCACTCACTAAGCTGGCGATTGCCTGCGCCTGATCTCTTATTGGAATGGGGGAAACGGTACTAGAATGGGGATGAAGGGAGAGTGGTAGAAGTGGAATGGGGGGAGTGTCTTTTTACCTTCTTGATTTGTCTTGGTCATTCCTCTCGAGAGTTGAATTTTGTCCTTCTTTTGTTTTTGTTTGTCTTTTGAATACAACTTCTGTTCCGGTTCACACACCTTGCATTCTTTCCAGTAGTTTGGGTTGTATTGGTGGGTTCTGGGTTTTTTGTAGTCGTTTTTCGGTATGTTGGATACACATTGACCATGATAACACACAGAAAGTAATTGGAAACCAGAATTTGTGTCTAGACCTATGTCTGGTTATGGTTTGTGCAGTGGTAGGATACGGTAAATAATCGTGGCATATGGCCCGAGTCGGTAGTATTCAAGATATTGGATATATCAGAGGACGGCTATGCGCTGTGCGTGATTTGGTAGAGGCTCTGGGATGTGCGATAGATGTGAGATTTGCTGCGCTGCATGCAAAAACTACGGCGAAATTTGTATCCCTGTTTTCATGGCGCATGGGTTATATAGCTGTAGAGAGTGTCGATAGAAACAGTCGAGATGGTGATGGTTCTGACAATGCTCTCGGAGTTATAGAAGGTTACGATCTGTATGAAGATCCAGGAATAGAACTGGTATGTTAGATCCTGTAGAAGATTTAGAGAATATACCTAGTTGGTTTGCTATGGTGTTGAATTTGGTAGTTATATATATCAGTGTCGGTCTAACGTTACCAAGTCGAAGAACAGGAAAAAGGCCAAAAGTAAAGTACAAAGAGATGGAGATATAAGTAGTAAGTTAGTCAATGGAAGAATATCCCCAACAAGTTCAAATCAAGTTAAAAAGAGATATACTTGCTAATCGTTGCGTGGCGAGAACTACACAGCCGATTTATTGCAGAAGGACAACATTCTGTAAAAGTTGGACAACAATCTACTAAGAAAAACATATATCACAACTGAAGGTCCTGTGGTCTAGTGGTTATGACGTCGGATTCTGATTCCGTAAGCCCCGGTTCAATTCCGGGCAGGACCTCACAACATTTCTTTTTTACATTTTTACTTCTTGGCTTATTCTTTCCCTTTTCTTTTTGATCAACATAGAACCAGATAAATGTAATGGAATAAAATAGGCTGAATATCGATGATTCGTTCAATGGACAAGGGCCAGGATGACAATCGGAAACGAGGTTGCATCGAGGCCCACCTGATTTAGAAGCTTCGCCTGTTACAAAGTTCTGTACTCCCTGACCTCGACCTCAACCTCATATCCCGGTCACCCTTGATCCAACCACTTCCCAGCTGCTTCCTCCATGTTCGCTGAGTGAACCCTCACCGGCTGCGATGAAACGCGGTCATGTCTCTTGTACAGCATGTCTCCTCAATCTACGGGGTCGACCGGGAACCCGAACTCCAAGATGAGATCACCGAGCAGGGTTCCACCCTGGAGCATATGGTTCCCATCGGTCGCAATCTCAGCTACGATCCCCTCCCTCAACCACCGTTGCCTCCGGTGGATGTAACTGCCGTTCCACCTTACAAAGTCTCCGCTGCGAGACGAATTGGTAGGTTAAATTGCTCCATACCTTGGCTCTCTTCTAATGTGCCCTAGCCCAGGTTATCGTTACGATACTTGCATGCTGGCTCGCCTCGGGAATCGTCTTCGGCTTCGCGGCGCTCAAGCCGGTCTTGATCGAAGAAGGCGTCTACCGCAGTTTATGTACTGAAGAGGAACTGCGAGATGGCGTCGAGGTTTGCCATGAGCAGGACTTGAAGTGGGTGTTTCCTTCCAGCTCTTATCGTCTACGTGATGACGTCAATATCAGGATCGACTAACCCGACCAGACTGAATATGTTCTTCACCATTGGTTCCATCACAGCCAATATTTCCGCTCTCCCAGTCGGGGCGATGCTTGACCGGTATGGTTCTCGCGTCTGCGGATTTGCCGGCTGTGCCTCTCTAGTGGCAGGTTGTTTGCTTATGGCGTACACCTCCTCTGTGGACCAGTTTGATGGCTACATCATTGGCAACTTCTTCCTTGCGTTGGGAGGCACTTTTGTCTTTGTCCCATCGTTTCAGATCGCCAACGCCTTCCCCAAATATGCGGGCACCATCGTGGCCCTCGTTACGGGCGCTTTCGACGCCTCAGCTGCGGTGTATCTATTCTACCGCCTCCTGTACGAAGGGAGCCACCGGACGTTCTCTCTCCACAAGTTCTTCTTGATCTATCTGTTGGTCCCGGCGTTCATTCTCGTGTCGCATCTTACTATCATGCTGCCGGCGGACTATCAAAACCTATATCATCTCGAAATCAAGATCGAAAAAGCCGGAGACCCAACCCGGGACGTCCATGATTCCGACGATGAAATCGAGTCCGAGGCGGAGCGCCGGCGCGTCCGCAACGAACGCGCATCGCGGCGACGCGATCGGATGCGCAAGCTGGACGAAGTCCTAGGCGATGAGACTGAACGCCAACACCGCGAGCAACAGGAAGAAGAGCGCCATATGGCCAGTGGGGTTTGGGGGGCTCTGCACGGTCTCTCGGCTCGACAACAGATGATAACGCCGTGGTTTGTTCTGATGACGCTGTTGACGGTGCTGCAGATGCTGCGAATGAATTACTTCATTGCGACGGTCCGAACGCAGTACGAGTATATGCTGGGATCAGTCCACCTCGCGGACCGTATTAACCGATTTTTCGACGTCGCTCTACCGGCCGGTGGCGTACTATCTACGCCATTTATTGGTCTTCTGCTGGACCGCCTGAGCGTCCCTGAGATTCTGGCATGTATCGTCGTTCTGACGACGGCCATCGGCGTTTTAAACTCCGTCCCCACCATGTGGACGGGGTACTTGACTGTTGTCCTGTTTGTGCTGGTCCGACCGCTCTACTACTCTGCCATGTCGTAGGTCTTCACCCCATCTTCTGCTCTAGCTCACTCAACTTACTCTCGTATAGAGACTATGCGACCAAAGTATTTGGATTTGCCACCTTTGGCCGCGTCTACGGGACGATCATCTGCGTCTCCGGGCTTGTGAACTTCTCCCAGTACGGTCTGGACTCCCTGACGCACGGTCCCTTTGCGGGGAATCCGATGCCAATCAACATCTTCTTTGCGACCGCGGGGTTTGTCATCGGAACGGCACTCGTGGTGTACGTAGCCGTGGCCGGGCACAAGCTGAAGGCGCAAGAGCTGGCCCTTGCTCAAAATGAAGAATGGAGGCGATTGATTCCGGAAGAGGACGAATACGAGGACTAAGCTGGGATTGGTGGGGAGAGATTATATTGCTAGGCGCCTGGATAGCTGTATATTAGATGATTGATTGGTTCCAACCTAATATTCTTAAATTCTCCTCTCTGCCAATAATGGTACTTGGTCTACGAATCCTTGGGTGGGCAGCTAGGATCTTTTCCATGGTATCGTTCCCCTGCTGTCAAGGATAGACTGGGTTGGTGCAGGCATCGAGCCGTCTCACCCGACTCGGTTGTCCTCTATCTTTTACGAATTTCTGGACACTGTCGCTTGGAATGGAATCTAAGACGCATATCTATAGTGAAGTTAGAAAATAAGTACATAGAATGTACACAGGACGTACCAACAAAAGCAAAGGTCAAACAGTCACGGGGCCCAGCCCAACAAGGTTAACTACCCCGACAAACTTTTTGATTTAGTTCAATCCTGCAACCGAACTTTATCCAGCCTGGGCACTTTCTACCCTGGACAGACATCGCTTCGCCTTAACTTAGAGTTACCTCGGGATCGAGCTGCCCAGAGATGCGCGGATTTAGTCCCGTTACGTTTGTTGTGCTCGATTTTCGCTCTAGAAGAGAAGGGAAAGTTGTGTACGACAGGTTTGTCTGCGTTGGTGACACGGCATGCAAGCTTTCTGTTTACCCCTATCTAGATACCTTACAGTGATACAGCCTGAGAGGTAATACAGATCGCTGTCTCAGCCGGTTTATTTATTCAATCGCATCTCAGATTGGAAAATATGAGAGGTTCACCTTTCGAGTCCAACGGTTAGGAAGAGACATCCGAGCACTGTCTGCTTAGGATGGTGGACGATATGCCGAAGAAAGTATAATCACTTCGGCAGTGGAGTTCCAAGCCCGAGGGATATGAGATCCTTTGTTTTGCTCGGTCTCCTCCGACTGGTTGGACGAATGGCGAGGGTGGGTGTGGAAAGAATTGGCAACGCGCTGTCTCCAACCGTCTATACTTGCCTTGGGGGGAAGGAAATAAGACAACACAGAAAAGCCACCCCGTATGCAACGCGGGAGATTGCGGAAAGTGTCGTCGCATTCGAGGAAAGTCTTTCGGCCTGGCCCGTCGAGGAACGGGTACATGCTTCAACTCTGCTTCGAGAGGAGTGACGTCTGTTGCACTGCAGATTAGGCCCAAGGCTGGGGTCAATAGGATCTGTGGTAGGAGATACAGACAGGTCGGTCGGGCGGTTGCGATGATTCCTGCTGTTGGATCTAGCTTGAAACGACCGAGGGGGGGTGGGTTAGTGTACAGTTCTTTTGATCTGACGCGGCCCAAGACCAAAGCCAAGCGCCCCCGCATACCTTCTAGTGGTTCCATCTAGGCCAGTCCGCGGCCACGGCAGTCTTGCTCCTTTCGGACGACTCCGACCATAATCACGATAAATGGAGGCGGAGAGGGCAAAGCGAGGACTTGCCAAGGTAGCCAAGGGGGTGACCTGATGTCAGTTCTGTCAATTAGCGTGTTATCCCCGCACGCTTCCTGTCTTTGGATCTCTACTTCCCCACATTTTCTACGCTCCGCCGTGAAAAAGCCGGGGAAACAGTGGGGCTGGTCTTGCTTTCTCTCACCATAGTCTCGCCTCTTGCCCCCCTCAACCAACGGGATTGACCGGTAGTTCAGATCAATTGCTCCTTTGGCTCGATATGTGAGGGGGGTTGGTTTCCTTGGAGTGGGTGGATAGAGCTGGACGTTGCTAGGTGTTTGTTCCACCTGTAAGACGATGTCTTGTTTGTCACACGCTGGCGACAGCTTACCCAACGGCAGGGATATATAGTTGTCCTCGGGGCAAGTTATTGCGCGTTGACGATTTTATTTCTGGTCGATTTCCCTCCTCTCTTTTCTCTTCATCCGGTTCCCTTCTCCCTTCCCCCACCCATTCTACCTGAATTTTGGCGCGACCAGCCCCGACGGCTCAAGATGGGGACCTCAATTGACGAGAAGAAGGCCTCTAGCATTGATCAAATTGAAGATCTCAATCAACGTGCCCAGAATGAAGTCAACTACGACGAAGAATATACCCCCGCGGAACAGCGCAAGATCATTCATCGCGTCGACCGGCGTCTGGTCACGATGACGGGGCTAGCATACTGCGTGTCGCTGATGGACAGGACAAACCTGAGTATGGCGCTAGTCGCGGGGTAAGCCAGCTTCTTTCTACCAACACACTCGATACATTGTTGACGAGTGGCCGTGAGACAGCATGAAGAAGGATTTGAAACTTGAAGTCGACCCACGTTATGTTGGTGCCTCTGAATTCTACCACAGCTCCGCGTGAGACTGACTGACTGAATAGTCTATCATCGTCTTGATGTTTTTCGTTCCCTATGTTATCTTCCAGCCGCCAATGACGGTCATCACGCGGAAACTCGGCCCTACCATCTTCTTGGGAACTATTGTCATCTCGTGGGGTGCGATCCTCGTTGTATGTATCTCACTGCGGGTGTCAATTCGGAGCTAACACCATCGGTAGGGTATGGGATTCACGAAGGATTGGGGAGCGATGACGGGATGTCGTGTGCTGTTAGGCGTGCTCGAAGCAGGTGGGAACTAGCAATTTGTCAAAGCTAGACGCCATACTAACGAGTTATCTCGGCAGGATACTTCCCCGGTTGCGTCTATCTGCTCTCGAGCTGGTATTCCCGGTGTAAGTTCGACCAATCGTGACCGCGCCCCAACAATGCGAAACGCTGCTGATAGTGACAGATGACGTGCAAAAACGCTTCTCCATATTCTACCTTATAGGCTGTGTGGCGTCTGCGCTCGCGGGTATTTTGGCCTTCGGATTATCGCAAATGCATGGAACTCAGGGTATTCAAGGCTGGAGGTGGATCTTCATCATTGAGGGCGTGGTATGTGGATACGGACCTTAAAAAGAGAACGTCAAGATATGCTGATAGCGTGGAGATCACGGGCGTGATAGGCATCCTCACCCTCATCTTCCTGGTTGACTTCCCCGACCGCGCACATAAATCGTGGAAATTCCTCTCCGAGAAGGAGTGCGCATTTATCGTGCGACGCATCAATCGCGACCGTTCAGACGGTGACAACGAGCCCTTTAACTTGAAGAAGTTCCTACTTCCTGCCCTTGACTTGAAGATCTGGGGATTCGCGGTGATATTCTTGTAAGTTCATATTCCGCAAGAGATATACTAGACAACTTTCACCAACCAACCACAGGTGCACAACAACAGGCACCTATGCCATCGCATACTTCTTGCCCGTCATTCTAGGCGGAATGGGATACGACGCCGGACAATCTCAGTGCCTCGTCGCGCCCCCCTTCGGATTAGCAGGCATAGTGATGTTTTCGACCGCCTGGGTTGGGGACAAGTATCGCGTGCGAGGCCTCATCATCATCTTCAACTCCGTGCTGTGCATCATCGGCCTCGCGATCATGGGATTCGCCGAAAACAACCCCGCCCGGTACTTCGGCACTTTCCTCGCTGTCGCGGGGTGCAATGCCAATATCCCCTCTTGCATGGCTTACCAAGCCAACAACGTCCGCGGCCAGTGGACTCGCGCGTTTTCCAGCGCCACCTTGGTTGGATTCGGTGGTATCGGCGGTATCATCAGTAGTGTGGCGTTTCGCGAGAAGGATGCGCCCGGATACCGGCCGGGTATCTGGACAACTATTGCGTACGCTGTCCTTCCTAGAAGTTTCTTTTTTCTAATTAGAGAGAGCTTTTGCTGACTACTGACAGATGCAATCTTTTGATCCTGGTCGTCGTGGCCGCGCAGAGTCTGTGGTTCCGGCGTTGCAACAGGCAGGCGGATGAAGGGAAGCGCGTGATCGAAGGGTCTGAGGACTTCCGATATACGATTTAGGACCTTTTTTTCTCTCAGTCTTTGTCATTTGGCATTTAGGGGGTCTGTCGACATGGTTTTCATGTGTTGGAAAACCATGTGTTGGTTTTAGGTATTGCGGCTATATACTGATGCAGTCAATACTACAGACGGACTATTGCTACCATTTCCTCCCGTACTGATTAGACGAATGACTGTCGTGGGCCCTTGGTACAAACTGTCACCCAACTTACGAAGCCACCAGCCGATAACTAGTCAACTAACCAACTAGTTGAAAGTGACACGGACCTACACTGGACTATACCCCATATCAAACATGGACAGCCCTCAGCCTCCAACCCCCTGCCATAACCATGATCAGGGAAAGTACCTCGGCATAAACTTCCCACCGGGGATGTCACAAACCCAATACGAGCCTACGTAAGGTTCCAAACGAACCCTCCTCGCTATCGGATACCCCAGTCCAACTAACTAGGTCAGCCGTTGACGAGCTTTGAGCCACCGGTACACGCAAGCCTGTAGCGTTGTGCCAGAAACTGGATAGCCTAATCCGATTGCGGCTTCCCCGGTTTGGATTAAGGCCCTTTGGTGGCTCTGTGCTATGGCGCTTCGGATGGGAGGGATCCCGATGGGTGTTGTGATTGTTACGCTCTTGGGTTTGGGGTTTGAGATGGGTGGGAGGAAAGGAGGGATGCTGTTGGGAGGTGGTATTTCTGGCTAGAGGAGCTCGATTTTCCTTTGTGAAGGTGAAAGGGCGGAGTTGGCTTTGGAAGATGTCTGGTTTGTATCGGCTTAGGGCACGATATCTTCTTTGAGGTTGGAGGTTTTACCTGGTCTTTCGCTTCGACATCTCGCATTTTACTTGGTCCCCAGTGGCTGGCCGATTCCAACCATGAGCATGAGGTACTAACAAGTGTGATTGGCGAGCGATATAGCAAATATGCCGCATCCCTGTCCAGCGAGCTGTACCCCTGATCACTGTTCTACCCTCGTACACACCAACAAGTGGGGAAGGAAAGGCAGAAACAACCCACAATGATGGATATCAGATCAACAATATGTGTCCCGTCAATAATACACGCCGTTATAGGATGCTCATGGAGTTGATTGGTTTGTGCAAGTACGAGGTGCATCAGCCACCACTCTAATCCTAATCTAAATGCGTCACTTCGCCAACCCTAAGAGTGGCCCTCGCATTCAAAACCGACTAGGGATCCCTTTGTCCTCGTACACGGCGAACCAAGTCATTGAGCTTTCTTTTTCCCGCGAAGGTTCTTTTCTCTCCTACGCTATGTGTTCCCTGCCGTTGGAGATTATACAACACATGACCAGCTTGGTAGTTGTCTGTCCCATCGAATTTTCATTCGTCCCACTGATCAGATAGTTATAGGTTCGAGACTGGTCATCCCAAGACCTTTCGTCGCTCCGCCTCGTGAACCGTGCTTGTTACCATGCGGTAGCCCCCGTGGTGTACGACCGACTGAGCGTCGAGTTTGTCGATTATCCGAGCCTCCAGCGCAGCGTGTCCCAGGCGGGCAGTGGGTTTGGGGGCAAGTATTTGAAGTATGCCCGACGACTGGATGTGAGAGTACTGCCTCAGAAACCAGCCCACACGGCCGGGCAAAATGAGCGACCTCTCGATCCCTTCTGGGATACAGATGTCCCTCTCAGCCGCTGGTTGGACGCCCGTCCCAGCACAGTTGGTCCGTTCATGGAACGGGCCCTGACCGACTGGGCGACCCCTGGAGAGAAGTACGTCACGATGGAGCCGGGCCTTTACGCCGAGGGAAACTGGCTTCCACTAGTCTTGTTGATCGCGCGACTTGAACGGCTGACGGAGCTGCACTTTGTCGCCGCCAACGTGTTTCCGAGCTGCTTGCTTCAGACTATCCAGGAACGGCATCCTCAGTGTCGGATCCATGTCTGGAGCTGCCAGCAGCCGGATCTCAGTGGAAAAAGCCCTGAGATGGTGCTGCCGAAGCTGAAGTGTCCCAAGCAGGAGGAGCAATTTGAAGTGGAGGTTCTTCGCTCGCCGTGTGTCCGCGCGTTGACGCTGAACGCTTCCTTCGATTATGGCGACGAATGCACGCATGCACTGCTGCACTATCTCGCCATGGCCCCGAATCTCAAGCACCTGCGCATACATTCCTCGCTAGATGGAGAAGATCAATCAGACATGGCCGATCGCAACAGACGTCCGCTTGGAAGTTTGAGAAGTGCCCGGCGCCTCCCGGCCATCCCCGTGGAGACACTTTCGTTGACGGGGTCTGCCGACCACGCAGCCATCTTGTTGACGCTGGCCGTGTGTGTCAATCTCTCTAATCTCCGCGCCCTGGAAATGGACAGCGGAACGAACCCTACGGCATTCACGGCTGCCGCCCTCGCCGCCCGGAACCTGGAGAAGCTATTCCTCAACGTCCACCAGACCCCAGGCTCCCCATCCTACGACGTCATTGAAGACAGCATCGTCGCCGCCATCAACGCCCTACAGCCGCTCAAAACCCTCTGCCTGCGATCCCTACGCACCGCCTCCCCCGTCCACCGAGTGGTCAAGCGTCACGGACCAACCCTGCAGACCCTCGTGGTGGAAGCCTCCACCGAAGAAGACCGTTCCTCGCGCGCAGGCGGCTACAAATACCCCCAGCTCCACGGCGGCGAGATCCGCCTCATCGCACCCAGCTGCCCACACCTCCAGGAGCTGCGCATCCAGCTCCGCCGCTCCCGCGGCAGCTGGCGCGAATGCCTCGCCTACCAAGCCATCGGGCAATTCCCATCCCTCCACACCGTCATCCTCGACCTCCACTACGACCCCCGAGACCACCCATCACCCTCCCACCCCTGCGCCCACCACCACCTCCGCGAGGCCCTCATCAACGCCGCCACCGACGGCCCCCTCGCCACCGCCATCTGGGACCTCATCTCCGCGAACCAGCCCTCGCGACGTCTGCGGTCCCTGCGCGTCGTCCCCTTCGGCGCCAGGTTCTTCGCCCCGGGTGAGTCCCTCGTGCTGCAGCGTCTGTCGCCGTCGCTGCTCGTGAAGCGCCCTCCATGTTACCCGCGCGAGCCGCTCCTCGTCGTGGACGTGGGGTCCGCCGAGATGGAGCTCCAGCGGAGAGCGCACCGCGCTGTTTGCCACCTGCCTTTAGATCCTCCCGTACCGGACTCTGTGGTCCGCGTTTTCCATGAACTGTGGCCTCCTGTGACGGAGGGGGGTGATTGGAGGAGTACGCCTTGGAAAAGCTTGCCTCTGGAGGGGTGTCTTGTTCCTTCTTCGTAGTTTTGCTTCCTTCTCCTACCGTCGCTGGGGTATATTCCTTCTGGCTGCTGTGTTTACTGAGCTGTGTCCTTCATGTTGGACTGATGTTATGATCCACCGTTCCACTGATATTGGATGATTCGGCAACAATCGGACCAGTCTGGAGGGATCGGCATGTGATTGGATGGTCGGGATGCTCTACAATGACGTCATGATGGATGTCCTCAGGCAGTCTGTTGACAATGCACTGATCGGACAAGGATCGGATGTGAAGGTGCATAATAGCTTATATTTCTCTTGACTCTATATACTATATTTGATGAGATCTACTGCCATCGGACCCTATGGAAAACACGGGGAAACGAAACAGCAAAGAAGGAGAAAAGCCCCGCGATCCCTCCGAGGACGGCGCATTTCCCGCGGGAAAGCTTATCGGGCGTGGAGAAGAGAGCCAACCCTGGATGTTGATTGGCCAATCTGTCTTATCGGCCGGTTTCCCGCCCGTGACTTCCCCGATGTTTTTTGGTCGCCGTCACGGTGCGAATCACTCCACTCGTTCTTTTCTTTTCTTTTCTCTGATCTTTCTTTCTTCTCTTCTTTTTCTTCTTCTTCTTCTTCATCTTCATCTTCTTTCACTTATTCACTTTGACACGTCTTCCATGTGTTGTTGATTCTTCATTGTTGGGATTGTCTATACCCTCATCTTTCCTCATCTCCCTTCCCCCACCTTCTCCCCCTCCCCCGAAGACACCGGGCCATTGCCTCACATAGTCATGGCTGCGTCTTGGTGCGCCCTTCGGGGTTCTCGACAGCTGGCTCTGCGCACGCGGGTGCGCGTAGCCCCCTCGCCCGTCGCTCTGCGGAGAGCGTCTCCTCTCTCGCCATCCCTTGTTTCTTCCCGCGGGGTGAACACCTCGGCTCCACAGTCGCCGGCGCGTCGACCGGTATACACCAGCTCGGTCGCGGACCACGGCGTCTCGCATCCCCGCGATGTCTTTCAGCCCCTCGATACCTTCCCCCGTCGTCACATTGGCCCCTCGCCGGACGCCGCGCGGGAAATGCTGGCCACCCTGAACCCCCCGGTGGCGTCCCTGGACGAGTTCGTCAAGCAGGTGCTGCCGGCCGATATCCTGTCCCAGAAGGACTTGACGGTGACGCCGCCGCACGCGGGGGCGAACCTGGCGCGGGATAGCGCGCACGGTGGCCTCGGCGAGACGGACATGCTGAAGCTGCTGGAGACCTACCGCGAGCAGATCGACGTCAAGGGCAAGGCGTACCTGGGCACGGGCTACTACCCCACCATTGTCCCCCCCGTCATCCTCCGCAACATCCTGGAGAACCCCGCCTGGTACACCAGCTATACCCCCTACCAGCCCGAGATCAGCCAGGGCCGTCTCGAGTCCCTGCTGAACTTCCAGACTCTGACGGCGGACCTGACCGGTCTTCCGTTCGCCAATGCCTCGGTCCTGGATGAGGCCACCGCTGCTGCGGAGGCCATGACCATGTCGCTGGCGATCCTGCCCATGAACAAGCAGAAGAAGCCCGGCAAGGCGTACGTCGTGTCCGACCGCTGCCACCCGCAGACCCTGGCGGTCATGCGTTCGCGTGCCGAGGGCTTCGGGATCAACCTGGTCATCGGAGATGTCCTGGCCAACGACTTCCAGCTGGTCAAGGACCAGGGCGACAACCTGATCGGTGTCCTGGCCCAGTACCCCGACACGGAAGGCGGCATCTTCGACTTCCAGGCGCTGGGCGACGCCGCCCACGCCGCGGGCGGCACCTTCAGCGTCGCCACCGATCTCCTGGCTCTGACCGTCCTGAAGGCGCCCGGCGAGTTCGGCGCCGATATCGCCTTCGGTAGCGCCCAGCGCTTCGGTGTGCCCATGGGGTACGGTGGTCCCCACGCCGCCTTCTTCGCGTGCGCCGACAAGTACAAGCGCAAGGTGCCCGGTCGCGTCGTCGGTGTGTCCAAGGACCGCCTGGGCAACCGCGCCCTGCGGTTGGCCCTGCAGACCCGCGAGCAGCACATTCGCCGCGAGAAGGCCACCAGCAACATCTGTACCGCGCAGGCCCTGCTCGCCAACATGAGCGCCATGTACGCCGTCTACCACGGTCCCGAGGGTCTCAAGGCCATCGCGCAGCGCATCATGTCCATGACCCTCACGCTGCAGACCAAGCTGGCCGCCTTGGGCTACAACGTGCCCATCAAGGGCAACTCCGCTGACGGCGGCGCCGTCTTCGACACGCTCGCCGTCGAGCTCTCCAGCAGCCAAGAGGCCGACGCTCTGATCGCCGCCGCCCGTGAGCGTCACATCTTCCTCCGCCGCGTGAACCCCACCAAGGTGGGCATCTCCCTGGACGAGACGACGGGCCGGGAGGAGGTCCAGGCCGTCCTGCAGGTCTTTGCCGCGCAGGCCTCCCGCGGCCCCGTCGCCCTCGACGAGGAGATCGGCCTCGCCCCGGTCCCCGCCAGCCTGGAGCGCACGTCGTCCTTCCTCACCCACCCCGTGTTCAACACCCACCACTCGGAGACCGAGATGCTGCGGTACATCCGCCACCTCGAGTCCAAGGACCTCTCCCTGGCCCACTCCATGATCCCGCTGGGCTCCTGCACCATGAAGCTCAACGCGACCTCCGAGATGATCCCCATATCGTGGCCCGAGTTCTCCCAGATGCACCCCTTCATGCCCGCCGACGTGGCCCAGGGCTACACCCAGATGATCGCCGACCTGGAGCAGCAGCTCTCCGACATCACCGGCATGGCCGAGGTGACGGTGCAGCCCAACTCGGGCGCCCAGGGCGAGTTCGCCGGCCTGCGTGTCATCAAGAAGTTCCAGGAGGCCACCGGCGCCGCCAAGCGCAACATCTGCCTGATCCCCGTGTCGGCGCACGGCACCAACCCGGCCAGCGCTGCCATGGCCGGCATGCGCGTGCTCACCATCAAGTGTGACACCAAGACGGGCAACCTGGACCTGGCGGACCTCGAGGCCAAGTGCGAGAAGCACCAGGACGAGCTGGCCGCGGTTATGATCACCTACCCCAGCACCTTCGGCGTGTACGAGCCCGGCATCAAGGCCGCGTGCGAGATCGTGCACCGCCACGGCGGCCAGGTCTACATGGACGGCGCCAACATGAACGCCCAGATCGGCCTGTGCTCGCCCGGCGAGATCGGCGCCGACGTCTGCCACCTGAACCTGCACAAGACCTTCTGCATCCCGCACGGCGGCGGCGGCCCCGGCGTCGGCCCCATCGGCGTCGCCGAGCACCTGCGCCCCTACCTGCCGTCGCACCCGGTCAGCGAGGCCCTCCAGGCCAAGCGCTCCGACCAGGCGTCCCCGCCGATCAGCGCCGCCCCCTGGGGCAGCGCCAGCATCCTGCCCATCACCTTCAACTACATCAACATGATGGGCGCGCGGGGCCTGACGCACGCGACCAAGATCACCCTGCTCAACGCCAACTACATCCTGTCGCGTCTGCAGGACCACTACGAGATCCTGTACACGAACGAGAACGGCCGCTGCGCGCACGAGTTCATCCTCGACGTGCGCAAGTTCAAGGACGCCTGCGGCGTCGAGGCCATCGACATCGCCAAGCGTCTGCAAGACTACGGCTTCCACGCGCCCACCATGTCGTGGCCCGTAGCTAACACGCTGATGATCGAGCCCACCGAGTCCGAGAACAAGGCCGAGCTGGACCGCTTCTGCGACGCGCTGATCGCCATTCGCGGCGAGATCGCCGAGGTCGAGCAGGGTCAGCAGCCCCGCGAGGGCAACGTGCTCAAGCTGGCCCCGCACACCCAGCGGGACCTGCTGGCCACCGAGTGGAACCGTCCTTACACCCGCGAGGCGGCCGCCTATCCGTTGCCGTACCTGGTGGAGAAGAAGTTCTGGCCCTCGGTGACCCGAGTGGATGATGGTGAGTGTTTTCCACCCCTCTCAAACAAAATGATGTTGAAACATTACTAACTATGATGCAGCCTTCGGTGACCAGAACCTTTTCTGCACGTGTGGCCCGGTGGAGGATACCGTTTAGATATGATACCCTTGTTTCCTTGTTCTCGAGAGCGACTATATACTCTTCAACATTTTTTCTTTCTTTCTTGGTTTTCATGGTTTAGGGGTTGGGGGGCATTGTCACGACCGGACGACAGATTCAACATTAGTCATTAGACACTGGGGGGCGTTTTGATTCCTTTACTTTATTGTTAAAACATGATACTATCATGAATGATATACAAAAGTTCCTTAATCAACTTATGTACACTGTTCTATGCTCTGTATAAATCAGGTGACAAACCACCACGTGCGCGGCTAAACCCGGTTGGGCTTATCGCGTGGCCGGATCTAGCCGAGCCTCGGGTGAGTTTCTCTGGTCGTCCGCCCTGGTTACTCTCTGTTATAAACTCCATCCTGGCGTCTTCCCAGCTTCAGGGGTGTCTTGTGTGACTGATTTGTAGCCGGAGGACAGGTCGGTTGAACAGTCCATATCGGGACGTGCATTATTGATAGAGAAGAGAACGGTAAGTGGATCTAGTGGGCCGATAAGAGAGATCCGCTAAACAAGCTAGGTGGCTACTGCTAGTGGAGTCGCAACCCATCCATCCCTTCGAGGCCACATCGTCGTCTCTTCCACTACTCGAGTGTATATCCGTATATAGAGATACCATGGCTGAATACACTGTCTTCTACGGCACCTTTGTGCACCTCCCGCGGGCGACGCCGTCCACGACGAAGCATGAACTGTCCATCCACCACGGCGCGCTGTGGGTGTCTGTCCAGGATGGGCGCATCGAGGGGTTCGATTGGAGCGTTGCCAGCGAGGACGACCTCGTCGCGTTGATGCGCAAGCACGGCTGGTCCGTGGATGGTAGCTCCGGGACAAAGGTTACTCTTGTCAGAGCGCGAGAGGACCAGAATGAGTTCTTCTTCCCGGGGTTTGTCGATACACATATCCATGCGCCGCAGTATCCCAACTCTGGTGTCTTTGGGTCTTCTACTCTTCTTGACTGGCTCAATACCTATACATTTCCCCTTGAGGCCTCCTTCGGCGGCAGCAGCAGCGAAGTCGCACCCCCGCGCGCCCACGCAGCCTACAAGCAGATCGTCCAGCGTACACTGGCGAACGGCACCACCTGCGCCTCGTACTTCGCGACCATCCACGTCCCCGCTACGAACCTCCTCGCGACCCTCTGCCACCAGCTCGGCCAGCGCGCCCTCGTCGGCCGCGTCTGCATGGACAACCCAGCCTTCTGCCCAGACTACTACCACGACGAAAACGCCGCCGCAGGCATCACAGCCACCAAAGCGACCATCGCGCACATCCACAGCCTCCCAGACCCCGACCGACCAACGTCTACACCCCTAATCCAGCCCATCATCACCCCCCGCTTCGCCCCAACCTGCACGCCCCAATCCATGACAGACCTCGCCCACCTCGCCCAGTCGCACACGCCCCCACTGCACATCCAAACGCACATCTCCGAAAACACCAACGAAGTAGCCCTCGTGCGCGAGGTGTTCCCCACCTACGAGAATTACACCTCCGTCTACGACGCCCACGCTCTCCTTACCCCGCGCACGATCCTCGCCCACGCCGTCCACCTCAATCCCGCGGAAATGGCCCTCGTGCGCACCCGCGGCGCCAAAGTCGCTCACTGCCCTGCCAGTAACTCTGCCCTTGGGTCGGGGATTTGTCCTGTGCGGACCCTGCTCGATCGGGGAATCACTGTTGGATTGGGCACGGATGTTAGTGGTGGGTATAGTGTGTCTGTGCTGGAGGCTGTTCGCTCGGCTTGTTTGGTGTCGCGGTTGTTGCCGCATACTTCTTCGGCAGAGAGCGACAAGAACGTCGTCCTCACAGTCGAAGACGCACTCTACCTTGGTACACGCGGCGGCGCAGCTGTCGTGGATATGGCAGATGAGATAGGCGGGTTCGATCAGGGGATGTTCTTCGATGCGCAGCTTGTGCGGCTGGGTGGGGATGTGGAATCATCATCATCATCATCATCATCATCATCATCATCATTCTCCTCCTGTCAGTCTACGACAACCAGTCTATCCTTATCCAAAGATAAAGGCCCGGTCGACATCTTCGGCTGGGAAGGCCCCGTCGATCGCGTCCACAAGTGGGTGTGGAACGGCGACGACCGGAATGTGAGGAGCGTGTGGGTGAGAGGACGGCTGGTGCATTCTCTTGAGTCTAAATCTGAGTCTGATAGGGGTGCTGTGTGCAGGGTGGATGGGAGGGGTGGGAAATGGGCGGAGTGGGTGCTTGGGGGATTGGGTGTTTTGGGGGTGGTGGGTGTTTTTTGGGCCAGGAGGGGTTGAGCTTGTCTGTTCTACTCTATTTATTGTTGTTGGTAGTGTTTGGTTTGTTGTGTTGTGTTGCTGTGTTGTTTAGGCTATCTATTGCCCTTTATAGGTAGATTTATCTGTATATGTCTGGCTGTGGGTTGATGTTGTTACGAGTCTCTATTGTTTACATCCGTTATTGCATCTATACGACATCTAGCAATAGCTTTACAGAAACCAGGATAGTATGTAGTATCAAATCCAACACAGCTGTCTGTAGATAAAGCATACAAATACCTACTACCATCTACACCATCCACCCACACCAGACCTACCCTCAACTCACCATCTCATACATACACACATGTGTGAAAGAGAATTCACTGAAACAGCTCCACACAATCAAAAACCTATGAACACAATCAGCCTCATCCCACAAAGTAAAAGCAACGCAGGTACTCACAAAATTCGGACTCAAAAACTCCTCGCCAGAGTTCCCAGACACAACACTAATCGTGACCGTGTTGTCCCCCTCCACAATCGTCCCCTCAGGGATTTCCACATCGTACACCTCGCCGAAGCCGCGGTATGCGCCGCGCGTGACGCCCCGCGAGTTGAGGTTTGTCGGCGCTGGCGGGGTTTCGCCGGAGAATTTGTTTATCTGGGTTGTTATATTAGCCATCTCATGTATATCTATATATAAAGATAAATTAGGGAAAATGAAGAAAAGAGATATACAGTAGCCTGTGGCCGTCCACCGGCAAAAGAAAGCGTCGTTCCAATCCTTAGAGTAGCAGCACCCGTTTGATCCGACGTCGCTGTGAAACTGATCGTCACAGGGTCATTGACACCCTTGAAGATGGCCATGGGAAAATCGGTTAACTCGGAATTGCCAACTGTGTAGGTTAGGGCTTCCCAGGCGGCCATGCGCTCGTCGGAGGGGTGCATGCGGAGTTGGTTGTCTGCGTTGAGGAAGCCGGTTGGCCTGTTTATTTTATTAGAATTTTCTGTTTGGATTTGTAGTTGTGGTTAACTATGGATGGGCATGTGGGAAATGCGTACTGTCCGTTCCAGTCTCCGATTTTGAAGATCGTAGTGCCGGTTTTTACGGAGCCGGCGATGTCCTTCGTTGTGGTGGACCCGGCTGTTACTGCGACTGAGGTAGTTTCCACGGCGAACTCGCCCTGGTAGTAGACCATGTCGTAGGTGCCGGGTTTCATGGCCGGGGAGGAGAAGCTGCCGTCTTTGCTGGTGTAGGTCCAGTATTGGGCGTCGTCGTTGTGCCTGTTGGGTTAATTTTCTTTCTCAACGTGAGTTATGGGGAGGTAGGTGGAGGGTACCAGTGAATCACCCAGTCGAAGTCTGCGTCAGCCCCTGATGCGGTCCCGCTGACTTTGCCCCTGTCGGCTGCAGGGACGTATCCTTGGATGTCGAGGTTGGCGAAGAAGCTTGTGTCGATGTCGGTTTCTGGGGTCCCGCTGCGGCTGAAGTACATTGAGTAGGGTCCGTGTAGACCCATACGGAAGGGTTCCGTTTGGACGTGGCCCGAGTTCTGAACTGTTAGGATAGGTTGACATGCTGGGCTGTGGGGGGTTGGTAACGTACCATGTACCAGTAGAGCGTGGTGTAGTCCCCTCCGTTGTTGCTGTTGATATCCCTGCGAGGGTTAGCATCTGCTGGCTTTTACTTTATTGTGAGACGTGCGTGCTTACCGGTGGAAAGGGCCGCCGGAGGAGCTTTCGTATTGGTTTAGGATCATGCAGACGCGGTGCTCGCTTCCTGAGACGCCTATGATGGGTTAGCGTCTTAGATTGTGATGGATGAGTTACAGGTTCGTTCATACAGTGGATCTGGTCGTCGATAAATCGCTGACTGGAGTAAAACTTGCTGCGCGTTTGTCCGCCTACGAGGAACTGTAGGCCATTAGTACCAGACAAGACATGCAGGGTAGATACTAGACTACCTACCACATCGGAACCCTCAACGGCTGTGCCACTGGATGTAGTAGAGACTTCCCCGAAGGGTTCCTCGTTGGGGAGCAGCTCGGCATTCAGACGAGCAATGTATCTCATCTCACCAATGGACGGTTCTGCTCGATATCAGTAAATAGATAGCTATTTAGGATCATATGAGGACCAACCTTCAGTGATATGGGTGGCCATATGGATAATAGGGTCACCATTGTGGACCACGAAATACTGCGTGAGGGTATCTGCATCGCACACCACCTTGATATAGTCGCCTGTTTCCTGTCAGAGCAGCACATGCACTGGGGAATTGTCCAACCCACCGTCTTTGGTCGCCGAGACCGTCGCGCTGCCTAGTCCGGAGCCGATGTGGCTCCCTTTGCCCTCGTACTGCAGCTCCGCGCCGTTGAATTTGATGGAAGTGACGTCGCAGCTGGCCCGGTCGACGGTAAATTGGAGCGGGTTGGGTGCATTCGCGTCAATCGTATAGGCGCTATCGGTGGTGATTATCTCAAAGGCTGCCTGCACCCCCGGCACCCACAGGGGGAGAGAAGAGAGGAGTAGAGTTGACCACATGGCAATCTTTGATTATTCCGTAATTGTCCAGCCAGAAGCTTGGGGTCGTCATCCATCGGCATGCTGTCGTTAAATACTCCCTTAGACACGCGGTATTATTCTCACCAGGGGATCGGCTCCACATCTCCATTCCATGTTCCCGGTGTGTATCGCAAACCCAAGACAGAACTACTTTCCACCAATCCCAGGAACATAATCCTCACACGTCTCTGAACAGGGATCGGCCCCAAGTGGAGAGCGTGCGGAATCGCTGCAATCGGTGTTTTATCCCCTGATATCCGAAACAATCTGGCGGATCATCCGTCCTCAAAGCAGTTAGGCGGATTTTTTGAGTTCTGACGAGACCTGGCAGAGACGTGAGACAGACTTTCGGCGTACATATGACCAAGTGCACATACCTGTATGAACCTACCTACGTATATTAGAAGAAAAGTTGTGGGAGAGTTGAGGAGGTTCGATAGTATAGATCGGATGGAGCAGTTGATTGGTGGAAATATTGAAGTTGTGCCTGGTATAAGTTATGTCATGTTCGACACGTGTGCCTGCATTATTCTTCCTTTTCTCTTCATCTTCTCTTCCTCTTTCTTTCTACTTCTCTACTTCTCATCTTCTCATCTTCTAACTCCATCACTTCGTCCTATACTGACAACCATCTTACATTCCATCGTTCGCCCTACATCCGGATTAGCCCCACTGTTGATCACTCAGCAATGCAATGCATTGATTAAGCTGACAGGGATTAGTCAGGAACCATGCATCTCCGAGTTTCCCTGTGGTCAACGTGCCTTCATCGTCTAGATACCAGCTGATCGGGTTTGGTCCCATCAAAAGGTCGATTGGACACCTGCGATCGGGGATAGATCGGGTTGCCTCCCCCGGATGTCGATTGAAAGCCCCGTCGGCGATCTCTATTCCACCGAGCCCCGGTCAGCCGAGAGCAGAACAGCTATGACCCAATCTTGACCTGTCAAAAAATTTCAGTCACCAGACATCCACGTAATGCAAGGGCGCTGGAATCTCGGAACCGGAGAGATTGAAACCAAACAGAGAGATTGACGACGACAAGTCATGGAGAATCTGGATCTTGACCTTCAAACTCGCAAGCACTAACATTTTGGGACTGGATCAGTCAGGCACTAAACCATATCGAGAGATGCTTGCGATGATTAACTAACCCCGCAAGTCCCCCAAGGCTTCTCTGTTTTGCCCTTCCAATCATCTCGGATCGATTTCCATGATGTTCGAAGGAACACCGTGATTCTACTACTACTACGTAGTATACCCCACAAAAGTCCTCACATGTGTGGCTTGTGTCTACCGAGGGCAGGCGTCTTTTTTGTTTCCCCACAAGATCTGACAAGGTGAACGCATAAGCGAGTCTTGCCAATTATAAATAGTAGTATACAACCCGGCACCTCGCTTTCATCTAGCCCGTTCACCGGTCTACTCTTCTCCCCCGGTACCACTGGTCAACCCTGGCGTCATGCTGGCTCCCATCCTCCTCCTCATCGGAGGGCTTTACATCACCTTTTTGATCATCCAGTCCATCCAAAATGCCTACAACCGACGGAGGCTGGCCAAATCCCTCAACTGCCAGCCTCCACCGTCGGGGTCCACCGAATATTGGGGCATCCCGGCCTTTTTGCGCTTGAAAAAGGCCGCGGACGAGCACCGCTGGGTTGAATTTCTCGCCGATCAGTATAAAAGCTACGGTGCCACCTTTCGCCATAACTTCTTGGGCCGCGAGATGATCTCCACCGTCGAGCCGGAAAACATCAAGGCCATCTTGGCCACCCAGTTCAACGACTTCAGTCTGGGCAACCGTCATCGCGAATTCTACCCCCTTCTGGGCGACGGCATCTTCACGCTGGATGGCGCCGGCTGGTCGCACGCGCGGGGCCTTCTCCGGCCGCAGTTCACCCGCGACCAGGTCGCCGATCTTGACCTCATGGATAGTCACATCTCCCGTCTGGTCGAGCTGGTCCCCAAGGACGGGTCGAGTTTCGATATCCAACATCTCTTCTTCCTTCTGACCATCGACTCGGCTACTCATTTCCTCTTCGGGGAGTCGGTCGGTTCCATGGGCTCTTCTGAGCACGCCAGCCTCCTGGGCAAGTCGTCCGTCGGGAACGCCCAGGGCTTTGCCGAGGCGTTCAACACGGCGCAGGAATGGGTGGCGGCGCGATCCCGGGCCGTCGACTTCTACTGGATGATCAACCCCAAGGAATTCAAGGAGGCCAACAAGCGCGTCCACGAGGTCGTCGACCACTACGTGCGCCTGGCCATCGACTCCAAGAACCACCCCGAAAAGCGAGAGCCCGGCCGGTACATCTTCGCCGAAGCGCTGGCCGCCAGCAACGATAATCCAAAGGTACTGCGTGACAGCATGCTCAACATCCTCCTGGCCGGTCGCGATACCACCGCCAGTCTGCTCAGCTCGGCCTTCTTCTTCATGGCGCGCCACCCCAACGTCTGGAACCGCCTGCGCCGCACGCTCATCGAACAGTTCGGCGACTACCATCACCCTCGCGGAGAGATCACCCATGCCAAGCTGAAGGATATCCCATACTTGCGCTATGTCCTGAACGAGAGTAAGCAGCGCCCCCCCCCGGAGATTCCCCAATACTTCTAGATCGCCCACTAATCTCGCCATCCAGCCCTCCGGTTACTGCCTCCCGTCCCGCTGAACTTCCGCGTCGCCAACAAGGACACCTCCCTTCCCGTAGGCGGTGGGCCCGACGGACAGTCCCCCGTCTTCGTCTCCAAGGGTACCATGGCGATGTACAGTGTTTACGCAATGCACCGACGCCAAGATCTCTGGGGCGCAGATGCCGACGTCTTCCGCCCCGAGCGCTGGGAGGAGAACAGTCGGCACGGCTGGGAGTACCTCCCGTTCAACGGTGGCCCGCGCATCTGTCTTGGCCGTATGTCCCTACACACCTTCGTATAAACTTTCCACTGCTAACGTAAAGCTATAGAACAATATGCCCTGACGGAAGCGAGCTTCACGCTCGTCCGACTGATGCAGCGCTTCGATGCGCTGGAGAACGCCGATCCCACGCTGGAGAAGCCCGCGATCCTGTCCAACCTGACTCTCTCGCACGACAAGGGCGTCCAGATCCGCTTGCGTGAGGCGGTGAGTGCGTAGGAGAGCTGATGATTTATATACCGTATTTACTGATGATGATGACTACTATCTAAATACTCCCATGAGACTCTCACTGTATCAATAGATCGTATAAACACACTTGTTTCCAACATTTCAGGATTAGAGACGTATCTAGATCTTCGTGTTAGCTCGCTGTATATCTCTAGGCAGCACTTTCAGTTCTTTCAGTCCTGCACTAGCAGAGGACACGATTTGGTGGTATCACTCATGTAGTCAGCCAGAATTGACCCCAAGAACGACGCCGTAAAAGCAGGATAACCACCTAGTTCCCAATTGTTTCCATGAAGCTATACCGACCAGACGCTAGTCCATTCGTGGCAGACAGGCGGAAACATCCGGCAGAATGCCGTCACAAGTCCAGCCTTCGAGATCACAACGATCGTCTTTCGTCCCTTGCGCATCAACAGCCACATTCCAACCCTTCCGTATAATCCCTCCCTCCCATCGACTCGATCCTGCCCCGATCGACTCGCTATTCCAGCCAAACTAATCCCTTCTCGTGGTCTCCATTCCTACTCCGGGCCATCCCTTCGCAAATCGCACGCTCATTGGACAATCCCGTCCCACTTCTCCCGGGACCGTTTCGTCTCTTTTGTCGCGACATGGCCGGTCCCTCCAAGTCGCCCAACAGGTTCCCCTCGGTGTCTGTCGTCGTTCCCAAGATGGAGATGCCCCTGAAGCAGCCCCCTACGCCGTCTCAGCCTAAGGGTACTGTCCCCAAGGCAGCCGCTCCTCCGCAAACCCAAGCCATCCCGCCCCACAACCACCCGTCCGCCGTCGCAACCGCTCCTCCAAATGGCATGGCGACTCCCATCTCAGCACCGCAGGTTGCACCTCAACCGGGAAACATGTCTGCCCCGGCCGATACACCAATAAGCGAGACCGCGCTCCGCGATTCCGAAATGCAGCTCGTCTCGTCTCTCGCCAAACTCCAGAAACTCGAGACCAGCATCCACCAGCTTCGCGACCTGCTGCCCGATCGTCTGCTGGACCCGTTACTTCCCATCCTCAATCCCAGGGTGCTGAAAGAACGCGCCCTTCCCAAGTCGCCGCAGGCACTGCTCCAACAGCTCTCACAAACGGCGCGGGCTGGCGTCGCGGAGGTCAATGATCTCGGGGCGACGTGGCGCGGAGACGAGATGAAGCCCGTGTGGGATCGGGTTCAGGGCAATATCAGAGAGAATGGTGGGCAGCTGCTGCAGCCGACGGGAATGTGGGAGCGGGATTACAATGTTTTGCTCGAGGAGCTGGAGGCCGAGGAGAAAGAGAGGAGGGAGCAGCAAGCCCGGGAGGAGGAGGAGGCGGAGCGGTCGAGGATCCAGACGATGGAAGGCGGGTGGAAGGCAGTCGTGGACGCGTTTGTTCAGCGGCGGACTCCGGGCGTCAAAGCATTGGTTAGCCAGGAACGGACCGCCGTGGAGGTTGTGCTTGTCAAGGCTGGGATGGCCTTCTCTGTGCGTCCGGCGGACGGGAGTGATGGGAGTGGGGTGCCTGATTGGGAGGTCGAAAGTAAGAGCAAGTCTCAGCCGGCTGTGACGAAGCTGGAGAGTGCCGTGGCGGACTGTTTGAATGCTTGTCCGCGCCGGTGGGATCTGGCGTATTTGTTGGTGGGTAGGACTTCACCGTCTTGGTAAACTCTGGCTAACGGGATTAGGACCTGATCTCTTCATACTCCGATATCAAGCAGCGGCCCTGCGTCAAATGCGGCCAGGTGATGGACCAGTCCGCACGCCTGCCGACTATCCGCCAACCACAGCAGACTCAATCCGATGGACAGACAAATACAGCCTGGGAGGCATATCATCCGAATTGTATCTGACCAAGTTTATTCGAAACGACAGACGATAATAGCACCAAATATACGAACCTACATCAATAAGCAAAAAAGCGACCAAAGTACCGCATAAGCGCTGTCTATCAATTCCCATCCACCGCATCGTGATAACGCAAAGCCGGATACTCCCTACCACGACAACCCTCGTACCTCTCCGGAACGGCATGTCTTTCGTCCCTTAGCCACCAGAAGAGTATCCACCAAAGAAACCCAAGAAATCGACCAATGTACCGCATAAGCGCTGTCCCTCCATTCCCGTCCACCGCATCATGGTATCCCACAGCCGGATACTCCCTATCATGACGATCCTCATCCCTCTGCGGAACTACACTACCTGTCTCACGTCCCTTGTCGATCTGGAGAGACTCCACCCGAGAAACCCGAACCATCCACCAGGAACGGCCCGCACAAGCGCTGTCCCTGCATTCTCATCCGCCGCGTCATGATAACACACAGCCGGGTACTCCCTTCCATGACGATCCTCATCCCTCTCCGGGACTACCTGTCTTTCGTCCCTTGCCCCGCTGGAGGGTGTACTCCAGAGAAAGCCAAACCAGCCCCTCTCTTCTTCTTCTTCCTCCTCTCCTTCTTTGTCATGCTCTTCCCCATTCTCTTCTCCATGCTCTTCTTTAATATCGCCTTCACCACCAGTACCATCGCAATCCTCAGCCCCCGACCAACTCCCCACATCAGGACCGTCATCCCTCCGTTTCAAACGGTCACTCCTCTCTTCCGGAAGACCCAACACCCGGCTGTTGATGGGTCCACGGTACCTCGACCGAGTCGCATCTCTCCGGCCATCCCGACTAGGAGTGCTCTTTTTCTTTGTCGATTCATCGCCCCCGGCGCGTCGCGTCCTAGAGGCAGAGGCAGATTTCCCCCCAATTCGACCGACTTGAATATCCGGGCCCTGGTTTGCAAACACTTCGTAGACTCGCTGGAGCGGGCTCCACTCGAACAGCCTTTCTAGCTTTGGGGTTTTGTCCCAGATCAAACCCCAATTTTCGCTCATCTCTCGCTGGTGTGGTGGTTGTTGATGGTAGATGTAGGGTCATGCGTTTGATAGGCGTGTTAGACGGAGCTTGGAAAGATAATGAGAATGTGGATAGTACTTTGCTTGGAATGGAGAAAGATGGCTGAAAGGCATGTACAGTGTATTTATGTCTGGATATACTGGGATATCTATAGTTTACTATCCATCCATCCATCTGATGGTAAACACAAGGTTTATTCACCTGCCTACATTGTGTATACATAACATACATGTTTGCTATGTATAACCTACATTTGTGTATACAAGTCTTTCTTGGCGGCTTTACCTTCAGATGAGACAGTATGTCGATTGACAGTACTTGCCTGCCCAGCACAAGACAAGAGAAACATATAGATAGATATAGAGAGAGATAGATGGTGAATGGCATTGACAGACCCTGTACGAACAGCATTCAAACAATCAGATAATAACCGTCTATTGATTTAGCGCCGTTGATAGATTTCTCTTTCTCTCAGTAGGCATCTCCGCCAAGCAACGATGTATGGTAAAATATTTGTCAATGTTGGATATCAAGACCCTACCCCCCGCCAATTGGTGTTCTTGGTCAAATGGCCAAACCAAAAAGACATGCTAACGGTAAAGACGTGAGTAGTCTGAATGAGGGAGTCAGATAATGTCTGAGGCTATTTGCCTGATACCTCTTGACTATACTTAGTTTACGGATCTAGAAAGAGATGGCATAGCCATAGAGAAACAGGTACCTACAGACATCGGCTTCTTTATGTACCTTTAGAGCTTTAATTGTATGTTCATTGACATAGTCGACAGAATCTACCGAGAGTATATTGCACTATTAGCTTGTCGGAATCGAAGAAGGACCCCAATTAGAATAGTGCAATGTATACTGTTTGCTGTACTCTGGAGATGAGATTCATATCCTTGTGATAGTCATATTGATAAGAAGACTGGGGATAGCTTAACTATTAGTTCCTTGCTGTTGGGCTGGAAAGTTTGTTTTTATATTATGTTAACACTCTCCTATCTTTGGAACTAGCTTGAAATTATATGGAAATTTAAGTTCTCCCCCCTTCTCTCTATCTTTTGTTGGAGACTGGGAGGGTGGATTCTAAGTGAGATGGTTTGATAGACTACGGAGTAGTTGGGTTGTCTTTGATGAAGTCATTATTGTACTTGTTGACCTGTATATAATAGACTGCTTGTTGAGTCAGTACTGAGTGTCTGGGGAAAAAACCATTGAAGTGGACGTGTACGATGGACTGGAAGTCTCATAGTTCGATGCTGTCTTTGATCAATTTGATTGCGCCTATTTCAATCTGCATCTGTGATCATGTATATATGGTGAGGTCCATTGATGTATATGGAGATCCACAATGGAACATATTATAAACATATAACAACGATTAAATACACGTAGAAAAAAAGAAATAAGAAAGATTATTTGCTAGACCCGCTATGATTGCTTGAAGAAACACTGTCAATCACGGTCCAAATTCAGTCAAACGCCGTCCCAAACCAACCTAATTACTGATCGTTCTCATGATAGCTCAAACAAGTTTCGCTCGAAATGCAAGTGTGTCGCGGTATTGTACCGGCGGGGTAGATGAAGGGGAAATAAATGCTTGTTGTGGGACAGAATCAAGTGGCGAAGACGCCAAAGTCCCCTGCGAACCAGGTGAAGGTGGTGAGGGTGATGGCTGCCATGCCGACGGCGAATTTCAGGGCGGTTCGTTCGGTGTCGGAGAGGGCGCCGTTGCAGGTTGCGCAGACGTGTTCTATTCTTGTCAGTATATCCTTTCATCTGGTTACAGCGGGAAAATAGAAGAACCCACCATTGATCGGGGTGTAGGACTGCGGCAGATACATCCCGAAGTTGTAGCCGATCTGCGAGCCCAGATGTCCGGCCTTGGCCGTGTCGCCAGGCTCCCCATCTATGTCGTAGACGAACAAGGTGTAGGTTGCGGTCAACAGCGGCACCGTGGCATTGGCCTGGTACTTCTTGGTGTCCCAGACGACCTTGCCCGTCTCCTCCACGCTCATGTTGCCCGAGATGGTGTAGGTGGCGCTGTTCAGACTGCAGGACGCAACGACGTTGACGGCGGACGGCGTGACCGAGAGCGAGGTGTAGTTCCACACGAACGTCACATGGTCGCCCACCTTGTAGTAAGTCGTGGCGCGGTTGTCGGGCGTCAGCATGGAGACACCGCCCGCAGGCATGCGGGGGTCGACCGAGGTGGATTTGGGCTTCTTGTCCTTGTCGGTCTTGGAGGGCTTGTCGTCCTTGTCGTCTTTGTCTTCCTTGTCGGTAGGGGTGGGCTTATCGTCCTTGTCGGTAGCAGTGCTCTTCTCCGTGTCTGTGGTGGTCGCATCCTTGTCGGTCTTATCGGCGCTGGATGTCGACTCGTCGTCCTTGTCGGAGCCGGTCTCCTTGGGCTGATCGGCCGTCGGGGTGGCTTCTGCTTCGGCCTTGTCTGCTCCGGTTTCTTCTGTATGGGTATCAGCAATGGAACGGTTTCAAAGCATGGGTGGATACGAACCGGCTCGCGCATACAGCACTTCGGCGCCTGGTCCCGACGAGGCGGAGACAATTCCTACCACGAACAGGAAGCACAGGAGCGAAAGAAAAACAAAGGACCGCATGTTAATGGCTGCCTCCGGTAAGGAGAAGACAAAAATCAGATGTTGTAATGGCCGGGGAAGATGTCCCGAATGGATCGATGGCGATCCTTGGACCCTTATTCTTATGAACAGCGGGTCGGCGATGAACCTGTCGAGATCGATAAATCCAAAGTAATGTCGTGTCGAGTCGAAATTTCCCGGTTGAATGTCAAATCTCTCAGCGAGCGGAAAAGAGACCAAAACTGGCAGACCAGGACCCTTTTCGAGTGGGTGAGCGAAACGCCGATCGGGTGATCCAGCGAACGACCGAATGTGGGGGGGAGTAAACAAAGCGAGCGACTAGCGAACAGGTCCGACGAGATGAAGTCGTCAGTGAAAAGAGGGAGAAACAGACGACACTGAAGACAGGCAGAGAACAGACAGCAGACAGACAGACAGACAGACAGACGATCGAAGAACAAGTCAGGGAAAAGGAAGAGGAAGAAAAAGACCGGAGTGATTGATGGTCGACAGGTGAGACGAGGTCTAGCCCCTTTTGGGCATCGCTGTGAGACATTCTCGATCACGGTCTATTTTTGGCCTCAGTCCATTTCCTTCTTCTCTCTTGCCTGAGTCGGAGTACTTGAGATACTTGAGATACTTGGAATACTCTAGAGTTACATCTATCTATCCTCCTCTTAATGGTTATGTTGGGGTTCCATCTTATCCTTTGCCTGTCATGCCCTGGATCCCTTCACGACGATCACGGATGGATCCCCGGTCGCTTAGCCTTTTTAGCAGATCTTATTGGCAATGAACCTGCGCCAGCAAACATGAAAGAATAATAGAGGGAAAAGGGTATGCACATCTTCCCAGTATGTATCGTTTTTATTCTCTTTTGTATGGTATTTTCTTTTGTATGGCATTCTCTCTTGTATGGTATTCTCTTTTGTATAGGATTCTATTTTGTATGGTGATTATTTTTGGTTGAATCCAATTATCAAATCATAACCATAACCATAACTATAATCAAAAAGTTATATCGAACTATCGGCCCGTTCGCGTGTCAACCAAATTCAATCCAATCCAGTCATCAATCTCGTCACGTATCATTCATTACCATTTACGAACTATAATAGACATCTCCCCGTCCACGATTCACTTCTCGCCACACGCGTCACGACTCCCGGTGGCAAGATCCCGGCAGCCTACTCGGAGAGGTACTCCACCTTCAAGTCGACCTTGGTACAGCTACTCGGGAGAGCAGTAGCTTCCTTGAAGCGGTAGAGGTAGAACAGCTGGGGCTCGTTGTGATACCAGTCGCATACTGTACATGTTTTGTCAGTTTGACCTTTTGGCTGTAATGGACAAAGTGAAAAGTTACTCACCCAGCCACCCGCCAAAACCTTGCTTCTCCGACCATTTCAAGTTGTCCCCGTCAATGGAGAAGGCGCCCGACCCGTATCCCGTGTTGATTTCGACGGGTTCCCACGCTGGAAAATGTTAGTTCCATCTCTTCGAATATACCATGTTCACAATATTGGACGAAACGGAAAATAAAGTTTGAAATAGCAAGATCCGGAGGAACGTACAGCCATAATTATTCGCCCCCCGCATAGTGATACCCCAAGGGAAAGGAGTATCAAAAGCGAACTGGACGTTCGTGCTATTGAGGAAAGCCGGTTTGGCCGTGTCCAAGTCGGCCGTCAGGCCGGCATCGTTGAGGCCCGCGCCCGTGTGATAGCCATACACGTAGAGTCCGTCATGGTCCTGGTTGGATGCGCCCGAGGTCTTCAGGTGAAATAACTTGGGGTCATCGTTGCTCCCTCGGGCTGAAAGAACGGGGTTGGCCGCCACGGCGGACACCAATAAGACGAGCGAGGAGAGGAGCTTCATGGTTGAAGTTGTTTTGGGTGGTGGATGTAAATGTAATTGCGAAGGAGGGGAAGTTTGATCTGGGAAGACTTTTGCAGTGAAAAGCCACCCGAACGAGAGAATGACCCCTAGGCTGCGTGCAGGAACGAAAAGTGTTGCAAAGATGCCGATGCGGATGGGAAGAACCGGGTCCACCTATTTATGGAGGTTGCAGTACGGAGTAGTAGATCTACTGAACTCCTCTCTCGCCACCCTGCTAAATACCGCTGCAGGGCTAATTCTCCTTCAGGGCAAGTGGCAAGTGGGATGCGAAACTCCTGCCTCTCAGATATTGCCATCCAGGGACTGTCCACTGGTTCGACTCGGGAGCTCCGAGATCATCGGTTGCTGGGGTTGGGTTGTGGGGAATGAAGGTACCTCACCTCTACCAGGCAAGGGTGGTTGGTACTCCTCGGTAGGATATAAGTGTTTTTGAGACATGCATCCTCGTTGGCCGTGGACTGGAATATCTGCAAATTCACATACATCTTAACCCAGAGCGTGCAGCTTAGCAGCCTCGCGTTCTTACAGCTCATGCTTGATCTAAGAGATAGACACTTCAGGACAATCATGTGGCACAATCTCACTCAACGGGGGAGGCTGCGAACTATGGTTCCCACAAATCAGAAGCTTGGCGATCATTGTACACCAATTGTCGCTTGAAAGTCCATGGGAGGATAAACCTTCCAAGGCTCTTGGTTCCCTGTTTTGGCATGATCTCGAAGCCTCATGTTCAATACGAGAGATGAGTCTCGCACGAGTCAGGTTGGCCAGTGTGGCGTATCTGCCTGGTATCTTCTGGCGTTGATGCTACAGTTGATACTACAATTGTTACTGAACATGCACCCTTGCTGCTATAGCCAAAGAGAGCTCTATGATACTTGACGTCATGCTCCCCGGTTCCATCCATTGTATCTCCCTACCTTACATCACCCGTACTCGCCACTTCCGCGGGACACGCCTTGACTGGCTCGTGGAGAGTCGCTCAAGTGTGGAAATGGTGCGGACATCTGGAGACACGGCTGGCAAGTGGAACATGGCCCTGGGGAAAGGGCCCAGAATGTGTATCCCGCGAGCCGGTGAATATCTCGGTTGGACGGCAGTAGGGATTGGATCCTACTGGGTCTTTCAAACCATTGAGGGTTCAATATGGAGATGGTCCAGAACTATTCGGGTCATTGGTCCTGTCAACGTATTGTGGTGCCCATGTTGCCCGATTCGACCTATCCCTTATCTCAGTCGCATATCGTTGGGGCAACACTCGATTTAATATTCCCATTACTGTAGAGGATAAACGTCCATTGATCCTAGGCTCTAGACTAGGCTCTTAAGTGTCGAGAATCCCCTGGCCTCTAGAAGGCTGACCCGGATACCCGTGCTGGGCCCGTCAAACTTGAACAGACCTGCCAGATTTATAGGTCGACTCACTCTAAGGATTTTTGGAGTAAGCAGATAGAGGAACAGCTGATGATCGTAAGATGGCAGAAAAGAACTGAGGCGGAACGTCTTCCCGACTCAGGCTAGACTTGGCTATTAGTCACTCTCAACCTCAGCTTTCCTCCATTTCTTCTTTCAGATTGTGACTACTATTGGCATGAACCCCGGGGTACTCTCATGGTGAGGTACGACGCGCTTACAGGTCGCGGAACGATGTGATCTTCCGTTCTTTGATTGCATTGGCTTGGCGTCTTGGGTCTCACGATGGCCGTCAGGTACGGATACGTATCCTCTAGAATCGACCGAGTATAGTTCCATGTCTATCGGGGCCCTAACTTCCTGTTTGGATTTTTAGTTTGCTCCGCTCTGTGTATTAGCTTCTTGATCAGAGTAGCAATCTCTCTCCCAGGACCCAGGGCCACTTGCCCTGGGGTGATCCAAATGGTGCGCACTGCAGATACAGGGATGGGCGAAATCCGCCCGCAATACACAATACTATTGCGGGTTTTCCGCTGGTCAAAAGTCTCATGCGTTACGGGGGAAGGTGACTATTTTTTTTTCTTCCTCACTGGGAGACTGGAGCGAGATTAGCTTCTGCGGTGGCGGGTGACGACTCCACTGCTGGGGCAGATCCTCCCGGAGGTTGGCCAAGAGCAAGCAGGATGTGCCCAGTCTTAGGCAGGTATTATTGCCAGAAACCCAATACCATGAATTACCTCCTTGTTGATGTCCAGATCAATTGTAACTGGAGTTGTAACTTTAGAGATTGGGAGTGGGAGTGTGACATTGGGTGCTGTACAAGGAATCAGAGGGAAGAAATGGAGCTTGGAATTGGCCGTCGTGCTCACTGCTCTCTCCCCCTCTACGGAGTACTCCGCCGTCATTGATTGAGCTGGCCATTCGTCATTGGACCTCGATCGGAATTGCGATCAATTCCTTGGGAGGAGGCGGGGGAGAATATCACCATTCGCCCCTTGGTACCCTTGGGGGCCATGTATGATAATATGAAATATGATCCTTTCTACTCCGTACTCCGTAGTCCTACCAATTTACCACATTTTCCCTCGTCCCTGGTCATACCAGTGGTGAGATCAGCGGGTTAGAGACCTAATCTAAAACCGCATATCGTGGACCCTGCTGGTCGACTGGGTACGACCCCAAGTCCAACCCAACCTTGCCCCAGCCTCAGGCGTAAGTAGTAAGTACCGTGTACTCCGTTATGTACTGAGTTCACACAGGTTGCAAAGTACCCTGTACAAGACAGATACACCCCGATTACTGAGGCATCCGTCATCTCCACACCAAACTTCATCTTTCTCTTTCTCTCACTTCTCTCTCTCTCTCTCTTCTCCTTCCTCTCTTTCCCCCCACCATCTCCTCCAGTTTCAATCAACCCACTTTCTCATGATCCGGGTTTCTCTTTCTCCTTCACTTTTCCTTCTCCCGTCCCTCTGAGTTCTTCTGTCTGGAATTTCCCCGGTTTCTCTGGGGGTTCCAACAGTAGGCACTCCATCTGTTTCCCCCTCGTGTCAGCTGCCCGCATATTACCTGTTGGCATTGGTTGCGACCGCCCTGCGCCGTGCGTACACTGGCTGCCTCGCCCTTGACAACAACAACAACCCCGGTCAATCCACCTCCCCCTCTGCGGCTTTTCTTTTCTCTCCTTCTTTCTGTCTTTTTTTTTTCTTCCATTTTTCGCTTTCTTCCTCAATCACAATCCCGTTCGGATAATGAAGTGCGGCGCAGCTGGGAATTAATACCGATTCCTTTCGCCTCCCATACACCCACTTCCTCCCCCTCTCTCCCCTTTCCACACGTTACGGATTGCATCAGGATTCGCTCGAGGCCCGCTTGGTCTCCGCCTGATTGCGCTACGTGCGTCTACCGTCCCCGCTACCATCCAACACCACTTTTCCTTCCTCCCCTCCCGATCGCGGTGCATGTGCGCTGTCACCCACGACGGACGATCGCAGTCTTTTCTTTTCCCACTCCAACCACACTCGAGTTTTAAAACCGGTATCTGGACAGCGACCAAATCGCGGGGATGGACTCTCAGTGGCACCCCTACCAGGATCCCTTGATGGGGCGTCCTGCGCAATTCAATAACGTGCCCCCCAAATACGGTCAGCCGCAGCAACCATCCCAGCCGCCCGTGGGATACACCTACGAGCCCTTCCAGACCCCCGCCATGGCCTCCAAACCCCCTTCGCTCAGTTCCAGTTCCAAAACAATGTCCATGGCCTCGTCTCCAGCCGCGACCCCGCGTCACCGAGATTACGTGGCCGACACCGACGCCACGATGGAAGACGCCGACCCCTACAATCGGAGCAAGTATCCGACGAGACCCCATCATCAGAGTCGCCCGTCCGCTCAATATCTCCCCACGGAGGAATCGTCCGCCGCCCGTCGGTACTCTCCCATGAACGCTGTCCCACCTGCCGCCGTGCCCTACACTGTGAGCCCGGGCAAGTCGCAGAACGCTTATGCGTTTCCCCCCGTCTCGAACCCGTCTCAACCGTCCCGCCGGTCGCCCACCAGGACGAGTTATGCCTCCCCCCCGCTCGCCTATCAGTCGCCGCCCTGTGAGTTTGTTGCCCTGTGTATACCCTCCAGAACCGTCCCGTTCTTTTAAGCTAACCCGTTCTTGGGGACAGCGGGATCCCGGGCCCCACGACTTCCTCCGTTGCAACCGACAGAAATGAGTCCCGATCAGTTCTATCCGCAGTCGGCCAGTTCGCAACTCAGTACGCCGTTTGGTCATGATGGGCGATCGCCGCGCTCTGGATCCATCTCGAGCCCCCATCTACAACCTGGTCGAGGTCCGGTTCCGAAATTTCAGAAGGTCAAATCGGTTCAGGAACTCCATCCGCGCGTGCATGCGCAGCCGGCCTACCGGCGGGCGCACCCAGAAGGTGGTTTCATCAGCGTAAGTTTCCAAGAACGCTGGCGCTGCTGTGACCCTTCTAACCGTCCCACAGCCGCTTCAAGCGTTGACCTCGTATCTCCCGGCCACGTATCGCATCTGCAACCCTGGATTCAACTACGAGTCGTCCCGCAATCCGAGACGCGTTCTCACCAAACCCAGCAAAGGGGTCAAGAATGACGGTTATGACAACGAGGAGAGTGACTACATTTTGTACGTCAACGATATCTTGGGGAGTGAAGAAGCGGGCCACAAGTAAGTCCATCCCCCGTGTTTTTTCTTTAGTCCTACTGCTCTCAGTTCGCTGACGGTCGGACCAGAAATCGATATCTCATTCTGGATGTATTGGGCCAAGGGACCTTCGGTCAAGTCGTCAAATGTCAGAACCTCAAGACCCAAGAGGTAGTCGCGGTTAAAGTGATCAAAAACAAGACCGCCTATTTCAACCAAAGCATGATGGAAGTGTCGGTTCTAGACCTGGTCAGTTGCATCGTGATCCTGCCTTAACATACGCGTCTGGCTCACAATTCTGCAGCTTAACAACAAGTTCGACAAGAACGACGACCATCATCTCCTTCGGCTAAAGGATACCTTTATCCACCGACAGCACCTCTGTCTGTGTTTTGAATTGCTCAGCGTCAACCTTTACGAATTGATCAAGCAAAATCAGTTCCGAGGGTTGAGCACCACGCTCGTGCGGGTGTTTGCCCAGCAACTTTTGAACGCCCTAAGTCTCCTGAACAAGGCCCATCTGATCCACTGTGATCTCAAGCCCGAGAACATCCTTTTGAAAAAGTTCGTGTCTATTCTTATCTTTGTGTGGGTCTGCCAGCTAACCCGAAATCTTCTTTTCGCTGCAGTCTGGAGAGTCCCATTATCAAGGTCATCGATTTCGGATCGGCCTGCGACGAAAGGCAGACCGTCTATACGTATATACAGTCGCGATTCTACCGCTCGCCGGAGGTCCTGCTTGGTCTCCCGTACGTTTCTTCTCGCCTCTATCCCTCGCCTTAGCGGTCTTTCCACGGCCTATCAGACGGGATGCCTTCGGCTAACCTCGTCTAGTTATTCTTCCGCCATCGACATGTGGTCTCTCGGGTGCATTGTGGTCGAGCTTTTCCTCGGGTTGCCGCTATTCCCGGGATCGTCGGAGTACAACCAAGTGTGTCGGATCGTAGAGATGATGGGTCTCCCCCCAACGTGGATGCTCGAGATGGGCAAACAGTCCGGCGAGTTCTTCGAGAAAACCCAGGACGAGTTCGGTCGAAAGACCTATCGCCTGAAGAGTCTGGAACAGTATTCCCGGGAGCATAACACGAAGGAGCAACCGAGCAAGAAGTACTTCCAGGCGTCAACGCTGGAGGAAATCATCCGAAGTTACCCGATGCCCAGGAAGAACATGAAACCGGCAGAGATCGAGAGGGGTACGTTGTTTTCTCACCCATTCCACCGTGGATATCTGCTAATTATGTCGCTCAGAGCTCAACAACCGAGTGGCCTTCATCGATTTTGTCCGTGGCTTGCTGACCATCAATCCTCTGGAACGCTGGTCACCGCAGCAGGCCAAGCTGCATCCGTTCATCACGCAGCAAAAGTTCACAGGGCCCTTTGTGCCTCCGATGAATCTCAAGTACGCTTCGCTGCAGAAGACCATCCCTCCTGGGATCCAGCAGCAGCAGCAGGCAGAGGCCGCCAGCAAGCAGCGCGCGGCGCAGGCGGCCCATGCCCACACCGCAGCGCAGACTGCTTACTCCATGCAGATGAACCAGTTCCACTCGCCCGCCCACGCCCAGCCACCCCCCATGTACAATGGCATGTTCACGGGCCACCAACAAGGGGCTCCTCCGCCGTATCCTACCCAACCGCCTGGATATGGCCATCAGATGAACCTGATGCCGGGCCAGGTGCCTCAGCCGCAGTACGCGCCCTCCTCACAGAGCCTCTTTGCCCAAGCCACCACCCGGGCCGGTCGCCAACGGGCTTCGACCATGGACCCCCAGAACGGGGGGATCCCCCCGACCATTCAACGCGTCGCCAGCCACCTGGACCCCAACGCTCCCATCCGATTGCAACCGAGTCCCGCGTACTACCCACCGCCCCCGGATGGGTATGTGGACAGCAGCTCTGGCGGGCAGCGGCGCCGAGGCAGCCGTGCGGGTGGCACACGCAATCGGGACTTCATCCGAACCCTCGAAGACGGCGTTTTGGGAGGCGAAGGCTTTACGGGTCAGAACCAGTGGCATTAACAACGTGCAGATGGCCAGCTTCTTTTTTCTTTTCTTTTTGACGGCACCTGGCGGTCCACGGAATACATATATTATCCCCGTCCTCTTTGTACCGGGGGTAGGGGCCGTGCTCTGGGCGCTGTGATCCCCTAGGAAGTATAGCAGGTCCCGCCCCGGTTTGGTCCGAGCGGGTCTAGCCTGGGCCTCCCATCCCACACCCCAGATCCTTGCCTGCTCCCGTCACTCTCAGCAGTGTCCGGAACTTGGTGCCATGATGTGGTTCTCTGTTTCTTTTTCCAAGCACCTCTGGCACTCGCCGAACGTTTTGAGCGGATATGTATCGGACCCATAGAATCGTGTGTATGGAGAGGCCACATGGTTAGGCTGAAAGACGAGTTATACGGGTCTCGACCCCAGGGATGGGTGCATCAAGAATGGACGGACCGTATTTTGCTTTCTCGCCATTCCACATCCTTACTCCCGGCGGTATTTCGAGTGACAGTTTGGTACTGGATCCCGTTCGTCTGTTTTGCAGCATCGTTGATGGTCATTCCGATTAAACCTCGCCCCGTGGACGATCCTTCCGGAATGATGTATATGGCTGTCATTCGGCATAGCCAGGAGCACAGACTTGGAAAGATCTCAATTTATGTTCATTATTGTCGCATTGTCGTGTTGAATTTCATCTTCGCCTTACTGCTGTGTACACGGAAATGCGACGCTCTCTCTTCCTCTCCCGCTGCTGTTTTTCTTCTTCTCGTTTGCCTGCGATTTCTCCGCATCGGACAGCATTACCTCGTTTGGATATTCTCTATCCTACACTCAGACATAGCCAATGCATAGATATAAACCATCTCGCTCGATGTTTGGTTGCCATTGTAGTGTCATTGACGGTCGTTAATGGGCCGATCTTTGATATTTGATTCTTGGGGCAGGGATTGGAGAGCATAGTTCACCATTTTAGGTCAAGATTATAGTGTTACATATACGTGGGAGGGTTAATCATTCTGGTGAGTCGCGCGTTTATGTGGGTTCAATAGCCTGAGCTGGTAGATCAGCGGTGAGATGCTATAGAATATATATATCCAGGATAGCTTCTCATGGAAGACTACGTCGGCATTACGTGGGCATTACGTTCTCTGGGGTCTTGATCGAGTTGTAGAACCAATGCACAGACGTACTGTCTGTTACGACAGCCTTCACGAGCAATACGAACTATCCCAATGAAGATCCCCATACTCCATCCTGTCACGGTAGCAACGGAGTCCTGATAGTGGGGTCGTCTCGACTGATAGGGAGTCCTCTTCTCCTTTTCATCCTTCAACGGTTGGACGTATAGAATGATCAAACTAGAATCGTTACCAATACCCCCCTTCAAATCTTAAAAACCCTTCGTATTTGGATCAACAAGAAGTAGTAGCCAGTATGTATCAAGAGGAAGAGGACAAGCAATCCGAGGGCGATCCTCAGGCACCCACCTACCCGATCCAGTTAGACAACCGCTCGCTTAAATTTCGTGTGTGGTTTGCGGCGGCCCAACCTCAGCGGCTCCCGCAACCCTCACAAACGGGACTTTTTCTTTCTCCAGGCAATCACAAAGAGAGCGCCCCGACATCGACCACTTTTCGCCCTTGCTTACAGGGATTTGATCCGCTGTTTTTCACCACCCCCCCCCATATCCCTACGAATTTTTCTCCCCTAAAACTCGGCGACAAATCGAAGACGAAAATTTCAACCAGCCAACATGTCGCGTTTCTTCTACGGTGGCGGTAGCGACAGCGAGAGTAGCTCCTCCGGGGAGGAGGATGTCTATGATCATGACGAGGAGGAGAAGTCGTCTGATGAGGAGGAGTCCAGCGAGGAGGAGTCCTCGGAGGAGGGAGAGGAGTCTGACGAGGAGGAAGCCGGCAAAGGTGGAGCTGGCGCGTTCTTAAGGGATGTTTCGGAGAGTGAGGAGAGTGAGGATGAGGAGAAGGTTACGGTCGTGAAGAGTGCCAAGGATAAGCGGTTGGAGGAGCTCGAGAGTATTATCAAGTTGATTGAGAATGCTGAGAAGATTAATGATTGGGCTGTTATTTCCGGAGGTGTGTTTTCCCCCTTTATATATGTGGCTCGATCGAATGGTTGAGATATCGTGGTGGAATGTGCTGACTGGGTTGTAGAGTTCGACAAGCTCAACCGCCAAATCACCCGCGTTACTGGTCCTACTCCTCGCGTCTATGTCAAGGCTGTCGCCGATCTGGAGGATCTCGTCAACGAGACCGCCGCCAAGCAGAAGGCCTCCAACAAGAAGATGAACCAGAGCAACACCAAGGGTTTCAACGCCGTCAAGCAGCGGATCAAGAAGAACAACAAGGACTACGCCACCCAGATCGACAAGTACCGTGCCGATAAGGATGCCTACATGACCGCCGTCGAGGAGGAGGCTCGCCCCGTCGTCTCTGCTCCCCGCATCTCCAAGGTCGAGCGCGTCGAGGCCCCCGCTGCCTCCTTCGCCGACGACGATGGGTTCGCGACCGTCGGCCGTGGCGGCAAGACCCTCCAGTACACCCCGGAGAGCATCCTGAAGCACCTCCGTGTCATCCTGGAGTCCCGAGGCAAGAAGAACACCGACCGTCTGGAGCAGATCCGCACCATGGAGAAGCTCCTCGAGGTCTCGCAGACCCCCTACCAGCGCATCCGTGTCTACCTGACCCTCATCTCCACCCGCTTCGACCTCACCTCTTCTTCGTCCGCCAACTACATGAGCATCGACCAGTGGAAGGCCGCCCAGGGTGAAATCGGCGCCCTCTTGTCCGTCCTTGAGAACACCAAGGATTACATCGTAACCGAAGGTGCGGAGGAGTGGGAGGATGATGAGAGGCAGCCTCAGCCTACCGCCGAGCAGCCCGTGATCATCCCTGGCAGCATCGTCTCCTACGTCGAGCGACTGGATGACGAGCTCATCCGCTCTCTGCAGCAGATCGATCCTCACACCGCCGAGTACATCGAGCGCCTGAGCGACGAGAAGCAGCTGTACACCGCCCTGGTCCGTGCCCAGGCCTACATCGAGGGCCTCAACAAGTCCGACAAGAGCGACCCCCGACAGGACAGCCTGAACCGCGTGGTCATGCGCCGACTGGAGCACGTCTACTTCAAGCCCACGCAGGTCGTCAACATCCTCGAGGACGGCGCCTGGAAGGCTCTGCCCGAGCAGCTCAAGTCCGAGATCACCCCCCAGGCCCAGACCGCCGATGCCGCCCAGCTCGTGGAGACCCTGTGCAACTACCTGTTCCGCTTCAGCGACGGTATCATCCGCGCGCGCGCCATGCTCAGCCAGATCTACTTCGCTGCCCTGCACGACCACTACTACCGTGCCCGTGATCTGATGCTCATGTCCCACCTGACGGAGAACATCTCCAACTTCGACGTCACCACGCAGATCCTGTTCAACCGCACCCTGGTCCAGATCGGTCTCTGCGCCTTCCGCGCGGGCCTGATCTACGAGGCCCAGAACACCCTCGGCGAGGTCTGCGGCAGCGGCCGCCAGAAGGAGCTGCTCGCCCAGGGCATCATCCTCCAGCGCTACTCGACCGTGTCGCCCGAGCAGGAGCGCCTTGAGCGCCAGCGCCAGCTGCCCTTCCACATGCACATCAACCTCGAGCTGCTGGAGTGCATCTACCTCACCTCGAGCATGTTCATGGAGGTGCCGCTGATGGCCCAGACCTCGTCGGCCCCCGAGATGAAGCGCCGCGTCATCTCCAAGACCTTCCGCCGCATGCTCGACTACAACGAGCGCCAGGTGTTCACGGGCCCCGCCGAGAACACCCGCGACGGCGTCATCATGAGCGCCAAGCTCCTGGCCGCCGGTGACTGGAAGAAGGCCGCCGAGATGCTCAACTCCATCAAGATCTGGGATCTGATGCCGCAGCCCGAGAAGGTCAAGGAGATGCTGACCCAGCAGATCCAGGAGGAGGGCCTGCGCACGTACCTCTTCACCTACGCCCCCTTCTACGACAGCGTCTCTCTCCCCACCCTCTCCGGCATGTTCGAACTCCCCGAGAAGAAGATCCAGGCCATCATCAGCCGGATGATCTCGCACGAAGAGCTGTCCGCCGCCCTGGACCAGGTCAACGACGCCATCATCTTCCGCAAGGGTGTCGAGCTGTCGCGCCTGCAGTCCCAGATCGTCACCTTGGCCGACAAGTCCATGAACCTCCTGGAATCCAACGAGAAGACGCTCGAGCAGCGCACGCAAGGCATGACCAACGCGTTCCAGCGCGACCAGGGCGCCGGCGCCCGAGGCCGTGGGCGCGGGGGCCAGGGCCGCGGTGGTGCTCGCATCCCTGGTGGCCAGCATGGCCGTCGACCGGGTGGACAGCAATTCGGAGGTGGTGCATTGGGTGGAGCGATCAAGGCGTAAAAAAAAAAAGTGTAATCGCATTACATTCTCCTATTGCATTTTCCCTTTTTTTTTTTTCTCCCTCTTCACTTTGTCATGGTTATAATGGTTTTCTTTACTCTCTTCTAACTTTTTTTTTTTTTTTTACTCAATTTTTTCTGGAATCCAACTGCGTATGATCCCATGTGTATTTGCTCTTGTCCATTTTTGTTTAGGTGCATTGTTCACTGGCGGAGGACTATCGTCCATTCTTCGTCTTTTCTCTTTTCTTTCTATCTTCTTTCAATGGTTTCTTTTCATCATTTGCGTCCTCCCCGAATGTCTTTTATCACAGACTACAGATGAATCTTATGTTTGGAATGAATGAGTGAAATGAAGATTGCTGAGATGGGAGATGACCCAGCCAGTGCGTATTGTGTACGGAGCTGGCTGGCTTGGGATGGTTTAGTGTAGTAGGAGTGGGTATCAATAGAGTGCAGTTTTTCCAGTTCTTTCGCTTCGAGCGGCGCCGTAATCCGCCTTTTTGATACATCGAAAGCTTGAAGTGCCAATGGGCTTCGAGCAGCACATGTTGAGCAGTACCGGGGTCCTCCCCGGAAGGCTTGCTCGGCGCTTGCTTGTTTCCTGCAGCGCATTGACTAACTGAATAAGGCGCGGCCTGTCTCCGCAACCTAGCCATGCTTCCGCACCCACCGACAGGCCTCAGAGGACCGTAGGAATATATATATATATAGCAGGCAGGAAAAAACCCCACAACCCAAAATACAGACCGGGTCGAGACCAGACAGACATCTAAGTCCTCAAACCGACAGAGACTCACCCCATATCCCCCAAAAGATTCTGCGGCGACCAATACTCATTCTCTCCGCCTTGCGCATCAAGCCAGACGAGTCCATCCGCCAACAGATCATCGATGACAGTCTGCGCGCGCGCCTTCTCCCACTTCAGGTTCAGCTGCAGCATAGAGATGCTCACGTAGCCGAGGACTTGGATCGCCTCGAGAACGGTCGCCTGGTCGGTGTTGAGCTCTTTGGGGATCGACCGGATGTATTGCTTGTTTCCTACGGTTATGATGGTGAAGCCGGAGCCGAGGGGTTCGAGGGATTTGACGGCGCGGAGGACGTCGTCGCTGTTAGTTAAAAGTCTCTGTCAGCTGTGCGTTTCTTATCCCCCAGAAAAAGAGGAAAAGAGAGAGAAGACAGAGAACATACTCAGTAACCTCCAACCCACTCCCAATCGCCCTCCCCTTCCCCACCCTCTTCCGACACTCCTCCACCCCAATCAACCCCCCATTCTCACTCCTCGTGCTCAAACACAACTCCACAACCCGCACCGCAACCTCGAAGTAAAAATCATTCATGTCGCCGCCCATAATCTGCGTCCAGAAGCTGGCGCTCTCGCCGAGACCCTTGCGCGCGGTCTTGCCCTTGACGTTGCTGGCCGCCAGCGGGTCGACCCCGATTGTGTTGCACATGCGCGCGAACTCGGCGCGGAAGGTCGGGTTGGATTTGATGGTGGAGCTGTGCTCGAGTGCGAAGGTGTGGAGGAGAGATTGGAAGACGGAGAGCTGCGTTTGGAGGGAGGAGAGGTGTGTTGAGCGGAGGTTGGCGCCGTGGTTGGCGTAGGACTGGCTGGTTTGGGTGCGGTTGGCGAAGGCACCGAGGCCGACGCCGCGGCGGGAGGACATCTTCCGTATTGTTGGATTATGGGGACGTTTATCAGATGCGTGTCGAGAGGAAGAAAGAAGATAGATGGGTGGGATGGTTGGGCTGGACTATGATGCCATGCGGGCACATGGATACCTCAGGCGGTAAGGCAGGAAGAGTATATCAGGTGACTGCGGCTACCCTAACCAGAAGAAGTCCCAAAATAGCAAGCGTGTCTTGGCGACAGGCTAACCTATCCCGGTTAGACCCATCAAGCCCACAAACCACCAAAACTCTTCGCAACTTCTTCTTCTCTTTCTTCCACACGACAGCTTTCGCCAACCGCCCAACTCGCGAACTCTTCAGGACCGTCGCAATGGCCGCTACCGCTACGTATGATCCCTTTTGACTACCCTCGCGACTGATTCGCAGTTGAGCCTGTAAGGTTCAGGTTATAGTCGTCCTTCTCGCTGGAGATGCTGCGGTCGAAGATTTGAAAAAGTTTTCGACCGCTGGGCACCAGCTCGATCTTTCCCGCGACCATCCCCTCGCGCCCAGGAGGTCGCATCTATCCTTGAATAGAAGCATTGACTGGATCGGAGGCTTGGTCTGGGGTCTTGAGGTTGAAGGCCTTGGTTGCCTTCGCCTTGAAAAACATTGTTGAGAGCTATCGCTTCCCTCGCCTTGGCTCGCACTCTTGATCGAAGCTGGGCGAATACAGGGAAGCGATTGGCGTCAACAGTATTTCCCGAACGTTTTAGTTTGGGGTCTTGTCGGATGAGAAATGTGTTACAATGTCGCTGCCACTCTAGAGCCAATGAACACCCCACTCGCATTGAAATATCTGTGGTGATGGGGCTAGTAGGGACTCGGGTGGTCGTTGTACATCAGACAATAAAACCATCTCACCGACTAAATACATACCGTCGAGTGCTTTTTCTTATATGCCTTCAGTTGAGAATGTGGCGCTATAAGCTGCAATTCTTACACTCGGCGAAATTGCATTTGTGTGATTTCTACGGACAGACTATACTGACCTTCACAGCACCGTCCCCACCCAGAACCAGGTGCTGGTCCCTGAGACCCTCCTGAAGAAGCGCAAGAGCCAGGAGCAGGCTCGCGCTGTCGCCCGTGAGGACGCCCAGAAGAAGAAGGAGGTAAGATCATATTTGCTTTTCTTTTTTACTTTTTCTTTTTCTTTTTTCTGTTTTATTCCACAATCAACGGTGATGATAGCAACCATCTTGCGACTAGACCTACCAATCGATGCTGTCGCTTTGTTAACCATCTTTCGGGGCTGAGTTGATGCTCTTGAGAATTTTATTTTTTTCTCCATGCAATTGATTGAATTTTCACTGACAAATTCAACCTTAGGCCAACAAGGAGAAGCGCACCACCATCTTCAAGCGTGCCGAGTCCTACGTCCAGGAGTACCGCAGTGCTGAGCGCGAGAAGCTCCGCCTGGCCCGCGTCGCTCGCCAGGAGGGCAACCTCTACGTTGCTGAGGAGCCCAAGCTGGTCTTCGTTATCCGTATCAAGGGGTATGTTAACTTTCCCACCCTAATGCAGGCCCTGTCACTAAACTATCATATAGTATCAACAAGATCGCTCCCCAGCCCCGTAAGATCCTGCAGCTGCTCCGTCTGCTCCAGATCAACAACGGTACCTTCGTGCGCCTCACCAAGGCCACCCAGGAGATGCTCACCATCGTCAACCCCTACATTGCCTACGGTTACCCCAACCTGAAGAGCATCCGTGAGCTCGTCTACAAGCGCGGTTACGGCAAGATCAACAAGCAGCGTGTTCCCCTCACCGACAACCAGATCATCGAGGAGCACCTCGGCAAGTACGGCATCGTCTGTATGGAGGATCTGATCCACGAGCTGTACACCGTTGGCCCCAACTTCAAGCAGGTCAACAACTTCCTGTGGCCCTTCAAGCTGTCCAACCCCAACGGCGGCTTCAAGACCCGCAAGTTCAACCACTTCATCCAGGGTGGTGACTTCGGTAACCGTGAGGACAACATCAACGCCCTCATCCGCCAGATGAACTAAGTTCGTTCTGTGTGGGCGGTTTGTTCCTGTTCGTGACGGATGAATGGGCTGTTTGCGGCACTTAGCGGTATAATGGTCTGATTCCAGATGAATTAAAAGTTTAACGACGATCTTATGTACCTGTAATATGATATACCCCTTTTCAAGTAGTCTTCCTTACCGGCTTTAGCCAGCGTCTATCCTCAACTTGCCACCATAACTCGTATATACATTGTTTGAATAAAGGTCTAACATCGATCTATCTATCCATCGTATTTTCGTCCGCGATTATCGGTGGACCTTAAATCCGAATCACCTCCTGCACCCGACGATCCTTATCAACAACCAACCGCAACTGTCTCCCCTCCCATCCCGTCGCGGGCGCCCCCGCCGTCGTCGAATGGGGAATAGGTTTAAAGGCACCCTGACGAAGGGTTTCGGTAAACAGTTCGTACGAGGGGTAATCTTTTTATGTTAGTCAGTTCCGGATCAAAAAAAACCATGGACAAGAAAACGAGGAGAAACATACAGCCGTCCACAAAATGGGTGACTTGCTCGGGTGTCATGCCGGTGCCTTTTGTAGCTCGGAGACCGAGCTCTTGCTGTTGGCGCCAGTCGTAGACGAAGTGGAGGTCTTGGGCGTCTCTGTTGTGATTGTCAGAGATCCATCTCGATCTGGTGAGGGGGGGAAGGGGTCAGTCGTACATGTGGATTAGAGCGTCGAGTTGGCTGTTTGGTAGGTAGGTATGTTGTTAGCTTCCTTGACACCTGAGACATACTATCCTTGTCCCAAATAAAGACGAAGAAGGAAAAGAAGAAGCGGGGGGGGGAAGAAACTTACTCCGTAATAACATCATACCCCCTCAACGCCTCATCCACAGCTCTAACATCCTCAAACGCAACGGCTCCTAACCGGCCCGTATAGGCACTCCCCGCACTCTCCCGCTCCGCAACAGCATCCTGCCACTTCTCGCGCAAGACGAGCTCATCCCAAGCACGGAAGCCCACACACCACCCCTCAAAGATAACCACCTTCACTTGGGGCTCGCCCTGGCCATTGACTGTCGTCCAGCGCGCCTCAGGGACGCGATCGCCCTGCCCCGCAAAGGCAGACTTGTCATACTGCGGGATGGCGGTGGGGGCGCCGGCGCGGAGAGAGGCGAAGACCGAGCGCGCGAGGGGCAGATCGTGTGTCCCCGGTTGGCCTCTGTGCTGGAGGAGGGGGTTGGAGGGGTTTTCCTGTGCGAGGCGCTGCTGCGCGGCGTGGGGGAGGTAGAGGTCGTCGAGGGAGAGGGTTACGACGGCGAGGGAGTAGGGTGGGGAGCGGAGGATGGAGTTGAGGGTTGAGACCTTTCATTTGCACATGATTGTTAGTCAGTCAATTGGATTTTTTGTGTTTGGGGGAGGACGACATACGAGGACGGTCTTGCCGGCGCCTTGGACGCCGTTGAGGCCGAGGAAGAAGGGCGGGGTTGAAGCGGGGTCGTGGTTGAAGCGGGCTTGGTGGGCTTTGAGACGCTCGAGGAGGAAGGGGATGCAGTGTTGGGATTTGTCGTCGATGATTTCGGGCATGTTTGGAGGTTCTTTTGTGGTGGGTGTGGTGTTGTGATGGATTGTTGTGGGGGAGAGTTCGATGGAGAGGTTGGTGGGGGAGTGGTGGCCTGGATGGTCAGGTTGGATATATCGGCTATCGGAGATGCGCCGAGTTGTCTTTCCTTTTGGTCTCAACCATCACCGCAGGGTGGTTAGAACAATGAGAATACTTAACCAATTTACGCACAATATTCTAGTCATCGAGATCTAGGACATCTATTTGTGCGAAGGTCGACACATTCTGATCGATCGGCTTGGAGTCCCCGGCGAACGGTTGGCAGGGAGCGAAATGTACCTGTCAACATCATGCAATGAGTTCACATTCAATGGCACCAATTACAAATCTACAGCTCGAAATAGATAGTCTATCGGCTAGAATATCAACAGCGTTGGTGAAGACAGCAGTCAACATGCATCACGACCCTCATCCCAGCAGATTTCCCAATAGAGCCCGTCTAGGTCTCTAAGCTCGGGACACAAATAACCTCCGCATATCTTACGGTATATACTCCGCACACGGCATCCCGCCCGGGTCCAGACGGATGTACGTGCACGGTGCCCCTCTCGAGGGAGACCGTGATCAGTGATCAGTGATCACACACGTTTGACCGACGGTAGCCCTCCAGCATGACGTCCTCCTGGGGGTCTAGTGCCCAGTGTCCAATGTCTACTGTCGGGGCGGCATCTCGTCGGCAAGGGATGCCACGGCTCTGGCCCGCGCGTCCTCGCTAGCTAGCACTTGGCCGAGGCGACAATGCGGGGAGGTATTTAGCTACCGCGGAGATCGCCGAGTGGAAGAGAGGTTTCAAAGGTAAGCTATATCATATGGACCATTCCATGCGGACGCAATTTACTAGTCTAACGTCTACGCAATTGGGGATATGGATTATGATACCTACGATCTCTTTACTACACTGGGTGGTTAATGTATGTGGGGACGGCCTGAGGGATCCCAATCCGATCCTGTGGCCTGAGGTGTGCAGAAGGTGCAAACAGCCAATCGGAAGGCGAATAATCCCGGCGGGGAAGCGAGCACGTGAGATGACGCAGACCGAATCACATGCCTGAGTCAGCACGGGGTTCCCGATGGGGTTTAGCGGGAGAGAACTCGGTGGAAGGGATCCTATAGAGAATAGAAGGTAATATTCCAGAGAAAACAGAAGCAACGAATAAATGAGCAGATAGATAATTAGCAAGAGTCTATGATAATTATAAACATCAATAAAATAAATGGAGGGAGGAAAAGTCAAGGGTGTCGGCATGTGAAGTGGCATCATCTGCCAGAGGATCCGGAGAGTGATTGGCCTGAGGAAGCTGCCAAAGATGCCGAGGTTCACTGGCTGGGGGCAGCCTCAGGTTGCCGAGCAGGGTGACCGGTCATTGTTGACTTCATTTCTCTCCCCCGGATCGCTTCACTTTCTCCTCTTTCTCTTCTTCTAATCATCCCCCTCTCTTCCCCTGGTTTTTAATCTCGTGGAACTAGTTCCCTCGGCTCCGATTTGTTCCTCTCCATATTTTATTTACTCTCCTCCCGCCCTCTTTCCTGCTTCCTCCTTCTTCTCTCCTCCTTCCGTTCTTTTTTTTTTTCTCTCCTTTCCCTCCATTCATCCATCTATTTCTTCACACAATGTCTGAGCTGCGCTTTGACAACCAGACCGTCGTCGTAACAGGCGCCGGTGGTGGCCTCGGTAAGGCCTATGCCCTCTTCTTTGCCTCGCGGGGCGCCAACGTCGTCGTGAACGACCTCGGTGGCTCGCACGCCGGTGAGGGTACCTCCTCCAAGGTACGTCCATTCTTTCCCTCTCTCTGTCTCTCGCTCTCTATTCTGTATCAGTCGTCGCGGAAAATGTTCGATTCTGATTCATCCGTGACAGGCGGCCGATGTCGTGGTCGAAGAGATCAAGGCTGCCGGCGGCAAGGCCGCGGCCAACTACGACAGCGTCGAGAACGGTGATGCCATCATCGAGACCGCCATCAAGAACTTTGGCCGCGTCGATATCCTCATCAACAACGCCGGTATCCTCCGGGATGTCAGCTTCAAGAACATGAAGGATCAGGACTGGGACCTGATCAACCGTGTCCACACCTATGGTGCCTACAAGTGTGCTCGCGCCGCTTGGCCCCACTTCCGGAAGCAGAAGTACGGCCGTGTGCTCAACACCGCCTCGGCTGCCGGTCTGTTCGGCAGCTTCGGCCAGGCCAACTACTCTGGTATGTGGTTCACCTCCGTCTTATCTTGTTTCTTGGGATCCCCCAGCTGACGGCAGTGTAGCCGCCAAACTCGGCCAGGTCGGTTTCACCGAGACCCTCGCCAAGGAGGGTGCCAAGTACAACATCCTCGCCAACGTCATTGCGCCCATCGGTATGTGCTGATCCATCCCGGAACTCCTTGAATCTTCCAAATCTGACCCCGAGAATAGCCGCGAGCCGGATGACCGCCACGGTCATGCCCCCCGATGTCCTCGAGAACCTGAAGCCCGACTGGATCGTGCCCCTGGTGGCCGCCCTGGTGCACCCCACCAACACCACCAACTCCGGTGGCATCTACGAGGTCGGCGGTGGCCACATGGCCAAGATCCGCTGGGAGCGCGCCAAGGGTGCCCTCCTCAAGACCGACGCCTCCCTCACCCCCGGCGCCATCGCCCGCAAGTGGAACGATGTCAACGACTACTCCAAGCCCGACTACCCCACCGGCCCCGCCGATTTCATGACCTTCCTCGAGGATGGCTTGAAGACCCCCCCCGCCCCCGCCGGTGAGGAGCCCAACTACCAGGGCAAGGTCGCCCTCGTCACCGGTGGTGGCGCCGGTCTCGGCCGCACCTACTGTCTGCTGTTCGCCAAGTACGGTGCCGCCGTCGTCGTCAACGACCTCGTCGACCCCGAGCCCGTCGTCCAGGAGATCCGCAAGATGGGCGGCAAGGCCGTCGGCAACAAGGCCTCGTGCGAGGATGGTGAGGGCGTCATCAAGTCCGCCATCGACGCCTTTGGCCGCATCGACATCCTGGTCAACAACGCCGGTATCCTGCGCGACAAGGCCTTCAACAACATGTCTGACGACCTCTGGAACCCCGTTGTCAACGTCCACCTGCGTGGCACCTACAAGGTCACCAAGGCCGCCTGGCCCTACATGCTGAAGCAGAAGTACGGCCGTATCGTCAACACCGCCAGCACCAGCGGTATCTACGGCAACTTTGGCCAGGCCAACTACGCCGCCGCGGTATGTTCATCCACATCTCCACCCAGATGGGGGGTCTCCTGCTAATTCAATCCTAGAAACTCGGTATCCTCGGGTTCTCCCGCACGCTCGCCATGGAGGGTGCCAAGTATAACATCAAGGTCAACACCATCGCCCCCAACGCCGGCACAAACATGACCCGCACCATCATGCCCGAGGAGATGGTCCAGGCCTTCAAGCCCGACTACGTCGCTCCTTTGGTCGGCCTCCTCTGCTCCGACATCGTCCCCGAGCCCTCCACCAAGGGCCTGTTCGAGTGCGGCAGCGGCTGGTTCGCCCGGACCCGCTGGCAGCGCGCCGGCGGCCACGGCTTCCCCGTGGACGTCCAGCTGACCCCCGAGGAGGTCGTCAAGCACTGGAACCAGATCACCAACTTCGACGACGGCCGTGCCGACCACCCCGAGGACGGCCAGGCGGGCGCCGAGAAGATCATGGCCAACATGGGCAACCGCGCCGGCGGTGACGCCAGCGAGGGCAACGACATCCTGGCCAACATCGAGCAGGCCAAGCAGGCCACCAGCGAGGGCACTCCCTTCGACTACGTCGACCGCGACATCATCCTGTACAACCTCAGCCTGGGTGCCAAGCGCACCGACCTGCCCCTGGTGTACGAGAACAACGAGCACTTCCAGGCCCTCCCCACCTACGGTGTGATCCCCTGGTTCAACACCGCCACCCCCTGGAACATGGGCGACATCGTCAAGGACTTCTCCCCCATGATGCTGCTGCACGGCGAGCAGTACATGGAGGTCCGCAAGTTCCCCATCCCCACCGAGGCCCGCACCAAGACCTACCCCAAGCTCATCGACGTCGTCGACAAGGGCAACGCCGCCCTGGTCGTCGCCGGCTACACCACCAAGGACGTCGCCACCGGTGAGGACCTCTTCTACAACGAGTCCACCGTCTTCATCCGCGGCAGCGGCGGCTTCGGCGGCTCGCCCAAGCCCACCGCCCAGCGCCCCAAGGGTGCCACCGCCGCCTACAAGGCCCCCGCGCGCCAGCCCGACGCCGTCGTCCAGGAGAAGACCTCCGAGGACCAGGCCGCCCTCTACCGTCTCAACGGTGACCGCAACCCGCTGCACATCGACCCCGACTTCAGCAAGGTCGGTGGCTTCAAGACCCCCATCCTGCACGGTCTGTGCTCGCTGGGTGTCGCCGGCAAGCACGTCTTCGCCAAGTTCGGCGCCTTCAAGAACCTGAAGGTCCGCTTCTCCGGCGTCGTGCTGCCCGGCCAGACCCTCAAGACCGAGATGTGGAAGGAGGGCAACACGGTGCTCTTCCAGGCCACCGTCGTCGAGACCGGCAAGCCCGCCATCACCGGTGCCGGTGTGGAGCTGCTGGAGGGTGCCAAGGCCAAGTTGTAAATTAGTCGGACGGGGGTTGTATTAAAAAATATGGGTTGACCGGTGGGGGATGGATTCCCCGGAACGGCATCTGATTCCAGACCCAGATTGTGTATATAAATATTGACGACTGCGGTGTCTTTTTTCTTATTTTTTATATCTAGTTCATTTTTTTTTCTCTGTTGTGATTCAAGCCAATTTGAACCTGTTTCCTTGCTGTGTGTTACTGCCGTCACGTGGAGATTGTAGATTATCTAAGCCATCGGAGGTCACGTCGATCAGACCGACATGTGACGCTTTGGTCTGTTTCTCTTTCCACCTCACCGTCTTTCCCTTTCGACTTCATCCGTCAACCCGTGTCGAGCTTTGTATCTCAATGCCCTCATGACCAAGGCACTGGTCTAAACCTCGGATTTCTTTCCCCCCCCCACCGATCATGTAGGAGACAGGCCCTGATTGGAACGATGGTGCTGTCGCTCTTCCCTGTCCCCAGCTTTACCCGGCCCCCTTCGGCGTCTGCCTCGCTTCGCACCGGCCAGGCCCCTCCCTCCTCCACCCTGAGTATCGCTCTCCGCAACAATCCCTTTGGTCTCCCCGCCCGATCGCGCACCACGTCGGCCCCGCCCGCTCCCGCGGATCTGGCCCAGGAGCAGGCGGAACTCAACCATGCCCTGGAAGCGCTGGCGCGCATGTTCCCGGACGTCAAGGTCGAGGTGTTCCGCGATCTGCTCGTCCGGTTCGACGGTCAGAGTCGGCTGCAGGTGTGCGTGGAGCAACTGCTGCGTCACAAGGAAGAATGGGTCGCCGGGCGCTGGAACGTGCCGGCGGGGTCCGGCGACGTGGCCGGTTCTCCCGACGAGCACGCCGTGCCGCCGGATGAGCGGTTCCGCGACGGCGCGTACAAAGCCGCGGTGCGTACGGCGCTCACAAAGGAGTTCGGGAGCTTGAGTCGCAGCGCGGTGGACGCTGTCTTGGCGGAAGCGAACTTCTGCTACGGGCGTGCCCGCCCCACGCTCCAGGATCTGTCGCGGAAGACGTGGCGGGCCACGTTCCACAGCATTCTCCCATCTTTCCGTCGCAAGCGTGATCGGGACGAGCATCCGCTGCTCGCGTGGCAGCGCCACGAGAACGGGGAGCTGGTGCCCCGGCTGAAGGAGACCGGCTGCGCGGAGCTGGATCAGGAGCTGCATGATGCCGTGCTGGCGCCTCTCCTGGGTACACAGCGGGAGGCACGGGAGGCGCAGGACTGGCAGCTGGCTGGGGAGCTCAACGAGGTGGAGGCGCGCGAGGCCGACGCCCTCTATGAGTGTGAGTGCTGCCTGGCGGATGTGACCTTCGAGCAGATCGGGGCGTGCTCCGACCACACGCACATCATCTGCTACGGGTGCATCCAACGCACCCTTCACGAGGCGCTCTTCGGCCAGGGATGGTCCAAATCGGTCGACCCGGAGAGGTCAACCCTGAAGTGCCTGGCGCCCACCGCTCGCGACAGCTGTCCGGGGACTTTGAACGTGGATGTCGTCAAACGCGCCGTGCTGATGGGCAAGGGGGGAACCGAGACGTACTGCAAATTCGAGACGCGTCTAGCCTCGGACGCTCTGCTCCAGTCCCAGCTGAAACTCATCCACTGCCCATTCTGCCCCTACGCCGAGGTGGACCCGGTGTACCACCCGCGCGCCCACGGGATCCGATGGCGGTTCCGACGCGAGGGATTTCTCTCCACGACGGCGATGATCATCTTCCTCCTCGACCTGATCCCCTTGCTAATCATCCCCGCGATCATTCTCTACATCCTGGACCCATCCGCCGCCTCGGCCGTGTTCCGCAACTCCCTGCTCAACCTGTGCCTGCAGGTGCGGCCCAAGCGCTTCCGATGCAGGAACCCGGCCTGCCAGCGCGTGAGCTGCGTCACCTGTCAGAAGCCGTGGCGCGACCCGCACGTCTGCCATGAGCCGCTGCTCCTAGACCTGCGGGCCACGGTAGAAGCCGCCCGGACCGCCGCAGTTAAGCGCACCTGCCCCCGCTGCGGCCTCTCCTTCGTCAAGTCCTCCGGCTGCAACAAACTGACCTGCATCTGCGGCTACTCCATGTGCTACCTCTGCCGGCGGGCGCTCGGCCCGCCCCTCAACCCGCCCCTCCGCCGACGCCCTCGCCGCCCCCCCCGACGACCCCACAACGAGAACATCGACCCACACCATCCCCACAACCTCGAAGATAACGACCTCTCCTCCTCCGAAGACGAACAAGACGACCCTCCAGAAGGCTACTCCCACTACTGCGAACACTTCCGCATCAACCCGGGCGCCCGCTGCATGGAGTGCACCAAATGCGAGCTGTACCAAGAAGAAGACGAAGAGGCCGTCGCGCGACGGGCCGGCGAGCGCGCCGAGCGCGAGTGGCGTCTGCGCCAGGGCGTGGCGGGCGTGGGCGTGGGATCCACGCTGCTGCACGTCAACCGGGACTTTTCGGCGCGGCATGACGGTGGAGGGGTTTCGCGGGGGGCGCTGGCGAGGGGGAAGGACTGGATGTATTGGGTTGATGAGGTGTGGAGAGGTGGGCAGTGGAAGATGGAGGGGCAGGCGTTTGTGGATTGGGTTGTTGAACGGGTGGTTGTTGTTGAGGTTTGATTTTTGTTATTTGATTTAGGGTTATTTATGTACTGCCTATCTAGATGGCTATCTACTGCGACTCAGCTAGATGTCTGTCCGTAAATCCAAAATCCGAGATATTATTCGAAAAAGGAGCTGTACTATTTGAATATCGAGACTCTGAGCATTCGAAAACCCTCTCAAGAAGCTGGCTGTCGGAGGCGAACCCGCGTAAAACATTCAAACAGACTTCGCCTTTTGACATCATTGTTTTCGCGATTACCATGTATCGCCGAACCTCAACCGGGCCGAAGCCAGCCAAGTTTCTTGTACGCCCTCGTCCAACTGGGAGGCTTCCTTTTGACGCCGGGGCGCGAAGCCTGCGGCTTTTGAAAGATAACAGTAGCAAAGCTACGTCAGGCGCATCAAAGCCCTCGAAGCAAGCTCTGGCCATCTCAAGTGCTCTTTGTATGTCGAGCTGGGTAGTTATATGCTCCACGCACCATTGTGAACGAAGAGACTTGACACGATTTGTCCATGAACCCATCGCATTAGGGTCCGCAAATTCGGGATAAAGGTCATGTAAGCCCGCCCGGATGAGCTGTGCTAAGGACACCACGCTTGATCGCCCAGCGTAATGCAAAACTCCCTGTGACAGATACTCGCCATTGTCGTAATCTGCGTGATCCAGGCGAAATCCGAAAAAGTGGCGTGTTTCTTCGTCAAGATTTGGAGCGTCACGACACGCCCGAAGTAACGACTTGTCCCGAGCGAACTGCCCGCGAGGAAACTTCCTCGTGTCGATCATGCATATTTCAACTTAAAGCGGCAGTGGTAGTGGTTCAAAGTGACTCCACTTTTGAATGTTAACAGGGGGGGGAAATGTCTTGGAAATACGCGATGAAAGCATGTCAGACAGGATGAGATTAATGCTGCTCAGTCCTAGAAGCTTGCAGATTGTTGCAGACTAGCGTGGGGAAGAAGACCCTGCAGGTCGGCTGACGGTTTAGCCGATTGTAGTCGCTGCTTTCTTGACGAGATGGAGATGAAGATGGAGATGAAGATGGAGTTGTAAGAGAGAGAGAGAGAGAGAGAGAGAGAGAGAGAGAGAGAGAGAGAGAGAGAGAGAGAGAGAGAGAGAGAGAGAGAGAGAGAGAGAGAGAGAGATGTGTAGAAGAGAAGAAAGAAAATGATAACCATAAGAATTCAAGTGAATATAGGTACCTAACTCTACTAGGGTTTTATGTATCTAGTAACTCAGTACAATCATAACTTAATATAATTAGGGAAGAATAGAGTGAAAGAAAAGCAACCTTGTGATAACCAGTAAATATAGATATGCATGTAAAGCCTCATCTTCCCAGATGTGATTCATGATCAATGGCTATCCAACTTGAATAATTATAGGGTTCAATATACTCTGTAGTTGTAGAGATTCAAGCACTGTATTAGGTAGGCAGGTAGTATATAACACGAGAGCAGTATCACAGTGGTATCAAACTTGACATCCTCTATTGGATCACTTCACCACCTAGATAGAAAGTGACAAACAAGTCCAATGATCAGCCAGCTAGCTCAGAAACACTAGGTACCAAACCATAATATACAAACCAAAAACCTATCATACATAGATCAAGCATAAAGAAAAAAAAAATAACAACAAGAGCAGGGAAAGATATACTTACGCAAACGGCTCCGTATGCAAATACACCTCCCCAACAGCACTATCTTCCCTTAATATCCGCGCCTGCGCATCCGCCGCCGCATCCCGCACGTCATGCACCATCGAGGCCGGGCCACACACGAAGACGCCCACTTTTCTTTTCCCGCTGCTACCGCCAGTGGTGTGGTCTGTTTTGGGTGCGGCGATGGCGGAGGACTCGTCGGATAGGATTCCTTTAAGGATGGGTCGGCCGTAGATTAGGGTTGTCGTCATGTGTGGTAGGTCGTCGTCGTCGTCATCATTGTCGGCGAGATAATCTTGCTGGCTGAGGCTGGGGCTGGTGTTGGGGGTTTGTTCGAGTGTCGTGGTGTCTTTTTGTGGGGTGTTATCAGGTTCCTTGTCTTGAGCGCCAATGGCAGGGTTCTCGTTTGGATCGAGAACGAGGTGCTTGTCGCTTCCTGCTTTGAGCTCGACTTGGCTGTCGGCAGTGATGTAGATCGAGATGGTGAGATGCTTGCCCGACATATCAGCCGTGTGGGAGACGACGCGCTGCTCGAACTCCTGCCTGAACCAGGTTGCCATTTCGCGAGACCGCGTTGCTAGGATAACGTGGATGTGCTGGTTATGGTGATGGCTGGAGTCCCCAGTGTGTGGGCTTGTATGTGCGCGCAAAGCTTCTTCAACTACACCGAGGGAGAATCCCCCGCCAGAGCCACCAGCAATGACGAGAATATTATCGAAGTGGTTCAACGCGCCAGCGTGGAAGATGCCGCCGTAAGGCCCTTCAAGCAAGACTGTTGAGGACGAGTTAGGGTTCTTAGCGGCGAGACGGGCCATGCGGCCGGTAATTCCGCGGCGGGGTTTAATGTAGAAGATGATTTCCGGGGAGTGGCCGAGCTTTTCAGCGGTGTGAGAAAGCGTGCAGATCGTGAAGGGGTGAGCTGTTAGGCAGTGTAGCCCGAGACGGGGGTTTAGGAAGCGGATGAAGATGTGTTGGCCGGGGTGCCAGGACATGGTGGTTGTAGGGATGCGCACGCGGACGAGTCCGCAGCGGAGGAGCTCCATGTGGGCTGCGTGGCGTCCGTTTGTGAAGTGTGTTTTTGCGAGCGAGGCGCAGAGACTGGTGAGGTAGATTGCACCGGCTGCAATGAAATAGTCCCTGGATTGGTGAGCGGCGTGTCTGAGTAGGTTTTCTTTTTTTTTTTTTTTTTGGCTTACCATGAGGATAGACGGAAGTCGCAGTGGAAAAAGAAGAATACAACGAAGAGAATAGCGGCCAGGAAATGGGTGGCTTTGAAGAACTCGTAGTAGCGATTCCTAGAACGCACGTTAGAACAAACTCACCCCCATCTCAAGAAAGTCCGCGAGTTCTTACCGAATGGCCGGAATCGACATGAAGGTCAGATACGCCTGGGGGATGATAGCCGCCACGCCCGTCCAGTAGACAATGTCCGTGTCCCATTTCTTGACCATATCCCCTTTGTCAATGTGGTAGATGATGTAAGGGAAGGTGTGCACCAGGGCAAGGACAAACATGGCGTAGCTGGTCCAGTGGTGGAAGACTTGGAGTTTCTCATGAGACACTCCAGTCAATGCCGAGATGAGGTTGGCTTTGGTGCCCAGGGCCCTGCGCAAGTAAGTCAGTCGCAGTCGAGTCCACTCTGCGAAGGCACGTACAATACAAAAGGCAGCAGCCCCAGAGCCATCCACCCACTCCGTGTTGCTATCGGCGGACTGGAACCGTAGGAGCCTGACTCGAGTTTGGGCCAGTAGTAGGGTTGCGGGCCCAGTGTCATCGCTGCGCTCGCGTCAGTCAACTGTGTGTGTGTGCTTGACAGCTTGGAAGAAAGAACAAACCAAAGAAGAACGCGACCCCCACAATACCCAGCAGCAATACCCCCAGCGACGGAGAAGAGTACGCGACAGCAGGGAGACGAAGACGAAAGCACTTATACGACAGATACCGCGCGACAAGCGTTGCCCTACGCCATAGGCCCGTCCGTCGCAGTCTGTCCGGGGCATACTTGGACAAAAGATGCCCAACAGCGAAGACGCCCACCGTGGCGCAGAGAAAGTAGATAGTACTCAGCGCGTAGACATGGTCGGCCTCATACCAGTATCGCCATCTGCCGGCGCGGTAGGCGCACTGGTCTGGACGAAGTTTGCAGGTGTCGTGGCGTGAGGAATGTAGCCTTACGGGCTGGTCCAGCCAGGGCAGGCCGGACCCTGTATGTTCCGACATGGCCATGACGTCGCTGGCATATACGTAGAGACTCGTCGATCACACATGGAGTCAATTGAGATCGGATCGTCGGTAGAATTTGGGAAAGGATTATCGATCAGGGTCAAGGGGCAGGGCAGCCTGGGGAGGGGACGGGAGAGGGGCGTAGAAGAAGGGGCCTAAGGGGGGAAGAATTGTATGGCCATCATCGAGCATCTTGCTGGATAGCATCACCACAATCATTGACTTTAAGAGAGGGAGGGTCGTATTTCCTCCAACAGAGTCAAGCTTCGTTGATCTCTTTGGGACAAACATCGATTGGCCGGTTTTTGCTCACTATTGAGCATATTTCGCCGGGTTTATCAGTCGTTCAGTAAACACGAAAGTACAACATGGTAAAAGAAAAGCCACAGAACAACGCCACCCAAGAACCCAAATGAACAATGCACGGTATCATAATAGTCAACAGGGGAACAGGGAAATTTTCGCATGCTTTTGATGACGTTCTAGTCATAATCGTCATTGACCGTTTCCGGTTAGTTGGTGGAGCGATAAGGGGAAAAGGCACCGGATGCAGAAGGAAGAGGGACAGCAGAAGGAAGGGGAACGGACACAGCCCCACTCAAAGGAGATCAAGAGCGGGATGTCAGACAGACACCGGAATGGAAACAGAGGTTGACGAAGCTTGTTTCTCATTTGAATCACCCCACAGGCCATGGTCGCGCAGTGCCTGGTAGCCTCCACGCAGACTATCCGCCTGGATCCCCTTGGCTCGCAATACGCTGGTAGCTACCCGCGCGGTGTCACCATTGTAGCAGATCACCAGCACGTGCTGTTCACTGAGTGTGCTGACGATGTCGCCCGGCTGGAACAGCTGGTCGAGCTCCTGCCACTGCGCCTCCAGCACCCGCGGGTCGGCGAATGGCTTTGCACGGGGCGACTCCAGGCTCTGCAGGGACAGGTTGATGGACCCGGGGAGGTGCCATGACCCGAAGTCCACTGCCTTTCGCAGGTCTAACACGCAGCATTGCGGGCGCAACACGAGGGTGTTCAGCAGCCCCTGCGGGAGGGCCTGGGGGGTATCGTAGAAATTCGTGAACAGCACCACCGGGCTGCGCTCCCAGCTCTCGTCATATCGGTACAGGTCCACTTTTGTCAATTGCTATCTACAGTTAATACCAAGTACGAGGGTGAGCGGCGAAGAAGACATACCTCGTTGACAATGGGGTGGAACTTCTCATCACCCAACTTTTGGAAGTATTCGTCGATATACTGGTAGGGCAGATCGCAGCACAGGAACACGCTATGGATGAGCCCATCCGGTCCCGCCAGCTCGGACAAGGTCCCCGCCGCCTTGCGCTTCTCCAGCATCTGGAAGAGGCCCCTGAGGTTAAACCCGGACGAGGGCCCGCAGATGATCCCCTCGCGGCAAAGATCCAACGACCACGAGTACGAGTCCGGCGAATTAACTTCCTCGATGGAGTCGACAGCCTCCTTCCACGGGAACTCGACCGGCCTCATCAGAGCAAAGGACCGGGGACCGGGGACCCGATCTCCCGCGGCGGTGCACACACCCAGACGGTACACCGAGGGCTTGGCCTCCTTAAAGTAGGTTCCGAGCCCAGTCATCGTGCCCGAGGTGCCCATCCCGGCGCAGAGCACATTGATCTCGGGCAATTGCTTGAAGATCTGGGGCCCAGTCCAGCGGATGTGGGCCTGCCAGTTGTCGTTGTTCTCGTACTGGTTGGGGTTGAGGATGTCCTCCGACTGCTTGGCCTTGCGACGCGCACTCTGGATGCCGCCGCGCTCGTCGTAGGGTTCGGGCTGCGACGGCCCGCCGAACAGCATGATGTTAAGTCCGAAGAACTGCATCAGGCGCAGCTTGGCCTCGCTGGTCTTGTTGCTTAGGTAGGCGCGCGTGTCATCGATCCCGTGCATCACGCGAGCGATCATCGACATGGAGATGACCGTCGACCCCGAGCTGTACTCGATGATGGTCTGGGTTTGATCCGGCACCACCTGCTTCTGTAACATGTTCATCGCTGCGGCGATTAGTGGACTGGCAGCGGGAACATGGGGATCTTGCAGCGACTTACCGGGCATGGCCTTGACGTTGTTGGCCGGGTGCATGGTCATCATCTTTGCGTATATCCGCACGCCATAATCATAGAAAGGGTTCAACCGTGCAGGAATTTCCACTAGCGGGAGAGGCGGTTGGGAATCGGGATCAAAGTACTTTTTGAGGGCGTCTGGCCCAAAGTATGTATTGAGTTCATTCTGGTTGGACATGATGCAGGGGTGACAGGGAGCCGGGGACTGTAAAATGCAAGCAAGGTACAGCAAATGAACAAATAAAAATAAAGAGGATCAATATAGAGTAGAAAGCATAAGTCCCCGCTGCATGCAAGATAGAGAAAAGAGGAAAGAACAAGGAAGGGGAAAAAAGACAGAAAGACAAAAGCAGAGATGCATGGAGGGGCAATCCCATCAAGTTATACTTCCTGCAGAACCTCCACACCAGAGCACGAATCCGTATTATTGACACAGCGAGCACCCCGAAACGCCCGTGTCCACGAGGCTTGACCCACCATGGACAGAGTGCAATCTTCCAGTGTGGAAATAATCTTCATTTCTGCGCTCTACGTTTTGCTCCGTGAGGCAATTCCACAAGGGACCGAAGCGACAGGGCTGCGGTCGTAGCCGAACCTGAGATCCACGATGTAGCAAGAGTTTCCCGACGGGAATTCCTCGTGGCCTATCATCATACTCTATTGATCAGCCGTAGAGGTAGATGGCGCGCAGGGTGCTCGTGGCCTGGTGGAGAGTCCAGGGCGGATGCAGCTGTGTATGGCTGGAGGGAGATGTCCGGACCGGATTGCAGCGTATAATCCAGACAGATCTACAACCAACAAGGTCCCTGACGGCATAATAGAAGCTTCTTGGCGGGAAGAAATGACGATCGTGTAGAGTTTGATGGCATGAGGACCTTGCTGAGCACCTTTGAGCACGTTTTGCGCCGATCCCTTCCTGTTAGCCCTAATTGTCCTTGCCGCGGGTCCATCAATCGTGGATTTACGTTCCGGAAGTAGGGGGAAGTGACACGATCGTTTCTCTGTAACCTTGATTAATTTCTCCGACTTCTCTTGAAACTTTCCTATTTCTTTATTAGTTCTGGTCCTTATGTTCTGTCCTCTCCCGACGAACCCCGATCATGTCCACTGGCGTCGTCAATTCCGAGCCCAAGCATGATGGCCCCTGGCCGGCTTCCTCGAACGAAACCGAGTCGACAGAAGCTAAACCAGTGTTCAATGAGCAGACCAACTATGTGCCCAAGAGTACGATCATTACGGTGCGTGTGCATATCGAAAACTGGAAGAGAACCATGACTGATCGGAGACATCTAGATCTTCCTGGCCTGTTCGACGGTCGACCTCGTCGCGTTGATGGACCAGACCACCCTGGCCGCCAGTTTGTCCATCATCGGGAATGCGCTGCATGCAAGCGACAAGACGGCGTGGATCTCCAGCGGCTACTTTGTGTATGTCTTTGCGCGCATGACGAAAGAAGAAAGCCCGCATTCTTGATTTGCTGACGCACACTGTAGCACCTCGACATGCTTTCAACTCCTGTACGGTCGGCTATCTGACATCTGGTCCCGCAAGCTGGTCCTCTTCGTGGGTCTAGGGATCTTCTTCTTCGGGTCCCTGGCCGCATCGCTGGCGCAAACAGCCACACAGCTGATCGTGTTCCGCGCCTTCACGGGCGTCGGCGGCGGCGGTCTGATGACGGTCGCGCAAATGATCGTGAGTGACGTGGTCCCGCTGCGGGAGCGCGGCAAATACCAGGGCATCCTGGGAGCGGTGGTGGCGATTGCCAACGGCATCGGCCCCGTGATCGGGGGTGCCCTGGCCTCGATCAACGACGATTCGTGGCGCTGGATCTTCCGGCTCAACCTCCCGCTGACGGCGATCTGCGTGCTTGCCGTTTTCTTCTTCATGCCGTTGCGGAAGGTGACGGGCGACTGGAAGGTCAAGCTGCGGGCGGTCGACTTTTTCGGCGCCGTCCTCGCGCTCGGCAGCACCGCCGTTTTCCTGCTGGGACTGACCTGGGGTGGCGGCGAGTATGCCTGGAACTCGGCCCACGTCATCGTCACGCTGGTGGTGGGATTCGCCGTGGGGGTGGGGTTTTTGCTCTGGCAGTGGAAGGGGGCCGCATTCCCCCTGGTGCCGATGCACATCTTCCGGTCACGCATCGTCAACGGCGCATGCCTGACCATGTTCATCAACGGGTGGAACTTCCTGGTCCAGATCTACTACATCCCGACATTCTATCAGCTGGTCTTCGAGTACTCGACCGTCCAGGCGGGCGCGATGCTCCTGCCGATCACCCTAATGCAGAGTAGGTCCAATTCTTCCCCTCTTGGCCGGGGCTATGGCTGATCGTTTGCAGCCGTCAGCAGTACCGTGTCCGGTCTCGTGGTGCACTGGGCGGGCCGGTATCGCGAATGCATCTTGTTCGGTTGGGCGATATGGGCCGTCGGACTGGGCTTGTTCTCCACTCTGGACAAATCGTCCGGCGTGGGAAAGCAGGTTGGCTATGGGATTCTGACCGGTGTGGGCGTGGGCAATACCCTGCAACCGTAAGAGACCGCCCCTCCATACCATATTTAGATGCTAACCAGTCCAGGGCATTGATCGCGGTTCAAGCGGGGGTGGAGAGAAGCGACATGGCGGTGGTGACGGCGTTCCGGAAGTAGGTCCACCCTCGACGTTCAACCCAGCGAAGAGACTCCTGCTCACCAGCAACAGCTTCGTACGAAACCTAGGGGGCACCCTTGGGCTCGCCATTGCGGGGACCCTCATGTAAGTCGTCTCTCCCGTGTGTTATTGTTCCCTCCATTAATCAGGTGTAGCAACAACATCATCGCCTCCTCGATTTCCTCCCTCGGGTTTAGCGAAACAGAAACTCGATCTTTTCTGTCTAGCCCCCAGAACTATCTGTCGAAGCTTCCACCAAAGGAAGCAGACCACGCCCGTTCGGTACTGATCCCCGCCTACAAGAAAGGATTCATGATCATCTTTGTGATCGGGGCTGCGTTAGCGGCGTTTGCCTTTGTCCTGGCCTTCTTTCTGATGCCACAGGTGTCGCTGAATCGGGACGACGACGCGAAGCTCAAGGAGGAGGGGAGGAAACGGGTACAGGGGGAATTGGACGAGGAGACGAACGAGGTGAAGTAGTTGAACGTGGATGGAAGAAGAAGAAAACAAATCCGCGGTAACTGAATAGAGGCATAGATCACGCATGGATAAATCTTATGAACCTGCATAAAGCGGAGTCTGCTCCGGGCCAATCGGAAGAGTCCATTATCCCCGCCCTCTCGAGCACATAGAATTATGTAATCCATCATAATCCGTGCATCATAAGTGGAATAAATCACAGACGACGCGCTGGTCGGGTTGACTTCAAACATCAATCCTTACGGCGAGAGATAGAGCATGAACCAATTTGTTTTATACTGTTAGACTCTCGGCAATTGGAAGACCATCCGGCCCCTGCGATCCTGCGGGGTAACTGGCTCCAAGTCGCATCGAGCAACGACGACGAAGATCCTCGATAGCTCTCCATACCACTTTAACTCTCCCGTCCAGACCCACCATGACATTAACAGCATCGACAACAACAACCATGTCATTCAACATCGTCGTAATCGGCGGCTCCTATGCAGGGATTGGCGTCTGCCACGGCCTGCTGCAGAAGAACTCCGACCGGAAGATCACAGTAACGCTGATCAACCCGTCCACGGAGTTCTACTTCAACATCGCGGCGCCGCGCATCGTCGCCAAATCCGATATGATCGCACCCGAGAAATACACCTACTCCGTTCCTGAGGTGTTTGAGAAGTACCCGGCGGGAACCTTCCGCTTCGTGCATGGCATAGCTAGCAGCATCGACCTGGAAGAGCGGAACGTCCACGTCCATGTGCGCCACGCCGCCAACGACAACGAGACGACCGAGGACAAAAAGAAGGAGGAGGTGATTGCCTATGACCACCTAGTCATTGCATCGGGAAGCACTACTCCCTCAACAGTCGGCCAAGACAGCTTCGCCGCGCCATTCAAAGCGCCCATAGACGGCGACCTCGCGGCAGCCGTGTCGCACACGCAGCGCGCCATCCGCGACGCAAAGACGATCGCCATCGGCGGCGGGGGTCCCGTCGGCGTCGAGTTCGCAGGGGAGATCGCCGAAGCATACGAGAGCGACACGAGCAAGAAATCCATCACGCTCATATCAGGGACGGCGCGGCTCCTCCCCACACTCCCCGCCAGCGCGCAGGATGCGGCGGAGCAAACCCTGCAGAGCAAGGGCATCCACCTGCAGCTGGGGAAGCTCGTCAACCGAGCGGAGTCCACCACAGACGGCGGGTGGACCGTGCACTTGTCGGACGGGACGACCCTGACAGTGGACCTGTTCATCTCAGCGATGGGCACGCTCCCGAACAGTGCGTTTATCCCGGAGTCACTGCGGGATGAGAAAGGGTGGGTCACGGTCGACGAGCACCAGCAGGTGTTGAACCGACAGGGCCAGGCCGAACCGCGCGTCTACGCCCTAGGCGACATCACGTCGTATCCGGACCGGCTGCTGCTGCGGGTGCAGCCGCAGATTCCGATCGTCGTGGCGAACGTCCAGCGCGCTGTGGAGGAGCGCCACACGGCGCTGAGCTCGTATTCGCCGGCGGCGCAGTGGACGGTGATGGTAGTCCCGGTGGGACGATGGACGGGCACGGGGGCGATCGGCGGCTGGCGCCTTTGTGGATGGCTTGTGTCGTTGGCCAAGGGCAGGGATTTCTTTATTGGCAAGGCGGCGTCTTTTATCCGAGGGTGATGTTAAAGCTTTATTATTCCACTAATTCTCCGTTTAATCTTGTTTTCTCGCGCTCGATCGATTGATTGCCATGATCCTCCATCCCGTGCTAGACATTAGCGAGGCATGGGCGGAGTATCGTCGGAGAATAAACCCTGCAAGCAGACAGGGTTCACACGCGTAGCGCACCAGGCTAGAAAACAAAAAGGAAAGGGAAAGAAAAACAAATCACGACAAGAATCTGACCAGGTTACATTTCGCCCGTACCCTTTGTCTCAGGACAATCTATCCACGACCAAGCTCCGCCCCCAGGGCCACAGCACGCCATGGCGAGCAGGGGGGCTGGCTCGCGACGAGTCGGGGCACATCAACACTAATGCAAGTCAGACGTAGAGTCGAGGGCTTCTATAATGAGAGTGTCCACAAATTCGTTCCTGGTCGCATTAACACTATCCTATATTATACCTATACTTTAATGTACTAAACTACCTGGGTATAGTATGTAGGTAACCATACGATACCGAGGCATGCCATGCGCGTCCGAACCCAGTCAAGGCGACATCAACGGCGTTCTCCCCCCTCGACTTCGACCGTGATATCCACTGTCTTCATGACCCGTGTCAATTGTCTCGTGCTCCCTTTCCCACTGTCGCTGGACTGCCTCCGTCCCATGGTTGTAATGTTGGTCCGGACCGCCCCGTACTGTGCCGGATCGCCGCCCCGGAAGTATTCCGGGCGATCGCCGCGGCGGCTCTCGCTGCGGCTGTCCGCGCTCTGGCTGATGTATTTTGTGGGGGAACGCAACTCGACTTCGTCGGGGAGGCGTGTGTTCATCAGGCCCGAGTTGAGGCCCGCGAGGATGTGGTAGAGCGTGGGGAGGCAGGCGATCGTGACGGTCGTGCAGATCATGGCTTGGCCGAGGATGGTGGGGTTGACGACGTCCCCTGTATTGTTAGTATATAATTACAACGCCAAAAAAACAATAGATAGCCATGTCAAGGCAGGTGAAGGAGGAAGACACACAGGTTTGATCAGAGGAGCCAAGATATGTTGGGAGGAGACACAGTCGGACAACGGAGAGGGCAACCACTCTATATAGACCAGTCAGTTAGGGCTTGGGACTGCAGGCTCAATGGGTGAGATACAGCGATCGCGCAAAAAAAGCGCACAGGATCTTGATCCGTTTGGTCAGCACCATCTGCACATTGCGCATCATGAAGAAGGGAATCGCGATGATGGCAAACTCGGTCAGGATGTGGATGGCCCAGATCGGGTACATGATGGCGCCCTTGAAGACCATGTCAGTCAGGCGGGTTATTCCACCGGTAGCGGGGATAGATCTACCTCTCCGGCGCATCTCTCCGGACTATACGACCAGGGCTCGGGCATCTGGCACTGAAAGGCCGTTCCAAGGATGGCGAAGACAGTCCAGCCCACGCTCAAGCCAGCGGTGACTGTGCATGCTTGTCGAAGGGCACGATCGGGGGTCAGTTTCCAGACCAGCAGGATGGTAGACACCTGCGACAGCGAGAGAATGACGATCTGGATGAGCTGAGCTGCGTATATGAACTGGAATAGATCAGTCCTGGAACTCGAAGAGGAGGAAATTGGATAGATAGGTGGTATTGATCACCTTGCTGGCAGTATGGATGGCCTCCGTAGACAGCGTGTCGCCGTGTCTTCCCACTCCATGATCAACGCCCTTTTGCACCACTACGACTTCCACTATGACTAGTGTCTAGCGGTCGACGGGGGTCAACGAACAATCTCCACCTTCACCCGGGGATGTGTGAACCATACCAGAGCCACCCATATGGGCGTGTTGACGGCCGTCCGTCTTTGCTTGAAGTAAACGACCGACCCAAACTTGGCGGCCACAAAGATGATGGTCGCAATCAGGAAAGACACCGAGACAATGGTGATCAACACTCCATGATTATCGTCCGACAGCACCTGAAAAGGGCGAGACTGGGTGGACATGGCGACGGTTATCGTATAGGTTGGGTATCATGGTGGATGAACGCCCCCACGACGGCTGGGAATGCCATATGAAATAGGAAGAGATGAATGCAGTGTGCGAAGGGTGCATCCCGTGTGTAATATATTGGCGTTGTATTACACCAGGATGATCGCAGACAATAGGCTTTGTGGTGGTAGCCACGTTCGATGACACTATTCAGAAAGCAGGTTAGCTGCGAGCAGGGATGCGGAGAATCCCACGACTCACCACCCACTACGGCCTCGTTCTGGACCATGGGTTCTTGACACGGCCCGCTCCTGGTCAACCGAGCCATTATGAAGCCGCTAAGGCAAGCCCGATCAGGGATGATGGTCGCCAGGATGAAGGTGAATGGCGAGTTGCCCTAGTCGAGCCCCTAATCCGAGCATCCCAAGTGGCATGGTTGGAAAATCTCTCTTCGCGTAGAGGGTGTAGTATCGTTGCCACTAGATCAATATAGACAGAACATCGCTAATTGATTAGTTTGTAGTAGTAGTACTTTAGAACAGGAGAGATAAAAGTGTAGGGCAAAGACTGTTGGCTCGTGGGGATTTTCTCTTCCTTCTTCTTTCCCCTCACTCCTTCTCTTCTCACTCTCCCGGCCCCTCCTTTGCCTAACAGAACAGGGTAGAACAGTCAAAATGTTCGATGAAGAGCAGGTAGAGCTCAAGAGTGGCAGTGCCATCCGGTCTGCAGCGGCTAGTGATCCGAATAGGACGTATGCTAGCAGCAACAGCGCCACCTATCGCCAAAAACAGCAATTAGAGGTATGTCCTGTCTATTCCTTCATTTTTGAACATGGAAGACATCATGCTAATCCATATCTAGCGGTATCTGAATTTCTTCTCGTCTCTCGCCTTCTCTGCAACCCTTCTCGCCTCCTGGGAAACCACCGGAGGAAGTTTTCAGGCCGGTCTCTACAACGGTGGTCCGGCAGTCATCGTCTATGGCCTCATCATCAGCACGGTGGGCAATCTGGCCATCGCCGCGTCTTTGGCAGAGCTGGCATCAGTGCATCCCACGGCTGGAGCCCAATATCACTGGAGTTATGTCCTCGCGCCCTGGTGTCCTCGCTTCATAAGTTTCTTCCAGGGATGGATTACCGTCTTCGCCTGGGGCGCCCTCGTCACCATCGCGCCCTTCTTCATCGGCACCCAGATCCAGGGCATGGTGGTGCTGGATCATCCAGAGTATGCGTCGCAGCGATGGCATGGTACGCTGCTCATGTGGGCCGTGCTGCTGATTCCCATCATCATCAACATCTTCGCTCGTCGTCTGCTCCCCTTGATCGAGATCTGCGTAGGGATCATGCACGTTGTCTTCCTGCCCGTGGCGATCGCTATCTTCGTTATTATGGCCCCGCGCAATCCCAACGCCTTTGTCTGGGAGACCTTCGTGAGCGGACTGAGTGGATGGGAGAACAAGGGGGTTGTCTTCTCCATAGGATTACTGGGGGTGATCACTCCCTTTAGCGGTAATTTCCCTCTACACCACCACCCCCTTCATGAAGTCTGACACTAACAAGATTAGGAATCGACGGTGTCATCCACATGTCCGAAGAAATCAAAAACGCCAAAATCGTCGTCCCCCGGTCCATGATCTGGGGCACGTTCATCAACGCGATCATGACCTTTGGCTACGTGATCACCATCCTCTACTGCATGGGCGACTACGAGGAAGCCCTAACGTCACCAACCGGCTACCCCATCATCCAAATCGCCTACCAGGCAACGCGGTCCAAAGCCACAACCTACATCCTCATGGCCCTAGGCATGCTCCCCGGCTGGATCGCACTCTTCAACAGCCTGGCGTCCGTCACGCGACTAACCTGGGCCTTCGCGCGCGACAACGGCCTCCCCTTCTCGGATTTCTTCGCGCGCGTCGACCCGGTCCTCAAAATCCCCCTGCGCGCGCTCTTCCTCGTTGCCTCCGTCGTCGTCCTCCTCTCCTTCATCCAGATCGGCTCCACAGCAGCCTTCCACGCCATTCTCTCCCTCAGCACCCTCGGCCTGTACTTCTCCTATCTCATCCCGCTCGTCCTTCTCCTCATCCGCCGCTTTACCTCCCCCGGTCAGATCCCCCGCGGCGCTTTCTCCCTCGGCCGCTGGGGTCTGCCTCTTAATATCGTCGCCGTCGTCTTCGCGACCTACTTTGCTATCTTCTTGCCCTTCCCGCCCTCGTTGCCTGTCAATGGCGAGAACATGAACTATGCGGGGCCGGTGCTGGGCTTCGTTATGCTGTTTGCTGTGTGTGATTGGATGCTGCGGGGTCGGCATAAGTGGAGTGGGCCGACAATGAAGTATTCGCGGGAATAGACTTATTACCCTGTCCCTGTCCTAATGGTTTGCATCGTGATGTTGTTGTGGTGAGAATGGTGGTGGTGGTGGTGTTGCTGTTTTGTACTATTGACTATCCTTTATTTTCTTTCTTTCTTTCTTCTTGTATGGGCGGTTTCTTGTTTTGTTGGGTTGTATATAACCATTCATAGCGCTTTCATACACGTCATCGCTATTGGACTATCAATAGGTTAGCATAAGCCAAAAACTACCAATCGATCTCAAAATGCATATATTATCATCCCAACCTATATACACCAATGCAAACACCCAAACCAACCATAACGCCACCCAAACCAGTAACGCCACCCAAACCAGTAACGCCACCCAAACCAGTAACGCCAACCATCTATGAGCGGAGAGTATCTATATGACATTACAACCAGATCAAAAATCTAATCACCTAAGTAGCACGGGATTTCTCCCCCTGCAAAGACTCCATCATGACCGCGCGCAGCCGCACATTGGCCACACCACCCACACCATAAGCCGGCACGATCTTGCCCATGCGCGCAAAACAGCTCACCACGTAGTCGCGACGGATGCGCGAGGCTCTCTCGCGCCACCCCAGCCCACCCGGCGGCTGGCGGTTGTACAGGTCCAGGCCGAGGAGATGCATTGGCGTACTGGCGAACTGCATCAGGGCGGGACAGGCGAACTGCGCCACGGCCGCTTTCATGCCCGGCGTGGCGGCCACCGCGTCCGGAATGGAGGGCGCGATTAGCGGGGGGATGTTGAAGGACGCGAAGATGGTGATGCTGTCGCGGAGGCAGAACAGCCCGTAGGAGACCCGGGGTACGTGTTGGGTTGCCGTGCCGGCCGGGTGGCATGATGCGGGCGGAGATGACCGCGGCAGCGGCGCAGACGGCGATGCGGCAGGGGTCGGGGACGCACCGAAGAGTCGCGCGAACCGGGCGTCCTTGTATACGCAGATGCTCATGTTCACGATGGTGGTGGTCAGGAACTTGGCTGTGTCGGGGAAGACGGCGGAGAAGGACTTATTGCGCAGGGTGGATGAGACCGTGTCCATGACGTTCGCGGTGAGGTAGGTCGACGTGTATAGCGTGTAGATGAGGAGGAAGGGGGTGCTGAGGAAGAAGGCCCCCGGGCGGGAGAGGATGGATGCGAAGTTGGAGGTGATGGTCTGGCGGATGGAGACGCCTTTGGCTGCTTTTTCGATGATCGCCCTGAGAGACACTTGCGGTTAGTAAAAGTCCTTTTTTTCATCCATATCGATCCTCTTACCGATCGATGACTGTGATGACCGGACACGTCAAGGCTCCTGCGATAGCGGCGCTGGTGACATCGACGCCGAATCGCATGGCCAACCGGTCGGTGTTCCACGCCTTTCCGGGCGACACGACCGGTACAGGGACCGGAGTCTCATGAGCGAGAAGACGAGTCATCGTCTGGATAGACCTGGTCGGGTCTTGGGAGCAGAATAATTGAGATGACTCGGTCGAGATAACTCGATCAAGATCGCGACGTCATGCAAGGGAGGATGGACTTGGGGGGGAACAATGATTATAGACGATTCATATAAACATTATGGCAATCTAGGATGGGGACGAAGAACCTGAACCAGCAGGAAGTGAAGTAATAATTGAATCTGATATTGACGGTCATCGAGTCGGACGAGAATCTGCCGGTTGGAGCGCCGATGCCGGCCGATCATTCTGCCGTCTCCCGATTTCTACTTCTACTTTACTTCTACTGCTCTTGTCCTCTCTATTATACTTCTCTGGTTTTTTTATTTTCGATTTAATTTGCCTACAGGTCGCTCTGCTCGACAGAGTTTTGCCTATCGTGCGCAGGATTTAGTGCCCCCTCCGTGGTTGGCTAGCGGCTAGCTCGATTCGATGTATATTTAATCCCTCAGCGCCGAACGCGCCGACTCCTCACCATCATGACTCCAGAGGATGGATACAGTATCAGATCGGTCAGACGGAGATCAAATCGGCGAATGCTCCTTCTGCAAAGAAGTGGTCTGCGAAGAACGTCTGGGACATTCTGAAGACCCCCAGAAGCTGTTCCATACCACATGCGCCAAGTGCTCTCTGTCAGACACCGGACCGGATGCCTCTTTTTGCTCGGCCTGTCGTCATCTGAGACTCCCTCACCTCATCGGATGTCTGCGTCTGGCTATCGTTGACCCGGTATACGTGCCATTGGGCACTCTTGGGCAGCTGCGCGATAAGCGCTGTCAGTTCTGTCAATTCCTTGCGCGGACCCTGTCGACATTTGCCCACCACGCGTTGCGCAATGACGCACTGGATGCTTATTCAGTGGTGTTATGGGCATTCGAGGCGAGTCTCAAGGTAGGCTTGGAGGATGGAGACGGCGAAGCACTGGTGGACACCAGCCTTCCAGTGTGGATTCAAACCTGCAACCCCCAAGGGGAACCCGAGCTGGCTTCGGTAGGGTTCGATCAGAGTGGCGCACCGTTTGATAGACTCCCCGTGATGACGGAGTATGTCGACTGGAAGCAAGTCCGTCTGTGGATCCGAGAGGACCTGTCTAGAACCGCATCAGAAACCGACGACCCTTCTAGACCCATATCAGGTCTCAAGATTATCGACGTCCACCAGGACCGTGTGGTCAAAGCGACGGCAGACTGTGCATATCTCGCCTTAAGCTATGTCTTCGGCACAGCGAACACAGTCGACGTGCCCGCGTCAGGCTTCTTCAACCGCCAAGCGCTGCCATTGACGATCCGCGACGCCATCGTAGCCTGCGAGGCAATAGGCATGCGGTACCTCTGGATCGACCAGCTCTGCATCCAGCAAAGCGACGCAGTCGACAAACTCCAGCAAATCAACCAGATGGACCGAATCTACCAAGGTGCAGTATGCACACTAGTCGCCGTCGCCGCCGACAACGGCCACTACGGACTCCCAGGCGTGACCAAGCCTCGCTCCTGGACATACCCAACCTGTCAAATCGGCAACGCCGTCGTCTCCGGCCTCACTCCCTCGCCCTCGTGGTGCATCCGCTACAGCAAGTGGTACACGCGGGGCTGGACTCTACAAGAAGCGCTCTTCTCCAACCGGTTCCTAGCATTCGCCGACCACGGCGTCCACTATGGCCGTCGCTACCCAGACGATTTCGACTTTTCCTCCGAGCACTGCAGCGACCTCAGCAATGAAGACTCCGTCGTCATCCCCGCCCTCGGCGACTTCTGGACCACCCTGGACGACTACACCGGACGGGACCTCTCCTTCCCCTCCGACATTCTGCGCGCTTTCACGGGGGTTCTCCGCTCCATCCACGGCGACAACACCTACCACGGCCTGCCACCATCAGAAATCGACCGCGCCGTCCTCTGGACCCTAACCAGCAGGCAGCAAAAACCCCACCGCCACCGACCAGGCTACCCCTCCTGGTCATGGACCTCCCACAACGGGCCCACAGCACACCCATACCCAGTCGCCGCCCTATCCATCTGGGCGATCCCCCGACCAGGGTCATCCCCCACCATCTGCCAGCCCGCTAGAGGCACCAAATTCGACGAGAACGAAAAGGGCATCCCGATATACATGATAGCTCCGATCATGGTAGCCTGGCTAACAGGCTGCATCCGCGCTCCTTTCCCAGGGTCTTCATCATCTCCTCCCACAATCAGCGCCGCATCCCTCGACACTCTTGCAAAGCGGTGGCCCACCCACGACGCATACTGGCAAGACGCTTTCGGCAACACCACCATCGACAACCTCTTCACCCCCCAAGACCAGACAACAGCATCGTCCCACCCCGGCCGCATCCTCATCCACGCCCAAACCCCCTCCTCCACCCCCTCCCCATTCACAATCAATCGCCCCCAACACGCAATAAAGCACCGCCCGAACCTCTTCCACATCCGCTCCTCCCTTACCGGCACCTTCGCCGGCACGATCCACATCCCAACCTACAACGCCGACCCCAGCATCCTCTCCAGAGCAGAGTTCATCGCCCTATCCATCGACAAGATCAACGACGAGGACTACGCCATCGCCCGCGAAGAGAACTACCCCGGTGACGTCGGCCTCTTCAGTGGGGGGAATGTTCTCGAATCTGACCCTGTCAGCAGGGGACCACCCCCTCTAGCTGATATGCAAGCTGCACTGCCGATCAACGTCATGCTCGTTGTGCGGAGTGAGAGGGAGGGCGAGAGTGAGAGTATGAGGGGAGCTAATCTCGTGAGGAGATTAGGCGTGGGGTATATCTTTTTGAGGGAGTGGGCGCAGGCTGGGCCGGTAGGGAGGGGATTTGTTCTTGAATAGCTTTTCTTTTTTTTTTTTTCTTTCTTTCCTTTTTTTCTGAGCTTCTTACCAACTCAACTATCAATGATATGAGGAAAATGGACAAGAATCCTGCTCCCCGTGCTACTATTACCATTATTCGTAGTCCTTTATGCTCTAGGTAGGATCTAGAGTATGACTTGACTCCATATATCAAAACAACAAGTAAACATCTCTGATATCCTGCAATCCATATATTTCATATCATCTCTCATGAGATAGAAGCTTACGATAGCAAACTCCACTTATATCAATCAACATGGACATATCATATAAAATTCATAAATAAAAACCAAGGCTCCCAACGCCGTACAGATGATGTATCATGTTATCTTAATGTCAAACCAAACCAAACCAATGTCTTGTCTTTTCTTTTCTTTTATTCCACCGGGTATGGGGTTTATTTAGTTGTTGCTTGGCGGTACGGCATGGATGTCGTCGAGGGTGACGTTGACGGCGCCTGCTTGGACGAGCTATTTTTTGGGTTATTTAGTATGGTAAATTATATAGATGGGAGGGAGGGAATGGGAGGGGGGAGAACGTACAGCTCGTCGCAAATCGTCGATGAGATCATCAGCATCTTCGATACCCACGCACAACCGGATCAAATCCTCCGGCATGGCGCGCTCCTGGCGCGTCTTGGCGTCGATGCTGGCGTGGCTCATGCGACACGGCATGCTGATCAGACTGTTGACGCAGCCGAAGCTGACGCTAATGGCCCACAGCTTGGCGCTCTCGACGATGCGCTCGCTGACGCCGACGTCGCCGGTCTCGAAGGACAGGACGGCGCCGGAGCCACGCGCCATCGAGTGGTGCAGGTCGTACTGCGGGTGCGAGCGCAAACCCGGGTAGCGGACCTTGAAACCGTGGGACTCGAGGTACTCTGCGATGCGCATGGCGTTGGACTGCTGCTGGTCCATGCGGACCTTAAGGGTTTTGATGCCGCGCATGAGCAGCCACGAGTCGAAGGGGGAGAGACCGCAGCCGGAGGCGTTGATGGGGAAGTAGAGACGCTCGCCGAGGGCGAGGTCGTTGACGGCGATGACGCCGGCCATCAGGTCGTGGTGGCCGGACAGGTACTTGGTGCCGCTCTCGTAGACGATGTCGGAGCCTAGCTCGAGCGGGTTGAGCAGCAGCGGGGACATCATGGTGTTGTCCACGGCGACCAGACAGGCTGGGTTGGCCTCGTGCGCGGCGGCCGCGATCGTGGGGATGTCGACGACCTTGATGAGCGGGTTGGTGGGCGTCTCGAGAAGGACCATGGTCGTCTTGGGCGTCAGCACCTCGCGCACCTTCTCCGGGCGCGTCGTGTCGACGTGGTGTACGGTGATACCGCCATTGGTGGACAGGAACTTGAGGAGACGGTTGGTGCCGCCGTAGAGGTCGTCGCCCGTCACCACTTCGTCGCCCGGTCGGAGGAGCCGCGTGATCACGTCCAATGCGGCCATACCAGATGACACGACGAGGGCGCGTTGGGCGGACATGACCTTGGCGAGATGGCGCTCGAGGTGCGTCCGAGTCGGGTTGCCGGAGCGAGTGTAGTCATATTCACCACCTCCGTCACCGGAGCTCTGTTTGAACGTGGCACTCTAGAGGACAATTGATTAGTTTCGACAATCTTAATTGTTCCTGTCTTATTTCTTTTTGTTTTCCACTTCTTTTTCTCCGTTCATTCCATCCCTTCTCCCCCATGAGTTGAAGCAATTGACTCGTACCTGATAAATAGGAACACTGCTAGCATTATACTGATCGCTCCCCTCGGTATAAACAAGCTCGGTAGCAATGGCATAGCGCTTCCCCGTGCGCGGACTCGACGGCGCCGGCGAAGGAGGCAAGTTATGGCCATCCAAGTCGACACTCGGGAAAGGCTTCTTCAAGGCCGACCCAGCCTTAGAATCGGAGGCCGACATCGCAGCGGGGCGGGGATGGCGGTGTGGTGGGGAAGAGAGAGCGTGAAGGGAGAGTTAAGAAGGGGGAGGAAAGAGCACCAAAGCAACCACGGGAATGGGACCGGGGAATTGATAGATAATATCAATCAGATGCAAGGGGAATCAGACAGATGGATGAACAGGGAGAAGGAAGATAGAAAGATGGAAGGATAAAGATGAAGGGAGGATAACTTTCTTTCCCCAGAATTGTTCGGCGTTCGCCCCTTTGCACGTGCCCTGATTGGCTGCCTGGGGCCCTCTGCGATTTCGTCATCGCTGCTAAACCCTTTTGGGAAGTAAACACCTCAGGCAGTCAAGAGACAGTGACTCATCACGTCATTTAGAGAAATGCACGAAATGCATTCATATTTCTATATACAAGAACCGCAGTATGCCCGGCTATTCATCATTATGCATGTGCAATCAACTCGCTATCCCATGGCATCACCCCTAGCCCATACGCCTGACGACGGCCCTGCCCCAACATCTGGCAGTGCTTCCGTATAAATCAACCATGTAGAGCCCTCGCATGACATGCCAGAAAGAATGGCTATGAACCCAGAACGCGAAGAAAGAAGTCAAGATAGAAAGGCAGGTGAGACAGTAAAAAATAAATCTGAAATAAGGTAGGATAACACAAGCAAGGCGAATGGGAGTATCTGAAACGGAAATCGATCGCCTTCCCGACTATAAAGAACAAAAGAGCACGCCCCACGCCAGGTCCACGCTTAGGTGGCCATTTCACCAAAGCTACCGTTGATCCCGAAGAATTGAAACCTAAGGTCCAGTCAGTAACGTCCGTGATTCCACTTTCAGTAATCCAGGATACATACCAATCTTCGACGTTCAACGTCGTCGGTGCCGTGGGCCCGCTGCGCGAGCTGCTGCTCCAGTTATCATCCGGGCTCGTGTGGTCCATGGTCGCCGTCCCGCCCAGGGGCGCATCCAGCCCGTGCATGGGCCAGGCCTGTTGGTTCTCCATCCCGAACATCGGCTGGGGTTGCTGCCCCTGGAGACTGATGCCCGGTGGCATGCTCGAGAGCAGTTCGGGGCTGCCCTGGGCCCCTGCCGGCCCCGAGGTCGACAGACTGCGAGTCGGCAACTGGTGTGGCATCATCGGTCGCTGGTCCATCGCAGGATTCTGGAGGTGTGGGTGCATGTGCAGCTGGGGGTCGACGGTGGCGCTCGGGGGGGAGGTGAGCTCCGGGAAGATGGCCGTCCCATCCGGGAACAGCTGGTCGGGCTGGAAGTTCTCCCACAGCGAAGGGGAGAGATTCGGCGACGTCCGCGTCACGAGGAACAAGTCGGGTGGTGTTGCGGGAAGCGAGAATTGGTTGTTGAACGGCGTCGTGGGCCGGGTGTTGGACCGCGAGTTGCCTTCGCGGGGACCCAGCGGGGACCCGTGCGGTACGCTCAGGCCCGGCTGTCCCATCTCTCGGGACGGGGTAGCGGCGGGTGTCTGAGGTCGTGATCGCTCGTATGAGACCGGCGGCGTGGGCCCTCCGTTCGGCAGACCGATGTCCATCTCGTCGAACTTTCGCTTCGGCGGCTCCGGCTTCCGCGCCAACTGCTGATGGGCCATGTCCGGCCGCACTCGCTGATGCCGCCGGCCCGCGGCCTTCTGGAGTCGCTCCTCCAGCACCTTATTGCCTAAGATAGACTCAAACAGGGTGTGAACCATCTTGGCCACCAGCCACACCTTGGAGACATCTTTGAGCGCCTGCATGCAGATGTTGATTCGCTCCTGACAGGTGGCGACGACGGAGGGAACGGAGGATCGCATTTGGTAGACATGCATGATCAGGGCGGAGAACAGACTATATACACTGGACCGGGAGTCAGCACGACAGTGAGCAGCGAGGCAATCGTCCCACTTACATGAACGCAGGTGTATATCGGATTTCTTTGTGCGTCTGGAGGTTCTCAACAATCGATGTGATCATCCCCGCCGCTTGGAATGCAATGGTACGCGAGGGGTATGCCATCTCCTCGACGCGGTAGCTACTCGGGACCGACGACGCCGGAGGCATGTGCGCGCGATGTAGTAAACAAAGAGTCGTACTGCGCTGATGTCAGTGAATGTCGAAAGCACCTGGAAAGGAAATCTTACTAGTAGTTTGCATGAAGCAGACCGGCCCAGAAATGATGCCGCTGGCGTTGCCAACACACCTCCTTGGGGCAGTTCTGAAGCCAGTCCGCCAAGGCCATATCCGAATGGGTCAGGTCCATCGCATTCATGCGTCGGGACTTGGAGGCCACGGAGTATTGCTGCGAGAGAACCAGGCCCATGATCTCGCAAAGTTTGACGTACTGGAGGAAGAATTGGACGTGGACGGGTTCCGGGGGGTACTCGGCCGCGATATCAATTTCATCCTCAATGAAGTCGTCTTCGGTCAACATGCCCACATCGGAGTCATCCATATTGATGCCGATCGGTCGTCCTAAGGCGACCGCCACGGATCGGTCGCGCGTGAAGAGGGTCCACCAGATTCGCTTCCACAGCCTCTTGTCGGGCTTGATGAGTTGGGAGGATTCGACGCTGCGTTGGTTAGAGATCGTCCGGCTTAGGAGTCAGGAAGGGAGGAGATACCTTCGATGCATGCCCGACCCTTGAGCCACCACCATGGCCACCCGAGTCCAGTAGAATACGTTCTTGGTCACGTCTAGGAAAGGTAAGTAAGCATAATCACAGTACAATACGTTGCATCTCCACCAAGGTCACAGGAAGGATAGAGAGCTCACCTTCAGGCCCTTCCCAGTACCAGCCCAGGAGAACCAATGCTTGCACGATCGTGACACGGTCATCTTCGTAGTTGGCATCATACAACGCCTTGGCCCGCTTGTAGAAGGTCATGGCGGCGGGGGTCGTCGAGCCGTTGGCATCCATGAGCTGGGGGTTGGTGCAGACCCTGGATCCGGCCAGGAGAATGGCTTGGAGGAGCAGCAGGGACGGCGGATTCCTGGGGTCCCGGTAGTGGCGCATAAAGCGGCTGCGATTGATGATGGGTACGACGGGCGCCACCCACTTGAAGTAGGCATCCACCAGTTCATCGCACAGGGGCTTGGGCGGGAGCAAGAAGGCGCCCCGTTGGTGGAGGATGTCCAGCTCCAGGTTATCCAAGTCGGTCAACCGAGCGCGGGACCCGCGAATGTTGGGCGGCAGCGGATAGTGGACGACGTCGGTGGTGCCATGGCGGTCCTGCACTAGCAGGGACAGATTGGACGACTCGCCGAGATACGCGACCCGCCCGGCCTCCTTGATCGGGGCACGGGCAAACTTGGGCTTCATGAACTGGGCGTAAGTGGAATTCTTGGGATCCTCCGGGGCGGCCTGCGCTTCGGGGAGGGGGGTGGTAGAGGGAATCCCGTCGACGGCCATTTGATTGTTGGGATAACCAAAAGCATCCTTGGCACCCGGGGGGGCCTCAGACAGTTCCCGTTGACTCGGAGGTTTATCGCTGCGCTCGTCACTTCTAAAGGGGAGAATGTAGGCCATCGAGTCAGTATTTCGCCGATGCGACCGTTGCGACCGGTGGGGGGAGGGGATGGCGCTGGTTTTGAGACGTACCCGCTGCCCGGTGTTTCCTTGGACTTGTTCTGGTTTTTCTTGCGTTTCGGCGTGGGGATTTTACATTCGATGGAGAAGGCTACACAGTTGGTGCACGGAACACCCAAACTGGCAGCGTCGCAACGAACCTAGTGAAGGGGGAATGGTCAGCGATGTTTTCCTGCATGAAACGTTGAGGGGGAGGGGGGAGCGACCGGTGACGACCGGTCGCACAACCAACAAAAGCCAAGCAACAGGAGAGAAGAGTGATCCGAATTAAAAAAGAAAAGAAAAAGAAAAACGTACCTTGCGTGCATGGCAAGTCTTCACACAAAAGAAGACAGGTTAGCTCAACGGTTCTACAGCATGGAAGGGCATGGTGGTTGCGTGATGGTATCATGGGACAGCAGCCAACAATGACAGGCAGCAGCTGTGAAGGTGCAAGAAGAAGCCTCGGCACCTCGGCCCATCGCATGTCGCGTTGACCTCACAGGAACAGAGAATATGAGACGTACCTCACACGCACGCGACGCACGCTGTCTATAGATAAGATAAATAGCAGTTAGCATCGAACAGGGCTGATTTTGAATTTTAATCCCATCCCTTTCCACTCCAGAGCCTCGACTTCAGGCCTGGGGGGAAGTGCGCCCATCCCCTCGTGCAGCCTCAGACCCCGCAACGAACAGGGACAGCTTCCCCCTCTTCTCTCCTTCTTCACATCCCAGCAAACAAGGGAGAAGGAATTTCCACAGGCAAGAGAAAGGACGATGACTCACCTTCGAAAACTCATCTGGCCGTTGGAACCGGTGCGCACGGTAATTCCTGAAGTTCCGGTCGAGCCCGCAGTACTCGGAGCCGGGCTGGGTCGTGAAGTTGTAAAATCGTTGGTAACGTCGCCTGTTGTGCTCATGGCCAAAAGGTATCCATCCAGAGAAGTCGAAATCGGGGAGGAGACGAGAGCGATCGTTTATTAAAAGGATTGCGGGGGGGAGAGAGAGTGAGAGGGAGGGGGCGCAATTTGGGTAGCGTCACGACACGTTCCAACAGGGTAAAATAACAAAAGGGTCAAAAAAGAAAATCAATGGATGGATAAAAAAAAAAACAATGATTTATAAGTAGGAAAAGTGACAGATGTCAGAAGTCGTCGAAGAGATGAGAATGCCGAAGAAATGAGGTGCAGCACACAGGTAGATGGTGGAAAGAAGAGGAAAAATAATACAAGGAAGCGAAATTGAAGGAGTGGTGGTTGGTTGACTTCTTTTCCTCGTTCTTTTTCAGCCTTTTGTCTTTTCTTCTACTGTCGAGTTCTTTTGATCTTGGGTAATTTATTATTGTGATAAAATTTTTTTTTCTTTCTGTTTTTCTTGTTTATCACCTTTTGTGATTCGCGATCGTTTTTTTAGTTTGATTTTTGAATTTCCCCCCTGTCTGTTGAAGTAATCTGGAACGACGGGCAGTGGGTAAGGAACCTATCGCGACCTGGAGAAGGTTCAAGTTCCGGGGTGGAGAGTGCAGGGAACAATGGAGCGAAGGAAGGATGCAGGGAGAGCGGAGATGGCGACAAGAGGTTGAGTTAGGAGGAAGAGGGGAAGAAGAGGAGAAAAAGGACCGGGATGGATGAGAGGAGAAAGGTCGAGGTCAGGAACCATAGGAAGGTCTAGAAGATTAGGCAGTGGGCGCAGTCGTTAGTCACGTAGTTAACTATTAACTAGTTGGTTATTCTCATGATTATTCTGATTATGAGTTCAGGTCAAGTCAATGATCATCTTGTTAGCCCGGAGTTACTCGAACTAGCGAGTCACCAGGACTATCAATTCTCTGCCCAGAAACTAGGAAAAGGGAGATGTGGAGAAAGCTGCTTCTTTTCATACGATATACGCTCTCTACCCCACGCTATTCCACTTTCCTATCCATAAGTTGATTCCAGTCTATAACATTCGCCACCACAACTAACACTCCTGAAATAGGACGGCTTGAATGTCAGTAAGCTACCTACCTACTCCACCTAGGTATCAGCTGAAGCTGACAGACACTCGTGTCCTATATCCCTATTCCTATGTGGGGAAGAATCCAACCAAGAATCCATCAGACGATCGACTATCAAAAAGGAAAGCAGATCGTCGAATCTCAAGAGGTCCTCACACAGACCGATGTTTACCCCGTGTCCCAGTCCCAGTCCGTCTCCAACACTAGAACCGACTGACTTCAAACGGCGGGATTCGGGATCCAAGACCCAGGATCCGCGCGCATCGTAGATCCAGCCCAGGGGCACGAAACGTTCGAACTATCCTGAGACAGGGGATGATAACCGAGTTAACTCTCTATCTTGCTCTCTTTCTCTCTGTATTTTTTTTATCCACTTAGAGCCGCTTAACGAAACGACTATAGTCTACCAGGCTCATTACTAACCTTGTACTTTGTCCTCTACACCCTCGTCCCTTGACCTTGTCTGATGTAAGACCCGCTGGAGTCCCACGCGGAACGGGAGGGAATGGAGCCTTGCAGACAGGATTCGAAAGAATCCTCCGGACTGAATCATTTTGAAGTTAAACAGAAATAACACTATTATTATGACTATTATATTATATTGCTAGTATGTGATAATAATATCAAGTCAGTTCCGACTGGCTCATCACACCCGGTTCTACCCTTGCCAGCGAACCAGGAGGATCTCTCCCCACACATCATTATTTCCCCGAATTACCCCATGGATTCCCCAGAAAATCTTATTATTATTATTACCACATGATTTTTGTTGTTATTATTATTCTTCTTATTATCACTATGATTTATTTCTTTGCCATTGTGTCGTGAACGGGAAGACACGGGTGAAATGGATCGATTTGCGCATGGGACCACGAAGGATCCATCCATATTTCCACTGACTCAGTTATCCATTTCCCTTGGATCCATACATACTTCTCAGTCCCTTAGACCTATAACGAACAAGTAAGTAGTGGTATAATTACAAGTAACTACCTAGATACCAAAGCTTAGCCATGACATCCATTATGGATCCACATCCACCCAAATCAAACATAAAGCCCAGGAGCCATCTCACCTTCAGAGTATTCTGTACCACCACTATATAATAGACATATAATTGATCCACTCCCCGTAACCAAGTAACCTCACCGCCACCAACAAGTGCCTACCTATCTACCTACTCAATATCGGAAACTACCGGAGCTTGTGACTATACCCTAATGTAAACCTCCATATATTACCCACCCACCCCGCAATCCACATCCACTCGAGCCTCTCCACCAGACTTGTTCCTTTTGACGCACGGTGCTGAGTACCTACCTAAGCGGAACATGCATACATACACGCATGTCATGTCGTCATGGGGGGGGACCTCTTAAAGTGTATGGTTGAGAGACAGTGTGTGTCCGTGTGTGTGGGTATGCGCGTGGTGTGCCTGAAAGGATCAGGTACCTGAGCTGCGTACTTTGTAGTTGATAGGTAGGTAGGTAAGTAGGTAGGTAGGTACTAGATAAGCAAGAGATAGACAGCTCGTGAAGCCTCGGCTATTTCAATCCCTACCTTACCACCATGCTCAGACTCTCCCTCCCTCCACCATCCCTCTCCATGTACGAGGCATGCACGCCCGCCAAGCAATGACATAGCCTCCACATGGATGATGGCATGTATATGCCGCAGACGAGGCCAGTCTTATGTGCCTGCGTCGCCACACCGCAATGCATGTAGGTATACCTACTATATAAGGGACGTGCTCAGTACCTTGTCATGTCTCGCTTGGGAGCCGAATCAGCAGAATAGAGACGCGGGGTAGAGGGTTTTTAATCTCCTAGACGTAATATATGCCTGACGTATGATGTCGAATGGGGGGAGGACTAGCCCCTCAGGATCGGGTATGTACCTAAAGGTGCAAACTAGGTACTGTACCTGGTTTAGGTTTGTGGCTAAGGGGGTTAATTTAAGTGGTGGGATTTTGTATTTTTTTCAAAAGGAATAAATGAATATCTAGTGTCTATAACGGTAATCATATACACAGCGATCAAAGTTAAAAGTCAAAAAGGATTAAAAAAAGGGGATAAAATAAACAGGGAAGGGGAAATATTAGTTCGGCTGTTTCCCCGTAGAGCCATCGTCTGCCGATCCATCCACGGTAACACCCTTGACCGGAGACCCCAGATCGACGCCACTAACGAAGACCTCGCTGAGGAATTCCAGGCCGGCAACGAACGTGCACAGGAAGCTGGCGATCAGGAAGTGGCTGATGGTGGTGCCGATGTCGAGCCAGGAGCCCTCGTCGCGGACCATGAAGAAGAAGTTGAGCGTCATGACGTCCGAGATGGACATGACGACCATGAAGAGCGCGCTGGGCGCGACCTCGAGCCGGCGATTGAGGAAGCCCAGGTTGGCGCTGATGATGGCAAACGGGATCAGCAGTTTGAGGATCAGGAGCGCGCCCTGGCTGAAGGGGCTGAACACCGGGATGAGCCGGGAGACGCTCTCTAGCGAGAAGGACGACACGGACGCGATGTTGCCTGTGCTGAAGAAGGCGGATTGGAGCAGGTAGAAGAAGAAGAGCGCCACGCGCGCATCTGAAACGCCAAGCGTCCGGTACCTGTACGCTTGGCCCTGCACGATCGCCGTCCCTTTGGGGCTCGGCTGGGGGCGCGCATCGGAGTCTTTGCCTTTCTGGGCATCGTGCGTCTGGGTTGGTGGTGCGGCCGTGTGCTGATACACCGCATGCTCTAGCCGAACCCACGTGATGAGCGTCATGCAGAACACAAAGTAGAAGAGCCCCTCCCAGGAGATGGTGAGGATGATGAATGTGGGGGAGAAGGTGAGAAACAGGATCATCGATCGGTGGAGATAGTGGCTGTTCGGGTACAGACGATGCAGGAAGGGCAGCATAAGCGACGCGACTAGAGCACATCGTTAGCGCAAACGGCCGAAACACTCCGAAACACGAGGCGATGGAAAGTCAAAAGTCTGTCATCTGGACCAACGTACCTAGAACACCCCAGCCAACCACTTGGTTGCCCCACGGCAGACCCTGCTTCGCCTGGAGAGACAGGGCACTCGAACGTGTGACAATCAGGGCGAGCAGCACCATCCCAACCTATCGCACGTCAGTGGCGGTTCCGCCTAAACAAGGGAGCGAGGCGCGGGATGCCTCCTGGTAGGCTCCTTACCTGGATTCCCATGACAGTCCGCGACCCACAGCGAGAGACCTCCGTGGATTTGGTCGGGGCATCTTTCGCGAGGATCGCATCTTCGAACAGCAGGTACAGCAAGCCCGTGAAGAACATGAGCAGGGCACCATATGTGCTGCAGGAACACGTTAGAGGGTGGCGACTTGCGTGTTTGGGTTTACAGGGTTCAACGCTTACATCATGTCGACATCCTCCACTTTGTTGGCGGACAGCAAGGTAAAGCTACTCATCAACAGGCAGCCGATCACCCATGACGCAGACAGCATGCCGTGATTCTTCACCACCTTGGTGCCATACATGAACGGCCAGAACGCGCCAACGATGAAGCAGACGGTATAGATCTCGCGTTGAAAGTAGGATTGCACCTGTACACCCGGTCAGTCAATACCACCATCCGTGTGGTTGTGCTCCAACATACCAGTGCCTCCAGCACGCCCACGAAAACGACCATCTGCACTGCAAATGAGAAGTACCCCCGCACGGAGGTAACGTGGGACAGCAGTATCTGACGACCCGCAGCCAAGGCCCTCCGCCGGGCAAAGACCTCTTCCCAAAAATAGACCGGGAACAAAGCGTAGAAGTAATATCGCCACGAGGACTGCTGATACAGGAAAACCGAAAAGAGCGCGACGAGGATCGACGAAAAGAAGATCGTGCTCGTCACCGTCCGGTTCGAATCCGAGGCACCGTGCAAGACGTGCAGATCGATGACGGTCGTCAACGCATATGCGATCCAGCCCAGGTACCCGAGCGTCACGATCGTCCGTAGGAAGAGCCAATCGTAGGTCTGGAGATAGCGCAGGCCTTCCAGCGCTGTTGCCAATAGCGTCGCCGAGAGGCGAATGGCCTCGTCATACGCGCCGTTCGCAATCAGAGACTTGATTTCCTCCAGATGATCGTCCACCGAATCATCACTCCGATCGTGAAGGGGCTCAAACGGCGTGTACCGTAGCAGCGCGGCCTTCTTCTGCTCCTCCTTCACGCGGTACATTTCCAGGACTCCTTGGGTGTTGGCAAGTGCCGCCAGGGCCTTGTCCTTCGGACCCGCTTGGAGATACTCCAACGGTAACTTGCCCACGGAGTTGGTGGGAAAGTCCAGTCCGGCCAGGTAGGCCATGAGCGCTGCGACGTCAGCCTGGGCAACATCATTGCGGCGGACGGTGTCGAGTCCCCAGTCCGCCGACACCCCGTCCTCATGTCCCGACACCGCGCCGTCATGGACGTACTGCGGTTTGGCGACACCGGAGCCCCAGGTAACCAACGGCGTTCGAGTATTGTCCGGATGCCCATCACCATGGCTTCCGAAATCGCTCATCCCGTGGTCCGCAGTAAACACGAAGGCGGTCTTGTCATCGGCGTAGAAATCCTCCACGAGCCGCGTGATTTCCTGCACGCCCTTATCCACGACCTTGATGTTGTGCAAATACTCCTTGGAGTAGGGCCGGTAGCCGTGGCCGGTCGTATCGAGCCCCAGCAGGTGCAAGAAGAACACCAGCTTATCCTGGCGCAACGTCGCATCCAGCGCGGGATCCTTCTTCGCCGCCGCGAAAAGCTCCTTGACCTTGTCAAACACCCAGATGTCGAGCAGCGTTGCGTCCGACGTGAAGTCTTCCGCCTCCTCTCCATACATGTCCGCATCGATCCTACCGGGTTCCGCGCCCTCCTTGAACATGGGGAGGATGTCCGGGCTGCCCCAACTCCACGTGTGCCGACTCCGGTTGAAGACGCTGTCGAAATTGACCGGGTTCAGTTTCCACCCCGTCGTCACGGACGACACATCCTCGTATAGGCCGGCGATCAAGGCGACATGTCCGGGTCTCGACTCGGTGGGGACTCGTGTGTGGGAGATGCCGAAGGTACCGTGGGAGAGGACGCGGGATCGAATGAAGGGCGCGAGGTAGACGGGCTCCGAGTTCTCGACATCGGCCGGTTCGTCCGGGTCCGGTAGCGCCTGGAAGGCCTTGTCTGCGCGTAACCCGTCGGCGACAAACAGGACCAGTCGGTTGGCCGGCGCATCGGCGTTGGCATCTCGTTCGACCCGATACGACTTCATCCCGCTGACAATCGGGCTCACAAAGTAAATATCGAAGATCGAATAGGCGTACATGAGGTGGAAGACCACCGCGAGGGTTAGAAACCACCCCCGACTGAGGCGAGCCATCGTGAATTGGTATAGGATATGGATCCCACGAAAGGGGAGAGACCCCAACTAAGCTTTATTAATAGTCTTGTAGGTCCGTCCAATGATCACAACAAACAAGAACAGTAATCACGAGAGAAAAGAACGGTGGATGGCGATACACGAGGATGATGAGCGGACAAGCTAGCCAATTGCCGCAGCATCCTCAATGCGACGAAGAAACAATCGACCTGGACGTTAGTGAAGTGAGAGAGATGAAGCAAAAGAATTGGAAACGTTCCAGAAAGCAGAAAGCCAGTTGGCGCGCGTTCGAGGTCCGCGGTGGACCAATAGGGGTTCCGCCCGGAGGACCTTGAGGCGGACCTGGGCATTCAGGACTGTGGAGTCGACACCACTTGTTTCGAGATTTCATCTCTCGGGGTGATATACTCTGGAGTATAGTCTAGAATGCCATAGGGCAAATAGAATTGAGTCAACTACTAGATAAATAGCACGAAGATAGTGTGAAAACCAAGTCATGATCAATACGAAAGTGGTATAGAATACGATACCGTAATACATGCCCGTACCTGACCGACAGATCGGGCAGGCGGTGAGCGGCATCTCCCTGACATGTGACGTGGACCCAACGGTCGGCAAATCCAGTGCTGTAACTCTTGTAACTCCGTCCGTACTGACGATTGACTCTCCCCGACCTCATCATTACCATTCAATCTATCTCTCGACTTACTTTGCCTCCCGTTGCTGGACGCGGGCTATTACTATCTTCTGTTATTTTATTATTGTCTTCTCTTTTCTTCCTTTCCTCCCATTGATCTGCTATTCAATCACCTAAGATCCATCTGGGATCCTATTCATCCTTCCCATCTACTGTCGCAATGGCGTCCGCACGCGGTCCACGATGGCAGCAGTTCTTGCAGGAACTCGTGATGGTGGCAGGCACCGTGAGCTCAGACCGTCCTTCGCTGCACTGGATTTGAACCGAAACTAATGATGAGAGATGAACAGTCTGCATCCGCATACTTCCTCATCCGTTATCTACTGTCTCGCCTCGACTTCGACCCCGAGAGCCAGAAGAAAGATGAACAACGAAAGAAATCAGCAGCCATCCTACGGAGGCTCGACGGGACCGAGGAGTCGGACGATGAATCACCACGTCGCGGTGAAAAGCGCCCGCGCCGGCAAAAGAAGGCGGAACTGACCCTGAACCAATACGAGCAGGCCGTCGCAATGGACGTGGTTGCCCCGGATGACATTCCCGTCTCGTTCGAGGATATCGGCGGGTTGGACACGATCATCGAGGAGCTGAAGGAGTCTGTGATTTACCCCTTGACCATGCCGCATCTCTACGCCTCGACTTCGTCCCTCCTCACCGCCCCGTCCGGTGTCCTCCTCTACGGCCCCCCGGGATGCGGCAAAACCATGCTTGCGAAAGCCCTGGCCCATGAAAGTGGGGCTTGCTTTATCAACTTGCATATCTCCACCTTGACTGAGAAGTGGTACGGTGACTCCAACAAGCTGGTCAACGCCGTCTTCTCGCTGGCTCGGAAGCTCCAGCCTTCGATCGTCTTCATCGACGAGATCGACGCCGTGCTGGGTACGCGGCGGAGCGGCGAGCACGAGGCCAGCGGCATGGTGAAGGCCGAGTTCATGACCCACTGGGACGGTCTGACCTCGGCCAACTCCACGGGCGAGCCGCAGCGGATCGTGGTGCTCGGCGCCACCAACCGGATCCAGGACATCGACGAGGCCATCCTCCGCCGGATGCCGAAGAAATTCCCCGTGGTTCTTCCTCCAGCGCAACAACGACTCCGCATTCTCAGCCTGATCCTCAAGGACACCAAGATCGACCGCGAGAACTTCGACGTGCACTACCTGGTCAAGGCCACGGCCGGCATGTCCGGCAGCGACATCAAGGAGGCTTGCCGCGACGCCGCGATGGTCCCGGTCCGCGAACTGATCCGACAAAAGAAGGCGGCCGGACTGCAGATGACATCCGTCGATCCGAACGAGGTCCGCGGTCTGCGGACGGAGGACTTTTCGACCCGTGCGGGGAGCATCCGGGCGATCCCCCCGCCGTCCCAGCTGCCGACGACTCTGTCCAGCAAAGCCAATTCGGAGAAGGAGTGGAGCACGGAGTCCGAGGGCGTATCGGAAGGGGAAACGCGGCCTTCTACAGACATGGCCGAACCGCCGGAGTAGGGCATTAATCCGAAGGGGTGTGGGATCTCCTGTCTATAACACTTGTACACAGCAGCCGGGGTGGCGTTTGTTGGATATAATACCAGTCAGCTTCTCCTGATCAATTTACGACATGACTTGATAGAGAATATTGTTTTAGTAATTCTTCCCCTTTTTCAGTCTACCTAATATACTTCTAGGTTCGTTATTCAATCAAGCGTGGGGTGCGGCTCCGCTTCAGCGGCTATACATGTCGTCAGCGAGACGCCTGAAGGAGTGGCCTGACAGCCCCTGCAACAATTTAAGAGATTTGTATATAAATAATTACATCGGTGAAAATACAATAAACCCCATCGATCATTTGAGAGTGGCAACTAAGAAGAAAGTACAGTCCAACTCCGCCTCAAGTGGTCCCAAAACGGCCCTTGGGTCCACGTGATCTATACATGGACTGGCCAGTTGGCTTCGTGATATGGGACATACAATCATTAGAATAACAATCTAGTAGCTAGAGTTTTTTTCGCCATGTATCCTAAAATATAGACGTTGTATTGAATCTATATATAATAACATTAATATATGAAAAACCGACTGTATCCATACCGTGTCGATCACCGCAGACAGGCTGATTGCGGGTTAGTCAGGATTCTGGAGGCAAGACTGGATTCACCTTTGCTTCTCCGCTCCATCCATTCTCTCCTCTCCTCTCCTCTCCTCCTCATTCTCTCCTTAGTCTTGACTCTCCTAATGATTCTGATATAACCCCTCCTTCCAGGTTACTCGCTGCCTCTCCCTTTCTTGACGAACTGCCTAGTGGGCCGCGTTAGCCTCTCCCACTAAACCAACCCATTCCTAACTTGACCACCGTCGTCCTTACCTTGCAGCCTCCTTATCTTCCTGTCCCTTCGTTACGTCGTCTGGCGGCTGCTTTCTTCGTTCTTTCAAGTCAACTTCACTGCCAAATCCCTCGCTTACCTCTTCGGATTACACCGGACGTCTTTCGCGTTTATCTCGTGTTTTGCAATAAGAACCGAAAAAAAAGAGACATAATAAAGAAACAAGAAAAGGACACGGATGCGATTCGAGGCCTGGATGACACATGTCCTGTCGTAGGGACCTCCGATGGCAATCCGTGCCTTGGCGATCTCATCTCACTCCGTCAGGTCTCGTCAGGGGGGCTGAACATACTACTCGTCTCAAATCTACCTCTTCCTCCGGTCGCCAGGGATGAGTTCCCACCGATCGGCCTCCACCACCCCGGGATCGAGCACCAATACCTCCTCGGCCATTCGCTCCCGCACCCGCCGCCTGGTCTCCTCTACCGAGGACGACGATGACGATGTGAATGGGAAGCCGCTGCAGTCCTCGGGGCTGTCCTTTCTCTCCCCCGACCTGCCCCCCACGCGTTCCGGCCGCTCGACCCCCTCCTCCCAACCCTCCCGCGGCATCTCCCCGGTTCCCATGAGCCACCCCTCGCGGGCCACCTCTCCACCCAACCGTGCCTGGTCCAAGGATTCTTTAGGTGCGTTTCGTGCTAATCCACCCCCTTCAGTGGAGCTCGAGCTGAGTTGTCGTGTCCTCCCGTAGGATTCCTCGATTCGTCGTGGTCCTCCCTCCAGAGTTTGGCGTCGTCGTTCCTCGGCAGCGACGTCGCCCATCCGGCCCCCAACGGAGACCCCCGGGGTCACGTTCGGAAACCGTCTCGCCCTGATCCGTATTCGAAAGCCCCGACGCCCGCGTGCGCTCCGTCGGCGTGGGGCCCGTCCGCCCCCGCGTCACCCGAGATCGGAGCTGGGACCCGGGAAGAACGGCGAGCGCTGGTGCAGGCGAAGAAGCGAGAGGCGCTGTTGCTGGCCGATCCGGTTCCGACGTGGGGCCGGGATCGCCGACACAAGAGACGAGACTCCTGTGACCAGACCGGGCACTCGGCCATTGACCCGGAGCAAGACGAGGAGGCTCTGGCCTACATCCATCATGTGCAGCCGACAGACAGCATCACGGGCGTGACCATCCGATATGGCTGTCAACCGGCAATCTTTCGGAAAGCCAATGGCTTCTGGCCGAGTGACAGCATCCAGGGCCGCAAGACCGTCCTCCTGCCGGTCGAGTCTTGCACCGTGAAGGGTCGACCGATCCCACCGCCGACGCCAATTTATAATGGCAACGGTGCCGAACGGGATTCTTTGGAAGACCCCAAGGGCAGCTCAATTGTGCCGTCGACGACCTCGGGCGAAAGCACGCCGCAGCACGCCTCGTTCCCGGAGACGACGGTCGAAGTCGAGGCGGATCGGGTCTGGAAGCACGAATCGTTGGTGCAAATCGACGGGTTTTCCGCCCCGGTGGAGATCGGCCGCGTCCCTCGGAGAGCGCTTGGGTTCTTTCCCCGAACTCGGCGGAAATCGGTGTCAGCCACTGGCTCTGCACCGCCGTCGACCTCTGCTCGAGGGCGAACAGACACCACATCCACATCATCGTCACCTATCGAACCGCCGTCATCTGCATCGACCCCGTCCGGGATTCCGTCGTCGCCGGCTGCGTCCCGGGCCACCCAGTCGCCCCTGTCCGGGGGACACCGTCGTCAACGGAGCAATATCCAGCTCACCGTGCCGGGAGTTGGCACTCTGGATCGTAATGCGACGGCTCCTGGACCGGCTCCCGATGGGCTGAGCAAGTTCTTCGCCCAGCACATGCCTACGTTGGCCCCTCCCACTCCGGCCCCTGACTTTCGAGACTCCTCCGAACACCTCTCGACCTCGGTGTCAAACGCAACCACGGGGCTGGAGAATCTCGGCGGTGCCTTCGAGGGATGGATGCGCAAGGTGACCACGCGAGCGAAGAACAGTCTGGGGGAGCTCCAGCGGGCGCAGAGCTACCAGACCAGTGCCCCGGGTCGGTCCGGTGGACGACGCGGGGATCTAATCGAACTGAACGACGGCATGGACTCCCGGAATTCGTCACGGGACTCGGCTTTCCTCGCGGACCCTCGCGGACGGGCCGATTACAACCGCAGCAGCTCCAGCTTCCACGATGGAGCGACGCGGCGAGGCCTGTCGAATCCTTCGTCGACCAGCACGAGCCGGACTCGTGTGGGAGACCGGTACAAAGACGATTAGCCGTTCCCACCCTTTCACTCCTTTGAACGACATGGTCAATTAATTATGACCACACACTCATTTTCGATGGCCACGCCTGGGCTCTGTACCCTGACGGCTTTTGACGAGCTTTTGCGATACTCCATCCCTTGCACGCATAGCGTAGCGGCGCGACAGGATCATACTGTTGGCTTTGTCATTCATTGTATTTGGGGAATCCTATGTGATTCCTTTTTCCTTCAATTCTTGTATCTATCTCTTTCCTGTTGTGCGAGATCATCCGATCATTGGGTGGTGCTTTTTATATTTCATGGCGATTGGACGCATAAGAGATGGCGATAAGCATAGATTAGAAGCTAATGTAACTGTTCATATTGATCTACCTTTTTGTATCTAATTAATTATCGTTGACTTTTCATTCTATGTCTGATACTTCGGTATGAGTCGTGTGAGAGTATACTATACTATTCATATCCGATTAGATAAATACATATCGTCACGTCACATCTACACACCTGAGATAAGTATCAATATCAAAGTACTCCATCCAACTAACCTTATCAAGTCAACGTGAACTACCCAGTTAACCGACCCGTCACCCCGCACTTAGCTGCTTTTATACCTCCGACCATATACCCACCTACCATTTTTAGAGCCAGTACTCAAGGATCAGTCCTCCGAGGAGAAATCCAGATAGGCCGACAAGACATCCCACAATAGACAAAGCAAAAGCCAACTATCACCCAGCCTATAACCTTACCTTACCCTCGTACATGCCATCCGCGGCGGCTATTGCTCATCCTGATGTACCAATCAGGGTAAACAGAGGGAGGGCCCCCCGACGTGTCTCGTTGTAAGGTAGGTATAATCCTAGTAAGTCCCTGGAGTAAACCTTGAACTGCAGTAATCCACTAGGATGATGTGATGTGTTAGTATAGTGGAGGTAGTTAGTTACCTACCTACTTATCCAAACGCAGGAAAAGCAGATGACGATATTATAGGACAGGACTAAGCCGGTAACGACTGGTCATTACCTTAACCAGGTCTGTGGCTTGTCTATCACATACATCATATCAAATAGAATAACACCAAATGATAAACTTAGTTTCGATTTTAACCCCGCCCTGACGACTGCTTGGATGTTGATGCTTTTTTTTTATAAAAAAATTAAATTAAATTAATTATTTAAGAAACTGAATATCGACTTGCCCCGCCTCTCTCTCCCCTCCTTGATCTTCCTCCTCGTCACCTCTCTTTATTATTTTGGTTTCTCCTCGGTTGACTGAAGGCAATAATATCAATCGATATCATCTGAATACGTATATTCATATCATCATGGGCGTCACGAAGACTCTCCTCCGAGAGGGCAACGGCGTTGATATCCCCCAGAAAGGCGACAACGTAGCCATCCACTACACCGGGTGTCTGCACGATCCGTCTAGCCCTGACAATCACTATATGGGCAAGAAGTATGTATATGGATTCCCATTCTAGCGGGGGAGAAAGCAGGCTTGGACATTCCAGACTAATGAATGGTTCGATTTGATAGATTCGATAGCTCAGTCGACCGCGGCCAGCCGCTGACTACTTCTATTGGGGTGGGACGGGTGATTAAAGGTATTTTTTTCCATTTCCAAGGGAGTGGTGTTGGGTGGAATGCGATGGGCGTGGTAGAGCTGACGGGATCATTCGATGGATGTAGGCTGGGATGAAGGCGTGCTTCAGATGAGTCTCGGGGAGAAGGCTATTCTGACTATTGATCCGTGAGTCTTGCCCTATGATCAGATCGATAGTTCTGGGAGAAACGGCGCTAATGCGAAGACAGCGAGTACGGATATGGGTCTCGGTATGTGTTGCTTTTTTCTTCTCTTCCATCTTTGTCGCATGGTCTCTCGAACTGGATTCGTCGAGTGTGTGCACTGACTCTTTCGTCGCAGCGGCTTCCCCGGCTTGATCCCCGCGAACTCGAGTCTCGTGTTGTAAGTGCCCATCCTGCTGTCCCATGTCCCATCTGCGTGGGCTGACTGAAGCTGCAGTGAAGTCGAGCTCCTCTCCATCAACGACAAGACGGTATAACGTATAAGGCTGTATAGGGAAGACGAGGGACGACAGACGGTGCCATGGCTGTATGTAGCTGGCGAAAAGACGTTGGCAGTGGGTAATGTTATTGATTACACCGAATTAATCCGTGTATTCGCGTTGTGGCATATTCCCGCAGACGTAAGACCATATCTTCTCCGACAGAGGAGGACAGCTGCCCGTAGTTCAATCCGAGTCCATCCCATCCCATCCCATCCCATCCAACCCAAACATTCCTCCCCAAACAGCAGACCAGTAAGAACACAACTCAACTCGCAGCCAAAACAGTCGCAACGACATACTCCCCATCATGTGAAATGGACAACCTCCCCAACCGATCAGGCTCACCCTCCCCCCTCCCCAAAAACACCACCTCCGGCGCCCCCCTCACCCCACCCTTCTCCTCCCCAGCCCTAACAAGCACATCCTTCCACCCCAGACTCGCCGCGCCCCCAGGCGCCGCCTTGCGCGCCGCCTCCTTCGCAGCGAACCGTCCTGCTAACCAGCGCGTCATGTCGCCCGACACGGGGAATTGGGGGGGCGTAGCAGAGGAACCATTCTTATCCCCAGGAGAAGAAATAATAGGAGGAGAGACAGGGAAAAGACCAAATCGGGCGCGAAAGTCACGCTGCTCTTGCTCGTGCAGGATGCGACGCGTGAAGCGCGTGAGGAAGCCGCCGGGGCGGGTGACGAGGCGGGTGATGCGGGGGAGGTGGACGATGTCTGTTCCTAGGGTTAGGGGGAAGGGGAAGGGGATTGGGTTTAATTTTTGCATTTTGGTGGTTTGTTTTGGGGGGGTTCGTTGTATAGGAGTGAGATTGTTTGAGAGAGGATCAGGTACACTAAGTACACTGTTTTAAGTGTGGTTGGAGTCGGTGACTAAGCGGGTTGGGAGGGTTGGTATTGCAGGTATTGGTTTCTTTTATGTCTGCAGGATGGATTGGGCTGTTTTGGGGACTTTGTAGAACTTAGGATTTGTTAGAAGAGAGGCTGTAGTATCTTGATTTGGTCGTGGTGCTGAATGGCTCTACTAACCTGACGGCAGACATGACCAACAGTGGAGAGCTACGAGTCCTGACATTTACCAGTCAAGGCTACAGTCTAGCTACAATCTGGCTACAGTTTGGCTACAAGCCGACAGCTACCCATAATAAAACAATGCACCTGAGAAACTCAACGGTGTATACCTCTATATGTACAGATCACACACCTCACCACCGGCAATAGCAATAGCAATCGCCAGCAGTCGGTCCAACACCCAAGAACGAAGGTCATCCAGCATCCCTCGACCTTTCCATCACGCAAGGAAAGTGCGCTCGTCGTGAATCGCAAGTGTCGAGCTCGTTTCAATCAATGACTGTGGGGCCGTTCGTCCTCGGTTCGTTCCTCGTGACGGAAGGAGATGGTTTATTTTTTCTCGCCGCCGTCCACCTGCTTCAGGAAGTCTCTGTTCAATTGTTAGTCACTGTCTCTTGGGATTATGGGCTGTGGTTGTTGGTCGTTTTGGGCTGGCCTCAATCGCGAGTTTCTCCCTTGGTTCGGCTCCGCTTCTCCGAGACGGAGCGTCGAACGGGAATGTCCATTCGCGAGGATGATATGTTGAGAGCCATTGATAATGTTGGGAATGCGAAACCAGGCTCAAGAGACGTACTGGATAAAAGCCTCCTCATCCTTAGAGGCGGCCTGGATGGGGGGAGTGGCCTGCTTCTTCTCACCACCGCCGCGGGTGGCCAGGAAGACACCACCGAACATTGTGCCGAGGACGCCCATGGCGAGCTGTACAGATATCATTAGCAACCGATCGAATTGGGGGAACGACCAATGTGTCGTGTCGTCCGACGAGCCGGTCCGGCTATCCACAGAAATTGGCGGACAGGGAGGGAAGACCAGTGGACAGGGCAGACAGCTGCAGGAGGCAGGGAGACGTACGAAGTGAGAGCCGACCTTCTTGCCGGCGATCTGGTAGTAGACGACCATGTTGACTGATTGGGGTGGGGAGTGACGAAGAGGGGAAGAGGAGAAGTGACGAGAGGATGGATGAAGACTTGACGGTTCTCCTCAAAGCGTAGTTTGAGTGAGTTTCGGAGGGGCTCGATTGGGTTTAGCGTGGGTATAACTGAGTCAGCAGAATGACATAATATGCAGATCATGTGATATGGGTCATGTGATGTTCCGGGAGTCCCCGGAGTATATCGGGACGATCCTGGTAGATATTCAAGAATGGAGACCTTTCTTCTTCTCTTTACTCGAAAATTTTAATTATCTGGACAACCATGAGTGTGAATAAATGAGAGAATTATAAACAGAATATGGAAGTAAAGACTAGATTTGGCCCATGAAGTTATCCACGGTCAAGTAGAAGACAAACCAAGGAACCTCGGCCAGTGTACGATGTGATGTCAATTACTGCGTGCGGTCATTCCCTCACTATATTAACCATTAATATGTCATATATTGTTGTCCGAGCTTAGCTCAATAATTTCCTCGTCCTCTTTCATTTCTTTCCCTCGTCCTATATCCTCCCATCTATATCCTCCATAGTCCTACTCATTCGACATCCCTCTCACTTGGTAGAATCAGTCAAGCAACATCATGCTCTGGAACTCCCCCAACGAGGAGACCCCACCGGAGGACCCAAAGCCGGTTCCTCGCGAGAAACTGTCTCCTCAACTGCAGCAACTCGTCGATCACGATGACAGGACTTTCTACGATGATATCTACGGTCCTTAGTACGTTCTTCCTCCCAGCAACACTGGCCGTTTATCTGTCATACCATGGGAATCCCCGCACACACATACCTGACGACCATCTATACACTCAACACCAACCCTCCACCCCAATCAATCATATAGATCAAAAAACACTAACAAAGGACACAACAGCTCCATAGACTCAACAGACACCCCCTACCGTTACGCCGGTTACGCCAACCGCCTGCGCACCATCCTGCTCTCCGCCCACCGCTACGTAGCCTACACCTCCGACATAGGCGAGTCCTTCCGCCCCGTCTCGCACCCCTACCTCGTGCGCTCCGCCTACGCCATCTCCTGGACCTACCTCATCGGCGACGTCGCCCACGAAGGCTACAAGGCCTACCTGCGGAACCGGGACGTGCTGGCCCCGCCCAGCGAGTCCTACAAGGATGCCGCCTCGCACGGGGAGGTCGTGCTGGGGATGGCGACGGGGAATGTAGCGGGCTCGCTACGCCCTTCCCAGTCGCTGTCGGGGGAGAACTCCGGGGCGCAAGCAGGGCAGGAATCGCTCACGCCTTGGCCGGCGACGTCTATCCCGCTGATCGAGGATTACCGTGTCGTAATGGCTAAGCGGGCTGTGTTCCAGGGTCTGGCGAGTATGGGGTTGCCTGCATTAACCATCCACACGGTGGTGAAACAATCCGGCCGCATGCTCAAGGATTACAAGAGTGCGTTGCTGCGCACGTGGTCTCCAATCGGGGTATGTCTTCCCTCCATTCCTTTCCCTCCCTCCCTCCCTCCCCGGTGGGCAGGGGAAACAAAAAAAAAATACTAATAGAAGTAAAGCTCGGCCTTGCAATCGTCCCCTTCCTCCCCTACATCTTCGACGAGCCCGTCGACCACGCTGTGCAATGGACCTTCCGCGAAGCCATCCGCGCCTACGCAGGCGACGACGCGGTGCGCGCGCTTCCTCCTGCGCCGCATACGCCTGATAAGGATTCTACGACCCTTGTGCGGTTGTTGAATATGGAGCAGGAGAAGAATAACCATCACCACGGTAGTGGTGGATCCGCTGCTGATGCTAATGCTAGTATCTCCTGGGAGGAGTATAAGGCGGAGAAGAAGCGCGCGAAGGAGCATCGGATGAGCATGAAGCAGCGGGAGGGTGATGGTGAGGGAGGCGTGTTGGGGATGTTGCAGGCTGGGCTGGGATCTGTGTTTGGGGGGAAGAAGGATCGTGATGATCATTCGAAGGGGGGCAAGTCTGATTAAACACCACTCTTTGTCTTTCTTTTCTTTTGTGTATACATACCATTTGGCATTCATTTCCTATCCTCTTTTTTCTTTACACTACATACTACATGGGTACTTCATAAATCATACTCATACTATACTATACTCATACTAGCAATATATATTAAATACTCTTCAATATATGAAGATCGGGCCAAAAATCCACCCATTCTTTAAACACAATCAATCAATCAATCAATAACAAAGAAATCAAAATATATTGACATGACATCCATGCAGAAACAGCACGGTCATTCGCTCTACAGCACCTATACATCTGTACAAAACATTCAAACAAGATAGCCCTCAGACAAGGGGAGGAACGAGGTGAGAAAAAAAAAGGAAAGAAGGATAGGAAAAGGGGGAGGATGACATCACTCGTCAGATATACCTACCACCCAACCATTAAAGCAGAGCAGAGGAGTAGTAAGTAGTAGTAGGAGTATGGGGACTTCCGAAAGTGGATAGATAGATAGATGGGAAAAAGGAGTGGGGAGAAAAAAGTATAATGATTGCGGTGTTAGGAGGTATTCGCTCGTAATCACCATCAAATAAAAAATGTCGAGAGAAGAAGAAAAATGGCTGTATAAAAAAAAAAAAAAGAAAAGTCAAAAACATAGGGGGAATAAGAATTGAAGAAGAAAGGATGGATGGAACGAAACATCTGGGAGAAATGACAAAATCACGCGCCCCGGACGGGATCATATTCATGCTTGAATATAATCAGAAATGAAGTCAGTGGAAGATGCGTCGAGATTAACTAGATTCATCCCGCGGTTCTGTCTCCAGGTCTACCCGCGCGTTTCATGGACCCACAACAATCGATGCTCCATGTCTCGGTTGGCATTCTGTCTTCGTCCCTTGCTTGTTCCTTTTCTTTTTTTTTTCACTTTTTTTTATCATGTCAATGAATTCAGGCAGAGGATCTTAGTTCCACCCCAGTGAATTCTCTGCCATGACCGGCGCACTGATCGGTCCCCGGCTACTCTGGCTGTTGGGCGAAAGACGCCCAGCCGCGTCACGACCCTCGCTCTGCTGGTCCACGGTCGAACTCGAGCGCTGGTGCAACTGGCGCTTCTTGCGGTAGCGACGCGCCAACCAGAACATGCCCGCACCGTAGGCTGCGGCACCCGCCACAACACCACAGCCGATGCCCACGGAGCTGGCCTTTGTGGAGGAGCTGGAGCTCGTCCCGGCATCTCCGGAATCGGACTGGGAGTCATCCCCATCGGAGCCATCACTGCCGCCGTTGCTGGAACCCGACTGGCCGCCGCTGCTGCCGCCGGCTGCGGGTTCGCCGCTCACCAGCAGGGGGATGGAGGGGTCGATCAACGAGAACAGCCGCTTCTCGGATTCCGACGGCTGCTCGTAGAGCGGGGAGATGGGGTTGTGGAGGTACTTCCGCAGGGTGTCGATCTGGTCCCAGGGGACATAAGCCATCGCGAGCGTGGTCAGGTAGCCATCGCGCGATTCGTTGCCGTACGGCTGGATCGCGAACATGGCCACCTGGTCCGCTGCCAGTCGCAGAGCGTGTTGCAGGCCGAGTGGGATGTAGCGGAAGATCTGCGATGAGGACATGGTGTGGGTCGCCACGAAGTCGTACGACAGCTCGCGCGTGAACCCCAGCTGGATCAGGGTCGAGTTCTCCGGGATGTTGCCAAACGTCGGCGGCGTGATCGATCCGGGGAGCGCAGTCGGCTGGCTGGTGCTCTCGCTGGTGGTCTGCGTGGCCGACGGGTCCGGCACCACGTGGGTCTGAGTCTCGAAGATGATGGTATTGTCGACCCAGTCATCGGGGTTCGAGGTGGGCGTCGGGGCTTCAGTGGTCTCCGGCGGCGGCGTGGAGGTTTCGGTGGTTTCGGGGGTCGGGGTCGGAGTCTCCGTGCTCGTCGACGACGGCAAGTGCGTCGGCGGAGCGGTGGACGGGGCACTCGTCGGGGACCCCGGGCTGGTGGGCTTCCCCGTGGGCTTAGCCGTGGGAGGGGCGGTCGAGCCCCCGGTGGTCGATCCATGCGCACCGGCATTCTCCGTCGAGGAAGCACCACCGGGGGTGGTGGTCGGAACACTCGGGTTGATCAAGGTAAACGGCGCGGATCCCGTGGACCCGCTGGACGCACCGGGGAACAGAGCGCTCGAGGTCGCGGCGCCGGGGGGGAGGGTGCTCTGGGGAGCGGACGATTCCAAACCCGATGTCCATCCCAGCAGCGAGCTCATTTCGCTCGGCAGGTTGAAGAGTCCGGTGGAGGTGGACGGCAGCGGGACGCTGGTGGGGGTGGCCGACAGGCCCGAGGTCGAGGCATTGGCCGAGGGCGCGTGGGTGGCCGACGAGGACGGCGTGTCAGGGTTGAACAGGTCGGTGAACGCGTCCAACAGATTGGTCGTGCTCTTGGAGGACGACGCCCCTGGGGTCGAGGTCGATGGCGCCTTGGTCGTGCTCGCGTCCGCCGTCGACGACAGTGGGAGCGCGGGAGGGGTCCCGGAACTCGGCGAACCCGTCGAGCTGGAGTCGCCAAAGAAGCTCTTGAAATCATCCAGGAGGCCACCGTCAGTCGAGGACGCGGTCGGGGTGATCGACGAACCGGATGCGGCCGAGGACGCGGGCTTGGAGTCGGACGCGGAACTGGTGGCGCTGGCGGAGTCGGTCGAACTGGTGTCACCAAAGAAGCTCTTCACGTCGTCCAGGAAACTGCCCTCCGTCGACTCGGGGGTCGGGGTGACGGACGCACTGGACGCGTCCGAGGGGGCGTGCTTGGAATCGGACGAGGCGGCAGCCTTGGAATCGGACGAGGGAGCGGGTTTGGAATCCGACGTCGTGCTACTGGCCTCGGTGGAGTCGGTGGAACTGCTGACGCCGAAGAAATTCTTGACATCGTCCAGAATGCCGCCGTCCTTGGACTCGGTGGCCGGGGACGACGAGGAGGCCGCCGGGGCATCGGGGCCCTCCTTGCTCGCCGTCGGCGCGTGGTGCGTCGTGGAATCGTTGGGGGCGGCTTCTTTCTCGGACGGGGCTGGAACGGTGTCTTTGTGGGACGTGGGTGCGGCGGGGGCCGCCCCCGGTCCGGTGATGGTGACCACATTGGTGGTGGCCGAGGCGATGGTGGCGCCCGCGGGCAGGGGACCGGAGATGGTGTGCGTCTTGCCTTCCTTGTCGATGGACAGGGTGACGACGACGGCCGGGAGGGTGGTCTTGGTGCCCAGGTCGGCCTTGTCCAGGAAATCGTCCAGCGGCTTTCCATCCTCCGATCTCTGGTAGTTGATATATCGCTTCATGTGTTTGGGGACGAATCGACGCTTCATGGCGTGGGAGTCCGCTGGCTGCTGGGCGGCAACCAGCTCCAGACCCCCCACGGACAGGAAGGCCGCGAGAAAAGAGGCGACGGACGCGACCATGATGGGTGTATCAAACGTCCGTCGACGGAGGTAGAGGGAAGAACAATCAGTCAACAAGAAAGAGTGGATGGCGCGAAGGCTCCGTCTGAAGACTCAAAAATTTCCCCGTAACGAGACTTAACCGTTCAAATGTAACCGTTGACTATCGAACTCGCGATTGCATGGATCCGGTGGTTGGCAAATAGAGGAGGCAAGGTGATACTGGCGAGGCGGTTTGTGGATATGCACGTCCCAGCCTAGCGGTTGGCTCTTGTTTCCACTTTCAGCACCCGGGGGATGACTGGTAGACGATCGTCGGAAAATTATTCGAACAAGTTTAAGAGGCGATCGCGACGAATCGAGAGGACTTGAGGTGGAGACGCGAAGGTAAAAGTTCTGGGGAAGAGTGCAATAAACAATGAAAGAGCGGCAGGGGACGTGGTAAACCAACGGAACCCCTTTGAAGAAACGAATGTATAGATTGCAGTAAGGAGTGAAGGGATCTGAAGACCTGGCTGTCAGATAAGAAATAAAATAAAAAATAAAAAATAGATTAAAAGAAAGGAAGGGAAGGGTTGGGGGGGAAGAAAAGAAGGAAGGGGAGGGAAGGGAAGAGATGGTGGAGTGTGGTGGTGGCAGGAGATATACATACTAGGTTAGGTAGCCAAGCAGGCGACCGTAGGGAGAACGAGAGAGGAGAATTGGACGCAAGGAGAGTCCAGGTAAACAGTGATAGGCTACGTCAACAACAACATCCGCACAGCTCCCACATCTGGAATTAAACGAATAACTGAATTCAAACAAAGAATCAAAACAGAAGCATGGAGGGGGAGAAAAGAGAGAAGGGGAAGGGAAGAGGGAAGAGGGAAAAGAAGGTGAGCGAGAATGAATTGAGACTAACTATGACTACCGCATAATCGAGGGGAAGAAGAGATTAGTGAGGGAGATGTTTATGGTTAGTCTCGATGGCGCAGTTTTCTTTCCCTTAATTCAATAATTCAAATCAGAAGTCACTAAAGAAAAGAAAAAAAAAAAAAAACACGAAGTAAATAAGACGAAAAAGGGGAAGAAAGAAAGAAAACGAAACGAGTGGCTGGTCCGGCCTGAGGCCTCCCCACTCTTATCCACACGCACTTTCTCCACTCTCCGTCCTAATTATAATCAGAATAATCACCATCATCACCACATTCAGTCTTTTTCATGCTTCGACTCGATCTTTCTTCCCTCCTTCCGTATCTGTCCAGTATCCAACCTAGAATGCAACAAAGCGCAAACTCGCGTAACTGGATCAGACGCTAATCCGACCGGGTACTAGGACCAACTTACCCATGTCTATCGTCCAGTCTCTCTGCTCTCTACGGAGTAGTTTCGACTCTCTAAACTTTTTATCAGTCGACTGAGTGACACGGTCTAAACCGAGGTGGGTTGGACTGCACGGAACTTTCATCACAGTGGCCACTATGCACACTGCAAGTGCACACCATGTCGATATTGCGAACCATCAGGACCAGAAAGACCCGAGGCATCCCCCGCACCAGAGCAGAAATTACAGACGAGCCAAGCACATGTCGTCGAGCCTTCCAAAAGATTCAATTCAAAGGCTGCAGACGGTGACACTGGCACGGGGTCCTTATCGACTGAGGTATGGTCTGCAGTAGGCCGTGCCTATTTGGATCGACATTTCTAGAGGATAGGCTTGATCGAATCTTGAGATGGCATCCACCGTCCACCACCCACTCTACTGATCGAGAGAATCAAGAGACTGGGGACAATCAGGACCGTGCTGCTCCTAGATTACGGAGTAATAGATTCAACATGAGATTGAATTCATGACGGCAACATTTCCATTTCCTCAGGATATTTACCCCGGGGGTTCGCAATCAACCGGGATTTCTGGATGAATTTCTTCCACTTTCTTCCCTTTCTTCCCTTTCCCTCCGTCATTTCTTTCCTTTTTCTGTCCACCGACAGACTCTATTAGATTAATTTTAATAACGTGCAATTCCAGCATCCCCGAGCGACTCAATAATCAGAGCCAACTGCCGATCGGTCGCACATCGCAATTTAAACCCGCCCGCCCGCGCCAACCTGTCAACAGCCCGGTTGGTCTAGACCAACCAGCGTCATCTTGGTCCGTGGAGACAAGTGGATGTGCGTGTCTGTATCTTCTATCATCTTCATGTCAGGTCAATTTCCTTCCCCTTTCCTCCGTCAGTTGAAAGTAAGACTGTCTCACTTGTCTTCCCTGACATCGCAGTTCGCCAACTGCCGGAACTATGCCAGCCATCGGTGACTAGTGACTACTATACGTTATTCAGTATTCACGTTAGCTAGCGAGATACGCTTTTCACCCTCGAGTCTCTACTCTCTAGTGTCTACAGAGGACACGCTAGGCCACTTGCCTGGACGACTTACTTGTTTTGGCATGACTGGCCCGGTGCTAAGGAACACTTATCGATTTTGTCTTGGTGAACCATATCTATTCGGGATGGATTTCATTTTCCATTTGAGAGAAAGCGATGGATAGTGAGAGAAGCACAGTGACAGAAAGAAGGATAGAGATAGCCTAACACTGACATGTGTCTCTCGTCTGTTTCAGACTTCCATCTTTCATCCCTGGGACCACTTGTCTCGGGGCCAGCATTCCTCACGCTGCAGCTGTCTCGGAAATGACAATCAATCTGTCTTTCCTCTCCATCTCATCTCCATACTCCTTGAGACCATCGTAGATGATCTCCTCCCTAGGTATCTACCACTCCTCGTAGATCAACAGATATCCCAAAGAAAGGGCACCAACCTCAACATGAAACCCAAGGACGAACCAGATCAGCACGATACCATCACCCATCATCCCTCCCTCCGTCCCTCACGCCACTAAAACCTAACATCCTCCCCTCTCACAAGGAAGAAAAAGAAACCCCCCTAGCCCATCCTCCAAACAGCCACCTCATAACCATAATAAAAAAAACCAAAAAAAACCCCCAATCAATCAACACCACCAGCGGAGACCCAAACCCGACAAATCTCAACCACGCTAATCCTGTTCCTGAACCTTCGCTCCGTCGGGGCTTCCCGCTAGCCAGCAGATAACTAACTTTCTCAGAAAATGAGGTATAAGTTTGAGGTATGTATGTATGTATGTAGCTTGCTACTGTTGGTGTCTACTATCTAATGCCTGGAAATCATAATATAAGTGGAGTGATATCATGCTGTGCGACAGGATCAAAGGTGAGGCACTGCCTTGTCATACCGGTCGGCTTGTTTGTGGAGACGGAGGGATGAGTTGGTTTGTTTGGGGAGATTACTTGGGTGGCTCTGGTGGGAGTACCGTGGATCAAGCTGGCACTGGTGCCTGAGCCGGACTTGAGCCGGACTGGAGATTACGGTGGGTATGCACGTGATATCTACTTGCTCCATCTCGGTCAACTCTACGGAGTACACTGCTTTTTGGTGATGGGTTGGTTGAACTTTATTGATATGGAGGGTTTTCTAGGTTTTTTGCGACTAGATATACTAATTAGTAAGATTGTAGGAGTTGAATTATTTCGATAGTGTCTACTGTTTACTCTGTACATTCCACTGCCTCCGAGATACCCAAGATATATATAGAACTATCATCAGTCCACCCATCTACAGCCTCACTCATCTCACATAATCCACAGCCCGAACAATCCCATTCCAACCACCAAAACACAAATAATCCAAGAAGCAAAAAATAAGAAAAATAAAAAGTAAGGCCGCGTCCCCGGTCACCAATCATCAACTCCAAGCAAACCTCCCCGACCCATCCCGATAACACCCCTCATAAACCCTCAACCTAGGAAACCCCCCCACCGACAGATCAAACGCACTGTCCTCAATCCTCACCCTCGGCCACCTCGCAATCTTCAGCACCTCAACCGACAGCCCCTGCTGCGCCAGCGCCGCGCGCAGATCGCCCGGGCCGCACGTCTCCTCGTGCCACCCTGGCGGACGCCGCGTGCCTCCAGGAGGCTTGTGGGAGAGCTCTAGGTGGGTCAGCGCGCGCGGGAGGGAGAGGATGTGGTGTAGGGCTTGGATGTCGATGTAGGAGTGGGTGATGCTGAGGAATTTAAGCTCTGTTTGATGATGGAAGGTAGAAGGGATGTCGGCGAGGTCGGTGCTGCATAGGGTGAGGCCTTTTAGGCTAAGGTGCTGGAGCTGCGGGATGAGGAAGATTGCGCTGAAGGCGCCGAGAAACCAGTCTTGGGGGTCTTCTTCGGTGAAGATGTTGAGGTTTACTGAGGTATCTCTGTTAGTTTTCTTCCGGGTCTTTCTCTTGTAATAGAAGTGTATAAGGAAGGGAACGGGAAGAAAGAAAGAAAGAAAGAGAGAAACATACAGCTCCTCAAACCCCGCAACACACGCTCCGCAGGCACTGTTAGCAAACTCGCCCTCCTCAACACTCCGGCGACCTGACCCGCATAATCCTCCTCACTCCACCCCGACGCATAAGTCCCATACATCTCAACCCACTGCAGATTAGGCAGCTTGTCAAGATAGGGCGCGCACTCAAACGGACAAAGACAGTCGTACCGGGCGCCAAAATACCCATCCACGTCGAGACCCTGCACCAGATGGGGATATTTCTCGAAGATCTTGACGACGCCCTCCAAGGACTGCTCTTCGACTTCGTCGGTGAGTCTGTCGATGTGGACGTATACCTCGCGGAAGAGTTCCCGCGTGGCTAGCTCGTTCAGTGCGCGGTTGGCGAGGCGCAGGTCGCGGAGGTCTTTTGGATTGGAGACTGCGCTGACGATGTGCGCGATGAGCTCTGGGGGGAGGTGGTTTAGGGGGAAGGTTTCCATTGTGTTGTTTGAGGACTTTGCCAGTTAGTTGACACTGTTTAGGTCGGGTCGGCTGTTCTGGTTGTTTGCTAGATAGATCTGCTGAAGCTTCATCTCGCAGTCCTGGAGTTGCTGTGATCAGGAATTATCATGACAAGTGGTATCTTCTGAAGAAGATATAAAGCTAAATCGGGCATTGCCCTCCGCGGCTTACTTAAGACTCAAGGCGTTTTCGCCCCATGAGTCACTGACGCGCGCTACATGCGATTTCGCTTATAATCTGATCAAGCATACAGAGGAAAGATATAGAACGGTGATGGCTGATACTCAAGCAGTTGTACATGTGCAGATGGATTGAATGGTCTCCCGCGCTAGAGGCAGCTCTATTTAACCCCACCAAAACACCCCTCTACCCCTTCATGGAAGAAAACGTCTCGAAACAATAAATCTAAAGACGAGATGCTCCCTTGGGCACACCAGTTACCGCACCGATGCACTCGATCTCGACATCTGACCCCTTGGGCAGGGTCTTGACGGCCACGCACGTCCGGGCCTATCTTATTAGTATCAATGGTCATGAAAAAGGGGGGAAAACGAAAGATACACCAAGATTAAAGATGGAAAATAAAGAGAGAAAACAAAGGAGAAAACTCACAGGTCGAGCACCCTCAAAGAAAGAATCATAGACCTCATTGACAGCCCCAAAGTCATCCATATTAGCCAGATAGATATTCATCTTGACCGCGTCGCGGAGGCTCGATCCACCGGCTTCGAGCACGGCGCTCAGGTTGAGCATGATTTGCTTCTACAATATAATTAGATCATGCATCGCTCAATGACGGAGAGAGGAGGAGGTGTCAGTACAGTTCTCTCCTTAATGGAGCCCTCCACCATCTGGTTGGTGGTGGGGTTCACGCCGAGCTGACCAGAGCAGAAGATCAAGTCACCGACTACGATAGCCTGGGACAGGAAGGGAGCCGGCGTGGGCGCATTCTGGGCGCGGACTGGGGTGCGGGTGGCTCTGGGCATGTTGACGGTTGGTGTATTGGTGGATGATGTGTGGTTGTGTGGTTGGAGAAAGAACTTGGCGAAGCTTGGATCTTGGGGAAACGTGTGGGAAAATATGGTTATGGTGCGGTTGCGGGGATTGTGGGGATCATGACTAATACGTTGAGGACATATAATTACAATTTATTTATACGAGATATATGGGTTATACAGTAAGTCATATTATTCTGGGTCGAAGATATGTATTTCTTTGATACTGCTGTATTCTGTTGTGTCTGATTGGGGTGTGGACTTGGTGGCTAAATTGGTGGAAACCCTAATTACTGGCTGTAGAATAACCTCAATATTCAACTCGATGTATAGCCACGTCAATAAAGCGGTGGTTTACTCTCCTTGAGTTACCTGTTCAAGTCTATTAATTTCAAAAGTAGCAGAGCGTGCTTTGAGCAGTTTAAGCAGAAATATAATGGTATGAACCTCTAATAGGATACCAACAATGAAGACAAGCGAACATGACAATAATAGGACAGCGTTGAAGAATATAATGATAAATATAGACTGTCTGATAGAGTAACTCACTCATCTACGGCAAGAAATATCTCAAACCCTTCTCTCCTAAGTATGAATAACTTGTATTTACAGCACCTATCTCCTGACATCATCATGTCCGGCTCTTCCAACATATATCTCTCTTCTTTACACCAACAACGAGTTAAACAAATACCTATCAGTATTGATACCTTCCTACTTAACAGACGCTACTAGCCACACAGCCTGTAGCAATCATGGGTACCCCTCCATCCCCAGAGACAGACACCTGTGACAAAACCAAGCCCATCACCATCGAAGTCCACGGCCTAAAAGCAAAGATCTACCTAAACCGTCCAGAAGAGGACCCCATCCCATCTCACTATCTCCAAAAGGCAGAACAAATCCGTATACCCCATCACCACCTAGCAAGGCCCCACGAGAAGCAATATAGCAAATACTAATTCGACAGCCTCCACCGACCGCCCAATCTGGCGCTTCCGAGGCCGCGAAGACGCCCGCAACGTCAACCTCAGCAGGTAGTCTACTGTGAATACCCGCTTCCGGGGCGTATACAAGATGCTGAAGAAGGTGCCGGCGCAGTTTGTCAATGGGATATATGAGGATGGTGGCCATGAGCAGTCGTCATCGTCCTCCTCTTCCACCTCCTCGTCGAGGGTCAATTTTACAGAAGCAGTAAAGGCACAAGGCTAGGTCGTGTATGCGTTTCTGCATGAGATTCTGGATATGATGCGGATTGGGCGTAAGATGGGGGGTGTGTCGTTTGTGCTTCGGTATACTCCTTTACCCTGATTATGACAGATGTATCAGATTTGAGATGCGTTGGTGATATTGATGAAAAGTATAAGACCACGCCTTTTCAGCTGCAAGCTCAAATACTGGACTGGATACCGCGAGAGATATTCCGACGGGCCACGCACAGCTGGCTTACTCTGCCTAGACGAATATCCTGAGACACGGGGCTTGTGCGGGCTGTTGTTCCCATATCATCGGTAATCTCTCCCTCCTCTCTCTCTTATATACACAAGCTTGATGCCAGAAACAGATAAACATACTAACAACAAATCCCCAGACCCAATCCGAAACCCCTACTCTCCCCAAAACCCTCACCGACGAGTTTAAGCTCCTCCTCTCCCATCTCATCCACATCCACCACCTCTACCCACCCGGCGACCAGATCCCCTTCCAAGAAGTCTACCTCATCAGCCAACACGGGCCCAAACTGCACCTTCTATGGGGAATCTTCCCGAGCCACAAGACGTCTCGGTTGTGGAGTGGGCGGTACAACCAAGCCAGCCCAGCCAGCTCGACAGGTGCAGGGACAGCGAGCCCAACCCACCACTTCGCAGCCACCAACACCCCAGAAAGCCGTTACTACGCCGGGCCGAAGATGGAGCGCGTGAGGCAGGAGCGGATGGCGCTGTGCTGTGCTGCGGGGGATGAGGAGGAGTCTGATGCGAGGACTTTCCGCGTGCGGGGGAGTAGGGAGTTTGATTTGTGAGCTGGGAGGGATTTAAGGGATGTGGTTCGGTTGACTGGGGGGTTGGGGCTGTATTTGTTGGGTGGTGGGGTTTTAGGGGGTGTTTCTGGGGGTTGGGGGAGGCGAGGGAGAAAGAGGATGAGAAAATGAAAAAAGAAAAAGAAAAAAAAGGAGATGGAGAATAAAGAGAAGGAGAAGGAGAGAAAGAAAGAGAAGAAGAAAAAGACGGAGAATAAGGAGAAGAAGCTAGGGGACATTGAGAGGCTGGCGCGTGAGGATAGTATCCAGGAGACGGATGCGATTCGTCAGTCATGGTAGGATTGAGTGTGGGAGGAGGGACATGGAGATTGGATTCCTGAGGACGAGGATGTTGGTTCTATCAATGGGCTTTGAATGGGGTTATTCCTAGTTCGTGTAGGTATGATTTCATACAAGCTGGTTTACGGTTCGAAACACGAATAAATGAATGAATCATATTGCAAATCGCAAAGAGATAAACCAGATCCAGCTAGATTTTACGTACAGAAAAAGGCCGATATATCACCAATTCCGAGAATGATAAAGCATGCAAATTGTTATGAACTGCGCTCCCTCTGACGCCTCTCAGACTCAAACTCAGTAAATGCATCGAACCCTCGTCCGTCTTCGCCGCCTGTACGAAGAAACTCAACCACAACGCCGATAGCGTAGCAGGTCGCAGCCGTGGCGGCGCCACTGATGAACATCCGACGGAGTGCGGACCCGAATCTCGACCGCGCTTTCGGCGGTTCTGTTGATTCGGGCGTATCTTTGTCGAATGCGGAGGGAGCATCGTCGGGAGCATCGTCGGAAGCCGTGTCGTGCGCCGGCGGAGTGGTGGATGCTGACTCCGTCGAAGGCGCAGGCTCGTAGAGATCTTCATCATGTCGGACATAGGGGTTGGGTCGCTGCAGGTCATCTTGGAATTGGGCACTGCCGTACTCCCCCGCCTCTCGGGTCTTTCGAAACACGAGGATATCCCCGCCACCAGACACGATCTCGTAACCTCCATGGTGCATCTGCGCGAAGTATGGCAGGAACTTGGCCGGGTGGTGTAGGCGACGGAGGACTTTGGTGGGGTGGAGAGCACCATCTGTTGAGTGGAGGGACGAGCTTGTCTCGGCTTCCTGAATTCGGCGGGTCGAAGGGTCATATGCAAGGACGAGGTAAGTATCCGGTGAGGTGTTGTCCGACACATTCTGCTCTCCGAGGATCTGTTCAGTTGATGCTTCGGGTTGGCTCAGTTCGTCGGAGCTGGCACCGCTGGATGCTTCTCTCGCGGGCCCGGTCTCTTCAGTCCGTTGATACTTTTGCCGCAAACTTTGGTGATCAACCTCGCTAGCTGGGTCGACATAGGAGTCAAAGCTATCTTCCATGTGCTTGCGTGCTTGCTTTCGCGATTCCAAGTCTCCCTCGAAGTGCTTCCCTTCGTAAGAAGCACGAATATCGTTGGCAGTCAATATATCCAGATCTTCTTGCCTCTCTTTTAACATGGGCTCCAGATGGTCGGGGGAGTCATCTATTACAAAACTTTTAGGTGCCTGATATATGTTGGTTGTGGAGTGAGGTGCTCCACCCAGAGCTTCACTATTGGGTGCACTATTCAGATATCCATTGCTCTCGGTTTGCCTCTGCGGCTCTTGAGTATCTTTCCCCGTGTCTTTGGCGTCCAGTCCTGAAGATGCCACATTTTCCCGCGGCGGACTAGCCTCGGGGCCGATCGACTGGGTCGTAGCATCTGGGCGTTGTTCTCGGGCCGTAGTGTCCAGTGGCCCCCGCGATTTATGTACCCGTGTTTGCTTGAAATCACGTGGCTCTTGATGATCCCCATACAGTGCACCGTGGCTGGCGTTTAAGTCCTTCAATGACTCTTGTGGTTCTGACCTTCGTGGCGGAGAATCCACCGAGGAAAGAAAGCCAGCCTTCCCAGTGTGAGATCGAGATCCATTGCGCTGCGGTTTTCTCCGCGCGGTATCTTCAGCCTGCTCGTTTTCTTCAATCACATCAGAAGACTGTTTCGATTTCGGGACCATGCGGCCAATGATGGGGTCGAATTCCATATCATTCTTTTCAGCAACCCTTGCACTTTCAGTAAACGCATTCACACCACTGGACCCCTCTGAATCCGACATGCGTTCATCACCGGTACGCGGCGGAGGCGGCGGAGGCGGCGGAGACGTACGGGAACTCGCCGTCGTATCAACAGGCTTCGACTCCGCAGTGGACCCAAGGCCAAGAAACGTGCGACAAAGATCAGTGAACCAATTGTCGTATGTACCGGGGGCACCGGGGCGAACTAGCCTGCTCCCAAACAGGGCCGCATGTGGGTCAGCATCGATCTCCCTCCTGAACTGTTCCATGCGCTCCTTCGCGCGGGCGCTCTCCGTCTCCCAGAAGCTTTTGTGAGGGTTGGATTCCCAGAAGACCTTGTGAGGGTTTCGTCCGGCCCCCGACCCCGATTCCGACTCCGAAAATCCGGATTTGAAACGACCCCACCCCCACCCAGGAATCCACCACGGGATGTGCTGGTTGAACATGACTGACGGGTGCTTCGGGGGTGGAGGTTGTCCTGCCCTGCGCATCTTCAGCTGGTAGAGACGTCGGTACCTCTCCGTTCGCTTCCGCTCCCATTCCTCTGTGTGTCTGTATCTCCGGTGCGAGTGGTCCCAGAACGCGCGGACCTGGGCGGTGCTCCTAGCTGGGCGTGTCGAGGTGGTGGTGGTTCGACCGGCTAGACCGCTACTTCCGGGGGAGAGAGACGTGGAGTTCGACGCCCGCGTGGCTCGAACTCCTGATACTGTGACGTGACGGAGCATTGCGAGGATTCAGGCTGTAGGTGGAGAGAGGGCCAGCCTGGGGTGAGTAGATCAATATCACACTAGAAGCTCAATGGACTGAAGCTACGACCGGGTGTGGGCGGTCATTGATAGCTCCGATCACATTGCAAGCTTGGAGATCCGGTGATCTAGGGGGCTTGAGATATGAGGAATGAAGATGTATTCGATGTCTTGTTATGTACGAGTGGAGTTAAATAAGATGGACTGATAGAAGGTTGGATGGTGAATGATGTCGTCGGGTGAATTGAAGGGAGGTAGATAAGGTGTCAGGTGAGCTGGCCGAAGGCGGAGAGCCGATCGGGAGCATCATGGCGGGGTCATGCCTGGTGGATCTACGGAACACATCTCCTGCCAGACATTGGAGTGGGATTCAGTGGTTCGGGTGTAATAGACATAGACGGGACTTTTGTTGCATTTGTCGTATAGAAGAGAGAAGACAAGAAAGGGAAAATTTATACGATATAAATCTATACTATATAGATAGTCGATCTTGCCGCCGTAGGATGGTTAGTATGGTATCGGATCACAGTATCTACGAGACACGACTAGTTATCTGCTTCAAGGCAAGTAGCATTCAAATGGTGTAGGGAGTATATCGGCGAGTGTGCTCTCTCTATATAATATTGTAATATGTGTGTTGACCTGGATATTATCATACTGGGGTCAGCCACATCGAGTACAAACTTTTGTATCGAATTAATACACCTACCCGCGCTGTGGGTACATCTACGACTAGAAACCCCCAAAGAATCCAATAAATGATAGGTATATTTGTCCAATCTCTCAATTATACTAAATTATATCCCATCAATCTAATACATACCCATTTCACATGTCTACACCGCTACCTCATCAGCGCCCAGTCCGGACCGATAGATTTAAAACACCCGACATGTTTGAAGTCGGCCTTTCTGTTGGAATGGAGGGATTAGTGAAGCAGGCACCCGACACTATCCAATGATACTGATATGGAAGCTGAGCGGTAATGGAAGTACCGATCGCATACCGAGTGGAGGTAATTTATGACCCGCAACAGTGGTTCTCGAACGTGCATGTCCCACATGGATGAAATTAAAGGAGGCTCGTGGAGATGGAGTGGGGAGCTTATTGGTTTGTTCTGTTGATGGGGGAAACATTTCTATGGAGTACATACAGTCTAGAGCTGAGAACAGGTGGAAGAAGTGTGAATAAGTAGTGATAAGGATTTGATTCTCCAGGGTCGATACTGTCACTGATACTGATACAATATGCGGCGTGATGAGATGCAGCGTGATGGATTTTCTAGAGTTGTGTCCACAGTCCACTAGGGCTAGCAGGCGAAACATGTCAATTTTATTTCTTCACCAGGCCGGCTAAGTTGTCGATCTTATAGATACCAAGGCGTGGCTAGAAGAGTCCATGGGCAGCTTCTGTGTGCCGATCGACGAATGAGGTGAAGAGATGATACATCATATAGCTGGGTCTGAGGTATCCAGGAATGCCAAGCATCTTTGATTTGACAGATGAAGATGCAGTGGGGCGCTGAACGTGACAGCTTCACGAGGACAAGTCCGTCGGACTCGTCGGATCAGCTATCAGATCGACGGGCAGAACAGTGAACACTGCAAAGGCTATCTTGATGTCGGTCTTGCCACTTTTCGCACCCTGACCAGTCCACCCGGTTGATGTTGAGAGTTCAGCAAAGTTAAAGTGGCCACCAGGTCCAGCCAGTGGGTCCTGCCTCGAGCAAGCGAAGTCGACCATCGAAACAGACCACTGTACCTGAGTGGCTGCACACCCAGCAGGTCGGGCTTGTAACAAAAGCGACTCGACCAACTATGTAAGGGGCGAATGCATCGAACTGACTGACTGACTCATCCATGCAACCTGCCCCGGACGAATTTCGGACGGGTTGAAGATTTGCCCTGTTTGACGGTCACAGATGGACAGCTTCCAAGCCCTACATGTCCCTTGCCGTCGGGAAGGGGATCCGGTGCGAGACAGTGGCATGAGCTATTGAGCTTGATCGGGGATATCCTTGCCATCATCATTCTTTTTGTGGTCTTTTTTTTTTTTTTTTTACCTGGAGGAGTACTGTGACACACTGTCAGACAGACCCTGCGACGATCATACCCTTTTTTCAAGTCTTTCCTTTTTTAGAATCAAGCGGAGAAGGGACAAAAAGTCTGGAACCGAAGCTGGAAGACCATGGAATGGGGACGGGAAAAAGGTTAGCCCTCATGGTATTCTTCAGAGTTGACCAGTGAGAGGGACTCTGGGGCGGCAGACTGAAGGTTGCGGTGGAGTGATAGATAATTCAATTTTCCGCATGGGATCCGTATCTGATCTTGACTGGATATTGGGGAGGACGTGTAAGTTGCTCCATTTTTCAAGTGCGGCACACAGACCACTTGTGTGGCGAAGTGGTCCCCTTGACGTTTCTTTTCCAGCCTCTAAGGTGTTGTGTCATACAGTGCTTTTGCATGTATGGGGTTGTTTCTTGGAATGCTGCTTTAAAGGGGACCTTGAGTTAGATGTTGCCTTGGATCCTCCACTGAGTATGGTTGGGCGAATGGAGTACAAATATACATATAGTAATAGAGGTAATAATGACACTAACAAATCAAACAAGAATAAAAATAACATAAAACAATAGGGTCAATAAATAAAAAGGGGAAAACGGCTGAAATCAAGAATGGTGCCCAACCAGGCAGCGAGATACTGGTAAAGCCCCAGTAGTCGTACTTAGGCATGCTAAGGTATGGACCGTACCTAAGATACTACGATAGCTTAAGATTAGTTAGGGGGCCGTGACGGGAGCCGGAAAGCCAGTCCCGGCCAGTCCTTACCTAGTACCAGGCATAAGGACAGACTTGGGTACGTATCAACGGTCAGCTGGAGAACAGTTCAATAGATGTATTTCGATATTAATCTCGGACTCCAGTTGACCCATGAGTTTAAAATTAAACAGCCAAACGATTAAGATATTCAATATAATATAATATAATATAATTATAATTCATGGATTAAATATATAGAAAATCGACCCAAAAAGAGGCGACTACTCGAGGCCGGAATGAATAATATTATGAATACCTAAGCCAACAACTAATCTCTTGACTAGCCTTGTATGGTACGGCATCTGTGAACTACTCAGGCACTTCACCTCTTCTCTTTTTTCTTGACATGGGATCCTGCATCCTGTTCTTGTTCACTCTTGTCTATTCGACTTACTCTTTCTTTTCATCTTCTTCCCTTCTTCCCCCCTTCCATCCCTCTCTACCCCCAAACCATAGTGGTTGGTGATGACTCTATCCCGCCACCAACAAACAGACTACAACACCCCCACATTGTACGAATCCCTCGATACGCTACCTGAGCCACTCATAACGGACATCGACATCACTCTCTTTGGTTGATCCTCCACCCAAGACCCTCAGAAACCTTGGAACGGCTGCGGTTGTCACGCGTGGACCAGCCTACCTACCATCGCTGGAGTCTCTTTGGTTCTTGTTCTTGTTCTTACTCCGACTCTTTCTCTCCTCCCTGCCATTCCCCCCCATTGTCTCCTGTCGTGACCCTCAGGGGCGGGGTGTCGGTCACAAAGCGGGCCTACTTGTCTTGTGAAGTCGTCGCAATCCTTCATCCCCCCTCCCAGGCTACACTGGTTCATCCGTGGTTGGAGTCCACCACGAGAGGGGCGAAAGGGCCGTTCACAACGGATCGAAATCAATCGAAATCTCCAAAAAAGCACTGACACTTCTTGGGTAGTGTCTTCCTGGAGGATTGGTTGGTTTTTCTCTGGGCTGATTATCCTGGATCATTGTGTTAATATTATCATCATTTCCATCTCTCTTCCTCTCTTTCTTCACACACTCTTTCTCTCACTTGCACACACTTCTTTCCTCCCTCACGCCACTCTCTCTCCCCTCTTTTACTTTCTCTTACTTCCTCTCGCTCTCTCTCACTTGAGTCTTCCTTGTCTGTTGTCTTTTACTGTTTTCTTGATTTTGGCCATATATCCTCTCTTTTTCCTTCCCTTTCCTATATTGATTTGACGATTGCCCCGACATTTGGTCCCTCTTTTAATCTCTGTCTCCTGGGCATCTGGTGGACAACATATCGGATGATTTAACCTCCTGATCTACGACGACTTTGAACCCACTCTGTACATTCCAGCCTGCCTACTTTGATCCCGATCGAATTCCCCGACCACCATCGGAAACGCTTTGAATAGAAACTTATTTGGAGGATGAAGGTACGTCTCTCTATTTCTCTCTCCCTCTACCTTCTATCTTCCTTCCTATCGTCTTCCCGCCTCTCGTTTATATCGCTTGTTCCCTAAATTCTCCTCCCCCCTCCGCCCCCTTACGACAAAGTACAACCACCCCATTATTCAAAAATTACAAGGCGCACTCATTAACTTTTGATTGTTCCTTGGAAATTAGGCCATTCGACGTTCCCTCAAAGGGGAAAAGGACCCCAAACCCCACCACCACCATCATCTTTCCATTACACCCAAGTCCGCGATCGCCATTCTTCCTCCCAAAAAGGTGTGTATTCTATTTTATTTTATTCTATTTTTTTTATCCCGTTCATTCTGTTTTTCATCCGCCCTACCACCATCATCGGCTTCATCCATACAAATCCCTCGCCTTCCCTCTCCTTCAATCCCTCCTTTCTTCCCCATCCTACCCTCGGCCGTTCCTCTTATTATTCTATTTTATTTCATTTTATTTTTTATTTTTCATTTTTTGATCCCCACCCCCACCACCTCCTTTCCCCCCCCTCGTCCGCACTCACAACTCGACTCTTGCGCTGGGCAACCTTTTTATTAACCACACCCCTGTCTGAACACGTAGGTCATCAAGGCTCTTTACGACTACCAACCAGAATTCGGGCACACCCAGGAATTGTCTTTCAGCAAGGGGGACTTCTTTCACGTTATCAGCAGGGAGGACGACTCGGATTGGTACGAAGCGTGTAATCCCCTCATCCCTAGTGCCAGGGGGTTGGTCCCGGTGTCGTTCTTCGAGGTCATTGGCAAAAACGAGCGAGATAGTGGCGGTTCGGTTGACCTTCATAAGAAGAAGGAGTCGCACGACTCGGGCTTCTCCGATCGAGCTCCCGCTGCTTTCCCCGGTCCCGATTTCGTCAACGCGCCCAAATCTCATCACCCCCAGTCCGTGTTCAGGATGTCGGCCCTGGGAAAGGGCTCCAGCCCCATGGTCTATGGCATTGTACAGTATGACTTCCAGGCCGAGCGCCCGGACGAATTGGATGCGAGAGCCGGGGAAGCCATCATCGTCATCGCCCAGTCCAACCCGGAGTGGTTCGTCGCCAAACCCATCGGTCGCCTGGGAGGGCCCGGTCTCATCCCCGTCTCGTTCATCGAACTGCGCGACATGCAGTCGGGCCAAGCCGTCACCGACCCGTTGGAGGCGGTCCGGCGCGCAGGCGTGCCCAAGGTGGAGGAGTGGAAGAAGATGACGGCCGAGTACAAGAACAGCAGCATCACGCTGGGCAAGATCGATCCCACGCCGCCGTCGTCGATGCAATCCGTCACCTCGAGTATGGATAAGATGTCCGTGGGCCACCAGAGTGTGACGTCGATCAATCAGAATGGCAGTAACTCTTATGTGAGTCGCCTCCCTTCCCCTCCCCGCCGCGGGGCCGCGCCCCCCGCTCGTCGACATGTCGTTTCTGTGTGCTAACTTCGCGTGTCTCCAGGGCTACCACCAGCGCAACACCAGCAAAGGAACGCTGTCCCAACAGATGTCCCAGCCACCGCCGTCGTCGTCGCAGGGCTACCCACGGCCGCTCGTGGCCCCGATCGCCGCGTCGATCCCTCGGTATTGTTTCGACAACGACAAGTATTGGTACATCATCGAGGCGAAGATGGAGGATGGCCGCTGCTGGGAATTGTCGCGATATTACCATGATTTCTATGACTTCCAGATCGCCCTCCTCACCCAGTTCGAGGACGAGGCGGGGAACCGCGGCCGCCCGCGAACGCTCCCGTTCATGCCCGGGCCCGTCACCCACGTCACCGATGCGATCTCCAACGGCCGCCGGCAGAACCTGGACGAGTACATCAAGAAGCTGATCTCCATGCCCCCGCACATTGGCCGGTGTCAGCTGGTGCGCGAGCTGTTCGCGCCGCGCCCGGGCGATTTCGAGATCGATCCCAGCGCGTTCGGGGAGGATGTCCGATTCTCGGGCGGTTCCCACCATTCGTCGGCGCACGAGGTCTCGCGCAGTGCGTCTCGGCAATCCTCCCAGGCCCAGATGCATGCGCAATACGCCGATCGACCGGGTTCCCACCAGCGGACCCAAACATCGGGGTCGCAACTCAATGGAGCTCCCCCGTCGATGAACCGCCAACCCAGCTCGATCACGCAGGTGTCCACCGCGTCGAGCGGCGGCGCCATGAAGGTCAAGGTCTTCTTCCAAGACGATCTCATTGCGATTCGGGTTCCCAGCGATATCTCCGTGCAACAGCTACGCGAAAAACTCATGGACCGGTTGAAGATCCAAGACGGGATCGTGATGCAGTACAAGGACGAGCCGTCGGGGGCCTACGTCGACCTGGTCAGCGACAGCGATCTGGACACCGCCGTCCAGCGCAATTCCAAGCTGACCCTGTACGTTGGGCTTGCCTGAGAAGTACAACCAGAAACGGAAACAAAAAAAAAAAAAAAAACTCCGTCTAAATCTCCAACAATCGAATAAGACGGAGAGAAAGAGAAGGAAAGAATTGCCCGGACGTGGACCTGCATAGATTCGTGGCTTCTTGGTGTCTTCATCGATATTTGCGATAGATTTGGTGATCTTCCCGCGTGATCTCTTATTTGTTCATTCGTTTTCTTCTTCTTTTTCTCCCTCTACTTGCCCGATCTCCTGGGGAAGCATGGTGTCATGGTGTTATGAATTTCCTTGAGCTTGGGCATTTGGCCATTTGGGCGCTCTTTTACCTGATTCTCGTTTTCTTTTGTTTTGCGTCTTTTCCTTTCTCTTGGTGGGTTTATGGGGCGGATGGATGTGAAGACTGATGCCCGAAATGTTCACGTCACTGTATTGTTTCTTTTCTTTCTTTTTTTTTTTTTTTGCTTCCATCTGTTCTATTTCTTGTTTGATCTTGGCTTGCATCTGTTGTGCTTGAATGTTGTTGTTGCCCGTAGGCCAGGGCTGCTTGTGATTCCCATACCCTTTCCACGGCATCCTTGTGACTTGTACATAAAGTCTTTCCCTGCATATATATATCATACAGCCTACTGTAGGCTTCGCTACCTACATGTTGTGTACTACTTGATATAACTGAATATAGTAAGTTACTACGTAGGTAAGAGGTCAGGTAAACTTAGTAATTCCGAGACAAACACCAGGAGTCCCTCAAACTCATTGGTTGCCGGATTTCCGACGGGCGGGAGTCACATGACATGCGCCGGCAAGTCATCCGCGGTTCTTTTTCGCTTCATCGGACTTGTTCTCGCTCGCGTGCCGACTCCGTACTCTTCGGTCTTTCTTTTGGTTTGTATGCTACGCCTCGCGGAGTCTGTCTGTCGCTACTCTACACAACCTAACTATATCGTCCTCCTCTCCCTGTATATAGGCCCTCCCCCTCCATCACCTTGATTGTTTACCTTGCTCGATTTCCCCGCCTCTGCTCGCGTGACCAGACGATCCTCCCTCCACTCTGATTAACCGTACCGGAAACCCCGCCCGATTGCGTCGCTGTACATATCTTTCCACACATGTATCTATAGACTGATCGCCCTATTGTCCCAAAACTTATACTACCATCTGTGCCAATGAGCGGGACGCCTGCGAGACTATGCGCGGACTTCTTTCCGAGCGCGCTGAGAACGTCCCGCGGTGCCCTCATCCGACCAGCCACGCTCCGCGGAAACCGTCGGGTGTGTAGCAGGGAGCCCCGAAGAGGTGTTCACCATGTCCGTCGGGCACCGACATCGTTGACCGGCCATGCATGCGGCCGGGCGTATGTGCATGGTCTGCAGGACCGCCCCTCTATCCGGGGTTTCGCCTCGGAGGCCGCCAGCAGAACCGGCGAGAACATAGAGGGGCAGTTGGAGGGTGGCCCGCTCAAGGAGTACGGCGCGAGGGTCGAGCAGGGACGGTTGCGCGACGACCCCCACCAGAGACGTAAGCATACACACTGCTGGCCATGGCCAAACGAGACGAGGTAAGGTTAGACGTGCTAACAAATGGGGGGCGCTGTAGAAATAATCGAGCGGTTACAAGACCTCTACGAGCGACTGCGAGGCTACAACCCTCCCCCCGTCGACCATCCCGCCATCGAGTCGTTGGACCCGGTGGTGCCGAAGACCTCTTTCCTCGGCTCCCTCTTCGGCCGCGGGGCCCAGAAACATGAACCTACCATATCCGAGGACCTGCCCAAGGGTCTGTACATGTACGGCGATGTTGGATGTGGCAAGACGATGCTGATGGATCTGTTCTATGAGACTCTCCCGGCGAATATCTCGTCTAAGAACCGGATCCACTTCCACAACTTCATGCAGGACGTGCACAAGCGGATGCATGTGATCAAGATGAAACATGGCAATGATTTCGATGCGCTGCCGATGGTCGCTGCCGAGATTGCTGAGAAGTCGAGCGTGTTGTGTTTCGATGAGTTTCAGTGCACGGACGTGGCGGATGCGATGATCTTGCGACGGTACACCTATCTTCCTCCGTGTAGGAATGCTATGCGACGCAGGCTAACAGGCATGGTCCAGACTCCTCGAACTCCTCATGTCCCACGGCGTCGTACTCATCACCACCTCCAACCGCCACCCCGACGATCTCTACAAGAACGGCATCCAGCGTCAATCCTTCATCCCCTGCATCAAACTCCTCCAGACCGCCCTCGAAGTGATCAACCTGAACTCCCCAACCGACTACAGAAAGATCCCCCGCCCCCCAGCCGCCGTGTACCACAACCCCCTGGGCCCCGACGCTGAGCGCCACGCCCAAAAGTGGTTCGACTTCCTAGGCGACCCAGTCCACGACCCTCCGCACCCGGCGACGCAAGAAGTCTGGGGTCGCAAGATCCAGGTGCCCCTCGCGAGCGGCAAGGCCGCCAAATTCACCTTCGACCAGCTCATCGGACGCGCCACCGGCGCAGCAGATTACCTCGAATTAGTCAGGAACTACGACGCGTTCATCATCACCGATGTACCGGGGATGAACCTGAACCAGCGAGATCTCGCCAGACGGTTCATCACGTTTATCGATGCCGTCTACGAGAGTCGGGTGCGTCCCCTTTATCTATCCATCTACCCACACATGTCCACGATTATAGTCTACATCCACTAACCCACCCTGATCAACAAAACAGGCAAAACTAGTCCTCACCTCCGAAGTCCCCCTAACCAACCTCTTCCTCTCCGAAACAGACATCAAAGGCTCCGTCGAAGACGGTAGCGACTTATCCGACGCAATGCGCATGATGATGGACGACCTAGGTCTGTCGATGCAAGCGCTGAAAACGAGCTCCATCTTCAGCGGCGACGAGGAGCGGTTTGCGTTTGCGCGCGCGTTGTCCCGGTTGTCTGAGATGGAGAGCAAGGAGTGGGTGGAGCGCGGTTTGGGCGTGGGGTTGAGTGAGAGCGCGGGCGAGAAGGAGCATGATGCTTGGGTGAAGAGTAGGAGTCGGTGGAGTGAGGATAATATGTGATATCATTTATCTTCTGACTTCTTTGGGGGGTGGTGTGGATGTGTGTGTAGGAAGGAGGCGTTGCTAGATTAGAGAAGCAGTAAATAGTACATAACTAGAGTAGAAGTCAAAACTAGCGTCACTCTTCGTTTGATCATCACGGGCCAGGATGCCTATCCCATGTCTACCCCCTCCTGGCACGGATCATCTACAATCGGGTCACCTAGCTATAAAGCTACACGATGCATACTTCGTAGAGTCTCATCCTGCTCACAATCTCGGCCATTTTATCCGATGATGCCTTCCAGGGCAATGTGGAGCTGCGACCTCGATATCATAAGGGTCCCAAATGGGAGGTAAGCTAGACGAGAACATAAGAGAACTGATCACTAACGAAATTCCCTGAAGAATGAGGAATCGTATGATCCAGCTGCCCAAGAGGCAGAACGAAAGGAAATCACGAGTCTCTTGAAGAAAATCAACGTTGATGCACTTCTTTCACGGGCTCGTCACCTACGCTGAGGGTATGCATTGTTTCCTGTCCAAAGATCTTCAATATGATCGGTCGACACGGTCTTCAGTTATGGGCGGCATGAATTACCATATCGAAATACTCACATGAAGTTCTCTAAAGCACCCCTGTAGAGCTAGATCAAGTGCCCGCGTATTCTTTCTTTCTTTTCTTACTTTCTTCTCTTACTTTCTTTTCTTACTAAGTCAATGTACATACATATCTACTACGTAGACATATGAAGAGCTCCTATTACCCACAAGGAATTAATAATTATCAATTCCAGACTGAACGTGTTGAATAATCAATCCTATGACGTCATTCACACGCAACCGCCTTCATACTTCCCACCCACACAGCATAACCAAGTGTTGCAACTTGCACTACATTCATAACTACTAACAATCATCGTTAATAAAGGATATGATATAATGACACAACTTATCTATCTACCTAGGTACTCACCTACCACTGAAAAATAGGTAGATATACCAGGTGTGGTTATAATCAAATAAGCTCCCATAGGCTGGCAGATACATGGGATCGAACACACAATGATCGACAAAGCTAACCAGATGGGGTGGGTACTGGACAATGGAATTGAAAACCGGGTTTGAGTACTACTACCACCATCTACGTTGAGAAACATCATACTGCACTATTTTCCCCGAGGAGGTGTGGGGAGGACACTCGAACCAGGGACGTGGGTATCCATCTATTGCATCATTGTGTTGATGCGTAGGTACCTAGTACTTGGTATGTCCCTGTTATATAAGTACCGGACGGGCTAGTACTTCTAGTTGAAATCAATATATTATTTGACAACGCTTACGCTATATTCCCCATTTTACTATCCGTGTTCATTGCTACTTTAATCAAAAATGGACGCCAAACAAGCAGACATGAAAAACGAGACAGTCGAGTTGTCCAACCAGCCCATGACAACCGATTACGGGATCAAAGTCTCAGACCCCGATCACTGGCTGCGGGTGGTCGACGAGAAGCGCACTGGGCCTAGCCTGTTAGAGGATCCTATTGCTCGGGAGAAGGTATATCTCTCTTTGCCCTTTCTTCCATATTCGGCCTTGTAATTGCTCTATTTTATTGGCATAATAGATGCTAATAATATCCAGATAATGCGCTTCGACCACGAGCGCATCCCCGAGCGCGTCGTGCACGCCCGCGGCGTAGGCGCCTTCGGGACCTTCAGACTCCACAGACCTATTCCAGAATACACAAGCGCAGGCGTCCTCAACGACACAGCGCGCGAGACGCCCGTGTTTGTGCGGTTCTCGACGGTGCAGGGCAGCAAGGGGAGCGCGGATACGGTCCGCGACGTGCGCGGGTTCGCGGTCAAGATGTACACGGCTGAGGGCAACTGGGATATTGTGGGGAATAATATCCCGGTTTTCTTCATCCAGGACGCGATCAAGTTTCCGGATGTTATTCACTCTGTGAAGCCTGAGCCGCATAATGAGATCCCGCAGGGTCAGAGCGCGCACAATAATTTTTGGGACTTTCAGGGCTTGCATAGTGAGACGGCGCATATGCAGCAGTGGGTAGGTTTTGTGTTTTTCTCCTTTATTTTTTGCTTTGAGAGAGGGAGAAAAATGGCTAATAAGTTAGATTATGTCTGATCGGGCGATCCCGCGCTCGCTTCGCATGATGCAGGGGTTTGGTGTCAATACCTACTGTCTTGTCAATGCGAAGGGGGAGCGTGTATATGTCAAGTTCCACTGGAAGCCTGAACTGGGCGTCCATTCTCTTGTCTGGGATGAGGCGTTGAAGATCTGCGGGCAGGACCCCGATTTCCACCGCAAGGATCTGATGGACGCCATCGACGCGGGCCAGTATCCCAAGTGGAAGTTCGGTATCCAGGTGCTGCGGGAAAGCCAAATGGACGACTTCGAATTCGACATCCAAGACGCGACCAAGGTGTGGCCTGAAGACCAGGTCCCCATTGAGTACATCGGCGAGCTGGAGCTCAACAGGAACGTGGACGAGTACTTCCCGCAGACGGAGCAGGTGGCCTTCTGCACGAGCCACATCGTCCCTGGGATCGACTTCTCCAACGACCCCCTCCTGATCGGCCGCAACTTCTCCTACTTCGATACCCAGCTCTCTCGCCTCGGCCCCAACTGGGAGGAACTCCCCATCAACCGCCCCGTGTGTCCCTACATGAGCCTCGTCAACCGAGACGGCGCCATGAGACACCGCATCACCAAGGGCAAGGTGAACTACTGGCCCAACCGCTACGAGGCGAACCCGCCCACGGATCCCTCGCAGGGCGGCTTCGCAACTTACCCCGAGAAGCAGCAGGGCGTGAAAGCCCGCGGGTTGTCGGACAAGTTCAAGGAGCACTACAACCAGGCGCAGATGTACTACAACTCGCTCTCGCCCATTGAGAAGATGCACACGGCCAAGGCGTTCTCCTTCGAGCTGGACCACTGCGACGATCCAATCGTGTACAAGCGTCTCTCTGAGCGTTTGACACTTATCGACCTTGAGCTGGCGAAGACAGTAGCCAAGAACGTGGGGGGTGACACGCCGACAAAGCCATCGAAGGAAAACAAGGGGCAGACAGCCCAGGGCTTAAGTCAGACTGACTATGAGCCCGCAACGGCCGTGATAAACACGCGCAAAGTTGCACTCTTGATCGCAGACGGCTTCGACCACGCCTCGTATATCGGAATGAAGACCGCCTTGCAGGACCGCCACGCGTTCGTTGTTACCATCGGCTCGCAGCGGCAGGGGGTGATCGCCGAGTCTGGCGAAAAGGTTATCCCCGATCATCACTTCCCAGGAATGCGGTCTACCCTGTTCGACGCGACGTTCATCCCGGGAGGTAAACATATCGCGACGCTGGCGAAGAATGGGGTTGCGAAGTACTGGGTGACCGAGTCTTTTGCCCATCTGAAGCCGATTGCTGGTGTTAATGAAGCTGTGGATTTTATCCAGAGGCAGATTAATCTGGGCTCCGTGAAGACCGCGTCGTCTGGCCAGGTGGTCGAGAGCTATGGTGTTGTCACCGGTCAGGGCTCTCCGTCGGACTTGCTCAAGGCTTCCGCGACTATCTCCAAGGATAGCAAGGGGCTCGCGGACCAGTTTATCTGGCATATTTCCCGACATAGGAACTGGCAGCGAGAGCTGGAAGGATTAATCGACGAGGTAGCCGCTTGAATTGTCCTAATGACGATATGATCATGTGTTAGTGTAACTATAATGTACTAGTAATGAAGTCAATTACCCCTTGCCATACCAAATGGAGGTCTACTGAAGACATGGAAACCTTTCGCAGAAAGGGTTGCTTTATTGTCCTTTCGTTGTATATTTCTCTTTTCCTTTCTTTGCTCTTTTCTTTCTTATCCCCCCCCAAGTTGTTTCCTGTCCTCTTCTGCTTGTCCTGAACTCAATATGGACTAACATTGCAATGTAACACTGCATGTGATATACGATGCGCAACATGATTAGTATAGTTGCGAACATACGTTTCAATGGTAAAAAATCCGTAGAGTACTGCTTCATAGAGCCGTCCCATATGCTGTCATCATACTCGCCAATTTATTGAAACGAACGAGTTAGTCTTCTCCCATTCCTCGGCAAGATTTCCCAGCGCCCTCTTGGTATTCACGCATTCCAACCAAGCCACACGATATTTGACCACTTAGATCAAAGGCAAGGCAGTCGACGGGAAGAGACGCGACGGACAAGAGCTGGCGTCTATTTTCAAATTTTCTTGAGGCGATTGTTCCTCGGTCTTGTCAAACTGAACATTAGGCAATGACATTCAAGGTGTCGCGCTCTCAGCGCTTGAGCGCAGTGATCGTAATTGCCTCTCTTTTTTTCATTAGCGAGATTGCAGGTAATGACTTTCCACGTATTCTGGAGGCTTTTGCTCTCGAAGACACCCTGCTAAATTGAAGATGCAGTTGGATTCTATACGCATTCACTTGCTTTGGTTGCTGATGCGTTTCATTATGTATGACTGTGTCTATTATCGTGGCGGCGCAAGTGCAATTGTTAACAGAACCAGCTAAGTGATTTGGTCGGCTTCGTAGTCGCCTTGGTGGCTGTCAGGGTACGTTGCAACCTGCAGATTGCGGCAAACATGTTGATGCTGATGTGATCCCAGGTGTCGGAAAGTGGAGAATCGCCGGATTCCCTTTCTTTCGGATGGCAGAGGGCCCAGCTTTTGGGCGCCTTCTTCAACGGTGTTCTCCTCCTGGGGCTTGGGATCAGCATATTTTTGCAATCCATCGAGCGCTTTGTCACACTCAGTCGTTGGTCTACCCTTCCGCCGGAGATGCCCTTGCTCATGTGCCTTAGGGGTGGAGAATCCAAAGCTCATGCTTATAATGGGGTGCATTGGATTGGGGTTAAACATTCTCAGTGTGACATTCCTGCACGGTATTGGTCCTCTGCAAAACAGATAAGCTACGAGAGGGGTTTGATACTAACCTGGGACAGAACATCACCACCATGGTCATGATCATGGCCACAGTCATAGCCATAAGCATGTATCCGCGCCGGAAGACCCGATCACTGCTGCTGAAAGCGGATGCGGTGGGGAAACGAAGATGTGCGAGGTGAGATTTGCCCTACTCAGACACTTCGTGAGATCTAACATGTGAGAATATAAAGCAACATGACCACGAACATCAAAACCATGCCACAAGACCAGCTTCCGGCGGACATGACCTGGCAATGATGGGGGTTTTGCTCCATGTTATCGGAGACGCAGCCAATAACTTGGGAGTTATAATCGCGGCATTGGTTATTTGGCTGGCTCGTTATGAGGGGCGGTACTATGCCGACCCCGGCACAAGCATGGGCATTGCAATAATGATTATACTATCATCATTCCCTCTGGGTAGGTTCATATGCCAGCCTGCTGTGACTGTGACTGAGAATATGAAAAGTGCGACGATCCGGTCTGATCTTGCTGGAGAGCTCACCCGAGGGGATCGACCCACGGGAAGTGAAACGAACCCTGGAAAAGGTGAGGAATATTATTATGTTCACGGTATACACCGTAGTGGCTAGCTAACACGCCCAATACAGATTCCGGGCGTTCTCTCGACTCATGACCTCCACATTTGGCAGTTGAACCAGCAGAAAACGCTGGCATCTGTACATATCGTCGTCTCCGAGTCCTCGATGGGCCAATTCCAGGAGATGACCAAGGTCATCAGAAAATGTTTCCACATGTATGGAGTTCATTCAGTGACTCTTCAGCCAGAGATTGCTCCGGTGATTGAGCTCAAAAACAAGGAAGAGATGACTGGGGGAGCAATATGCCAGGAGAAGTGCCAGATGATGTGTGGAACGACGTGTGAAGAGTTGATGTGCTGTGGGCCGGATTAAGGGATCTGGAGCAGGAATAGAGAGAAAGAAAGGAGAGAAGAAGAAGAAGAGGGTGAGGGACACGTGAGGGCATCTTGATAGAGGGAATTCAATTCCGGTGGTGGCGGAACCTTTCCGTCCATATTCCACTGACTTCAAATCTCCAAACTGTCTTGCTTCCTCTTTTTCTCTTCATCCTATGTCATCCCATGTCTCAAGGGCTTGGGTTGCAAGTCCTCAAGTCAAGCAATCTGTACTGCAATCGAGCAAACGATAGGCATATTAACTCTCCACCAGCCAATCAGTTCACTCAGCACCTCCAGTTTTCATTATCTCCTGTATCAATGCATCCTCCGCAGTGGACTCCGCCTAGACCAATGATCAACATATCCACTGGCGCCCCCCACTTCCAGATAGCAAGAAGGAGTGTCACCTGCGTCTCCCCAATTCCATTGGATTACATCCCCGATAAACAGAATTGGAGAATGATCCCTGGTTTATCCCCGCATCGAGGAGCCGACAAAGCCTCGGACCTAGACGCTGTCAAATAGAGGGTACAGCACCCGTCGCTCCCTTGCTGACTATCATCCTACTAGACGTGCAATCAATAGTCTGTTCACGACTGTTTCATCTCTCTGCTTTCACTTGCCTAGATTCCTCTCTTTCCACACCCAAAAGGCTCTCGCTGAACCAGTCAAAATGACTATTCCGAAATGGCAGCAACAGGCACAAAAAGCAAAGGTTATCCTTCAGGAGTCCGTGCCCAAGGAATGGCTTGTTCCGGAACATAAGCTGCCCTTCACCGATCAAAAGAATGTTGAAGATTTTGCTGCAAGAAGCGGCGCTCTGAGCGATCGTGAGCTGTCCATCACTGGCATGTCTGCCACAGCTTTAGTCAACGGAATGGCCGCCGGTCTTCTGAGCGCGGAGGAAGTGGTGGTGTCGTTCTTGAAACGAGCTGTGCTGGGGCATCAACTGGTGTGTTTTCTCGCACACGTTGGTAGCATTTCTTCTAACATGCTATAGCTCAACTTTGCTACCGAATTCATGGCGGATAGGGCAATCGCTCGCGCCAAGGAACTAGACCGGTATTACCAGCAAACAGGCAGGGTTGTTGGACCTCTGGTAGGTAGCAATACTCATAGTAACCAATGATATAGACCAACTGACAGGGGCTATCTAGCATGGTGTTCCCATTAGCGTCAAGGAACACATCGAGGTCAAGGACCGTACCTGCAACGCCGGCTACGTAGCATGGTAGGTACACTACTCTCCGTCATCATTGAACGAGCAACCTAATTCTGTCCACCAGGGTAAACGACGTCGCGCCAGAAGATGCTCTCCTCCTCAAGTACCTTGAGAAAGCAGGTGCTGTTTTCCACGTGCGCACCAACCAGCCTCAGTCTCTCATGGTAACACAGTCCTACCATTATCAATGTACCTTCAAACACAACTAACAACACCTAGCACCTCTGCTGCAGCAACAACCTTACTGGCGCAACGGTCAATCCATATAATAGAACGCTCACTCCGGGTGGCTCCTCCGGCGGCGAAGGCGCCTCAATGGGCTTCAAGTGCGCCCCTCTAGGTATCGGTACCGACATTGGGGGCTCAATCCGCTCCCCAGCGGCATTCTGCAACGCATACGGGTTCCGGCCGACGGCACGTCGAAATCCATGCACGGGACTCAAGTCCCCGGAAGCGGGAGAAGAAGCTATATTGGGTGTCGTTGGGCCTCTTGCGAGTCAGAGCATCGAGGACTTAGACCTATTTCAGCGCGCCGTGATCGATCAAGAGCCGTGGGACCAGGAGACGGGACTGGTGCCAGTGCCGTGGAAGAGAGTGCAGCCGAACAAGGAGATGACGGTTGCTATCATGTGGGACGACGGGTATGTCTCTCTATCGTACTATAACGGAAGAAAAACAATACAGCAAAAGAAAAGTAATAACAAAGGCAAACACAGCGTCGTCCATCCTCACCCACCCATCACACGAGCCCTCCAATACGCCAAATCCAAGCTCCAAGCAGCAGGAATCAAAGTCCTCGACTGGGAGCCCTACAAGCACGCCCACGGCTGGGACATAATCGTACGTTCCCCTCACTCCAATCCACGTTCCCCTCCCCTCCACACTAACCCTACTTCTCCATCCCACCAGTCATCAATGTACTTCCCCGACGCAGCCTCCAGCCAACGTGACCTCCTCGCGATATCCGGCGAACCCGCCCTCCCCCTAACAGAATGGGCCTTCAGCTACTCCCGCCCAGTCCCGCTAACCATCGCCGAAAGCTGGACTCTCAACACCCAGCGCGACACCTACCGCGACGAGTACCATGCGTTGATGAAATCCTGTAACGTGGACTTTATCCTCTCGCCGGCTTACGTCGGCGTCGCGGCCGTGATGGGCGAATCGCACTACTGGAACTATACGGCTATCTGGAACATTCTTGACCAGCCGGCTGTGGTGTTTCCCAGTGGGTTGTTCGTTGACCCTGCGCTGGATCCTGTCGATGAGACGTACCAGCCACGCGGTGAGGTCGATGCGAGGGAGTGGGCGAAGTACGCACCGGAGAGGTATGAGGGGGCGCCGGTTGGGTTGCAGTTGACGGGGAAGCATTTTAGGGACGAGGAGACTCTTGCGGCGGCTGGGTTGGTGAAGGGGGTTTTGGATGGGAAGAAGGTTGCCTAGGTTGGCTTTTCTTTTCTTTTCTTCTTATCCTCATTTGGTCAATATAAGTATGTCTACGCAGACGGTGATTACTGAGAGTACAGCAAAGGAAGAGAATAGAACGATTTACATCCTGTCATTATATCCATCCAGTCATCAAAGTACATACAAGTAACGTTAGAAAAGTGTAAAAGAAATCAACCAAATCCATCATGCAAATCGTCAAGCCCAACAGATCGGTGACATGGAGGGGAAGTGGCAGAAAAAATCAGGGGGGGAACCAAATCGGGAATCAATAAAAGGCAAAAGAAGAGAGAATCCAACATCAAATATCAACCACAGAGCTGAGTAAATCAGAAGAAATGGTGGGATCACTTCCTCCAAAACATGGCCTTCCCGGCCTGTCTCTTGATACTCCAGTTCGCCTCCGTAAGCCGATCCCGGAAGGTAGCGCCTCCGCCATACTGGACAGGCGCCGACCCGGACCCCCCGACAGCGCTGGAAGTCGCGGTGGAGGAACCGCTAGTGATATTGCCAGCGTCGAACTTGGCTTTACCTTCCACGATCTTCTGCACGAGCAGGAGAATAGCGTAGGTAGTAGAGCCGATGACGCGGACGAGGGCTAGAACCGCGACAGACCAGAGGATGATAGCGAGGTAGACATTCGTGCCGCTAGACTCCACGCCGTAGACCTCCGAGACGGACATGGCGAGGATGACGTTTGCGGTCATCCAGATGACGACCATGTAGGTGCGGACGGCGCGGTAGTAGTCTTCCTGGAGCTGGTTTTCGGAGACGGGGGGCTCAGGGACTTCGATGCGGTCGCGGAGATTGCGCAGGGCGGCGTCGTAGCCGCTGTCGATGTCGAGTTGCTCGGAGGGCATTTCGAGCTCGACGATGGAGCCGTTGATGATGCGGGCTGCGCCGAGGTCGGTGTTGATCACGTTGTCGCCTTTTGTGCCCCATGTGACGTCGTGTGTGTTGCAGAAGGCGTAGACTTGGAGCGTGCAGATGTAGCTGGGGAGGAGGGCAAAGTATTGCGCGGAGGAGGTGAACATGTGCCAGGGGTCGAGGTAGAGGAAGGAGGAGTAGAAGTAGAGGCCGACGGTTGAGAGGAGGGATACGACGATGTTCAGGAGGAGGCCGTCGCTTACTGGGAGGTCGACGTCTTTGCCGGCTTTGGACATGAGCTCCAAGACGACGAGGTAGAGGGTGCAGAATGCGGTGTAGATCATGATCACGCTGTAGACGATGATACCTGAGAGGTAAAGTTTCTTGGCTCTGCGAGGTGTCAGTATCATTCGATTGGTTGTTCACAATAGGTGGACTTACCCTTGTGGTCGATTTCCCATTGATATGATGAATTGGAGACACATGACCAGAATACAGGCATATCTCAGGACGATAAAGATGTACTTGCCCACGTTGTGACCAAAGGGATCGATCTTCTCATCTGACAGTGATCCAGCAATGAAGAAGAAAGCCAGGTAGAAATTTGCCTATCCAATGGTTAGCAGGGTACTACGTAAGTTTCTGGGACAAAACTACTCACCAATCCAAAGTAAGTGAAGAGCAGCTGCAAAAACTGATAGACGGATTCAATTTGCAAAAGGATCTTCCGTGCGATAGAATGATCCGTTGCCCACAGTTGCTTGACGTTGACAATGGAATACACAGCCGCAAAGAAGGCACCGTTCAGCCAACGTCGTCGCTGCGAGATGAATTCCGGTACGGTGTCTGCAAGCTTCGGTTAGCATACTCAAGCTCCCACGAGTCCTGGTTGGGGCTTAAGGGGCGTCATACCAGGCACATCAGTCTCACCAACAGCGCTCTTGACGAACTTCAGAACCCATCTTTCTTCTTTCTTAGCCACCAGCTCCCAGCAGAGAATACGATCCTCTGCCAGGTACATGTTGGCTGTGAACACGTCCGCGTCCTTTCCGTGTAGCGTCTCTCCCTTGAAGTACTGGTTCAAAGGACCATTGCCCTCGGCGTCGTTCTGCAGAGCAAAGAAGCGATACGCACTGAGCGCACCAGGAAGCACAGTAATATAGCCAAAGACAGACTCGAGAGGCTTGTCCAGGATGTTGGACATTTTGTACTCGAAGTTCTGACTCGCCACCAACGGATTCAACAGTCCCAGCATCCCCTTGCCCTTCCCGGCTTTGATCTCACCGGCCGCTCCGGCAACATTGGAGTCCTGGTCAAACGCTTTCCACAGGTGGTACAGCGCAGTGGGCTCCGGCTTAGTCCCGACATCCAGCAGAATGCAGATGTTGGGCTGGAGAGCTCGGCCAAAGGCGTTGAAGAACCAACGGTGAGAGTTCAGTTTCTTCTGATTGTGCTCTTTCAGGCAAAAGAGTACTTGGCACGGCACGATGCCCTTCTCGGCGCCCTTGAACTTGAGGTCGGAGTCCAGGGATACTTGACTGGTGTACTCGTAAACGTGGGCATTGACCTGCTTCTGGTTGACGATGTTCTTGGCGATCCCTTCCTGGTAGACACCCAAGGCTGCAAGGGCATTCAACGTTCTGGGGTGAATCTTCTTACGACCATCCGCGATGATGCAGACCACGATCTTTTTCCAGCCATCCTTGCCCCAGGTGCGGGACTTGGACCGCGAGCAAAAGTGGCTGATGTTGCGCATGATGCCGTGCATGGTTCGCGTGAAACCAATCTCGTCTTCGTTGTACATCGTGACGCAGATGAACAGTTCGGTCTCGCGCGTGGTGGTGCCGATCTGCTGGCGCAGCTTGTATCCTCTCTGGGTGAAGTCATCCGGGTCGCAGGTCACCGCCGTGTAGCGCATGTGTGTGAACTCCCGGTCGTCGCGACGAGGCAGGAAAGAATGCAGGATCGTGGGGATTTTACACTCGAGGATCAGTTCACCGTTCACTAGTTGAACTTCCTTCTTCGAGACCAGCGCATCCCGAACACCGCGGCGGCTTTGCTTCTCTGGGGCGGGGCCGTAGTGCATGTTCGGGTCGACCATGCTGCTTGATTCATCGTCATCCAGATTGACCTTCTCCATGTCCTTTTCGTCCGTGATCGCGGTCGAGTCGCTCATGAACGACCGTACGCTACCACGTTGATCACGGCGGATTCGCCTTCCTCCACCTCCGAAGACATCGTCATCATGTTCCGTCGTATCGCCGATATCGATGCTCGCATCCTGTCCGCCCGTGGTCGATCCCGGAGCGGCAAACAATGGCGCTGGCGGCAACGGCCGTCTCGGACTGCCCCCGTACCTGGAGCTGGGGGTACCTGGGCGCGGGCTGCCATTGAGGTCTGCACGTTCGTAGTGTGTGCCCGCGGCCGATGTGGGCCTCGTCCATCCGGAGACACGGGACGGAGACCACGGTCTAGAGGGTGATGCTGGGCGGGAGGAATAGTGGAATCCATCTGCCATGGAGGATGTCGGAGGGGGAATCGTGGGAACATTTCCGAGACTCGAGGCCGGTCGTGAGGGAGTAAAGTCTGTAGGCGCGTAAAATCGGTTATGTTCCGTTCTGCGTTCATAGGATTCTCCGTTAGTCAGAAGTCTCACGCGAGGCATTTTCCTGGCTGTATCGCGAAGCAAGTGAGCTACTAGGTGTGATCACTTGTGAAGCACTCCAGACAGAGGAGAAAACCCTCAAGTAAATGTGTAATTAGATACGGAGACCGTGAGAGTCATCCGTTGGGGGGACGACGATAGGACAAAACACCAGCGCCAACCAAGAAAGACCCTACTGTTATGCCGTCAAGCACGTTGAGCTCATCTCTTCAGTGTCTTGATTGGCTCGGTGTAGGGCAAGACAGCAGAAATGGCGCACGGTGGAGACGCATACCAGCCGCTCTCATCGGAATGCAGACACAAAGAAAGAAAAAGGGAACAAGACACGGGTTTCAACTTACGCAGCGTCATCTCCAAAGGGATCAGGATCATCATACAGATAAGTCGACCTCGCCCCCACGTCTGCACTATGATTATCGTCTAGATCGCCACTTGTTGGCAGCAACCGCATAGTAGCGCCATTGGCACGGGTCGCCGTCGTCGGGGATTCATTCTCGGAGAGATACGAGGCCGTGTCGCCGGTATATGAGCTGTACGCTGGAGGTTCCTCCTCGTATCTTCGCACCGGGGCGCGATTTGGATTCATGGTTGCGGTTGAGGCTTCAGTCAGTCCATACCACTACCTATGCTATCCAATGGCCAGTTGCGCGTGTGAAACAGGTGATGAGACGGTCGTGTCTCTGGTGCTGTGTGTTGCCGCTTCGTCCGAAACTACTCCGTCGGCGGGTGAGTGTTGAGTTCTGGATAAAGTTTTGAGAGAGAATGTCAGCTTCTCAAAGACTTTCTGGGGGGTAAGAGAAGAAGAAGAATGTCACTCACTGGTAGATGGGAGAAGTAAACAAAGCCGCCTTGGGAGAGGGGCAGCTCGTCAGTCAGGAATGTTGTGCCCAGATACAAGACAACAACAACAGTAGACAACAGCCTTGCAAGTCGATCACTAGTGTGCCTGATCCAGACCAGCTCTTTATAAACTCAGCTGATAAAGATCTATACACAACAGTCGGAAGGACACAGGGAAGGGAAGGTAGGTGGGTAGACAGATAAAAGTGCAACAAAAAAGCCCACTCGACGAATGTCTCAGTGGAGTGTCTGCCTTCAACCCAGGCGCTTCTGAACGATCAATCGCACCGGATAATACCGACTAAGTCTCACGTTGTGGATATCCGGATCTCCTTGGTTGGACCGCAGCCCGCGTGGAGCAGTTCATCGTGATGATGGCGGTCGCCCCGGTAACGCGGGATCGGCTCACACGAGTCAACTCAACCCTTGCGGCGCCAATTCCCCTTCCTGCAGGTCTGTCCCTTTGTCGCTGGTTAGTTCCTGTCGCTCTGTCCTGGGAGGCAAACAATTTGAATCCCTACGAGGGCAATCAATATGTGGTATCTAAAGTAAGGAACCCTTTGCAAATAGAGATACTAGTCCGATCTCACGATCGAGACAGCCGAACCACGGAAACTGGGCCATGATCTCCGTATGGTATCCACTCCAGATCACAGACCAGTTCAAGCGTTCAGTGGACAAAAATAAACATAGAAGGGGGGAGGATAAAGTAAAATAGAGTAAATAAAACCATAAATGAAATCAAGACAGAACGCAAGGGGTCAAGACATGACCCATTGCTATTGCAGGCGTTATTCCCCGCCGACTCCACACTGATTTTGGTTCCTGAGCAGCTGGATACTTGAAGCCCGATAGGATGGGTGTACGGAGTGAGTGCAGAGAATATGTCAGAGATGTCTGTGAGAACTCGATATGTACAACTACTATCTCCCTATAATGCGGTTCATAAGTAATTCATTTTTAATCGACATAAGCAACGTAAACCATAGAGCTAAGGTACAATCTTTGTTCATCATAAATATTTTTCTGCAGTAGTACAAGTGTCACATCTGTTCTCGAACTGAGAACTGCTTTCTCCCCCATCATAAAATTCACAAGCAAACATAGAGACAGCAGACTTTGGAACCAGTGGCGGTCCCACGCCCCGCAAGAGCTCACTAGGACTAGCTGTGTTAGTACTGCTATCCACTCTCCTTTGGCTAGAGCAATAGAGCATAGACAAGGCCACAACCCCTGCTCCTCAAAGTTCGAGAGAACAAGGTAAATGCGTAATCATCTCCAGAAACTCACACCGACCCCAGTCCCTCAAACTACGGACGAGGCAGCTAAACCGGATCATTAAGCAGCGGCTCTCTCTCACGGTCCGCAGATTCAGACGGCGCAATAATCTGGCGGAAGAAAGCGTCGCGGTTCGAGTACTTCATACCGGAGATATAAAGCGACTCCACCATGAAGATAGCGAAGATGACAAACGCGAAGATCCACTGCAGCGAGATAATCTTGATCGTGATCTGCTCGACAGCAAGGCCTGTAACAATGAGTTAGAACCAGCTAGGCACGGACTCCTCATCTCCGGGAATGGCACAACTCACCCAGCATCAAGAAACTCAAACAATAGCCCAGAAGGTCGTCCTTGCCGACAGAAATGTGCGTCGAGCCGACCAGGAAAATCACCCAGATGAAAACGTTAGCGGCAATGCGGGCGGCAAGCCCGTGGCTGTGGACAGCCACCGCGCCGTTCCAGAACAGGGCCACCAGAGTCCAGGCGAAGGGCCCAGCAACGGCGGACAGGTGCACCAGCGGTGGCAGGGCGCGGTGGCGCCAGTAGGTGACATGTTGGTTGACAAAGTGGGCCATGAGGATGATCTCAGAGCCCCAGAAGTGGTTGCGGGTCCAGAGCAGGATCCAGGCGAAGACGAAGAGGTTGTTCAGGATGAAATGCGTTCCGACGTTGGCGGTGGCGGACACGATTGCCGCGTCCTTATGGAATAGATGGTAGACATAGCTGAGCTGGGAGAGGAGAAGGAGAATCCTGAGGGATTGCACGGTTAGTATGGCGCCTGATAGAAGGGGAAAGTAGATCATACCAGTAGATCTCTGTGATGGTCGTGTTCAGGCTGAACGGAGTGGTGTGCTTGTTCGCCTGTTTCCAGAGCTTATGGCCATGTTTGACATCGTCTGGGGAGTTGGCGGTATAGTAGAGGCCCACGATGAGCACCAGAGCCCACGAGAGGGGAACGAGCACACGATGGCTTGTCAGGGAGATGCGTCCATGCGATTCCCTTTTAGCGAAGGGATTGTCTACGAAATACTGTGGTCAGCACCCAGGTATCTCAGGACTGATCAGAACGTAATAGAGACAACCACATACAGAAGCCCATGGCGACGGAAAAAGTAATCCACGTCTCACCAAATTATTATCAGTGTCTTGAAAGCAAGAGAGAAACGGAAAATGATTCCACTCAAAGTGACCAGCCCTGATAAAAGAGGTAAACCAGGTATCAAATTCAATCCACAATCAGATCGATCGATGTCACGGAGGGGTTGAAAGAAGCAAGGATCCGTCAGGTAAGTAGTACTTCAGGTGAAAAAAAAGAAGAAAAAAAAGCCCATCTGCACCCCGCATCATCGTCTGATCTCCTGACATTGGCAAATCCATCCTCACTGGCCAGACCGCAAGACTCGAATGGTGCAAGGACCCCAAGTGGGGCGTTGGTGGGACGGTCGTTACCTCTTCTTGTCCCAATGAATCAAGCTGTCTGTTGTCTATGGGGCTGACTTTCCTGATTTTCGGGCCCTGATGGTCACCATAGTGATAAGAGCTCTTGGGACGATTTCATCATGTACCTTTGAGAAGTGGGGACGTTGGGATCATGACGTCATGGAATCATGGTTGGGTCCTGGGTCAAGAACAAGTTGGCGGGGCGGTTTGCAAGATTTTCTCTTGAATCCAGCATGCTACAGAAACCAATTACTGACAGGGTTCAAATGGAACCCATGAGGAGCTGGGCGTACAGTTGGATATGCGAGACTGATCAACTTCCCCATGTCGTCGATCTGCGCACGGCCCTGCTCACCACTACTCTACTAACGGCGTACAGCAGATCCGCGGGACAGCGATATGCGTGATGATTCCATAAGTTTCGTTGAATACCTGGTTTCCTTTGTTTTGTTCCCCTGCGAGCCAGCACAGTGTGGTCTTGTCCTCCTTCAGTGTGTCACTTGGTCTCCTCCAGGACTTAAAGAATACGTTTCACTGCCTCGACCAGACGCCCGTGGATAGAAGCGGGCGCAACGACCATACCGTAGCATCCCTCCAGGGATCTTCCCAGCCCGCAGTCAACCGGGTTCCCTGCAAGATCGCTCACGACACACCCTAGTTCCTGGGCGATCAGCATCCCGCCCGAATGGTCCCAAATCTTCGATCGGTAGGTGGGCTTGCGCGGCAACTTCACCAAACAATTACAGCCCGTAACGGCGATCGCAATGTACCGCAGTTGTGTAGCCCAGAGATCCGTCGTAGGGGGCCAGGGTGCGCCGATGAGAGACGCAAAACGGCTATGCTTGTTGAAGTCGGTCGACTCGGCTGCCATGCAATCCACCAACACAACATCCTGGGGTTCGGTAATCTGCTGCTTGGGCTCGATGCGTGTAGACGGGAGTAAAGTCCCCCTGCCCATCTTACGGAGGAACGCGCCTTCTCCGGCAACAGCATACACCTGGTAGCCGTAGCCCTCTCGATCCACAACGTCCTCCTGTATCCGTCCCGCGTCGATGTTCAGGTTGGGACAGCCCGTGACGCCCAGCCGTTGGCACCCGTCTTCCACCAGCGAAAGACATACGGCGTACTGCTGCCCTTGTATGAAGGTCGCCGTGCCGTCCACAGGATCCAGAACCCAGGTGCGACCCTGTCGGGCACAGCTGCCCTGGGCGCCCAGGTCAATCAGCTGGAGCATCTCTTCCCTGGTGGCTGGGGTATATAACAGCGCTTCACTCTCGGGGTCGTCGAGATGGACCGAGGAGACCAGCTGCCAGGTTCTTTCGAGAAGGTTCTGATTGTTCCGGAGGGCCGTCGCATCCTCCTCGCCCACAAAGGTGTCTTGGGGAAAATTCCGATGCACAGCGGCGATGATCAGTGCCTGGGCGGCAAAATCAGCGATGGTGACCGGGCTCGAGTCGCTTTTGTCGAGGCTGCCCTTGTCTACCGCCCGGAGCACTTCCTTGGTCAGAAGCGTAGCTCGCTGGACAGCTAGACAGGCGATCTGCAGCTCTTTCCCGTAGGGTTTAGTCAACTCCATTGTGACGTAGGATGGTCCGGATTCGGAATATTGGTTCGGTGCTCCACACGGTCGGCGCTTCGAATTTCGAATGAACAGATTGATTATCGCTGGTGTGTTGAGATCTCGTCTGAGGGAATACAATCTTCGCACAGTGCAATGAAGGATGGGTGGGCTGTATGGTAACCGATATGTTTCAACAAAGGGACTTGCGCTGACCCTAATACTGACTGATCCTCCAGTGGACTTGTAAAATTGCAATTGAAAGGTTTTGAGGAAGCTTCAAAATCTCCAGCTTCTCAGTCTGTTGTGGAAGAATGAGGGTCGAAAGCATGCGATCCCAGAGATACACAATGAGTGAGTCAGACAGTGGGGCTCGTCGTAAAAATAGAGAAAAGAAGCTAACTGCCTAAAAAATAGCTTAGTAGCTGCCTCTCCAAGACAAGAAGATCTGGTTCCGACAAGATCTGGCAGATAATCAATTGACAAAACTCGAGTCTGCTGGAGGGATCAAATCATCGATTGGCGGAGGGGGGAAAGAGCAGTAGCTGACGGGCGGGGGTCCACTTGGGTTCCATTTCCGGTTTAACCCTCGCGTAATCATTTGTTGCCAGTACAGACTAAAGGCTACAGGGAGTCACTCAGCGGCAAAATGGTTAGGGCCTCCGAAGCAAAATTATGGGATTGTTCGTAATACGTAGTCGATGCCGTGTCTACATAGATATGTATGGGGGAATCTGCAAGGCCTATAACTCCAATGGCCGACTTAAAATCAAGGTATGGATAGCCCTGCCTCAGAAAGGCGCATAGGCAAGCTCATAGGCAAATCCAAGCGAAAGCTTGGCATGCTGCAGCATGTGATCGAAGCTCAAATGGCTGATTTGGTCGTCGGTCGTGTGGATCTTCTTGTTGCTGTTTTCCATCTCCGACTCCGTGGCCATGGCCGCTGGGTAGCCGTATTTACTAGCTGAGGTGTGGTCCGAGCAGGCGTAGCCACACTTTGTCTCTATAAATCCAATATCGCAATACTGTCCAAGACCCATTAGTACACGTCATATTGGAGAGCAAGAGCATCGGGAAACTTACTTCGGTGATGACATTCTTCATGAATGTGGTCAGTCCCTGGTCGACATAGTCGACCATGACCCCGATGGCTTCTTCCCGACCAGCGCTAAGAGCCCCCTTAGTGTAGCCCGTCATGTCCTGCTGAAGCATGGCCTTGACATCCCGCTTGTAGTCTTTATATTTGGAGAAGATCTGCTGGGAGCCCAGCATGCCGCCCTCCTCGGCTGAGTACCAGTGAAACTCGACCGTGTTGAGCGCGTTCCCTTGAACCATGTCGTCTGACTGCAGCAGAGTACGCATGGACTCCAGGATAGTGACAGTTCCACTGCCATCATCATCAGCACCTGGCGCAGCCAGGAGGGAGGGGAGAAACAGATTGATGCTGTCCTGATGGGCGCCCAGCACGACAGTCCTGTTGGTCTGGCCGGGGATGCGAGCAATGATACTGAACTGGCCCCATGAGTGGGCGAATTTGTTGACGGTAGCCCCGTGGTCGGTGGCGCCCGAATCCGCAAGCACCTGGTGGATTTGGTCGAAGAGCCACTGCGCTGACTCCACCCCCGTTTGGGACTTATAGTATCGAGTGTAGAATGAAGTGAATTTTTCCAAGTTGCTCTTCATATTGTCCTTAGACAGGCGCTGCGAAAGCGCGGAGACTTGCTCGGAATGTTCCATCTTCGGTGGGTAAGAAACGGTAGGAGCAGCGTCTAGACTAGAATAGACACCGGTATTCCGCTCCGCAGTGATATCAATGAAATTTACGCTGTCCTAATAGCACACATGAAACCGTCAGTGAGCCATAAGGGTAAAGCTAAAAGGTCTTGGGGGAAATGGTAGAGACTCACCAACTTAAGCGCCCATTTTTCCTCTTCCGTCACCCATCGTGTCCGATAAGGGGCCAGCTCGATTAGATATTTCTCTTCCGCATGATGAATTTGCGGATTCGTCAATACTTGCTGTTGCGGGATCACAGAGGCCAAGGCAGATGAAGCGACTGCGCTCAGTGCAAAAGCTACCCGACCCTTCATGACGTAGAATGAGAAGGGTAGTTTAAGAGTAGTATATAAGCATCCACCGAGTATCAAAAAACAACGACGCGGATCAGATGCTGTAGGTAGCTCGTTCCAGCAGCCCTTAACAGTTTAAGTAACGAGCCTCAAAGATGAGTTGGCAAGGGGAATGATGATAAGCAGTAACCAGCTAGTTACTCCGCATTTAAGACGGTCAGCAGATGGGGGCGCTAATGACTAACAAGTTAGTCAAGTAAGGCCCGGTCTGGGGTAACCGCGGTCCAAAGCGGCGGTCTTGTACGTTCGCAATGTCAATCCGGGATAAATTCTTGTGATTAAGACCAGGGGAGAATGATGGTCGCACGGGGTACTAGGTAATTATAATGATTTGTGCCAGCGAGCATCGATGCGTGGGTAGTAACATTGCAGATGACACATGTGAGGACGGCCCTTTTTATTGCGTCACAGAGCGGGTTGCTTCCCAGTTGGGTCGTACCTGGGTAATAATTGCTGCTGCTTGCATAGACCTAGACTGATCTAGTGCTACATTAGACGTTCAGTACCTGTCCACTTTGTAATATTGGGTTCCATGCGACTGTTCAGGATTTCAGCGGACTTGCTCCTGTTGGCAGCCTCAGGCTGCTAACATGTATCTAATATCCTTCCCCTCTTCTTCTGACTATAATTGAAACCACAGCATTGCTGGACCATCGCCATGCGTCCTGGAAGACCCACTAATTATGACCCAGAAAGACTCATTACCAGCTTCATAACATGAAGAAACAAGATATTGAGTCAACGGATTAGGGCTAGGGCTGCAGAGAGAACCAATAAGCAACCCGTGACTGATCTCATGCTCGGATTTGGTGAGTCAATCTTTGACGCTAGTCCCGATCAAGCTACTCTGTCGCCGCGCCCGCGCCCCCCGTCGGACGCGACCGGTATCTCTTATCTGGCACTCCCCATCCATCCCTCTCCCTGCTCAGAGTCTCTTTAATCTCCGATCTATTGGTCTATATAGACGTCTGGGATACAAGCGGACACCCGCTGCGACTGCATTTCCTTAGGTTTTGATTTCATTCTACCTCGCCGAGCGAAGTATTGCCTAGTAGCAACCCGTCTCGCCCGCAATGGCCATCCACCCGAGTTTGCGCTCCGAAGAACCCTCCAATGGAGGTCTATCGCCCCATCAAACCCGTGCGATTTCCGCATGGTCGGAACAGGCTGCGATGTCTCTGGAGAATCTGACATTGTCTGAATCTCGTCCGACGGACGACCTGGCATCGCAGGCGACACCCACCCGCTCGGCTTTGCGCGGAGCCACGGTGTCGCTGTCGATCCCTTTGGATGACCCAGTCCCCCACACCGAAGACCGTTCTGCCCCTGCGACTAAGCTCCCGACAGTCAGTTTCCGGCGCCGTGAGCCACTTCGCCGCGACAATCTGAAACGGCGAGAGGCTTTGCTGAAGGGGAAAGACGGAAGCCGGCGCAGGCAGCGTTGGGAGAATGGTACGTTCCAATAGACCCTGAGTCGCCGTCTTTCCCTGCTCGTCGCTGCTGGGCTTGATTCTCGGACAATGCTGAGACGGCTGCTGACTGTCTCTTCACAGATCGACTTCTGCATAACCCGTGGGCAGAGCCGCCATCCCCCAATGATTGGACTGTCCAGCCGACCTACACTCGTCATGACCCGATGCCCTACTATCTCGCTCCTCTTTGGGATGTCCACTATGCACATGTGGATCATCACACAGCAAGCGACACAAAGGATGGGAAGCACCACATCCCGAGGGAATTGCGCCTGAGACTGAAGCGTGCCCGTGCGGCGCGTGGAATGCTCCAGGACCTCGAGGAGGATATCCGACAGTTCATCCAGAAGTGGAGCGAGAAGCAAGCCCTCCTTCAAAGCGAGGGCCTAGCAGACGCGCCGCAGTGGTCAGACGAGGAGTCGGAAGACGAGGTTGTCTTCGTGGGCAGGAACGGACAGATGCACGATTCGCCTGCGCGCAAGGACAAACTCCATCAGATCCGCGAAGCCATGACTTCCCACAACGAGCGCGATGGGGAGAAGATGGTGCTCGAAAGCGACCTAGACGATCGTGCCGCGGGATTCGGGTAAGTTAAACCTCTAGTCTGATCTGATCCTCAAATTGTTACTGACAGATTTTCGCCTCCCCAGTCGTTGGCTTGTGCACTCCATCGCATCCTACTACGGGTTGCACACATGGTCAGTCACGGTGGGCAAACCCGCGCGCCGCGAAGCGTACGTGGGATTCTACCCGCCTGCTCCGGGAAGCCGGCCGGGACTCATCTCGCCGCCAGGACACTCGACGAGCTGCCGCCAGGAGGCCGTGATCCAACCGGGTGGGGAGCTTCCGCGGCCTCTGTGGGCACAAGTGTAAACATAGACTTGATTTGCGTACATAACTCGACTCATATATCCTCCAGGCTGTATTTCTGATAGATCGGGCCTTGTAAGATATGGGTACTTGTATCGTAAGAAAGCCGTTGCAGTGATCCCCTCTGGGGTTATTTTTCGTGCCGCGAGCAGTTCCGCCTAACTCTTTATTGTTCTCACTTCCCGCCCCTCATACCAATTTATCAGCCTATGTATAAAGGGGATAGGTAATGATAGCGGACGAGTCCCGGAACCGCTCCCGACAGCCAGCCAAGCAACCTAACAAGAGCGAAGGAAGCGACAATTCCCATCAAACGTGCCCGTCCCAGCTGAGCTTGAAACCCCCATCCAAAAGCACTACCCAGCCAACTGTTCTATGCGTCCACAACGGTATCGTCTCCACCGTCTCCGAGCAGCCTAGTATCCGACCATAGACCACACGAACGAGTCGTGCGACCCGCATACCCAGTCCCACGCCCGGCCATCAAAAAAGAAAAGCCCAATGAGTCCTGCAGAACAGGATCAGGACAGGAATGAAGGATCGGACTAGACGGTGAGGGGTATATGCGTATACTAGCACTCCTCCCTTGGGGGCCAAACCAAATGTCACCAGAAAAGCGCCGGTGGGAGGGGCGGGTAACGTTCTCCGATACTTTGGAAAAGGGCCAGGGATGCGTGGCTAGACTTGATAAGGTGATCGTGGGCAGAAAAACCTTGGATTTATGGGACGCTAATACTGGAAGGATCTACCGCTTGGGCTAATTGGGTGGGTGCTTTCAGCTGTTGATGGATTTGAATACTGTAGAGGAACATACGAGGTATCATTGGATGTCATATCATATTTGAAAGAAGGATGAACTAAACCAATCCACCCAAGGTTAGATAAGGTCACCTTGTAGGTACAGGCCCTCATCTCCCTCCTTCCCTCCCAAATGCCAAACCGAACCAAACACCCGCAATCATTCCCCTCATGCCTAAGCATCTACTCTATTAGCGTCCTATTCGTTTCTTGTACAGCATGCCCCGTAGCGGAACGGGATAATAATGAAGAACTTAAACCCCAAAACATACTTCGTAACATAACGCGTGGCCACCATCCCCCGCAACCAATTCCAGTACGACAGGGGATGGTATTCCCGGAGTCAGGCCAGCTGAAGTGGCAGTCAAGACCGAACACCGGTTTCAGCCAAATTGGCCGCTTATTTGCCTCCAGCGCCGGGGCAGTGGTCGTCGGCGCAGGTTCCCATGAGGCAGCAGTCGCCGATGTCACGCTCGTTCAGCTCGGCGGTGGGGACCGCGGCAGCGAGGAGGGCGAAGAGGGAGACGAAGGCGAGGAGACGCATGTTGATGGTTATGTGGTTTGCGGGTAATTGAGCTTGAGGGAGTTGAATAGAGGTTCTGACGGTGGAGAGTAATGATGTTGATGGATGATGATCACGACTATCGGGGGGGATTCAGCTTGAATTTATAGCCCTGGGTCTGGATAGTCTCTGCCACCTACCGTGACAGAGTCGGACATATCTCCGGCGTGCATGGTAGATACCACCCTCTTTGGACCATACCCTTCTTTGACCATTGGGCAATCTGCCACTCACTTAGGGTTGGCTCTTATCGCTAGGGAACCTTGTTACCCAGCAAGATCGTCCACCAACCGGTCCGGTCTCTGCCCGGCTTAGTGGGGCTGGTTTCCCCAGAAAACAGACCTCGTGATGTCCATGTGGGCCTCGTGGAACTGATGTAGGACTTTTGAAGGACTTTCGGGGTTATCTGTATATAGATAGGCATGATATACCCCATGGATGTGTTCCTGGTGTCGCTGTATGCTGGAGAACCGCCCGTCTCCAACCGGTGAAGGATTCGGGAGGCGCTATTCAGGTGTCGGTTCCGCGACGATTTGATTATCTGCAAATTAAAAGATAAGCTAGAGGTAGAATATCATAGTGCATGTGTTATTAGTCGCAGTAGAGATAGTAACCGGGGCTATTCCGCATTTACATTCTCTGGTACAGCCGCGGTGAAGACATTCAAAGTCATGGGCTAACATGGTCTGCAGAATAATAACGCACTTATCTGATAGCATGATTCTGTATTTATTGTTTGAATTGATTGACACTTGATCACTTAGTCTCATCTATGCCTATCAATGTGGACATCATGTTATGAAAAAAGGTAAGATGTAGCGTACGTATTCACACCCTATTAGCTCCATGGGTGCATCCGTCTCTGCATCTTGTAGTACTCCAGTGTAGGAAACCTGGTAAATGCAATTAGTTAGCATGTCAGCTGATTTACAGACTTTTCCAACACAGCCTTTGTCTTGATTTTTCATACAGTTGCAACTATCCGCAGCTTTTATATGTGACGTCGAGAACCATGAAAGATCAACAATATGTGACTGATCTTATCAATTTCCCCACATTCAGCTAAGATAAAGTAATGTCATATGCTATTAGCGCTTATAGTCGAACATAAAGTGTCTTCGTGCTTTGAATTTGGGTTGGATCCGGAAAAGGCTCTCCGAGGTAGATATGCTGATCTGTGCCAGAAGATGCCGAGGGTAAGAAAAGTAGGATCTCATTTGATAGTGCGACTCCAGAAGATAAATTGATGCATATAAAATGCTGCAAGTATTCAAGAATATAAGAATTCGATCTCCCTGTTGAAAATTACCATGCTTCTATCTCTATCGGTCGACATTCTAAGCTGATCGGGGATCCAAGTATCTATGCTTTTCGATAAGAAAAGTCACTCACAATCAGCCCATTTTACTTTACGCGGGGGTATTGATAGTGTGTAGAATACATGAACTGAGCAACTTTGGGAGGTTTAAGACGGCCTATACGTTACTTAAAATACTTGAATATAACATTGAGTTTTGAAAGGGTGTAAGTCCTCCTGTCTTGATGATAGCCACTGCCCCAGCTTATATCGCAATCACCACTTTCGCTTTGATATAATAACACGATGCTCTATTTGCCCACCTGAGTCCGATTTTGTAACTTTTTATCTCGGGGGAACATTATATCCAAGTGCGCTCTTTCTGAAATTGTGCGATATTCATCACTGGTCCTTCTATCAATCCTGAGGCCTCTGTTGGTTGGTTTCTCGTTAGCCACGACAGAGTAATCGTGATAGCAGTATGTCTACTTTGCAGGATTTTATACAAGTCAATCAATCTCATCAACTCCGCCTCAGTTGGCTTGTCCCGTAAAAGTAGTTAGTACACTTATCCTTCCCGAGCCTCATTACCTGCGCACTCTGGTTACGGGACACCTTCGGATATACCCAGCCATGTCCAGCCTCGGTCTTCCCTCTATCTATCCGGTGAATGAGCTTTGCTAGCATGTAAAATTAGAAAGTGTGGTTTACTTTCGCATGGCTCTTGATCCGTTACTTTCACGCATCGAAATTGGATCCTGAAACTTCCAAGAGGCATTAGGCTGTCCTCCGCAACGCAGTTGGGACTTGTCCTCGAAGTTTTGCTGAATAAATTCTTCAATGCCGGAGATACAGCCGTTTTTTATTGCACAAGGTCAGCCAGAATTGAAGCTCTATCAGCGGGGCAGCTGCTCCGATACTACTAGAAGCAAGTCCCAGGAAAGCAAGTCAAGTTTTGATTCGGGTGGTTTTTATGAGGGATTTTGGTGATAGACTTAAAATCAACAATGAGACACGCAGAAAATGGAGATAGAATGATGTGTAAGGCTATAGAAAAGATATACCGGGCTGAGAAAACTATGGACTCATATGTGGCGGCCATGGTTCACACGTGGGTCTTCTGTTAGGAAATTAATGAACTACCTAGTAGGGAGCCCAGAATGATCCATACGCGATTTGAGAACACTACGCGCTTTGTCAACCAAACTGAGCTTTACCTTGATACTTTTGATCTATTATTGCATTGACAGGAATTCAGCTTGCGCAACCCTAAGGGTAAATATTCCGATGGTATAGATCCAGATGAAGACGACAAATAGCATGTCTAGAAGTATAAGCTTGGTATGCGCCAATTAACCCCATTTTAAAGAATGAATGATGTAACTATTCTAGACAATTCTCAGCTATTGAAACATGGAAATGTATTTAATAGGGTACACGGTCTGATCCATGTTTGACTGGAGTAAAATACATTTACTGCAACAATTACAACATGATAAAATTAGGATTATCTTGAATTCCTTCCTTCTGGCTGTTCAATGCATCCAGGTTTCAAGCACGTCTCAGATTACATGCTGGTTTTCAAACATACTATTAAAGTCCATATTTTCACGTGTCCACCTTGTTTATCCAGATCAGTGATTCCATGCCATTCCAATTTGTTATGTGTATTCAAGAATGAATAACTTCTATTACCTCTATCAAAAAGTAAGCGCTATCTCCTTTTTCAAAACACTACTCGTGCCTGACTATTTATATTTTTTTCACCGCTATTAGTTATTAGCACGGTTACTGACTCGTATATTTTCCCCACACCAGAGCCTGCAGATCCTCTAAGAATTTATTCTGTTTTATAGAAAACATTAGGTGTTGTTTAAAGCTGATCAACTTTATTTTAGTTGTCATCAATTATGGGCCCTTTTCTAGGTGTTGATTCGACTACGCAGTCTTCAGCCCTGATGACGATCATATTTGCTACTATCCAAATAACTAAGTTATGGCCCACTCGGAACAGAATCTTGGTCCAACGGAGTGTGTGACATGAAATTTCTTGTTGAAGATACTTCTAAGAAGGAATACATACATAGAAAGATGTAGGATGAACGGAAAATGAGAGGAAAACGTTGGATTCTTGCTTTATTCTTCACCCAATACATGTGTATATAAGTCCATGTAATATATTCCTATTATACTCTTGAGCGAATAACGATGATCAAGTTTGAATGAGCTTTGCTAGGCATTGAATGGGTTATTAAGCATAGGACCTCGGCCACGGGGGAGAATAACGCCATGAATAGCCTCATGTTGGAGAAACTTCACCCGTAGATCATGTTTATAACGAGCACAAGAAAAGTCAACCATGACCCTGAATACTAGTTTACTTACAATATCAAGGTCTACTATGCTCAAGCTTCGGACCCACAACAATACATGTGAAGTTCAACTGTTGAAATCACTCCCCTACTCATATGCGCAAATCCAACCCCCTGGGAAGCCCCAGACTCAACTGGTAAACACCCGCCCACAATACAATAATGGCACACCGACACCCGACACCGCCAGGCCGGTCTCGACCCTCACCGCACCTAGTAACCTAGACACTAACTAACGGACGGAGTACATCTAACCGGTCCGAATAGCGCGACCAGCCGACCACAACCCCAAGCGCCAAGACCATTGAACCATGGTACACGCAGGACGATCGACATTATCAACCACAAGTCTCACCCCATAAGGTTGTCGCTCCGCAACAGAGTGGTCCTCAGGATCTGCCGAATTCCTGCGGAATTAGACATGCGCAGGACCACCGCGGCCCGCTGTGGCCCACACAACGGGACCAGCAGCGCATTCCCACTTCGTTCTTCCTGTCGCTCTCCCGTTTTATTGCGTCAGATCGCCCGCCCGTTGATCACTGGCCTTTTGGGTCCATGACTCCATCGGACATGACTCCATGCGATGTAAATGCCCCGTGTTAGTGGTCGATCTGGGCGCTGCTAGGTAGGACACTACTGTCGATGGGCCGGGCCTTGATGGGGAATATCCACGGAGCTAATTGAGTGGACACGATGCAGAAGATGGAGGGGCTGTTGGGCTGAGGGAATTGGATGGGTGATGCTGGGTAGAGGGATTCATGCCACAATTGGGTTCTAAAGGGGGAATGAACGGGCTCCCCGTGATCTTCAATGATCTCTCGCTATCACAGCGGGGGATCTCTCCTACCCATATTGGACCCTAGTAGAATACGATCGTTACTATACTCATCACGTTAGAGTGTCTTAGGGTACGAAGCCCTAAAATGCGTGTCATCAAGTACTAATTTTACTTTGGCGTTGTGTGTACGATCGTGTGTTCGGGACCTTCACACTTGCGTTCCTACTTCTGCCTAACTCAAGTAAAATATGGTAACGGGGGCTGAGCTCAATTGTAGTGTATGTGGTGCTTGCCATGGTATTCTGGTTGATTCTTGGTTGTCTACACTTTCGAACCTATGGTGTGGTTGATCTATCAGGCTGATATATTGCTGATAAGAATGGTTGCAGAGTAAGAGGAGACATGAGCGATTATTAGCTTGAATGTAGCTTCAGTAACTGCTCATGATTCTATTTATATAGAGATTTGACTCTATCTGAGATTACAAGTGGCATTCCCTAGGGCTAAACCAGTGGGTAGCTCCGTGCAGACGGCGGGCGGGTGAGAGAAAGGCGGGTAATTTATACAATGTACTTTAGACTCTAGAAACTGTTCATCTAATGTAAAGCGGAGGCTTCATAATTATTCTAATTTGTTAGAATATTAAGACACATATTGACTGAGGGTAATGAAAATATCTAATATATAACATGCTATTTGACGGTGAGATATCATATACAATGCACCGATAGTATGGGATCACCCGATACGAACACCGGCACTTCAGCCTGTATACAGATTGCGCACCCGATAGCATGATCATTACAAAGCAGACGGAGTAACTACTAAGCATTTAACTAACTACCAGTATTACTACTCCATATGATACAAGCCAGTTTCATATAGCTCAGTGGTCAGAGCTACTCCACCCGCGAAAGATGAGTTCGGGCATATTCGTTGCGAGGCAGTGGGATTCGGAAGGGTCGCGTTGGCCCACTGCCACCCGCCACTGCCACTGACACGGCCACTAGCACTACCTACCACTGCCACAACCTGGGCAATGGAGACTGGAGACCGGACTGGGATAATGCGCCTTGTGGCCAAACACAGCAAATCAGTGAGCAGACGATCAGCCTAAACATACATCGGTCGGGTTCTGGAACGAGAGATGGTTGCAGTGCCCGGAACAAAGCACGAATGACCGCTCCAGGGCCAGACATAGCCGGTCAAATCAGCGCTTCCGATCGACCAGGGCTCGAAGTATGTATAAATTGGGCAGGATTGTGCTATCATCAGGCTTGTTGATCGTCCTCACGTCCAGCTCCACTGAAAAAGCACCGCCGATCGAGCGGAAGGGATCCGCTGGGAGGAAACTGGGGACCTTTCTGGACCCATATTGAGGCAGTATCGAGTTCTTCCCCGGTGGGCTGTGTGTGTAGAGAATGTCTTAGAAATGGTTGATGAGGTCATCGTCACCCCACTTGCTGAAGTTACTTTGGACTGGGGAGCATGCCTGAACCGGCTGTGTTGTTTATTTGTTTGTTACCCCACAGAATATATAGAGATAGAATCAATGAAAGACGAGGGAGGAACAATGAATCGGTTTGAGATAGTAGAAACCTGTAAATAGTAAATACTCAACCTGCCAGGCTTAGATCAAAGAAACACAAGGAAACACCGTAAAGGGGGAAAAGGACCAGTTCAATAATGTCGGAGGAAGATAAACAAGATTAGGCATGACAGTTCAATCCAATCGACGTGGCATCGTCCCTCATCCCCGTTGCTAAGAAGGAGATTCTCATTCCTGCCTAGTCCATCTGCAACCCTGACGAACAACGCAACAACCAAAACAGGGCGGCCAAGGCGGTTTTGACTCCCTCATCCTCTCTTTGGTGTTTATTATTCCGATTCTTATTGTTTTTTTTCTTCCATTCCTGGTTTCCTTTCTGGTTTCCTCCATCTACCTCCCTCTCTCCCACACCCTTTCTTGTTTTCCTTCCCTTCTATCCTCTCTTCTTCCACCCCTTCCTTTCGCCTTCTTCTTTTTCTGGTCTCATACCGTACGATCAAGGTGAAGTCATCTGCTATGTACACTGACCCCCTTCGCATTCCCCGTCCCCTCCATTCGTCCCCTCCGTCGGGACCGTTACCTATCATTTAGTTTATTATACTTCGTCCCGGGATTTTCCTCCCTCCTGGTTCGTCCCTCCTTTTCGTTCAACGCCATCGTATGACCAAAATTGATGCAAATTTATCCGCCTTGGGGGTTTCGCATCGGCCGTCCGAGCACTACTGCCTTACCTGCTGTTGCCCATCTGGCTCGAAGATCAACCGGCCAAGTATCCGGTGCTTCGGGTGTATAACTACCTCAAATCCCGCTCGGGGTAATAACGGCTCAGCCACGACGACATGGAAATTATGATGGTGATAACCTCTTAACTTACATGTTCTCGAATCAACCAAAATCATTCCTCTATCCTTACCTCTTGTTTGTCCGATTCTCTCGCTTCGAATATCTTCGGTATTAATGCGACTTTTGGACGCTCCCGCGTAAACAAGAAACCAAAAAAGAAACCAGAAAAACAAAAAGAAAGGGAAAAGACAAATCCTGCCTACTGAATTGGGCATCCACATATATATATAGGCCACTGTCACACCAGAACACATCTCACTCTTAACCCCTCCCCAAACCAACACCCCCCCCCCTGCAACTCTGCCGCTCCGTGCAGGCTTGCGACCCATGCTACATCATCTCATCACACCTAGCGCCGCCACTATGGGAATCTCTAGCAAATCTTCGTGCCAGGCGAGCTCCAAAACCGCCGGTAGCTCGACGTCCACCGCTAGCGATACCTCGGATCGTTCGAGGAGCACCGTCCCGACCATCTATAGCGATCGTCCAACCTCAAAACGGATGGAGCCGATAGACACTTATGCGCAAGACCCAAGGGATTCGGCATCCACGTATGCATCGACCGCGTCGCCCGTTGACGAATCGCCCGAACTTCCGCCACGTTACGAAGTGACAGATCGTCGGTTGGACGCCTACTCGACCGATGTGCTGCCCTCCACCCCGTCTACGTTTGGTAAACTATTTCCGTCGTCGCGACGGCTCCTGATCCGCCACGACGATGCAACCATTGACGGCAACATGAACCTGCGGGTCGACACGGTGGTCCACCATCGGGGCGGCTACCAGCAGGACGTGACGTTGTTCCATCTGCGCATGTATGATCTGTTCTCTCGAAAATCGTCCTTCCGCCGCTACTGTCGCGAGTCAGGCCGCGAGATCTGCCATTCGGAACGAAGGCCCGTGCAATCGAGTTTGGGCATGAAGCCGGTGTTTCGGCGGTCGTGGAACAGTGTGCTGGCTAGCTTGCGCCCAGGATCGAGTGGGCATGGATCAGCCTTCACCGTGGAACCTAGGAGTCAATACTTGGGCTGTCAGGCGGCCAGGGATGAGGTGGTCGACGGCGAGGAGGACATGGATGAGGAACGGAGTGTGCACCGGCCAGTCGCCCTAGCAGAGAACACGCTACTGGAGTTCTCCAACTATGCACGTGTCGAGATCAGGAGGCGCGGCGCCGGGCTACCCAAACGATACGAATATGAATATTGGTCCACCAAGTACCAGTGGAGACGGGAGAGTCGACGGGAGGGCGATCTGCGGGGCGTATCCTATCACCTCTTTGACACGCGCGCGTCACGTACCATCGCCCATATGGTCCCCGACATCCTGACCCCGATGGAAGAGATCGAGGAGGAGAGCAAGGGAGGCTGGATCCCTCCGTCATCCATGTGGATCAGTGATGCGTCGGTATACGAGAAGATGCCCGATGCTGCCGAGTAAGTTGTCCCCCCCCCCTCCCTGTTTGTGGTCGCCATGTACTTTTGTGTGGACAAAGGGCTGACACCAACGCGCAGTGTGATAGTCGCGACCGGATTGATGGTGCTAGTCGACGACTGCATCCGCCGACGGTGGCATTCCGACAAGTCCCCTCCTCTTGCGCGCCCGATGCGTCACTCGATCAGCAGAGGCGTGGAGCTCATAGGTCCCAAGCGACTGATTGATGAAGTGTTTCATCGACGAGGATCTGCCTAGGTTGCGCCGGGGGAAAGGTGCAAGCACAACACCGTGCGAGGCTGAATATTGGGGTCCATCCCTCCTCTGGTTGGCTGCCCTGGCGGATGCAAGGGCCTCAATTAAGTCGCATGGCGGTTTTATGAACTGACGAACTGATACTATGACTATCTCAACTGACGATCCCATGAACCTTGACTTAGTGACAACACATTTTTTTCTCTTTCCTTTTTTTTTTCTTTATCTATTTTATTCTATATTTTTATTTATTTTTCAAGCACAACTCCTGGGTCGGGTCCCTGTCACAAGTATGCATTCGGGAGGCTGTGCTGATTGGTTGTGCCAAATGATTTTCACCCGTTTTGTTTGTCCTATTCCATGATTTCAGCCGAATCGGTTGGTTCTCAGCGATCGATCTTTTTTCCATTTGAGTTTTTGCCGGACATTTGAACCATGGAACCATGGTAGTAGGGAGGGGAACCTGATCAGCATGTATATTTTTTTTGAATAGCGTGTACGCATGATGATATTTTAGGATGTATCACGAATTCAACAATTAACTTAGTCTACCGTATCAACACAGTCCTACTACTCAGTTCTCTGCTTGTTTTTTTTTTTTTTATTTTTTTTATTAGTTATATTTGTTTTTCCAAGGATCAACACACGCCAACGCAACGGCGTCGGCACGGAACCATGGTTCGACCTGGGGATCGATTTCTGCCTGACATCCATATCGCCCCCCTTTCCCCCTCTTTACTCCCCCGTCCTGGTCTGGACCCGAATGATCTGGTGGGGATGATGGATGTATGGATGGATTATTTGGACGGGTCCAATCCGATTCGGGCGAGGAAATGGGGTGATTGTGTGGATGATTGGATCAGAGATGATGTTGGTGATGATGATGACAGACATCTGTTCGGATTTTATTCATTCATTTGGGGGTTCGATATGGGTTTCTAAATATAATCTAGTATTTATTATTTTCCATGATTTTTGATGGTTTTGATGGGTTTGGTTTATCTATTTTACTATTGTTATTATTTGGGCTCTACTTTTTGTTCTTTTTTACTTTATCCTATATCTTGTTTCTTTTGGATTTACCTATACTATCTATTGACCTTTTGTTTTATATATGTATTGTATTGATTGTGTACTTTTATTGGACTTAACATACCCGTCGGAATGGGCAGATGTCATTTAAGCTTGTCCTGAGGCCAATGCGGGGCAGATCGGGAGCCTGACTCGCCAAAACTATTGAATTATTTGAAGGTGTTCGTTGGATTTTTATTTATTTATCTTTATTTCTCTTCTTATTTATCTATTTTATTTTTATGATAATTTCTAGATAGACTTATGTATATATATATATATATCTATCTATCTATTATTATGGTTTTATTTACTTTTATTACCCCCTTAGGCGCCATACTTCATCGTGCATCTTCCGCTCATGCAGGTTCTGTTCTGGTTCTTGTCCCTAGTCTCCCCAAGCTGGTTCACGTAGCCGCATGTCAATCATGAAATCATGCTGGTGATGGTCATTGACAAGAGTCACGATAGAATGATGCACGTATGTATGCCCAACACAGTGCTAGAGAATCAGTGACAAATCAATTCCTTTCCTTGGCCGGAATTTTGGGTTGGGTCTTGAACTGACCCAATTTGTTTCTTTGTTGGCTGGATAGTGTCCTGCAGAAGAACAAGGAAGATGATATGATCCATGTACTCGATACTGCATTGTCTTGGTTCGTGTGAGAGGAGGTAGTAGGTAGCAAGGTATGCCAGCAATAACTTCCATGACACTACCAACACACTTAGTGTCTTGACCCTGGCTAGTATGGCTAGTTACTCCTACATACGTCCTTCGGTTCTTCAGTCCTTTCTTCCGTTCCAACCACAATCGTGTTAGTTCATGCAGAGCGGCCCGGTCTGTGGCCGTTTAGATTCAGGGCTGAGACTCGTTCTCGATCTTTTATTCTTTTATTAATCTACATTTTTATTTTTTTTTTTTTATACATATTCTTTTTCGAGTTTTGATTGAAATTTAAATTGATTAAATTGATTTTAATTTGTTGATTTCTCCTCTGATTAATGATGAGCTGGCATGGTCTCTAGTCCCGCCCTGGATCTGGTCTGAGGGGTTCTACTGGCTGCTGTGAATCAATTATGCTGTCAATTCGTCGCTTCTTCTCTACGGGACCCTCCTTCTGTCCTCTTGCTCTCCGCTTTTGGGCAACTAGACTCTTTTCCACCTCTCTCCCTCCCCCTCCTCCCTAGGTGTCTTCACATTGTTGTGTTCCTCCGCCATTGATCCCTCCCAGAAGGGCCTTTCCTCTCTGTTGGTCTCGATCTTTAGGGTGTCTTCCACTTGGAGCATATATGAGGCGACGGAGGTTTGTACCCGACTGCTACGGTCCTGTTTGCGAGACCAGGGGGACAGAAGAGGAGGAAGAGCCCCATTTTCAAGGCGACAAACGGAATATCGTCTACTTAGCACTGTTGATCTTTTACTTTTTGATTTTTCTTTTTCTTTTTCTTTTCTTCATTTATTTGATGTGATTTTATTTGATTCATTTTTTATTGACATTTTGATCCTATTCTTTTGATTGATTTCTTTTTTTATCCCCTTCAATATCAACTGAGTTGTCACCTATCATCCTCTGTACAACACCGTCATCGTCGCTTCACCTCATCCTTAGTGTCGACAACGTTCCTGTTGACTGCTTTTCCCATGACCATCCATGGGTCTGTCAGGTCTGTGTGGAGACTAGTGGCCCTTTTCCCTGGTGTTTTTGGCGTTTCTTCAAGGGTACATTCTCAGTCGGCGTGCGCCGGGCCGTTCCAGCTTGCAGCCTCATAATGATCCGCATGTTTCTCCATGCAACCAGCGTTCCTTGAGTGGAGGATGAGTGTGCCAGGGAGGAGGAAGAGGCGGGGCGTGCCGGGAAGGCGAGGGAGGAAAGGTTGCTGACGCTGTGCCATATCCACCTCCCAACCTGCATAAGACCGTCTGGTTAGGTTCGATGATTAGGTTCCGTGTTTGTCTCGCCAATTTGAGTCTTCCCTTGCCCTTGGTTGACGCTTTGGATGAGTTTTATATGACTGTTCCCTCCCCGCTTCCCGTATCGCTCCAGGTGTCGAGTGAAGTTTCCAATTCGGTTCCCTTGACCTATATATATATACACATTGAAAAATGCAATAAAAAAAAAAAGAGAAAATAAAAAGAAAAAGAAAATAAAAATACCCAAAGAGAAAAAAAAATAAATTGACAACAAGAACCAGAAAAAAAAGGGGGGTTCAAAAGTTCAAAAAGATAGAAAGGTCAAAAGCACACAGACAAGAAAAAAAGAAGAAAAAAAAAAGGACTCTAACTATACATATATATATTGTTGGTCTTCATCAACTCTCGTTTTTCCTCCCTCTCTTTTCTCATTCCATGATCAATTGACTCTTGGACTCTTTTCTCTTCTCTTCTCTTTGACAACTTGACTGCTGTGAGGTTGTTCCGCTCCTAAAGCATACCATTCCTCTCGTTGTCTCCGTTCGACACACACACACACACACACACACACACATCGGTCTACTGCCCCTCCTTAGCCTGTGTCTCTAGTCAAGACTCAGGCTCACTGTGTCTACTTCCTATTCCCCACCACGCCGAACTTCCTTCCTGTCACCATGTCCCAAGCAACAAATTCTCCAACCGGTGGTGGTGGTGGTGCTCGGATCAATTGGCAGACGCAACTTCAAGGTATGCCCCACTTCTCTGCAATCCTTTTAGGGAGGAGAGTCCTTTGATTCCATATGCTAAGAACTACTACCCTCCAAAGAGTACTGCCGGAAATCCAAAATACAGGCCCCCGTCTACAATATTTTTTCCGAACGCCGAGGTATGAATTAAGTCCTTTTCGCTTCCCCTGCTCCGTCTCTTTTCCCTCCCCCCCGTGAACTTCCCCACCGGACACCCCTCCCGCGTTGGACGGGGGGGGGTGGCGATGGTTGCAATCCCGTCTGGATGGGATGAGGATCCATTTTACCTGGGTACGCATGTATGTCTCGGCATCAGCGTGTGGAGTTTTTGCTGTTCTTCACCGACTTTTGGCTCCAAATCGTGTTGTACGGATTCATTTCACTGACAATTGGATGTTTTCTTTTCCTTCGTCTTTTAGGAGGTCGCACGGCTTGGTCCAGTTCCGTCGCAGTCTCAGGCCAGACCCTCGTGGCACGATATTGGTATGATGGCGAGAATGTCAACAATGCAAAAGAAGATGCCGCAGAGGTCGCCCTGTCGTGGTTGACTCCAGGTTCTTCGTCCGCCTACACCGGGCAGTCGTCCTCTTATCAGCAACCCAGATTCAATTAGCCGGTGAGCCCCGGCCTCTCCCTACCTGCAACGCCTCAACCCTTCCTCCCCGCCCCCCGGGAGGGGCGTGTGGCTTCTTCGTCGAAAAAAAAAAAAAAAACACGGTGGTTATTGCTTGACGTTATAATGTGGGAAATCTCTGGGAATTTGGGGGTCTTGCATCTCATCTCGCTTTTGTTTCGTTCGCGTGCGACCTTTTTTCCGGATTGATGCCGATTCTTGGGGCCTCGCAGACGTGTACAACATTCGCCGGCTTTCCGCCGTCCATTTTGTTGTCGTTGTTGGTTCTCTCAGTCCCAGTGGCCGTATCAAGCGTATGGGCGGGCCTATGGATAAATCGCTGACCCAGTTGGCATCAGGGTGTCTTGCTGCACTCGATTTTGGATTCCTTGTTTCATATTTTGGTGGATTTTCTTCTCTCTTCTCTCCTCTCCTCTTCTTTTTTTTTTTCTTCGTTTCTTTTATCCACTTCGATTCATTTCTCTTTTTTTTTTCGTGGATTTTTCTCCTTCTTACCCCTTTCTATGATCTGCGTCGGTTCTTCTGGATCTTTTCCTACTTTTGCCGTCGCAGCTTTCCCTGATGTGGTTCCCAAGCGTGGTCTGGTTGACCCACTTGTGTACTTTTTCCCTTCTTGTGCGCCTGTTTCCTTATAAGTTTGTCATATTGCGGCAGATCTTGTGGCACGATGATTTTTTTTTGACGACAGATAATGATGACATATTACGAATTTGAGCTTGCGTTTGCTTCTGCGGAAGACATCCTGTTAACACGATTCATGATTCTTTGCATGCCTGCTGCCTCCCGTCGTCGTTGACCTGCGGAATTCTACTATCCCACTGACGGAAAACCTAACAGGCTTTCCGCGTCCAGTCTGGTGAACAGGTGTGGATCAAGGGAGAGGCGGTCTGCTGCGGTCAGACATAGCACTAGGAAAAGTTTTATTTTGTTTTACTCAATTCTTTTTTTAATTAGGTTCTTCCCCGTCCATGCTTATCCGCGCGGTTGGTGTTCATGCTGGAGTTTGAACCAGGTGTTGATCTTCTATGGTTGATTGATTGATAACAAGCTCGCTACAGTTTATATCGTGTCCATTTTATCATGGATTACCTTATATAGTGACCGTTCCGTTTCTTACCTTCATACCCACCACGATGATACCTATAGCCTCCATTGACCGACACACCAGAGTGAACTGAGAGAACAAGACAGCTGTCAGCTTAACACGATTCAATTGCCAATTCTACGGAGGATCTCCTCTAAAAAAAAAAAGAAAACTATATCTAGCCTGCTGGGTTCAAATGTCTGCCATTCCGTCATATCCATGAGCTTAACCTTATTTGTGTGGCTCACGTGTGCGCGTACCATGGAACCGGACGGACGCTCGGGTCGGACAACCATTAATTTTATTTTCAGTTCCTGGATTTGCTTGGGGTAGCCCGGATCCGGTTAATCACTTGGCGTTCCTGCTCTTCAGCTTTGTTTTTTTTTATTTTTTTTTTTATTTTCTCTTCTTGTTTTTATTTTTTTTTTGGTTATGCTACCTACTAATATCAGTCCACTCACCTTTATATATAAGGTCATTCATTGCAAGAATGATTACAGATCAGTCCATGCCCATCTGTTAGTGTCGGCTTGATTATACGAAGCAGATCTGCAGTACATTCCCGGCTGGCTTACTGTTTGGCACTGCCAGCTTGCTCGGGACTTGTACGACAACTATCCAGTTTACTTACGACTTCATTCAGACCCGATTCAATGATATTAAATATTCTGACATGTCTGCCACGCACAACGTCTCTCACAATAACCCTCAACACGAACACAACCACAACCAGCATTACCCACCCATTAACCTCATCCACCCCAGTCCCTAAGCTATACTATATAGATAGGTACTATAAGTATTATTCTAACGACCGAAATCAATAAAGCAAGAAAAAAGATCAATACGCAAACCTCTCCCCCCCAGTTACCCGCCGATTCCTCCACCCATAATAAAACCTCAACAGCACACAACCCGCAGCAACAAACAAAAGCAACCCCGCATTCACCCAATGCCCCGTCGGATACCCTATCTTCGCTTCCTCGCTCTTGTAGATCCACACGCCCACGATCTGCCCCGGGGCTCCGAATGACACGTTCAATGCAATGGCGAGTCCTGTTCCGGCTGTGGAGTGTAGGTTTGCGGAGAGCCAGCCTAAAAGGGGCGGGATGCAGGCGAAGGAGCCGCTTGCGGCTACTATTAGACAGCCGTAGCGGTGCTTTTCTTCTTATTAGCTTTTCTTTATTATTATTCTAAGGGTTTGTAGAGGAACAGTACCAAGTATGCATCAGCGGGCAAAACAGCAGAGGCGAGGAATCCCATCGCGCCGATGAAGGCGAAGAGGGCGGAGTGGAGGCCGCGACTGTAGCAATTATGCATATTAGTATATACAGGTATGTATATAGTAGACAAGGAGAGAAAAGGTAGACAAACCTATTGAAGTAATCTGCTGACCAAGCTACAGCCGTCGTGACGACGTAGGCGACGGCCCACGGCGGCACAGTCATTAGCTGTGCGCGCAGACTTGTGTAGCCCAGGCCGCTGGTGATGGCTGGGGTGAAGAGACTGAGGCTGGAGAAGGGGGTTGAGATGCCGAAGTAGATCTTTTGTATATCAGTCTTGCTTTATGGCTCATTGTAGCTTTTGCCGCGGAGAGTGGGTAGATATGATAGTGGGTTGATACACCATATGATAGGAAAGGAAAGAGGAGAAAGAAGAAAGAACATACAGCATAATGCGCATACAACCTCCAATCAGTCAACACCCCCCTCGCATCCTCCCAGGTCATAGCATGGGCGCCCCCCTTCGACCCCTCCGTCTGCAGTCTCCGCGCAGCAAGCGCCTTCTCCTCTTCACTCAACCAAGCCGCAGACTCAGGATAATCAGGGAGCAGGAACCAGACGAGAAAGGCAGATGCGCACGACGGCGCGCCCTCGATGATAAATAGCCATCGCCATGCGGATAGCCCGTGCACCTGGTTCATGTGGCCGACGCCGTAGGCGATTGCGCCGCCGAAGGCTCCGGCGAGGGTGGCGGACGCGAGGATCAGCGCGACGCGTATGGATCGCTCGGAGGTCCGGTACCAAAATGTTAGGTAGTAGACGAAGCCGGGGAAGAGGCCGGCTTCCATTGCTGGGGGGATTTAGTATAGTATTCTTCTTTGATCTTGGGGGAGGGGGGGGGGATACCTCCGAGAAGGAAGCGGATGCCTGTGACTTGGGCGTAGTTGTGGGCGCCGCCGAGGCCCATCGTGGCTGCTCCCCAGGAGAGCATGAGGAAGGAGATCCATCTCTTGAAGACTGGTGAGCGGGAAATTCGACTGATTTGGAAGGGTCACGTACGCTGGGTCTGAGCTTCTTAAGGAGGTAGTTCGAGGGGACCTCGAACAGGGCGTAGGCAATTAGAAATACCATGAGTGCGATTCTGAACCGCGTTAGTGGTATGCCATATGGACGTAACATGGCTGTCGACTGGAGCATACGTAAACTGATAAGAAGTCATATTTGTCTCCGAGAGGAGATCATCGCCCGTGTCTTCGTTGAGGATTTTGGCATTCCCTGCTCTTGTCAACATGTGTTTGGTGAGCATAACGTGGTACACACAACACACCAATATTGGACCGATCTAGATAGCAAAGCAGATAGATGGCGGCGCAAAGAGGCACGATATGCATATCCTGCTTCCACACTAGACGCTTTTCAAGCTCTTTGTACCCAGGGTCGTTGCTCTCCCCAGAATGTGCATCCTGACAGTAGTGTTAATTACGTATGTACGTATCAATGGTGAACGCTGCGTACCTCCAGGCCCAATTCCGTGTCATCGACATGGTTGCTCTTTTCTTGACCGCTCATGGCTGGGATTGTCCTGAGGCTGGAGCTCAATAGTAGTTGCTCGAGCAGGGAAGAAAGCACGCGAAGAGCTTTCAGGGACTAAAATAGCCCCGATGGGGTTGACTACATCCCGCATAAAGGGCGCTAAGTGAATCTGGACCGAAGTTGGAGACACCAACTCACGAAAGTCGGTCAATCTCCGGGAGGGATTAAACGGGCAGAACTCCTTATGTACTGCAAGGGTATATGCATGTTGGCTGACGAGACACGACCCAGTGATATACACGGATCCCAGCATCTATCCATCCGATCTAATCATCTACCGTAAGATCGCGAATCCCGGACTTAACCTCCGCATGGGCCAAGGAAGGGAAAAGCCGAGAAAGAAATACCGGACTGCGGGGAACCCCTTTTTACATACCGGATACCGTGCACAAAGTTATACATTACCGGGGAGGTGCAAACATTGAAAACAGTGCAAACGGTGCCTGATCGGCAAATATTGATTTATCGCTCGATACTGATAGAGAGATAGCATCGTCTGGCTTTCTCCATTCCTAACTCGATTCGCCAGCGCTTCTTCCCTTGATGACATGCGCCCGCCCCCGTTCGTATATTTCTGCATTTTATAGCCGCTTTCGCCTGCTGCTGGCCCGTCCGACTCCCTCTATTATTCGTCGCGGGGCTTCTGTCGCAACCATGGCCACCGATGCCACCCCGCGCAAGTCGATGCCGTCTGCGCTGACGTTTGATCTTCACGCGAAATGCTCTGTATGGCCTCACTGCTTTCCTTTTAGAGGGACAATGACCTTAACTCTAACCTGACCCTCTCATGTAGACTACCAAAGCACGCGCCAGCACCCTCCGTCTTCCCCATGGCGAGGTCCCTCTACCGATATTCATGCCCGTGGCCACGCAGGCTTCCCTGAAGGGACTTACGTACGACCAGCTCCGACAAACGGGTTGCATGCTATGTCTGAACAACACATATCACCTGGGGCTGAAGCCTGGTCAGGCGGTGCTGGACAAGGTCGGGGGCGCGCACAAGTTGCAGGGCTGGGATCGAAATATTTTGACCGATAGTGGGGGGTATGTTTGATTGTATTGATAGGGAGCCCGGGCTCAGGAAGCTGACTGTCCGCGCAGGTTCCAAATGGTCTCTTTGCTTAAATTGGCCAACGTCACGGAGGAGGGCGTGCGGTTCCTTAGTCCACATGACGGTTCTCCCATGTATGTCGTCTTCCCTTCCACTCGTGACCACGCCGTGCTAACTATAGGGGCAGGTTGCTGACGCCGGAACACTCAATCTCGTTACAAAATTCCATTGGCTCCGATATCATCATGCAGCTCGACGACGTGATCGCGACCACCTCGCCCGATCATGCTAGGATACACGAGGCTATGGAACGGTCAGTCCGCTGGTTGGACCGCTGCATCGATGCGCACAAACATCCCGAGACGCAGAACCTGTTTTGTATCATCCAGGGAGGTCTGGATCTCGAGCTGCGCAAGATCTGTTGCAAGGAGATGGTGGCGCGAGATACTCCTGGGATTGCTATTGGCGGTTTGTCTGGAGGAGAGGCCAAGGAGGAGTTCTGCAAGGTGTATGTTCAGTTATTTCACGAATTACCTTTTTTATCTGCTGACCCGCCATCTCTAGAGTCGACACATGCACGGACCTCCTGCCGGAGAAGAAGCCGAGATATGTCATGGGCGTGGTATGTATCTGTCATCTTTTATCACACTCCAAGACACGAATGCTAACAATGTGAAGGGGTACCCTGAGGATCTGGTCGTTGCGGTGGCTCTAGGAGCCGATATGTTTGACTGTGTGTGGCCGACACGTACAGCAGTGAGTGTTCATATTTCCCAAACAACCCTTGATTGCGAGTCTAACACCGACAGCGATTCGGAAACGCCGTCGTCTCCTCCGGAAATCTCAACCTCCGCAACCAAGCCTTTGCAGAAGACTTTGGGCCTGTGGAAGAAGGGTGCACATGCGCCACCTGCCGGCCCAAGTCAGAAGGCGGCCTGGGGATTAGCAGAGCTTACCTCCATCACCTGGCTGCCAAGGAGACTGTTGGGGCTCACCTGTACGATTTACCCTTGCCTTCACACATGCCTGGCCCAAGCTGACATAACATGACAGGCTTACCATCCACAATGTCCATTATATGCTGTCCTTGATGGGATCCGCCCGGCAGGCGATCATCGAGGACCGGTTCCCGGCGTTCGTGCGGGAGTTCTTCCGCAAAATGTATATCGAGAAGACGAAGTATCCGGATTGGGCTGTGGATGCCTTGCGGGGGGTGGGTATTGATTTGATGGTAGATTAGACTTTGATTATGATAGCGTAGTCTTTTTGTTTCTTTCTTTTTTACATTATCTTCATTCTCCTTCGCTCTTTCTACACTCGAGCTTGGCAGGGCATCACCAATTGAGATATCTCTCATCCTTTTGTTGAACCCATGGTATCCGGGCTGACATGGTCTAGTAACAATCAACTGAACTGAAAGATACAGTGGGGCTATTCCTCTATTATTGAAGTTGATCTGTGGTTGTGAATGTCTCCACAAGAGCCATGTCCTAGACTGACCACGGAGCAATGGTGCGACGTAACCCCCGAGCCGTAGTGAAGGTATATCCCGCACCTTTGAGTCTGATCTATCACACTTGTTTTAATCTAAATCTTCGGGAGTAACTGGCTTTGCTTCTCTGATAGGGGATTGTGTCTCAAAGCGAGTGTCTCTGGATTTCAACCACCTGGAAACAACAGAGTGCACGTGACCGAATGGTAATTGCACGTGACCGCGTGTCGCGTCTCCGCGCGTCGGAATCATCAATTTCATCTCCATCGCCAACACCATCTTCACATCCCACATATACCCCAATAACACCGATTGAAAAACATATACCCAACCAGACAAGAAACAGCAAACCACAAGAAACGAACTCAATCATAAAGAATCAAAATAAGAGAAGAAAAGAAAATGTCCCCCTCCGCCACCAACCCCTCCAACCCTCCCCATGACCCCTCCCACGAAGAACACCAATACCTGAACCTCATCCGCGACATCCTCTCGCAAGGCGAACACCGCGCCGACCGCACCGGCACAGGCACACAGTCGATCTTCGCCCCGCCCCAACTCCGCTTCTCCCTCTCCAAGCCCAACCCCGCCGACCCCGCGTCCCCAATCCCGGTCCTTCCCCTCCTCACCACCAAGCGCGTCTTCCTGCGCGCCGTGCTCTCCGAACTCCTCTGGTTCATCTCCGGCAACACCTCCTCGCAGCCGCTCTCCGAAAAGGGTATCAAGATCTGGGACGGCAACGGCAGCCGCGAGTACCTCGATAGCGTGGGGCTGTCGCACCGCGAGCCGGGCGATCTCGGCCCCGTCTACGGGTTCCAGTGGCGGCATTTTGGGGCCGAGTATGTTGATGCCCGCGCGGATTATACCGGCCAGGGCGTCGATCAGCTGGCGGAGGTGGTGCGCAAGCTGAAGCAGAATCCGTTTGACCGCCGCATTATCCTGTCGGCGTGGAACCCCGCCGATATGAAGAAGATGGCGCTCCCGCCTTGCCACATGTTTGCGCAGTTCTACGTCTCGTTTAAGCGCGGTGGCGATAAGGGCGAGTTGTCGTGTTTGCTGTACCAGCGGAGTGCGGATATGGGTCTTGGTGTGCCGTTTAATATTGCGAGTTATGCGCTACTGACGCATATGCTGGCCCACGCGGCGGATTTGTTGCCTGGTACGTTGGTGCATACCATTGGCGATGCCCATGTCTATGTGGATCATATTGAGGCTGTGCGGGAGCAGCTTGAGAGGGAGCCGACTGCTTTTCCCGAGTTGAGGATTAAGAGGGATGATCGTGGGAGTGAGGTGATCGATGGGTGGAAGGAGGAGGAGTTTGAGGTGCTGGGGTATCAGCCGCATAAGGCGATCAAGATGAATATGAGTGTTTAGATCGTGATGGATGGGTATATATTATGATATCACATGAGTTATTAAATCGAGGACTATATGACTTGCACAATGCTCTAATGACACCCGGGGCATCGTGACCCAGGCTATGCGAACCCAACTCCAGAAACACAACACAACACAAAACAAAGAAAGAATAGAAGAGGCATATCATATCATCACTTCACTTCCCCAGCATAACGCCCGCCCCCCTCAACATAACAAGCGTATTCCCCTGCGCAACCCTCCCCCCACCAATCGTCTCCCCAAACTCCAAAAACTCCCCGGACTCCAAATGAAACACGCGCAGTCGCTCCTCCTCCCCAGCCCGATTATTCACATTCTCCACCCGCAACCTCCTCGCCGCATCGTCCAACACCCGCCCCACCTTCCACCGCGAGTCGAAGAAGAACTCCCCCCGCGGCGGATCCGTCCGCTGCGTCTCGGACGTCCCAACGACATGCAGATAGATCCTGCGATCGGCAGGAACCCCCGCATCGCCCTTAGCCACCTTCTTCAGCGCGTTCAGCTGCATCGTCCGCGCAGCGGGACTGTTCGCCTTCGGCGCAGGCGTCAGCTGCTGCGTCTTGTCTTTGCCCCACGTGCGCACCCGCGCGAACATCGACTTCAGCGCGTCATTCCCTCCTCCTCCTCCTCCTCCGCCGGTACCAGCCTGGCGTCGCCCTCCCGGCCCGACCCTCGCGCAGTCGTGCTCTTCCCGCAGCCGATGTCGCAGACAGTGCAGTTTCCTACAATCAGGACACCGCACGCCGGGGTCCTTAAGTGTGTTGACGAGCGTTTTGCACTCCGTGTGCGCGCACTGGTCGGAATTATGGATCGTGGGCTTCTCCGGCGCCGGTCCGCGGGTGCTGGCTGCGCCTGCGCGCCGACGGGCCCATTCGCCGGCGTGCGCACACCGGTGTGTGGTCTCTGTGCGGTGGTCGAGGCAGTACGTGCCGTGGCAGGATTCGCACCGGAAGGGGAGGAAGTCCAGCTGGTTGCAGTATTCGAATTGGCAGTGGCGGCCGATGGACTCCAGGTCTTTGTCGGCCATTTGGGTGAAGGAGGAGGTGTTGGGCGGGTCGGATTCGGCGCTGGAGCCGCGGCCGGCTTTGTTGATTGTTATGGGGGACATGGTTGTGCTGTTGCTGTTGCTGTTGAGTTGTGATGAGGGTGAGGGAGAGGGGTATAGGACTTCCTGGCCCCCGGTGGACTTGCGGGGAGTTTATTTGAGAGTAGGCAGCTGGCAATGCGTAATCAGGCTGATTGATCAACGAGGCGGAGATGGCGCTAGAAGCGCCTCGTGTGTTGTGGCGGCTTACTCAGCCTTATGGGTGGCGGGGAGATTATATGTAGGGTTTTTATGATGGGTTTGGGGAAATTACTAATAGTGCACTGTACTGTACTGTATTTATCTGATCTCGGAGATCGAGCGGAGATAACAGCGCTATCAAGTTTTGCTCTAAAGTATTGCTTTAGATCAGGTAGATCAGGCAGATTGAATTTCATCGCCAGAACTGAGAGCGTACTACTCAAACAAAAGGGGTATAAACAAATGTAGGGACAATGATAGCCAACCGTGTAGTATCCTCCCCGAGACGACGAAGCATCAAACAAGAAGGGCAAAACAGACAACCTTTCAGCAAACGCCGGGAAAATGGAAGACAAAAAAAAAACAACGAACTTGGCATGGAACATTCATGGGCTGGGGCTTCAATTGTTGTCACTCTCCCGCTTGAATTGTGACGGAGTCGACTGGTTCATGCCCAATGGGTTGGGATGGGCGTGCACACCCGGCCGTTGATTCTCACTGCTAGGACCGCTCGGCGCAAAAGGAATCGGGCTGTTCGAGGTGAAGATTGGCAGCCCGTTCCTGGTTGGAGCGGTCGATAGTGGCGCGGAATACGTTGTATTGTGAAGGCGGATGTTTTCCGGCATGGGTCCTGGTATGATGGGTGGTGAGATTGCACTGCCAGTAGAAGGCATCTGCGGTGCAGTTGGGGCCGGTCTGTCCACTGTACCGTCCCAACCATCCCACCCATGTGCAATGGGGAAGTTGGCCATTTCGGGGCCACTTGTGTTATTTACAGGGGTCGGGGACGTAGTGTCAGGGGAAACGATGGGAGAGCTGGAGGGCTGTGTCTCTTGTTTGACTCCGCTTCCGGTGTCCTGATGTGTGGAAGGGTTGGAAAACAGTCCTCTACTAGAACCAGAACATCGTGAGGACGCTTTGCTCGTAGAGATATGCAGGTCCTTGGAACTGGTCCGTTTGGGCGGCATCGGTCCCCGCGAGGTCCCTTTGGCGGTCCTAAGCTGCTCCCGAGCCGCATGCTCTTCTGGAGATGGCACTTTCAGCTTGATGTTGAGTTTGCGGACACCGGAGGTCAGGCTATCCACGTCGCCTGCCGGAGGGGCTGTCTCATTGCTGCTTGGAATAATGGGCGTCGCCTCCCCTTCGTCCTTCGTAGTCGGCGGCAGATAATTAGACGGCACTCGCGGAACAGGAGGTGCTGTCTTGGGGCTGGTAGGGAGTTTAGGGGTCCCGGATCGAGAGCCGCTAGGCCGTCGTGGTCCCGGTGCTGCTGTTGCGTCCCGGACGAGACCTGCATTTCCTTCTCCGGTAGGTGAAATCCGAGAGGGCGGTCTCGAATTGGGGGGTTCCGGCGTCGATGTAGCCGTTGCGTTGGTACTCTTCCGGCGTGTTGTACGGGCTTCCGGCGACTTTCTCACAGGTGGGTCCGGCAGGCTACTGACACGATCGATGGTGGTTCTCCGGTTGTCCTTGAGAGTCGCACGCTTGGGAGTCTCGGCCTTGGGAGTGCTCGGCAGGGAAGCCTTTGGCTTTCTCGTACGGAGTTTCATCCGACTCTCCTCGGGCGTGGCTGGGGCCGAGGGAGGTTTCTCAACGACAGTTACGTTCTGGCGCTCGCGGCGCAAGCGGGAGGCCTCGGCATTGAGATCCTCCGGTCGACAGCTGTTGATCTGCCGCGCGGTGGGAATGAGGACTTTGGACAACTCGTGCGCTGCGGTCGCCCAGCTGATGGGGGGCAGGGGCGGGGCCTCGGGTTCACTGGCCTGCGAGCCGGTCGATTTCCGATCGCGCGGGGGCGTGACCACTTTCGCGGAATAGGACTGCGTCGGGGCAAAGTAGGTTGGGGCAGACTTCTCGCGCTTGGTCGTGGAGACGGGAGGTGGGTAGACCAATGCTTCCAGCTCCTCGAGCACGACGGGAGACCACCACCCGCTGTCGTAGGCAGCTTCAAATGGTGAAGACTGAGCGTTGGTCGAGCCCGTGTCGTACAGACCCAAGCGGTCCGTCATCTCAGAGGCCAGCCGGTCAATTTGTTCGTCTTCGTCAGTCCGGGAGTTCAGTCGCGTATCTCCCAATGCGGACAAGTGACTGAGAACACCGCTCGTCAAGGCACGATTACTGTAGCCGCCTTCCAGAACACTGATCACCCGTCCGTCGACCCCAAGTCCCTCCTCCTCCGCCATGCGCACTACGTCTGCGGTGAATCTGGCGTAGAATTCGGTGGGCACGTTCGCTTGATGCCTCTGCATACCGCTTCCTTCCCATTCACTCGCATCAAATCCGGCCGAGATGAAGATGGCCGCCTTGGGCGGTGGACCGTTGGGGAGACTATTGAGGCGCTCTGTGTGCATTCGCAAGAATGCGCGGGCCTTTTCAACCAACACGGTGTACTTATTGGCATATAAATCCCAAAATTCTAGATTCGACTTCCATGGCTCGAGGTGGACATTCCAGATCGACTGGCCATGGGCCTTGTCGATGCACACGCTCGCGTTGCGAACCTTGTCCAGATCGCCCATTTCGCAAGGGTAGGAGTTGATATCGTGGAGGCTAAAGTATCCGGTCATGGCTTTTCTGTAGCTGGCCGCATTCCGGGGCGCGGTCACGGCCTTCCGATTCTGCTCCCACGTAATCGCCTGGGAGCCGTCGCCATGATGCAGATCAAAGTCCAGGATCGCCGCGTGGGTCAAGCCGTGTGTCATCGCGGCGTAGGAGATCCCCACGTGAACGTTGTTGATCCAGCAGAATCCGGACGGATGATCCGAGGAGCAGTGATGGCCGGGAGGACGAATGCAGACAAAGGTCCTCTTTGTTGCACTGGGACCGAAGACCGCATCGATTCCCTCACAGACACCGCCAAGAGCCCCCTCCAAGGCATCCCGGGATTCCGCGCACAGGTAAAGGTCTCCTTCGTGGAATGGTGGGTCGTTGGTGGCCGTGCTGTCCTTGCCGCTGCTGCGTGGTCTGACCAGCTCCTTGCCGTTGAGCGCCAGTCGCGATTCCGCCGCATCGCACATGCTCTTCAGGTCATCCATCCATTTGCTCCCATGCACGTGGGTCACTGCGGGCGAGGTGAGCGCCATGGAGCGCGCGGTCTTGCGGATCTGGAAAGGCGGGACAGGTAACTGTTGCACATCTAAATTCGGATGCGGGGGAAACCGTCCGCCCGCATAGCGGTGCGCGAGTCGAACGTAAGCCGCAGACACACCGAGCACACCGGCCTGGATTCGCTCAGGACGTTCGACGATCGAGTTCAGGGCCGCCCTCGAGCTTCGGGGGCGCGAGAAGCGATGGCCGTAGCACGCATCGTGAACGACTACCAGCGTCTGCGACTGTAGGTCGGTGGAGTTGTGGCGGTCCACCTCCCTCACGAAATGGTCGCCTGCCACAGATGCAGTCGTGGGGGCCAGTTGTTCGAGAGAAGAGGGCTTCTTGGACCCCATGGTGGCTGTGGTGGGGGATGTCGCGAACGTGGGGGACCGGGGGGATGACGGGCCTCCGCTGCTGTGGGCAGATCGCAGAGATGCGGTCGACGATCGCTTGTTCAGACCGGTAGAAGACCTCCGGTTTTCGTCCCTCAACGAATTCGAGCTAGTAGTGCGTCGGGGGGTTGGATGTGGCTGGCAGGCAGAACGCGCGGGGGGGTCGGGGGATAAGAGCGATGACGAAGAAACCCCAGAGGAGAAAGGAACAGGGGTCACAACCATGGACCGATGGTTCAGGTGGTCAGTGGACCGATTGGAGGTGGGTGAAGGAGACGTGGTTGATTTGGTCGCAGTGAATGAAGTCGCTTCATGGCGTTGGGAGGGATCCATGACGCAGATCGTGAACCTCCCATTTGGGGGTGGGATGAGGGGGTATTTGTGAGAGAAGCTGGCGGGGGAGAGACGACGTGAAGAATCTCTTATAAGACAGAGGTACAAAAGGGACAAAAAGAAGAACTGATTGAATACGAGAGGAAGGAAGAGAAGAGGAAGAGGAGGAAGAAGAACAAAAGGGAGAGAACTGGTTGGGCTGGTATGTTTATCTCATGTTTATCGCCGGATTTCCCCTCCAAGGGGGAAATTAAAAATTAATCCAAAGAATGGACCTTCTTCTTCTTCTTTCTCTCCACTCAGACAGGTCTCAATCCTCCCAATAACGGACACATTCTTTTTGTATAGCCATTCTAGTCCGAGATTGTCACCTCCTTTGTTATGTATGTCTTTCCCAGAGTGCATCGCATCGCATTGCATCGCATCGCATCTCATCGTGTCGCGACAACCCCAGCCGGTGATCGACAGACCCCATACTCCATCGGTGACCTTGCACGCAGGCGCCTGATGGGCAATGATCGACGATAATGGTTGATCCACTCGTGGTAGACTATTGTCAATGGAGTATATAGACCAAGTGGGATTGAATTCATTCCAGAAAGACTACAGAAGATCCTTCAGACCAATAATTTAATTACACCAAACTCCACCACCCCTCCTTTATCCCCGATCCCAAACTCCTAGATCAATGATCAAAGACAAGTAGCCACTGACACCTGGACAGACACATTCAATGCACTCCATTCAGGAACGGACTCCGAGGGAAGGCCCCAAATCTGCGTTCACCCTCTCTTTTGAAGCCCCACCTCCGAGACTTCCTGGTACTGAGGAATCAAAATGTTCGCGACCGGAGAGCAATCATGTGTTGGTTCCATTTCCTCCGCAGCGAGAAGGAGATCTTCTCACCGGAGCCCTCGAGGGAACTGCGCTTCTTTCGCTCGGACTTCTTTTCCGACTTAAATCCCTTGGTCGCATGCACATTGCAGAAACACTGCATGTAGACCGTCTCGATCGCCACGCCAGCGCAGTCGGATTTCTTGCGGTCGGTGCAGGCCTGGTGGCCGGCATCCTCCTCGCACTGGCAGAAGACGTAGAGGGTCAGGTATTGTCGGCACATGGTGTTCAGAGTGTAATATCGTGATATCGGAAAATTAGAAACGGCTCGGGACAACTCTATCTGGCCAGCAGAGAGTATGGAAAGTAAGAATAGGTGTGTATTGTGGTTGATGGTGGGGAATGTATTTTTTTTTTCCAGTCCACGATTCCGCGAGCTTCCGGGCCGAAATTGTTGGGTGATTGCAGGGGGTATGGCCGCTGCAATTGTGTTCTAGGAGGATATATTCGAGATTCCAAAATGGAGATAGACAAATGACACGGTTATCGCTATTGCGAGAAGACTGGGGCGGGTTTAGAAGTCGAGGCGACTACTGCATGCTAGATATCAGACTATGTCCGACACCAGGCCTTTGGTTTGCTACCCGCAAGAAAGAATGGAGGAGGATCGGAAGACTGATTGAAAGAAAGTATACAATGAAGACAGCAGGCTGCGCAAAAGAACTGACAGGGAATCAAAGAACGGGGCGAAGGAATCAGATATACCCAATCGTGAAAGAAGACGTCAGGCACAATCGGAGAAGGAAAAGAAAGAGAACGATGATGGGCACATTGGGGTAAATAATGACTCTTTGACGTCAGCACGGATAGACGTGGAAGAGTGGATCAGGGCCCAAGTGCCAGGAGGGCCGGCGTCAAAGGAAAGCGCTTCCGTTACAGCTGCCTACGGTCGATGGCCATGGACTGGGCTAGATTTGAAATCTGGCGTTTCTTCACAGCCTGGATACAGCTTTAGTCAAACAGTCCATCTTACAGGAGGGGTCAAAGTTGGGTATATCTCGTCAGGCCAGCTGCAGGACGTAATAGCATCAGTCCTCGTTGGTTCATCTGGCGCTCTGTTGGCGCCGTCCAGCAGGCAGCGGTCCAATGGGAGAAATTGCCCCCCGCAGGAGGTACCTAAGAATACCATCCTGGTGACTGAAGAAGATCTATTCCCTGAAGACGTGAGGAATTATCCCAACGGTGCAGAATCCATCATGGTGGTAATGCGGTAATCCTGTGGTTCGTGGTGCCGACTGGGCCGAACGGGTCAATGACTGGATCAGTCTCTTTCGGGATCCCCTCACGCACGAATACAACCTCGATCACCCAAGAGCCTTGGCTGTCAGATAAAATGTCACGGCGCAAATGAAGGCCAGAAAAGAATGAAGGTGCCTAGAGATCAATAGTGGCTGAAACGATTTCATTGTGAACATGAAAGAAGAGCCATGAGCATGAGACTGGTCATATGATCGGTGCTCAGTGAGTGAGGTGTAAATAGTAGAATCAATATACTACCTAGAAGACAATCTCGGAGTATTGACCTGCCATCACAGAGCTATACATGATACCATGACTTAAGGAGTATGAAGTATGGACAGAGTAAATTGCAAAGTGGATCTCACTGATCAGCCAGATGGACGGAAACGGATGAGCCGCTAGTCTGTATCTGGCTAGCCTAGCAGTACGATAGTTATGCCTGTTTATACATCCCTGACTAACAACTGCCGGCATAATAACGAACCCCACATATACACATCGCGATCAGTCTTCATTCCCCTCTAAACACCTCCTCAAACAGAAACCTCAAACCTCCTCGACTTCACACCACAGCTGCCAACAGCCCACCGTAATGTCCGAATCCACAACAATCATGCCTCCCTCCCCCACCCGAACCGCCACCCTCCTCTCCAACCTCTCCGCCGTAACCTCGCGGATCACAGCATCCTCAGCCTCCGCAGGCCGCAACACCACCAAACCAATCCGCCTAATAGCAGTCTCCAAGCTCAAACCCGCCTCCGACATCCTTGCCCTGCACAGTCCCCCCGCATCGCACCTCCACTTCGGCGAAAACTACCTCCAAGAGCTGCAAGAAAAGTCCAAGCTCCTCCCGCCCACCATCCGCTGGCACTTCATCGGCGGCCTGCAGTCCAACAAGTGCGTCACACTCGCGCGCGACGTGCGCTCCCTCTGGGCCGTCGAGAGCGTCGACTCCGAGAAGAAGGCGTCCCTCCTAAACAAAGGTTGGGGCGCGCGGTCTGCCGAGTTTCGCGCGGAGGACCATGAATCCCGGCTGCGGGTGTTCGTGCAGGTTAATACGTCCGGCGAGGAGAATAAGGCGGGGGTGGAGCCGGTGAAGGGCGCGGTGGAGTTGTGTCGGTTTGTGAGGGAGAACTGTCCCAATTTGGCGCTGCAGGGGGTGATGACTATTGGGGCCATTGCGCGGTCGAAGGCGACGACGGCGGAGAATGAGAATGAGGATTTTGTGTGTTTGAGGGAGACGAGGGATCGGGTTGTGGGTGAGTTGGGGTTGACGGGGGAGGAGGCGGAGTTGGAGTTGAGTATGGGGATGAGTGAGGATTTTGAGGGCGCTATTGCCTTGGGGAGTGATGAGGTGCGTGTGGGGACTACGCTTTTTGGGGATCGTCCGCCGAAGCATGAGGCCAGGGTTGTATGAGCTGTTTTATGGGGTTTGCTGTGATGAGTGACGAATATCGTGTATCTATTATTACCTAAAAGAGGGAGAGAAGGGGGGTTGCTTAACGGACTGTTGAAAGTTGCACAACACGCCAGTCAAACGGCAATGCTGCTGTTCGGGGACATATACTATATACTTGGTAATCTCAATAAAATACAACCAATGGCCACCTCGCATCCCCAGCAAGATAGTCAATGTGGTGAATGGAAAGAAGAAAGAAAGAAAGAAAGAGCTAAAATAAAGGGGGAAAAAAGGGCTGATGAAGATTAGTTATTAGACAAGGTTCGAAATGTGGACGGGTTGGCATTCGCAACCACTCCATTAGACTGTGTACACGTCTTCGCGCAGTCGTCCCTGAGACAGTCTCTGCTCCATCTGCTTGGCCAGCGCCTGGGGAACGAGTTCTTTGGTGGCTCGGATGGTCACCCGATACATCTACATAACTCTGGTTAGCTTTCCATCCACTACCATAGAAGGATGGAGGGAGACTTACCCGCTTCTCGTAATTGGGCTCCAACCGCAGGAGACACCCAGTTTTCCCATCGGCGAACTGGAACACCGCACATCCGACGATATTGACCGGATTCGGGTCCACGCCGTCCAGGATCTTCCACCGGAGACTCTGCACAAGCCATCGCGTGAATGTCACGTCAACGTCCTTCGCTTTCGCAGTGGCCCCGAACGTGCTCTGCGCCTCCAGCGGCCCCCCGCCGATCTGCCTCCATCGCTTGAAGAACTCATCCGTAGGCAGCGTCGACGGCTCCATGTACCGGTGCATCAGCACCGGTAACTGTAGGGTGTAGGCCTGCAGCGCACCGGCCAGGTAGGAGATTCGGATCGTGGGCGCATCGAAGAAGGGACCCCGAGATTCGAAGAAGAAAGTCTGCTGCGTTTGGCCCGATGCCGGCACCGAGGGCTCCGGGATGCTCTTGCTATCTGATTTCAGGTTCGGCGCGGACTTGTTGTCCAGGGTCGTCGTCAGTGAGCCGAGCGGGAAAGTTGCCTTGTTGGTCAGGTAGATCTTCACCACACCCAAGTGGCCACGATACTCCGACCGCATCCCAACCTGGATCTGGGCATCCTCGAAGAGCACCCCCTCCTCTCCAAAGTACAGCCGGTTGTACCCGATGTGCCAGTCGGGTGTGAGATGTGCCGCGCTGGCCATATTGGGGGCCGGCGCTGAGGGAGCGCTGAGGTCCAGTCCCGCTAGGTCACCCGACGCGCTCGAGGCCCCCGTGGGAGTCATTGCGTTCGCTCCGGTCTTTGTGCCGTTGACGATCGTGGTGAAGGAGCGCTTGAGCCCCGTGTTCTGCGCCATGAGGACCTCCTTCTTATCGATATTGGCGTCCTTGCCACCCACAACCCAAGTCTTCTTGTCGCTGGTGCCGGCTGTCCTCTGGTGGAGGCGAGACAGGAGGATCGAGGCCCTCTCAGAGAAAGGCGGCATCTCATCGCAAACCGTCCGGAGAAGATCGTCGGTGGGGAGCGTCGCAAGCGACAGATATTCGAAAGCACGCTGCTGCAACTCGGAATCCGGGGAATGACTGTACAGACGGAATATGTGCAGGAGCTGCGGTTTAATCTCGGGGAAGAGGTTGACGAATTTGACAAAGGACGACAGGATCATTGCGCGCGTGTTGTCGGTGCTGGTGATCATCTTCGCCTGCAAGGCCAAGAACTGCTCGATGGGGCTGGACCCCTGGTTATCGGCAATGAGGTGACCGAATTCGCCCAGGACGTAGCATCCGATTTTCACCAGACTCTCATGGCATTCCGTCTTCATGTAATTGAGCAGTGTCAACGCCGCGTACGCCTGCAACTCTTCGTTGTTTGTCACGATCTGGATAACACGTTGCCACACTTCATCGTTGACATGATCTCCTGCCAGAGACAGAAGTTTCAAGGTCATGTCAATGTACCACTGCGCATCGGTTGCGTACTTCTCTGTAAGAATGGCGACCTTGAGGACCATCTCCTCCCGGATGGCATAATCGGCTGTCTGTAGGTAGCGTAACAGTTCATTCACAATCGGGCCCGCGTTCGTGGTGTCACACATGCTGTAAATCAGGTCCAAGCCCTTGCGTCGCACACTGATATCCCGGTCACGGAGGGATCCCAAGATGATGTTCTGATGCTTCTTGATGGGATCCAGGGTTTCCGCCCGGGCGGCGAAATGGGTCATGGCTTCCAATCCCAGATACCGCACGTTCGTTTCCCTGGACTGGATGTATTTTCCTAGTCGAGTCGAGATCTGCATCATAAGGCCGTGCTCGGTGTCGAGGTGGATTAGCAGATTGATAGCCTCGAAGAGCACCGCGTTCTGCGCATTATTTTGTTGCACATTTTTCGGAGTGTCCATGGCTACATGCATGATCTGTTGCAGAGATTCACGAATGATTTCACGAACATGGCTGTCATCTGGATAGGGTTAGCCATGCGCATAAGCAAGTATCTAACTAGAGGACGTATACATACCCGATGGGGGGTAGTATTGTAGCAAGCGCAGGAATTTGACCTGAATCCACGGGCATGGCACGCGGTAGTAGAGATAATCAGGCGCAACGTCATTATCCACCACGACCTTCTTCAGACGCAAAGCAGCTTTGACGGCGCTTCCGCGGTACTCGTCGGGCATATCCTGTGCCAATGCCATGACGAGCGATGTTACTGACAAAGTTACACCCATGTCTGGGTCGTCCATCAACGATATTATGCGCTCGGCCCATTCGTTCTGTACAATCCCGGGGTATTTGCGGTATAGTCGGAGGAGGGTCAAAGCGGCCTTCTTCTTGACAAAAGCCTTGGAGGTCCTATGAAGCATGTGAGCATAATGCGAGGTCTCCAGAAAAGACGAGTCCACTCACGGCGAAATCAGCAACCGGTGCACATCCGTTGCTAGCGCCTCTCCCATTTCCCTGCCACCCACGTTGGCGACCGCATGCAACGCTAAACAATTATTCAACTCATTATAGTCGAGTAGGTCCTTCCGGATGCTGTTCACAACCAGGTGCAGCAGCTCGTGTTGTTCATGCAGGAACAGGGTGACGGCCAGATAGCCGATCTGTTTCTCCGAGTATTTGCTCGACGAGATGAGGTTGACGGCCTCCAAGTGCCCGAAATCGACATCATACCCCTGAATATACACGTATAGCAGCTTGCAGACATATTTCTTCTTCTGGTAGCCGTTGAGACTACCACTCTTGAACTTCTGTCGAATATTTGCCAATTCTTTGTTCACCCGCTTCTCTTCGAGTTCCCGCGCTCTCGCATTGCGCAAGTCAGCGATAAACTGGACCAATCCTCGCATAGAAGACATGGCGGTCAATTGATCATGGGTATAGTATCGTCGGTGGGTAGGATTGTTGGCCGCGGCGAGGTCAGGGCGACAAGTTCGGTTGGAAACGAATCGTGGTCGAGGTCTCCTTTCTTCCTTCACTCCCTATAAGCGCATACAGCACCGCTGGAAAGTCGGTGGAAATCCCCTATGGAAACAAGATCATGTGTGCAGGAAACGATGTATCAGTTTCACGAAGTTGTCGATTAGCCCCTGTGTGGCGCGTGGGGCATGGCGCGCAATAAACGAGGAGCTCCGGTGAGGTGGGTGTATGGAGGGGGGGGGGGGGGGGGGGGGGGGGGGGGGGGGGGGGGGGGGGGGGGGGGGGGGTCTGTCGGATAGCGCGACGGAGACAGATAGGGTGTCGGGGAGTCGCAATGCGGTCACACTCTGTCAATCAGGGGGAGGATGCCAGGGAAGTACCGAGTAAGACGATCGATGGGAGAGGATCAAGTTCGAGATCTAAGAAATAGTTTGCACCGAGGGGTAGGAGCTCTTTTGACCAGCAGGTAGATGCTCCATGCATGCATGCATTCATTTAGGGAGAACCGGTGTTGAGCCACTCCCGCGGCCGATCCGGTGGAGGTCACGGGATTATGTTGATGCGGTGTGGCGGTGCGGTGGCTGATCTATAGACACGTGATGCTTTAGTATGAGGTCTATCAAACATCAGGCATATCCCCTGAGTGGTGCCAGTCTACTGGGTAGTTTTCTAACATTCTAGCCACATGGTAGAATTGCTGCTTCGAATGTTTGGTTCAATCTGCAACGTCATAAATTGGAAAGAATTGTGATGGTTTAAAATTAATATTCGATTTGAATTATTCCCATGATCCCACCCTGATACATCACATGTGCATACATCCTGCATCTAGCTTATCCCCGAACATTCAGTGAAACCACAGCCAAATCCAGCAGATAATCCATAGAAAAAGAACAGCCCATCCATTCGAGAACTCCACCGAACGCCACAGCCCAGGAACCAACTTCTGTCCAAAAAGACATCCTCACCACACTCTAATTGTGTCCATGATGAAGATGGTGAGTATGGTGCGCACTGTGGCTAGTGAAATCGGTCTCGATATGCTCGGCCGCTTCTTCGACTGCGCTGGCCTTCTCACAGGTGCAGGATTCTAGAAATGACAAATTAGTTGGTGCCAGCATGTTGTATGTTCTAGGAATCCCAACTCACCAGCGCCTCTCTTTCCACAGGGGCAGGTTGCGCCCGCGACAGGGTGGTTCTCGGTCACGGCGCGCTCGCATGTACATTGTCCCGCAGGGCGAGATCCTAGAGGTGTCAGTGCCATCATTTCCACCAATTGCAACATTATTCAGATTCGGGAACATACTGCACGAGCATCGAGCTCCGGAGGTGGCGTTCTCGGAGGAAGCCTTGTTGCAGGTACAGTGGAGGGCACTCTCTTTGCCGCAGGAGCATTTGGCTTGCGCAGCACAGGCGCAGATTCCGCCTCCGGAGGTCTTGCAGCAGGTTGAGGACGGATGAACCATTTTGACAGAAGCCTATCGAATTGGTAAGTCGCTTTCTCGGTATGTCATAAAGAGGAGTTTGAATAGAGTCAAAACAAATCTAAGGTTGCATACCTAGACTTTCTTGAGATATTGGAATAGAATATGTTGTATGACGTAACGCCGATGGCTGTCGTAGTAGTAGTGCTGTGTAGATCGTTTGTTCCGCGAACGGCAGCGAGAAAGATCAATCAAGTCCAGACACGAGGTCACAGTATGGCAGTAGAAGTAAGAATGAAGAGCACTGGTAGAGTCATCATGGAAATGTTCCAGTGGCATCTATTTATACTCCCACCTCAGCGGTTGAGCAAACCAGGCAGCATGTACACCATGCCAGAACGATTAGCAATTCCCGATTGATGATTCGCCGAGAGCCCCAGATCCCGTTGCAACCCGCTCAACGCCGCAGACAATCACAACCTCGATCATTGGTTCTCTCCATCAGACCACTGTCGCCACGGTCACTGAGTCGATCCGGATTACTTTGCCTGCCCGTTGATTCGACGGAGCTGTCTCGAGCCACTGACTTCTAGATCTTTAATTAAAAAGCTTCTCATTCGATCTTTAATATAAGGTTGATTACTACCTACTGCCTACTCCGTACCACGTAGGTGACCATGAGACCAGATAGACTACCAGACGGATATGCCCAGTCTCATTTCAACCCTGGCCAGTGACTAAACGGACGACAGAGCCAGTCAAGCCATAAATCTGGGGTAGCTGTGCGTCTGCACCAGGTGACTAGATGAAGTCTATATCTTCAGTCTCCAGATCGTTGATGGTCTAGGTTTATACGTAATTTCTAAGTACATCGTCTGTTATTACTTTGATTGTGACCTGCCTAAGTATGTTGGATGCTGGAGATATAACACCTGAGGCATTGAGCCTCTATAGCGGTTGGCGACGGAGAAACAAACGCCCCTCTCGGATCCCGATGCGTAATGTGACGGTAAAATACACCCGCCATCAGCACACCCGCGGGTATCGGCACGTCAGAGGTGTACTGTCCCAATAGTCAGGAAGAAATGCATGGCATCATCGCAATCATCCTTTTTCTTTTCCCCCCCCACGACCCGCCATTCCCCGGATTATCAACTTCCCTCACTATTTGGTGACCGATTCCCCACGATATCTTCTGCATCGTTAGATTTGTACAAGGCGATTTTATCCTTACTCTCTATCTTTGACGTCTTATACCTCATACTATCCCATGGCCCCGAGTGTCCGGTAAATAAACTCCGTGACATCTTCCCCCATTCCGACTCGCCGGCGAACTGGACTTCCAGTTTGGACACGTGCTCCAAGTCTGTTATTGTTCCGGATAATGTCCATTTTGGTTCATTCTTTATAATACCCGGCTCAGTTGAACGAACTCCTTTGCGGCAGCAAACTCGCAAAACATTCGCAGATGGACCAAGCCGCGCAGCCGAGGTCTGCGCGAGGACCGGCATCGGCCACGAGTAGTCAGACGACCGCAGCGACAGATCCCACGACCCGAGTCAACGATGCTTCGTCTACACACGGGGGTGCGAGCGATCGGGGGGAACACAAGGCGATCGACAAGCGTAGTGCGGGCTACATCGCGCGAAGTGGCGTTGCGGGGGGGTTAGCAGGGTGTGCGGTGAGTGATACTTCCGGTTATATGGGTGGCTGTAGTAGTGAGAAGTGCGGTTGACTGATGGATTGGATGTTATGCAGGCCAAATCTGTGGTGGCACCGCTCGACCGGGTGAAGATCTTGTTCCAAGCCTCCAACCCCCAGTTTGCAAAATACAGTGGCAGCTGGTTCGGCCTGGTAGCAGCCGTCCGGGAAATCAAGCACCATGAGGGTCTGCGGGGTCTGTTTAAGGGGCACTCGGCGACGCTTCTCCGCATCTTCCCTTATGCCGGCATCAAGTTCCTTGCTTATGAACAGATCCGGGCGGTGGTGATCCCGTCTCGCGACAAGGAAACGGCTTTTCGCCGGTTGGCCTCGGGCAGTCTAGCCGGAACCACGTCGGTGTTTTTCACATACCCCCTCGAGTTAATACGAGTGCGACTGGCCTTCGAGACCAAGCGGACGTCGCGATCATCCTTGAGGGACATCGTCCGGCAGATCTACCGAGAACGGCCTGCGCAGCCCAAGGCCCCTCCGGCCTCGTCGGCGACCGCAGGGGCAGCGGGGCATGCTTCGGCTGTCGTACACAACGCTATACCTTCCTACGGCCTGGCGAACTTCTACCGGGGATTCGTCCCGACACTCTTAGGCATGCTCCCGTACGCGGGCGTGTCGTTCCTCACCCATGACACCGTCGGCGACTGGCTCCGCTCGCCTTCCCTCGCCGAACACACCACCATCCCGGGCTCAGAAACTTCCCGCAGAGGATCGCGACGACCACAGCTGACCGCCGCCGCTGAGCTCTTCTCCGGGGCCCTGGCCGGTCTCGTGTCCCAGACCTCGTCATATCCACTCGAGGTGATGCGGCGACGGATGCAAGTCGGCGGCGTGGTCGGTGACGGCCGCCGGCTCGGAATCCTCGAAACCGCACGGACAATCTGGCTTGAACGCGGGTTCCGAGGGTTCTGGGTCGGGCTGACCATCGGATACGTCAAGGTGATCCCGATGGTTGCCACCGGTTTCTTCGCCTACGAGCGGTTGAAATGGGCCTTTGGGATTTGAGTGGCGTATCCACCCTCCCTTGGCCTGATTTCTTCGGTTCTGTCCAGATTCTGTCTAGAAATGTTGGGGCGTCTTGGTTGTTCGACTCGGACCGTTACATCGTTGTTCATCATACCCCTCTTGCATTGTGGCTAAGTTCATTGCGTACATAGTTTTCCCACGGTTGTTGCCGCATAAATGTATAGACTTCATTCTTCTCTTTTTTTTTTTTTTGATTTTACATATATACTGTCGTTCTAGAATTCAGATACCAATCCATATCAAAGGTGAACCGAGTTCAAGAGCACAGATTCTAACAATGCGGCACGTGATATATAAACATCCCACACCGTCCTTATGATCTAATTCCAGGTTATTAGTATCTATGATAAAACCTTGTAATTGAATCCGAGTTTTGTTCCCAGATCTTGGACCCAGTCCGCAGTGAAATCTCAAAAGTATAAGATGACTATGTCGTCGCTGATTGGCCACAAATGCTGTCCCTTATACCGCCCGGCAGAAAAAAAAAGATTGACGGGGAAATCATCAAACATTGAACTGACATTTCCCAAATATTGATCGCAGCGTACATATCTTCTTTCATTTGACAGACAACTACAATACAAACGGATAGATCAAGAATCTTGTACTTCTTACCGATATCTCCCCCCCGCCGCAATGACCACTCGCAAGAGGAACGAGTTCCTCGACATCGTCGACAGCGACGAAGAAGAAGGACAAGGCAGTGAAGCTGGCTACGATTCCGAAGCCGCAGAGGAATCCAAAGTACGATCTGTGAAGCGACGGAGGACACGAACGGGACACAACGCCGGATCTGACTCCGGCTCCAACGACGACTCTACCGACGGGGAAAGCCGCACGGCGAAGACCAAGTCGAAGCGCGCCAAGTCGACCACCACAGCCGAAGATGAAGACGACGACGAAGATTTAGACGGCGGCGTGGGCCTCAGCGGTGAGATCGACGAACAAGATGATGAAGACGACCACTACCTCGACGCCACCGCGCACAAGTCAACCACCACCAGCAGCACGAAAAAAGGCGCAATCAAGCCCCCCAAGAAGAACAAGACCGGCGTGGTATACCTCTCCTCGTTACCGCCGTACCTCAAGCCCTTCGCGCTGAAATCGCTGCTCGAAACGCGCGGCTTCAGCCCCATCACGAAAGTATTCCTGCAGCCCGAGGTCCGCGGGGCGTCCGCGCCGCGCCGCCGGTCGAATAAGCGGAAAATCTACACGGACGGATGGGTGGAGTTTGCGTCTAAGAAGACGGCGAAGATCTGCGCGGAGACGCTGAATGCGTCGATTGTGGGCGGCCGCAAGGGCAGCTGGTACCACGATGATGTGTGGAATATGAAGTACCTGCGTGGGTTCAAGTGGGCGGATCTGATGGAGCAGGTGCAGCGGGAGAGGTCGGAGAGGGAGGCGAGGCAGAAGATTGAGGATGCGCGTGCGCGAAAGGAGGATCAGGTCTTTGTGGAGGGTGTTGAGCAAGGGAAGGTTATTTCGGGGATTCAGAGGAAGAATGAGGAGAAGGAGAAGAGGGGCAGGAAGGAGGGTGCAGGGCTGGGTGGGGAGAAGAAGGCGAGGAAGGGAGACGGGGAGATTCGGAGAGTGTTTAGGCAGAATGAGGTCAAACTGGGCCGTGATAAGGTGCCTTCTGAGCGTGCGGCTCTTGGGGATGATGCGAAAAAGGTGCTGGCTAAGATTTTTTGATGGTTTTATACTTCTTTTGGATGGATGTTTTATACGATAGTTATAGATGATACCAGTGATACGAAGAAATCAACTTCGTTTTTTGTATACACCATAAAAAGTGTTTGTATGTACTATAAAGGTTGTAAAAAAAAAAGAAAAAATCCTGGCCGTTCAAGCCAGTGCTTTTAGAGTATCAGATCAAGCAAACCATGGAACGCCAAACCCATTGTGCAGTCGTGATGATCAAGTCCGCATCCTCCCCCAGAATCATTCGTTGCCTCCCATATTCAGCTCATCAAAGTCATCAAGTAGCTCCTCCATGTTAATCTTGGGGACCCCTGCGTCGTCACCACCGTCGCTGTCCTCATCCATCTCCATTCCACCCGACTGCTGGGCCGCTTGATTCTTGACCTTGTACAGATCGAGCGTCTGCCGCAGCTCCTGGTCCTCCTCCACGTCGCGCAAGAACATCTCAAAGTCCGCCTCGAGACGCTCCCGCTCCTGGTCTTGCTTCCGGTTGTTGCCACCGCCGCCGGCCGCCGCCGCCGCCTGCGCTTCCTGCTCGTGCTCGAGCGCCATGCGCTTAACGCGCCAGTTACGCTTGTTCTTCTTCTTGCGGGCGTAGTGCTTCTTGACTAACACCACGTCCGGGACGGTGGATCCGTACTGGCTGCTGGCTTCGATGGCTTCGAAGTTGTCGTCGTTGAAGTTGGTGCCGGTCAGATGGTAGCCCATGACGGAGTCACCAACGTGCAGGACACCGCCGAGATGCGTGCGGCAGAAATACGTCTGGTCGTTGGAGCCCAGATCGGACGCGCGCGCGACTGTGACCTCGGCGAGGTGGAACCGGCCGTTGGACTTGCCCGTCGGCTCGATGTCCATGACGATGAACTCGGTCAACTCGGTCACATCGGCGAGGGTCTTGAAGGGCGACCGCCAGTAGATTGTCGCTGGGACGTCGGCCGTCTGGAGGGTATTCGGATCGAGAAGGTTGACCGACGTGCCAACACGGTAGCACAGAGTCAGAGGCGAAATGTTACCCAGCGATCGGGCGAGCTTGATGGGAAGGGCGACCAGGTCGTCCTTGCAGATGGGGACGATTTCCATGGAAAAGGTGAACTTGTAAGACTTGGTCGATGTGTGGATATCCATGGAGATGAGTTCCTGCGCCTTCTTGACTTTCGTAGGCGCCACGGAGGACAGGAAATCCACCATCTTCTCCGCCTGATTCCGCTGGGCGAAGAAGAAATCGATACCGTCCTTGGCTTCCTTGATATTGACGGTATCCTGATGGGCCTGGTGATGCAAGATAAGCTGCTCCAGATACAAGAAGGTTCGCTTGTGCGGCACCTTCTGCCGCACCTGAACCTGAGCAGCCCACACGTGGGGTGTGAACGACTTCATACACTCCCGACACTGCTGGTATGCGACGACATATTCAACTTCGAACGTTTGCTGAACAATCGATTCGTATGCCTCCTGCTGAATAGTAATCTTGACCTTGATACGTCGCGAGTGCGGTTCCGTCCAGAGAAAGCTGGCATCGATAATGCGGACCTTGGACAGACCGCGCAGCCGACGCAGACAAAGAGCCAGCAGCTCTTTCGATTCGAGGGGAGCGCTGACCCAGGCACTTGGGGGCTGCAGCCACCGCTCGCAGTCACGGCAGGTATGAAGAACCGCCTCTCGCTGGACACCGGCGGAGATATCGACACTCAACCTGACGCAGTCCGTACAGAGGGCACCGGCGGATGATGTGCCATCGATGGGGGCACCACAGTTGCAACAGAGGATGCTAAAAAAAAAGAAAAATCAGCATCCTGGCTTTCCATCCATTTGAAAAATACAATGATTTCCCGTTCTCGACGGTCCAAAAAGCACCATTTGCCTCCTTCTGGGCACTGCAATAGACAAAGAGGGGTCAACATACGTCGGCGCAACCTGTTCCTGAGCCCCAATGGGCATAGGTGCATCCAGATCCATCGACATGGCTGCGTAGTATGACTTGTGCGTGAAATTGAAAAGACCAAGCCAAAAGTTCGGGAGTCTCCAGACCCTTTTAGTTGATGGCGGAAAGACTGACAAGTTATAGATTTGTAAACTTTTTTTTTTTGCCCCGCGGATAAGGTGTTGTTTGCCCTGTTTGTCTGATGACTCATGCCAAGCTGCCAAGCCTGTTTGCCCTGTTTGTGCCTGGCCTGGCCTTGCTGAGTCAGTGCTGAGTCATACGCATGACGCTGGACCTCGGCTGAAGCGGCCGGGGAGATTCGACCTCCGCATTGTCACTCTCGCTGTTCTTCCATCGTGGAGGATGCGCCACGACTGTCACCATGGAGTATCTTCCTAGCCTTCAGGAGGAGTTTGACGAGCTCAAGCCGTCTCTCTTCGGTAAGTCAATATAGCCTATCTACGACAGACTATTCCGTACCGGAACTAACCGATCAACTGTCGGGTAGAACTCCTCGCAGAGCAGCAACTATCAGACCTGCTCCCTCCCTCCCTCCGCTATCTCCTTGCAGTCGCGACTCATCGACATCCCCGATATCTCCTCCGCGTCCTGAACTCTTATGACGAGATCTACGCACTTCTCTCGCTGGTAGTCGAACGCTACTACCTGCGCAACTTCGGCGGCTCCTTCACCGAGAACTTCTACTCCCTAAAACGAGAGCGCGTCCTCCTCACGAAGAATGGCGAAGTCCCCCGAGCCCAACTGGGCGCCTCAGCCCCCGTCCGGGAAACCCTTAAACTGCGGGACTCAGACGTGTGGAAGAATCTCTTCGTCATGGTCGGCATCCCCTACCTGAAGCGCAAGCTCGATGAGGGGTACGACGTGCACGCGGCGCCGCACGCCGCACTGATCACAAGCGGCGGGCCGCGATATAACCCCAGCGACGACCTGCCGCCGAACCCGACGGTCAAGCAGCGTCTGGCCTTCTATTACAAGTGGTTCCTACGGAACGTCTACCCGTCCGTCAACGCAGCCTACCACTTCTCCGTCCTCGCCTTCAACCTCGCCTACCTCTTCGACAACACCAAGTACTCCTCCCCCTTCCTGTGGCTGATCGGGACGCGCATCCGCCGTCTCGGCGCAGCAGACCACCGCGCCATTGCGGCCGTCCTAGAACCCAAGCCCAAGCCCGGTCCCGCAGCCGGTGGTGCGCGTCGTCCGGGCTCCGGCCTCCTGGGGATGCTGAGCCCGCAGAACCTGTACCCGCAGGTGCTGTCATCGCTGCGCTACTTCCTCCCAGCATCTATCTTCGCTCTCAAATTCCTGGAATGGTGGCACGCAAGCGATTTCTCGCGGCAACTCGCCCGCAAAGCCACCGACATGCTGGACCTGCCGGCTCCCGTTGTCAATGGCATGACCCCGCCGTCGGAGAAGCGTCGTCTCGCAGAGGAAGCCCAAGCCAAGGCTCAAAAAGCCGCCGAGGCTGAGAAGAACAAGAGCCCGGAGCCCGACTCACCCCGCAAATCTGCCCTCAAGGCGGCCCCTGTCGGGAAGCGCATCCAACCGCCCATCTCGGCCACGTCTTATTTACCCATCTTCACTGTGCCTCTCCCGCCGGCAGACTCGGACGCCGCGTCGACGTGTCCCATCTGTCTGAATGCGCTGGCTAACCCGACCGCCTGCCAGTCGGGCTACGTCTTCTGCTACGTGTGCATCTTCCGCTGGGTGAATGGCGAGCACCAGCGCCAGATTGACTTTATGAACGGCGAGGGTGCTGGCGCGGCGTGGGAGGATGATGAAGATGGAGAGGAGGGCGAGAAAGACGATGAGGCTGCTGAGACGCAGGGACAGAGTCGTCAGGGCAAGTGGGAGAGCGGACAAGGTCGGTGTCCGGTTACGGGGCGCAGGTTGTTGAGCGGCACGGAGGGGTTGCGTAGGGTGTTGGTCTAGGCTTTTTCCTCTCTATACTTCTATGACTCATATTGTATATACATATACCTCGTCTTTACATGCATTTGTTTCTTTTTTTTCTTTCGATGATTTCGATGTGGATTCAATGGAGCAAACCCAACTGGACATCGCCTCGATTCTGCAGTGCAAGAAACTAAGTACATGTATGCAAACACTATATTAATAAGGAATATGCAAAACCACCAACGATACTGGACCTAAAAGAAATAAACAAAAGGCGAGAAAAGGACTGTTCAGCCAAAATCACCCCAATTATTGCGGAACATACGGAGTAGCACCCTCGCCAAAAATCAACGCCGGTCTCTCCTTGGCGATCTTCAAGATCGTCTGCGCAAAGACCGAGTTGGCCCACGCGAACCACGGCCGCGTGTAGTCTTTGATGTTGTTCACGTTGATGGACTCGTGCACCAGGCCTAGGAGGCTGGAGTTGCGCACGAGGTTGATAGATTCCTTAATCTCTTCGTCGGAATCGGATGTCATGGCTTGGACGAGGAGGGACATGGGCCAGGCGTTTTGGAGTCCGACTGGTGCGTTGTTAGTGGCTGGTAACCAAATGGAATGATGAGGGGGAGGAAAGGGAGGGTGAGCTTACTGTGTGGTCCTCCAATCCCGTGGAACGCACTTCCGGTGAGATAGTATGGATTCGACTCCTTGTCGAGGATCATCTTGCGGGTGTTCAGATAGACCTTGTCGTCCTTGTCGACGTAGCCCAGGATCGGCAACGCCAGGAGCGACGGGATGTTCGCGTCGTCCATTAAGATACGCGAGCCGTACCCGTCGACCTCGAAGGCGAAAACATCGCCGTACTTGGCGTGCTGGACGACGCCGTGCTCGCGCACAGCTCGATCAAGCCGCTCGCCGCGCTGCTGCAGGTCGCGCGCGAGATCGGCCTTGCCGCCCGCGGTACGGATCATCTCGGCGGTCTTCTTCAATTGCACGGCCATCATGGCGTTCGGCGGGATGAAGAATCCCAGGATGGTGGCATCGTCGCTGGGCCGGAACGCACTGCGAATCAGGCCTGTATGCCCGCTCAGCGGGTTGCCGATGCCCGCGAGGTTCAGCGTCTCGGTGCCCAGATCCGTCTTGCGCTGGAAGGTGTACTGGTTCTGGACGAACTGGCCTTGCTCGTTGAAGGTGGGTTTCGCCTGCGCGTCCAGCACTTTCAGGAGCGTCTGCAGCGCGGAGTACCACCTGTCCGTGAGGAACTCCGTCGACTTCGAATTTTCGTGGAATTCCGTGCTCAGCGCGAGAAAGTGAGCCAGCGAGTCGAGCTCATACTTGCACTCGAAGACCACAGACGGCTCATAGGCCGGGTGTACCCTGTCGTCCTGGCCGTTGTCGGTAAGCTTGAGACCGCTCGGCGGCGGAGGCTGGAACGCGTTGCAGTAAGGCGATTGGATGACGAACTCTGCTTGGGTGTTGATCGCGCCGAGGATAAGGTTATGCAGCTTTTTGTCTTTCTTCGTCAGAGACTGGTACCCGGCCAGCTGATTCGTCGAGTCGCGCAGCCACTCCGCATTGATGTCGCCCGTCACGACGAACGTCTGCGGGCCCTCCCACTGGGCGCCTTCCCGCTTGTGCTTACTCGACGCGGGCGTCTTGTCCGTGTGCCATCGGATGGTCGTGTCGAGGGTGTTGGGGAAGGCGTTTCGGAACAGTTGGGCGAGGTCTTTATCGACCATGCGCGAAGTGACATCTTCAATGACCTTCTCAACCGCCGGGGAAGAGAATGTGCGACATTCCGTGGCGGGTCGTTGGAAGGGCAGTTTTAGAGGCCCTTCGCTGTAGGGGGCACTGGTAGTGAGAGTTAGGTACCGCGCCCAAACGACACGAAAAAGCCGCGCAATAGAAATGGCAAAACCCACTGTCCTACAGATGCATAGTCGGTATAGTCCGGACAGGCTCGTCGGAGAAGATCCAATTCCTCTTGGGGTTCTTTCGCAAAGCCCTTTGCGCCGAGAGCTGCCAGAGCCAAGACCAGCGCTGTCGCAGAGCGAATCATCGTGAGCAAACAGGAAGATCTCCGCGTCAAAACGTTTATTTAGCAGATTAGAGAGCCGCCGATGATAGTCTTCTATTTACAAACCCCTCCAGCCAGGGCGGAGATTGAGGATGTTTAATTGGTTTTGCGATGGACGCGGAGATCCTGCCAGTTCGAATGCGGAGATCGAAAACGGGACGATCGGCAGACCCAAGAATGGATCGATAAAAGACCAGACCCGACCGTCGCAATGCAATGGAGAGAAGCGAAAGAATGGACGAGATTCTAGACGAAGAGATGGATAAAAGACTGGAGGAAATTGGAATGGAAACTGCGGGGAAATCCATGGGTCACGAGACGGGATCAATCAATGCAGTTTCAGGAATTAATTAATTACTACATCTAGCAAGTGATATTGATATTGTCCCCCTCCATGACAGCTTTATTTCTTGCCGAAAAACGACATGATGCTGCCCTGACCAGGCTTGGCTCCTCCTGCCTTGCCTCGGGGCGCACTCACGGCCGGTTTCTTCTTCGGCGGTTCGGGCTCGTCCTCGCTGAACGACTCCCACGATGGCTCCTCGACGGTCACTGAATCAAGTTGACGAGTTAGTGGTTGTGGACCTTATTACAATGACTGGTGGACGGAGAGATCTCACCCAGGTAGCCCTCCTCGTCCTTGACGGTCTTCTTCTTCATCACCTGGCGCTTCCCTCTCCGACGACCACCCTGCACGCGCACGTCCTCCTTCAGTTCCGGTTTGCTGGGAGGCGGTTGGTCGATAGGGTTGGACTCTTCTTCGACAGGTTCTGGCTCTGGTTCTGCAGGTTCTTCCGTGTCGGCCATCTCCTCGTCGTCATCCTCCATCATCTGTCGCAGCCGGTTCTGGCGCTCTTTCCGTGACTCGCGGGTGCCGGTCGACGTGGACTTGCCAGAATCCGGGAACAACTCTTCGGCTTCTTCCTCAGAGGCATCGTCCAAGACCACTGTGGCTAATTAGCAACGTACTACAGACAAGTAGATACCTTTCCCGTAAACTAACCGTCTTCCGTGTTACTATGTCCGGCCTGCGCGATATTAGTACCTTCAACAGAATTGACTGGGACGACCAGGGAACTTACCGATTCGGCACCAGAAGCAGCAGGGGTCTGCGACTCTTCCTTTTTCTGCTTGGGCTTGGCCTTGGCAAAGGAGCTGAAAAGGTTGCCCTTTTCTTTCTTTACCGGCGCAGACTTCTCGGGAGCTCCGGCTGATGCGGGGGGAGTGTCACGTTGGGATGGCGCTCCCGGACCGGCACTCTCCTTCTTGATCTCTGTCTTCGCCGGTGGTGCATCGTTCTGCGGTGGTCGTTTGGCCGGGATGGTGCTGGGCTTCGAAGCAGCTGGGGCCGGCGTCGGGACTGGCGGCCGCGTACCCGTCCTCCGCTATTGAACAAGGTCGCATTAGATCAGACCACAATGGACACCAGCGATCGGACACACCTTGACATTCGAATTTTGAATCATCCCCCACTTCCTGCCATACTCCAGCGGGTCCTCATGCGCATAATCAGCCACCGTTTCCCTCGCCACATCCGTCAAACCGTTGAGATCTTGCAGGATTGTAGGCTGGAGACTGTAAATGTAAACCGAAGCGATCGACTCGAACGTCGCTTTCGCATCTATACCAATATTAGCCACGCGAATCCCCTCCCAACTTTTCCCAGACCCGACTTGCCTTCCAAGTCCTCCTCGCGCACCAAGATAATCGACCGCCGTGTAATATGATCCGTAGTCATCTCGGCATCCTGATTCGGCAGCGAACTAGGTATATAAGGGCTGCTCGGCATGACGTCGCCGCCATTTTTCTCGTTTCCATTCACATGGGAGCCGTTCTTCGTCGCGGGGTCCGTCGCCCTCTGCGCGCCTGTAATGAGATATGTTGCATTGACGCTGTTCGGCTTCTTGTTGTTTTCGTTGCGGTGAAAGTCATACAGCATCCTTGTCGTGGGTTAGCCATTTGCCCCTCACCCAAATCTTCCAGAAAGAACCACATACTGTTTCGCCAGAGTGCTGTGGACTTGGAGAGCGCGGCTCAAAGAGCGATAGGTGACCTAGAGAAGCGTATTCGTGAGCGAGGGGCCGCCAGTCCAGTCCGGCGCGAGCTTGCTACCTACCGTCCGACTCTCGTTGAGAACCTTCTCCGCCAGATGCTTTTTGTAGTCAGGAATCGCCATGGTACTCAACTCCCCTGTCTGTCAGTACCTCTCTGCAAATATATCAGTATCGAGACCGGCGATGTGTCGGAGAAGACGATGTTCGATTGTCGACGATCCCATCGGACTCGACGCGTGCCCACCACTTTACGCGTATCAGTCAGCGAGTCTTGGCACTGAACCTAAGCTTCGTTCTCACTCCCTCACTCAATTCATCATTGACCACTTCGACTCTGCACCGTTCAATCATTCCACCTCCAGACCCCGATCGTGGACCCAAGACCTCGCGCGAGGTCTCCTCCAATCCCCCCCCACCTACCAACCTCGCTTCCCCCTTTTTGGTAGTTCGCTCCCAAATGGAGTCCTTCGACCTCTCCGACTCCACCGACTGGCTCGGCACGCCGCTATCTCTCCTCACGCCGCTCGAGTCCGCCCTCCGATGCCAAGTCTGCAAGGACTTCTTCGATAACCCGGTCATTACGTCCTGCAGTCATACCTTCTGCTCGCTATGTATTCGACGGTGTCTGAGTACTGAGGGGAAATGTCCCGCTTGTCGCAGCGGGGATCAGGAGCTGAAGCTGCGACGGAATTGGGCTGTTCAGGAGCTGGTCGACGCGTTTCAGTCTGCGCGCCCGAGTGTGCTGGGTCTGGCTAGGGAGGCTGCTGCTGCGGCGGCGGAGGGCGACAATGGTGGTGAAGGTGTGGCTGGGGAGGGCCCCGTCGCGAAAAAGAGGAAGGTCGTTGATCGCGACGAAGGAGACCGGGTTGTGGCGGATGGTGCGGCGGCGGCGGCGGCATCGGAGGGAAGACAGACTCGGTCGCGGAGTAGAGGGGTTACTACTGCGCCGTCGGAGGAAATGACTACGCCTGTGACGGAGGTCATTGATGATAGTCAGGATGAGGAGTTTCTTCCCGGTAGGTGATGGGCTTGTCTTGTCCAGTCTACTGGTTTTGCCTCGTGAATGGTAACTAATGTGTACTTAGATGATGGAATGGTGGCGTGTCCCTGCTGCGGCCGGAAGATGAAAAATGATGTGGTGTTTCAGCATTTGGATATATGCACAGGAAAATCGGCTCCTCCGAAGCCAGTATCGTTTGGGTACGTTTGTCCCAGCCTGGTGGCATGTACGTTGCTGACATGCTCGACCAGACCATTAAAAGCCCAGTCATCCCAGTCAACCACGACAAAGCCACCCGAGAGACTCCCCACGATTAATTACTCGCTATTGAAAGACAACGTGTTGCGGAAAAAACTCAAAGATCTGGGTATACCGAATTGGGGCCCGCGCGCCCTGCTACAAAAACGCCACACGGAATATATGAATCTATGGAATGCCAACTGCGACTCTAAATCACCTAAATCGAAGAGGGAACTCCTGCACGAATTGGCCGTTTGGGAGCGGACCCAGGGTGGCAATGCGACCTCTGCTGATTCCGGGAGTGCGGTCATGCGCAAGGATTTCGATGCGACGGCTTGGTCGACAAGCCATGACACCGACTTCAAACAATTGATCGCCAACGCACGGAAGCGGGGCGATATGATGGTCAAATCAACGATACCCCAAGCGGCTGCTCACTCGAGCGAATCGAATGGGCCCGTCCCGCTGGAACAGCCGGTAGTATCTCCCATTGCGACAGGAAACGAGCCGGGACGCGCCAATGCCCCAGTAGACCTCACCGTGGCAGACCCGGCTGGCGAGGCCCAGGGTCCCATTAATAGCCAGATTTCCAACGCTCCCCTCGGCTAAATGCCCGCCGATCGAGCAACCTGCCCTGTTCCGTATGAAAGATGGAAGCACGGCGCGCCTAACTAAGCAACGTCGCCAAGAACGGGGAAACGCCCCCAGATCATTGAGCCGCTGGCGCCTCCTCAACAGACATCCGGGAGAGTCTCTCTTCCAAGTCAGAATCTAATTTCTGCTCAGCTGCTGATGTCCGAGCAGCCTCTCTGGCACTCTGCTCGATGTTGTCGAGCTCGGCGAGCTTCTTCCGAGTCTCTTCCGCGGCCTTCTCTCCCCTCGCCTCCTCCTCTTTGCCCTCCAGCTCGGCAAGCTCGTCGTCGATCTCGGACTCGTCGATCTCAGGGCCAGCCTCGTTCATGATGTTGCCAACCTCGTCCACCTTGGACATCTCGTCGCGCAGCTCGTCGACCACATCCTCGACCCTGTCGGCCCCTCCAATCTGTTTGTGCAGCCCGCGAAGGGTGCCCGTGCTAGCCTCCATCACCTTGACATACTCCACCTGATCCGCCGCCTGCTCGATTTTGGTAAAGACTTCCTCGAGCTGCGTTAGAGTGTCCAGCCTCTGCTTCAGATTATGTTCCGCGAGCTTCTTAGAGCGAACTGCTGAAAGGGCCGAGATCCGATTCTTGTGGTGCAGCGCCGTCTTCGCAGTCAAATTCAGCTCGACAATCTTCTTCTCCAGACTCTCGACCTGCTTGGTCATGCTCGCCGTAAGCGCCTTGATCGAGGCAATAGTGGTATCTTGCTGGGTGATTTCACGGGGGGCATCGTCGGAGGGTCGGAACCGGATCGTCTGTTCGTAATTAGCATATGCGTGGTCCTGCATGGCCACAGGGGTATATATAGCGGTACCTTGCCGTCGTAAGCGATGGCTCCGCAGTCGCGGGATAAGTAAAGCAATAAAAGGTCAAAATCCGCATCAGACAGCTCACTCTCTTCACTCAGGGCTGTATCAAACGCGGCCTTAAAACTTTCCTTGGAATACACCAAGTCAGTCCTAGACGGGCTCATCCCCGTAACGCGCTTCACGACACGGCTCGCAGCCTCCTGCCTCAATATTAGCGGACTATTTCGCTGCACCTGCAAGCATCCTTACATAAACTCAAACATACCTTCAAATTCTCCACCAGCACCAACTCCTGAGACTGCAACCCAGGCGTGGCCTCCATATCAGACCCCAGCACCGCACCCCTCAACTGTCTCAGCCCCCAGCTCATCACATTCCACGGACTCAACGCCGCAGGGTCCACGAGATTCCACCGCGGCTTCTCGAGAACAGCCCCGCTGCCCTTATACGCCTGCAGGGGGACCATCGTCCGGTGATAAATTGCATCGTCCTAAGCAACCGGCGAATCAAAACCACGGTCAGTAACCAATCAAATAACCGGCGCAGCCCGTGTAACAACGACAATTATCAATCTCTATCGACACATACAATAACAGCAGCCAGGGCCACGGGCCGCCCCCACTCGGGGATCTCCAACTCCCGCAATAACAACTGGTCGGCGCGGAGAATGAGATGGTCGCTCTTGCGTTTCGAGTCGGTCGGCCCTGTAGTAGTAGAAGAAGACATGAAGCCGCGTTTGGCGGCGCTCGTCAGGGCATGCTGCCAGGCTGCTGTGTTGACGGCGTAGCCCTCGGGGTTCGTCTTTCGGAAAGTGGCAAAGTCGGAGTAGAGGGATGGGAGGCGATTTCTAGACGAGGTCGGGTGCGTGCTTGTTAGTTACTTGTGATCTGGTCGGACAAAGGATAGGTGTAACTGGGGGGAATAGGTACTTTCGGAAGGTGTCCAGAGAGAGGATGTAGTTTAGGAGATCGTTCATGTTGAGGGGCGAGTGTGGGGTGAAGGGTAGGTCATGGAGTGACGTCTGTAGGTTGTTTGTTGCTATGGCGGTTGCGGTGCTGCTGATCTGGTGGTTTGGACGTCGCCGACTTACAGTCGATCTTCGTCGTTTTGGGGTTGGTGTGATCGTCGCTATCGATAAGACACGGTCACGTGTTTATATTTGTATTCGGTCTATCTCCATACAAGATGCACATTGGGGAATATCATGAACTACAATGCTCAGATGGATGAATGAGATTAAGTCTAAGGACAGGTTACATTCAGGTCAATTGTTCGCAAGTCTATTATAATATACCGCTCGCCTCTCGTGCGCCCAGCCGGACCTTCGTCCAAAGAGAAGAAAAAAACGCTCAAGCTCGTTCAAAATCGTCATCGGGCCGGTCCTCGTTGTCAGGGAGGTCCTGAATCCCTGATTCCAGCGGATTCACAACCAGGGACCGGCGGTGCTGGCGTTTGTCGAGCTTCTCGCTGGTCTCTTGGGTGTCCATCGGGGGTACCGCGTCGAGGGACTCCTGCGTGTTCAGGCCTCTCGCCTCGAGATATTCCACTTGGATGGTGTGGCGAAGGTTATCGACAAATGCCTGCATCTCGGGCATGGGAAACACGCCTTCATTTCTGTCCAAGACACTGGCATATAAGTGTTCCGCCTCTTCTAGGCAGGCAGAGGCCAGCGAGGGTTGGCCGAGTTGGAGCCAGAGATCAGCCGCGAGAACACTCCACATCCCAGCCTTTCGGTACCGCGCACCCCATCTGACACCGGGCAGCGGCGGCCGCGACGCGTAGCAGGCTGATATGCGCTCGCTGAGCAACACCTGCCCGATCGAACCGACTAGGCCCAAGTCCATGGCCCGCATGGCCCACCTAGCCGCGCTTTCCGTGGCCAAGCCGCCGCGGGACTTCAGCAGTTCCACCGCCAGGGTGAGGCAGCGAAGAGCGTTCGGCACGTCGGAGCAACGCGTGTGATACGAGTAACAGGCGGTGTCCAGCATCTGGTCGATATCCCCGAGTTTGGTCTTGGCGGGCATGGAGACCGGGTTCAGGAGTAGGCTGATGGCGCACATTTCATGGACCCCCGCATGATACTTCCATGCTTTATCATTGGCGTAGTCGGACCGGATCAGTTCGTATGTGGAGGCGGCCAGTTTCCAGTCCCGCAGCATAAAGGCAAAGTCTGCCATCTTCCGCAGAACGGCCTCCGGGGCGTCGGGTCGGTAGAAGCCGCGAGCGCCATCATAGTTCCCACTCACCCCGCCCGCAGATCCCGTCAGGCTGGATCGAGAACTGGAACCGAACCCCGCCCATCTTCGCGACATGGACATGAAGCGACCGCTGATGCCGCGTCTCCGAGACGCCACTTGGTCGTTCCAGACGGTCACGCGATTCTCCATGAAAGGGATTACCGACTGCGCGACCAACTCCCGTACAAACGCCTTGATCGCCATGACATCCGACTCAAAGAGGTAGAGACGACCATCCGTATCTAGGTCGACGAGTGGCTCTGCTGTTCGTTAGGACCATAGTCAAACCCCTCGACGACAGGAGCGGCAGTGAATTGCTTACCTGCGCTGCCCGAGAGACGCTCCGCGGGCGAGACCCATTCACATTCCGGCACTTCGACGCTGTCATCATCGGTCACGACGCACTGGTTGCTGCGGAGCCGTAGGAGATGGCAGTGCAGGCCAAAATGCCGCTTCATCTGGTCGTACAGCTTGGTCGATTCGGCGATGTCGTCGCGGTCCTCGTCGTGGACGAGCACATAGTAGCGGAGGTACTCGGGATGGATCCACTCCGGTAACCGTCGATCTCCATTGGTCGTGTCCGCATACAGCTGTCGGAGAGTCTCCAATGGGCTGGTATTTCGAGAGCTGATGGCGATGACACTTGCGACCGGGTGACGAAACGTTTCGTGGGGCGTTGCGGACGGGATCGACAGGAGCTGGTGCAGGAAGTCGTTGTATAACGGAGAAATCGTCGAAGCCCCGGCCAAGTCCTTTGGGCGCAATGTCCGGGCCAGCGGATTCTCTGCGGCCTCCAAATCTTTGGCCAATGCCTCGTCGATCTGCGTCAAGGGAGGGGGTTGCCCCGGAGTCGCATCCGGAGGGTACCGCGCTTGCCCCCCCAAATCCACAAACCGCACCCCATAGTCCTCCCACCCACGACTCGACCCCACACTATCTCGGATCACGATCTTCCCCGGAACATTTTCCCCAAATGACCGTATTAACCCCCAGAAACCGCCCGGGAACCCCTTCTGGTGGACCAAGTCATCCGTATCGACCGACGCATAGACCCCGACCACGGGGGAGAATGACCGGGTAATCAACGAGCGCACATCCTCCGCCCCTTCAAACCGCCCTCCGTCTGGGGAGCCTAGCGAAGACCGATTGAGCTGGGGGGTTGACGACCTTAGCGACCGGGCATAGGGTGACGCAGAGCGGATCGGCAGTTCCGTCGTGGCGGACAGCGGCGGGGGGGATGGGCCGACAGACTGATCGACATGGTTCGAATCTAGAGACTGGACGGAATCGCGACGCTGCGACGCATGAGTCGAGTACCTGGAGGTGGAGGAGGCCCGCGCTACGCCGGGGGAAAATGACGGCGGAGGTTTGACCGGAGCAGCATCTCCGGGCGATGTCATGGACACCGAGGGGATTCGGACCAGCAAGTGACGGGGAGAAAGGAGAGGGTTGGAGGGCGCATGAACGGGTGGGCTTTCTCTTCCGGACTCCTTTGCTTCTTTCTTTCTCGTCTGTGTTATTTAATTCCGTATATTTTTCCGATCAAATGGATGTCAAGGGAGAGAAAGAGGGGGATTGAAGTCGGTTCAGATAGGGTGGAGGAGAGGATGGAGGAACAATAATCAGAACAAGCCAAGTCAGACCAAAGGAACAACACCTCCTGAACAAGTCAGGGTCCCACAATTTCAAAGTGAGGTCAGGATGAGGTGGAATGATCAGCAACTATGGTCCAGTAGAACTGATCAGAGGGATCTTGATTATCGATCAACCGGTCATTAGTTCTCCTTATTCTGATCCTGTCACATCCATCATCATGATCATCGTGACTGATTGACTTGATAGAGGATCGGCTGGATTGCGCAGGCGGTGAGCCCTGGTATGACGGGATTTACTTGGTCGATATTTTGATGACCAGTTCGGAGTCATGGATTGACTCATACTTTTCTCCTTCTCATGTTGATGAAATTCGATCGTGTTCATAAATTCCTCTCATTTCCTCTCGTGTTTCTTCATGCGCGCGCCACAGACCCATGCTACGGCCTCTTCCTCGCGTCTTCTTCTCTAACCGTCTTCCCCTCCGTCTCCACCCACCCTCACCCCGCGACAAGATCTCCTTAGGATCCTTACCAGTACGTCGAGGATCTAGTTCACTCCTGCGGAACTATTCTATGCGACGGCGTCCCACCCCGAATTCTTCCCCCGAACGTGCTTGCAAAAAACGACGGGTCTCCGCGAGAGTCTCCCCGCATCCTTCCACCATGGGCCAACCAACCCCCACGTTGGAGCTCACACCCATCGAAAACACCCTGCGAACCCTCTTGCTCGATGTGGCGGAGTATATACGACAGCAGGCGATTGCGAAAGGGGCTACCGAGGTCGACGCGCCTCGGACGGTCCTCCGGTTCACAGGCGGCTGGGTGCGGGACAAACTGCTGGGAGTGGATAGCCAGGACATCGACGTCGGGATTAACAATATGACGGGGTATCAATTCGGGCTGCTACTCAAGGAGTACTTGGACGACCCCGTCCGTCTCGAGGCATACAAGAGAAATCATCCCACGGGCGAGCTAAAGAACTCCATCGTCAGCCTGCACAAGATTGGCGCCAACCCGGAGAAATCGAAGCACCTGGAAACGGTGACCACGCGAATCTTTGGGCTCGACGTCGACTTGGTCAACCTGCGCAAGGAGACCTACACGGAGGATAGCCGGAATCCGCAGATGGAGTTCGGCACCGCGGAGGAGGATGCCTTGCGCCGTGACGCCACGATCAATGCGCTTTTCTACAACCTGAACGAGTCCGTGGTGGAGGACATGACCGGGCGAGGCTTTGACGATCTACGGGATCAGATCATCCGTACCCCACTGGAACCCTACCAGACTTTCCGGGATGACCCCCTGCGCGTCCTCCGGTTGATCCGCTTTGCCAGCCGACTAGGGTATCGCATCGACTCAGGGACGGAGCGAGCGATGGGAAATGCGGATATCCGCGAGGCGCTGAAGTTGAAGATCAGTCGCGAGCGAGTCGGCGCGGAGTTGGAAAAGATGCTCCGAGGTACGCGACCTCCCCTGCCACGTTTTCAATCTGTCCGATGTACTGACCCGTGCCAGGTCCGGATCCCCACGGCGCTCTAGGCCTAATCGACCGTCTTGGGCTCTATACCACTATCTTCGCGAATCACCAGGACGGCGTGACGGTCGACACGTCCAACTGGTCGCTAGCCTACGACGCCCTCCAAAAACTCTTGCATTCTGGCGATCAGCCTGAGTCCGTGGACCGGGTTCGCCGCCGGCTCATCCAGGACGAGCATGGCGCATACCACGCATGGATCATTGCAGCTCTGGCGCCCTGGTCGACCGTTCCCGGGCGCGTTCCACAGGGACCCAAAGCGAAGCCGTTTCCCCCACGGGCGGTTGAGGTCGCTCGAGATAGCCTCCGCTCGGACAACAAGACCACCACCCTCTTATCCGACGCGACCCGGAGTTTTGAACCGATCATCCATGTGAAAAACGCGCTCGTGGCGGGACAGATGGAGGGATCCCCCGCACAAGTCCGGCAGCAAATCGGGTTGCACCTGCGGTCCTGGAAGAAGGACTGGAAACTGTGTATCGTGATGTCGATTCTCCAGGAAGTCATGCAGGGAGGACCGTTCCTTAGTGGTAAGTGATCTCTTCTTTCCGATTTTCTGGCCGTTGGTCTAAGACACTAATTCATGTGGATCATAGTCGTTGAAGGATACGACCAGTTTCTGGAGTATATCGTCGCGCACGACCTGGAAGGAGTCTGTGAACTCAAGCCCATTGCCAACGGCAAAGATGTCATGGAAGCCTTCGGGGGTCGCAAAGGACAATGGCTGGGCCAGGCCCTGGAGATGGCCATGCAGTGGCAGCTCCTCCACCCTGAGATCACCGACAAGACGAAGGCGCTGGAGCATTTGATACAGCACAAGCAAGAGCTCGGGATCCCGTGAGGCGGATAGTGTGTGATGACCGTGATGTACATATAGAGTAATGCCTTGTAGTTTGATTATTTTATAATCATTTCAACCATTGAAGTATCGTGTGGTCCCATTATCAAGGCTATCCACATATACGTGAGCTGTATATTTATTATATTTATCCGAGATGGATGGGGGATAAATTGAAAAGAATAAAGAATGTCAACGTCAACCCCTGATGGTGTAGTTGGTTTATCACATCTGACTGTAATGGAAATACCTGTCATCAGAAGGTCGCTGGCTCGATTCCGGCTCGGGGGATAATGTTGACTCTTTTTTTTTCTTTCCACTTTCTACGTGAACCCCACATTGGACCGACAGCATTTACATGGTTATTTACATTGCGCTTTTTTGCTTCTGAAAATTGATTTTTGGGAATTCCAGGAATCATAGTGATATGTGTGACTGACGCCTCTATACTATCCCGGAATTCCAGCCCGCAGCCACCGGAGGTTAATAACTACGCATTTTCCATTCCCGTCCCTTTCCCTCTCTTACCTCACTCGTACTCTACCTTTTCATGTCTTCTTGTTCATGATTGAAAGATCGTGACCGTGAGATAGAACATTTAGCCAACTCCCAAATCTGTGGCTATCGAGACTACGTGATGGACAACCTTCGCCGAGCGGCACGTGAGGCCCTCCAGCGCGATTCCGAGCAGCCTCTCTTCCAATATCTACCGGATACGTTCCAAGTTCCCACCAGTCTAGACCTACTATGGCAGGACATCTCGTCTCAAAATGAAGCAGATACCGTGCAGGTGAGAAAAATCCCCTCAAGTCGACCAGTACTGTGACCCGGACCATCGCTGATTAGACTCCAGGTATGCGAAAGCCTCCTCGTCATTCAGACTTTCCTGAAACTCAGGACTTCGACGGAATTATCTGGTGATTACGCTGGTTCTGTGAACAGTCTCTATGGCTGGACAAGTAAGGCTGCGCTGCCATTGCCGGTGTCTGCCGAGAATCCTGATGAGACAGAGGGTAAGATGAGACAGCCTCAGTGATTTCCTTGAGAATACTGACAGGACATCAACAGGGACCAAGAGAACCGTCGAACAGAACAGACTTGTAGCCGATCTTTCAACTTCAATCATTGCTCTATTGTCTTCTCTGCTCCCAGTTCACAAAGCAGCCAACCCAGTCGATATCTTCATTGCTTTGGCAAGCTATACCTCGGAAGCAGATCCCTGGACCACAGAAGAGGCCTACGGGACAGCAACGAGGACTCTAGAAGACGCGTGCAAAGCAGCGCGTGCAGATTCACTCACATCATTCTGGTCCATTATCGAACGCATCCTCAGGGACAGAATCAGGCCCCTTTTTGCCAAGAGCAAGAACCCTGCAATCACCGCCGCTGGTCGAAAGAATTTCCATCCGGTCCCTCTGTCCCGGTTTGATGCCAGTGTTTTAGATGACGAGGTAAAATCGTGGAAGGTCCGTGAAGTCTACGCCACGACCGTGTTCAGTTGGGTGATTGCCCAGTACCATGTATGTTGTCATGGCCCCCTTCCCCAAGCGAGAAACACCTTCCTAATCAGAGTCAACAGTCCACGGACCGTACACATCTTGAGGCGCACTTTCCCCTTGTAGTACCTCCACTTCTAGCCCTCATCGACGACAACAGTGTCGCCAGCAAGACCTTTGGCTGCACGCTTCTCTCCCAAACGCTCGTTCCCATAAAGGATAGCAAATCCGACATTCTCCAACGAACAAACCTCGCCTCTGTCTTCGAAGACGCCATCAGGCCTTGTCTCCTATCATTACCAACCATCACCCCAGAGGACGACTCCATTCAGCTCCTCAGCGCAGCCTACCCGGCTCTCCTCTCCATCATGGCGATCGAGCTCCAGAACCTCTCGCCAGCTACCACCGCCGACGCCAAGAAAAAGGCCGAAGAAGCCTACACCAAACGTCTAGCCACCACTCTGCGCGAGAACCTTCTCGCCTCCTTCACCTACGTCAGCTCCACCAACACCACGAACATTTCAGGCAACGGTCCCTCCTTCCCATACCCACGCCTCTCCACCGTTCTACTCAATCAGACCTCCGCCGCTCTACAGGAACTCGGCATCCACAGCACCAAATACCTCCAGGATGTCATCCCGCCCATATACAACACCCTGACGAACCCCTTCGCCACAGCGCACCCGCCTCTTCTCCTCGCGGCCGTCGCCGTCGCCCGCGTTGCAGTCCTCAACGCACACCCCCGTCTCTGGCGCTGGCGCGGCGAGCTCCTAGCAGGGCTGTGCTATTGCTGGCTGAATGTGCTAAATGAAGAAGCGGAGATCGCGGACCGAGCCCAAAAGAACCACAAGAGCGCACTCGATGATATAAGAGCCCGGGAGCTCAAGCGCCTCAAAAAGGAGCTCCGCGGTGTGGCCTATCTTCTGAAATTCGTCCTCGAGCATCCGTGGGAGATGGACGGCACAAAGGAGCAGATAGTTGCCAAGGAACGCATTGCTAGCGAAATGCAGGAATTGGTTGATGCTGATGAGGCCTTGGGCAAAATGCTGACTGAAAACATCGATGCTCACGATGCGGAGTTCTTTGGTATTGATCCTTGAGTGGGGTGGGGGCTTTTTGGTCTATTACGCACTGGCCTAGTATGCTCGGTGTTTTGGTGTTTTACTCCTGTATTTTGTCCGGGTAATAGATTGTATCACTGCTATTGGGATAATCGACTGTACTAGTAGGAATCTCCCATGGAATTTATCAAGTCTGTCATGGGTATCGTTCATTGAAAAGGTCATTAAATCGTAAGTATAAAACCAAAACATGTAGATATACAAAAACCACCACCAAATAAAATTTACACATCAACCCGCTGCTTAAACAAGCTCTTCCCCCGCAACCACTGCCTATACCGCTTATACCTCTTCTTCTCATAATCCTCCGCAACAACAGTCAACCCCCCGTCAGAGACATTGAGAAACTCGCCATAATCAGCGAGATTCTCCTCGGCGTTGGCTTCCAGCGCGCCCTCCTCGACATTACACTTGTTAGCGTACTCGAGGAGGTCGAGGTTCGTGGCGTTCTCGCGGATGGACGTCGCGGTGAGTTCGTCCTCGGAGGATACGACGAGGGGGACGCGCAGTGGGTGGTTGATGTAGCGCTCGTATTCTTCGGCTTCGGTGTGCGTGACGGAGGGGTTGAGGGAATCTGTTACGAGGTGGTTTAGCGTCCACTGGGCGAACTGGGCTTTGCTGGGGGTTGTTGTTGTTGTGGTTGTGGTGGAGTCTATGGTGGGTCTGAGGTTATTGTTGTTGTTGTTGGTGTTGGTGTTAAAGGAGGATGCGGCGCCCATGGAGTGGGTGGTGGATGTGGTGGTGGTGGTGGGTTTCATGATCCCGTTGGCGGGGCGCTGTTTGTCTGTTGGGGGCGGGTTCTTGGACCAGCTGGCGGTGGGGTCGGGTTCTTGGATTTTGACCATCCTAGGGGGGTGGGGATGGTGTCTGTCTTGGTTTGCTTGCTGTTCGTGGGGGATGCGGACGACGAAGGGGCTGAGCTCGTTTTGCGTGCCTGGTGTGGGTCGGAGGGGGAGGTATTGAGGGGAGGACTTCATCTTGTAGGAGAAGACTTTCGAGAACGAGGAGACTGCCAGTGGGCGGTAGTATTCAAGCCAGTAGTCGTCGTAGCGGGAGAGGGGATCCGCGGGGATCCGCGGCGGAGGTGGCAGTTCCCGTTCCTCGAGATGAGCGGGCGTATACCAGCGGATATAGTTTGGCCGTTTCATGGTCGACCAGGAGCGGGGGTCCGAGTGGTGCAGGTAGTAGTCTGTTGATAGGTCCCACAGCATGGGCTGGCCTTGACAGAAGACGTAATTGCCCAGGAACAGGTTGTATGCCTCTTGGCGCTGGGCGTCCAGGAACGAGTTGTTGTAGTACCGCTTGAAGCTCTCTACCATGTCACGCGAGTGGCTGCTCCACTGGTTGATCTTGCGGTAGGTGGCCATCGTGTTGACCAGGTGAGAGCCACCGTATTGGATGGCAATCGTGTCGCCGTGGTCATGCCACATGTCGGTGAAGAGATTGACAGCATCCGTGTCATATTCGACCGTTGTCCCTTCGATGATGCCTAGTGCGTGGAGCTGGTGCCCCAGCGCGTTTTTACCCACCACAAATTGGGCGGCATTCGTGCGGTCTAGGCAGTCTATACAGTTCGTTCTCGCTATCCCGTTCTGAAGCCTCAATCCTGATTCGGCATCGTATCCATTCTGGAAGAATCCTGTCTTGGGTATGATTTCGCCCGCGATATGTTCCAAAACCCCAATGACATCCTGGTCACGGCTCTTGGCAGCACGACTCATATCCCAGGGCTGGTAGATGATCTTCTTGTCGTCCGGGAGAAACTGGTTGAGATAGGTGATCGCATTCGTGAATTCCTTGAGTAGTTTGGACTCGCGAGGCGTTCGCTCCCGTGATTTTATGAGGTTCAAAACATAGACCGGGGCACCATATCTCTCAAACAGATTGTCAAAGTGCAAAGCGGCTGCGGAGTAGAAAGGATCCACGAGATTCAGCTCGATGTCTGGTTTTGGTGAGACCCCCGAGCTTTCTTGCGTCCAGTAGAGGGGAATACTCCCGCGGTGCTGGACGTACGAGGTGTATTGCGGGTTGGCGTAAAGATGTGGACCCGCGGCGTGGAACGAGGTTGTGGTCGCCTCCGACACGATTTGTTCAGTCTCGACGTCATTAGCTACATAGCCCAGGTCGTTGGCACCTCTTTTCAGAAAGCGAGCTCCAGCGAAAAAACGGGACCGGCGGGCAATAATGGTGATGTATACCAGTCGCCCATATACCGACATCTTCGATTGGTCAACGTATCCATGGATGATTGGCAAACACCAGTCATATGGTTTCTTGAGAGACTCCATTGCCGGACCAAGTAGATGATGATTCCAGATAAACATCGTGTTGTAGTCCTGCTCGAATTGCTTCGGGTGTCCATCCCGGTGGAGTTTGCGGTCTCGACAGATGTTGTGCTGCAGTGTGTGGGTGATGTCATAAGAGTAACTGAAATAGAAGGAGCGCGTCAAGTCGAGGTTGTTCAATATCGCGATATACCTTGCCTCGTCTGGGTTCTTCTCCGGCTTGGCACGGGCTGAGTTCGACGTTGTCAGGGAGATCAATTCAGTCCCGTCGATCTGGTAGACATAGTGGCCGCCTAGCATGGCCACCTGGCTTCTTTTTGTGGCCAGAAGCATGTAATATGCCCCTGTCAAGCGGATAAACCCCAGAAGGGCCCAAGCGCTGCACTTGAGCTTCAAACCGCCAGTACTTTTGTTCCCATCATCGATAGCATCCAACAGCTGGCTCATTTCCCTCTTCGTATATACGATATCATCATCCGAGACGCTCAGATCTCCGCCATCCGAGGTCCGATCGATCTTCAGAATCCTAAACCGTGTATCCGACAGGTCCATCCCGACCACGTAGAACCGTGTCGCCGTCTCGTGCAGCGAGAATCTATGCATCCTCTGGATCCCTTCGTCGCCCGTGTCAAAGAAGACCGAGCGATGCTTCTGGGCCGAAGTCGGGGTCGAATCGCGCTCGAACGACGTTGCCACCTGAGGCTCCTCGTCTTCCTCATCGCCACCAGTATCACTGATTGGTGCCACGGGGGCTGGTTTGTATGGTAGCGGACCGAACGGAACAGCTGCAGCAAGCCGGGAGTAGTCTTCTTGGTCAGATGGCTTCCGGGCCAACGCATGTGCGGGTTCTTCCGGTAATTTCTGGCCGGACGTCAACGGGGTGTTTGTAACCAACGCATGGCGGTCTGGTAGTGATTCCGCCGGAATGACATCGGTTAAAGAGGGATCTCGCGAGGAGCTGTCGTCTCCATATGCAGAGCCTCTTTCTTCCGCCGCCTCTTGGGGACGCGATTCATTGGAGTTCTCCATTATCCAAAACGGCTAGGAAGCTGCTGCTGCAGGTAAGCTTATAGATATGACCTGGAATCCATCACATCAACCAAAGCAAAGATATATGCAAGCCAAGTCGGGTGAGCTGGAGAGGAAGATGTTTCGCTAATGTCGGTCTGTTTAGTTTCCCCACATGCTTTGGGGGCTTATCGGTGTGGTTACTTACCGCCTTGGTGGATCTGCCGGATGACGTCAATCATCACCAACTCTCCATACGACAACGATGGAAAGAGTATAGTCCCGTAGTACTATTGTGACGAACTTCTTGATAAAGAGATTGGAGGATGGTATACATGTGTGAGCACGTGGCTTGCAAAATAGCTAAACGGGTCATAATGTCGATAGGTGGTATCCTGTCTACGTGAGATATATATTTATTAACAATGGAAATGCTAATATATATTCATTTTAATTGTTCAATAGTATTCGATATCTACACCTACTCTCCCATATTTTGTTCAAAATTTATCAACAAATATAAACAACAATGACAATTTATGAAAATAAAGCCATGGTTTGAAATCCATGCAGTATTCTTGACTCATCTAGTAGTAACAACTCCCATAAAGCCCTGTAAGGGATTTCTATAATCATTTCATGGACTATCACTTCATTCAAGCAATCCACACCACACCCATAGAGTGAGCATCATGCAGCTTTTGTATGTGATAGTGAAGCCTGAAACCCTCTCATTATGTTTTGCCAGCGCCGAGACTTCTCGCACCGGTCGAGACACGTCAACGCGTCTCCTTGTAATCCTCCACCTCCCCCACACCAGCCAATATGAGTACCTACTTGTCATATAATTTCAGTCCCAACCTGACAAAAAGGTACAGCAACTTACTTGGCATGTTTCTCAATAACCAAAAGCGTCCCCCAGATGGAGACATATCTCCATCCCGTCCTCCGCAGATGAAGAAGTTCAACCGCCCCGTTGAAAGTAAGATTTTACCCTGGCTACAAGCAACACAAGCTAACTTATATCACCACTAAAAGTTGTTCCCGGCGTCGGCAGTGATGACCTACCTTTGAATCATTTCAGTACGGAGAACTTCAGCCGACTCCCCGTGGTCCGTAATCTAGACTGGCGGGTCGACACGGCCGGCAATCCTATCAGGAGGGGGTTGAAAGACGCAATAGGCTTCGTGGCTGCATTTGGACACACTCGAGGCCAGGAAGCTTGGGAACGGTGCGCCTTCTGTAAGACAGGCAAGGGGCCCTGGGCTTCTTGCATCGTCATCTCGGATCCTGTCAACCCAGACGCGAAGTACAACGGTTATTGCTCCAACTGTTGGTGCAGTCGACGGTATCCTTGTAGTTTGCGTCAGTGACCCATTCTTGTCGTTTCTATTGTTGATTTTTACTGAATTTTTAATATTAGTCCCGGTGGCTACGTCTGATGACGAAGACGAATTTCCGAATATCCGACAGCCTGACGATGACAACGACCCGACCTACGAACTCACTACTGCTGTTGCATCGTCGCTGCTGTATAACAATGAAAGCGATGATGACCTGCCGCTGCTTAGAGGTCTGGGAACTGACACGGTTCAAAATTCGACCCTAAGCTCAGGAAAATGTCCTAAGGCCGCTGGGACACTTGAGAAAAACAAGCGCGCCTCATCCAAGTTCCATGTCCCACCACAAAGGGAAATCTTGCCTAAACCAAGAGTCATAAAGCAGGAACTGCAAGGTGGGTGTTTCGAGGGCACAAGGGGCAATGTGTCAACCGTCCCTACCTCACAGTCTCCTGCCATTACTAGATTACCCTTGAATATCAAAAAACCTTCTAGCTCTGTTGCGCTTCCCCGTCGCGAAGTAGCTGTTCCATTCCCTCTTGGTGCCGACGCGTTTGACAATTTGGAGCTTTTGAAGCATGCCGAAAAGGATATGCTGGGGCACATTGAGAAGATCCGCAAGCGAATTACGATGCTGGAGGCGCAGCAGATGGAGCATCATGATCCTTGGGCTTATGTTTAAAATTAGCATCTTCTTTGGGAAGGCTATCCCTATTTCTTTCGTTCCTTCGTTCTTTCCTTTGTTCTTTCCTTCCTTCTTCCTCCACTTCTTTTGTTCTTTCCTTCTTGAGTTGGGTTCCGCACTAGCGGTGTGGCGGACGAGTCTCTCATCTCCTGGGAGCAGCGCAACATTGTACAGCCTCGGGGAAGAATGGTGCAAACCAAGGCGTTAGGGTAATGGTCAAGTGTACAATCAAGATCTACATAATTTCATCGACAGCAATACAAAAGAAAATTGTTCTCTATGAGCACTGAATGTACAACTGGCCAACAGCCAATATATCTAAGGATAGCACAGATATATACTGAACGGTACAAAGCTCCCCGAAAATTATAACCGCGACGCTTTCTCCAAAGCCTTACGCCTCGTCTGAAGCGCCTTAGTCTCCTCCTGCAGAGCAAGACCCATCATGATCTCCTCACTACCACCACCAACGACATGGACACGAGCATCACGACTGATCTGCTCCACGCGCGCTCCCTTACCAGCCTTGTTGTAACCAGCACCTCCAAAGATCTGCTGGGCTTCGCGGACGCTTTTCTCTAGAGCTCGGGTGGACATTACCTTGAGCAACGCCGTCATGCCTCCGATTCGGACATCGTCCGTCGGCCTGTGCTTGGTCTGCTCGACGATGTTGACTAGCTGCTCCATGAACGCGTATGCGGGTTCAATCATGAGCCCGAATTTGAATATCTTGGACTGGATCGCTTGCTTTTGAATGAGTGGGGAGCCGAAGGTCTCGCGCTGCACGGCGTATTTGAAGGCGTCCTCTGCGCAGACGCGTGCTAGTCGTAAGGATGCACAGGCGAGGGAGAGACGCTCGGGATTGAAGTCTGGGTGGATTATCAGTATTGAAAATGGGAAGATGTGACTGCTGGTGTCTGCATACTGGACATGATGAGAGGGAAACCGTTGTTCTCCTCGCCAATCAGGTGGTCAGCCGGGACTCGAACATCGTCGAGTTCAATGAATGTCGAGCCTGGTTTGGATCTCGTCGTTAGCATTCACACCCACATAGTCAAGAATCGGCCGGGATCTCACCACTAGCATTGACACCCGAGTTGTGCATCCTCTTGCGAGTCACCCCGGGAGCCGCTAGAGGAATCACCAGCAGACTGATCCCAGATTTCCCAGGTCCTCCGGTCCTGACCGCAGCCGTACAGTAGTCGGCCCAGATACCATTCGTGATCCACTTCTTCGATCCACTGACAACATAATGATCTCCCTCGCGTTTGGCAGTGGTGCAGATATTCGCGACGTCCGAACCCGCTGCAAAGTTCCTCGTCAGCCAACAATACTTCCCAGTCTACTTCCCATAGTCCTATGTGTGGTCTCACCATCAGGCTCAGTAATCCCGAGACAGAATCGAATCTCCCCCTTCGCAACCCTGGGAAGCCACCGCTGTCTTTGCTGCGGGGTCCCGAATTTTGCAATGGGCGGACACCCAATGCTATTACCGCCTCCCAGTCCCCAGGAGACGCCGACATAGCCAACGCGCGTGATCTCGTCAGCCAGGATCAGGCTACACCACGTATCCCACTTTTCCCGCGGCACGTTCCCCGGAAGAGACAGTCCGGCTGCATCCTCGACTGTCGTCAGGGGGTGAACTATGCCAAACCCCAGCTGGCAGTGGCGTTGGCGAACCGGTTCGGGTATCTGGCCTGCAGACTCCCACTCGTGTGCATACGGCGCAATGTTTTCCTCGACATAATTCCGAACCCAGGCTCGGAGGTTGTAGTGGAGGTCGGTGTAGTATGGATTTTGGACGTCCAACTGAGGGAGCAAAGGCTCGCTGTAAGGTGCTGTTGGAGAGAAGGCCGTGCGCGACATGATGTCGGAGATGTCAAAACCTGGAGAATAGAAAGCAGGTGGAAAGGAGAGATCAGTTGACCATCCCGGAAAGGCCAGTTCAAGAAAGAAGTAGATCTCTTATTCGGGTATTCTTCAAATTGGAAATTGCTATCCAAGCGTGAACCGACACAATGTCGATCTGATCGTCCATCATGCGGGGAAAATGTGCCAACTTCCAACCGACCGAGGCCCGCGGACTCTTCATGCGCTTGGCATGTCCTCATTTTTCTAATCTCCACAAAAAAGCCCAAGGTAGATGAATAAGAAAACAAAATTCATGATTAAGTAGATGAAATGCTATGAAATGCGCAATCGGAGAGGCGAGCAAAAATAAAATGGTTCCATATGTTGTATCCCCTCCACCTCGTTCGTTCGGCCCTCGGTCAACAAGTAGCAGCCCAACACGAATTACTCCATAAGCTAAGTACCAGTTCCTCAAAACACGATATCCTTCTGAATGACACCAACAATGCAATGCGTCGATATGTATAACCGTGAAACCGCTGCGCCAAGAAAATGCTCAGATCATCAACGTTTGTCGACGGAAGCGAGAAGCATCTCCAAGTGCTTCCGAACATCCACACAATTCCAATGTTGATGGGAATGATAATTCAACATTTGTCGAATACAAGTCATCACTGACTCCGCTATAGACACCCCACAAGGTAGCATGGCGTGGCCCTGATCAATCTTCTGTGCAAAGTCCGCAGGGAATATTGGTGCATTAGGCGACGAGCTAGTAGACGAATGAGCAGATGAGCCTCTTGTCAATTCCGATAGGACAAGTTGGCGTTCCATCCTGGTGCCGAGGCGGTATAATAGCTCAAATAGTATGACGCCCAGAGAAAATATATCCAGCGTCTCGTCAATAGTATACCAAGCTGTTTCTTTCCCATAAGGATCACCTTTGCTGGAAGTGCCAAACCCGCTGCTACCCAACGATGGACGGTAAAATTCTGTCCCCACAACGTGATTGAGCTTCAAGTCACCCTGGGGTGTGGTGGTGGGGCTTTGCGGAGATTGCTCATTGAAATGAGAAATGTCTGCCACGAGACCAAAATCTCCGATCCGGGGATTGCAGTACCGAGATGCACTCTCACTCCCCAACTGGCATGAGAAGCAGCACTCGACCTGTCGGTTTTCTGGAGACGAAAGGAAGATGTTGGCTGGCTTCAGATCGCGATGGACGATTCCCTTGGAGTGGAGATATTCGACGCCAGAGATAATGCTCAATATCAACTTCAACGAGGGCACCAAATGATAACAGTGGCGTCGAGGTAGAGGACTATTCGCCTCTTCACGGGGCGGCGATTGTGGATTCAAGTACGAACCGAGCGAAAGGGGATGCAGTGACATTTGGATGTGAAGGACAACGGCTGGAATTTGGGACCCTTTCTGATAACTTCGTTGTATTTGCATATTTGACGGATTATGACTCAATCCGTCGGTGAAGATATCGTCGTCATTGTCATCATCGTCACTGACAAATGTGGATGTCTGACTATGGCTAACATTGCTGAAATTTCGCGGGATCGATTCGACCTCTCCGCTACTTTCATCGACGCTTTCAACATAACTCATCCTCCTCCGCCGTGGGGCTGGAGGAGCATGAAGAAGCCCGTCTTGTGATCGACTAGAGCTGTGCGATGTTTCTCCCACCGATGGTTGTATTGAATCTTCTGTATTCTCAAAAACAACCCCAAAGCTTTGGTTGTCGGTCGGTTCTGGGCCAGCCAAGCTACTCTGAGTCGACTCCAACGTGTGATCAAAGGATGCCGGCGGGGACGCGGGTGGGAGATTAGGAGCCTGATGTTGTTCCACCCACGCACCGTAATACCGGACGACATTGGCATGTTCCAGGCGAGCGAGGGTTCGGATCTCTTTCATGATCGTTTCGAGATGATTCCCACCCCCACGCTGTAGCTGCTCGAGCCGTTTTTGGCTGAGTGGGATCTTCTTTACCGCATAATCCTGTCCATCAATGTGGTTTTTAACATGATATACCTCACCGAACGAACCACGCCCAAGAAATTTGACTTCCGAGAACTCCACTGCATAGCGAGACAAGCGATTGATCGGAGGTGGCAGGTTTCCGCTGAACAGTGGAAAACTGGCAGGGGAGCTTTCTATGAGGGGCGATGGTTGGATAGGCCAGTTCGCCGGATCGAGATGGATGTTTTCCAATTGACGACCCATGCCAATACCGTTTCCACTCGTAAGCAGCTTTTCGATATCCAAAATATCGGGTCGGCGGTTCCTCGGGTGTTGTGCAAAACCGGCGGATCGGCTATCAGGACGAATTGGCATCCCCCCCGGCGGCCTGGAGGCCAGTACCACATCTTGCGGACCGCCTATGGGCGGAGTCTGTGCGTGGGCATCATCCAACTTGAGATCATCCAAGGCTGAAGCCCCAATCATGTCCAGCGTATCACGATAATACTGCCTTGTTGACCGCAACTCGTCCTTCTCAACCCCATCGGCCAAGACACCAACCGAAGACAGGAAGCGTGACTTGAACGTATACATTTTCTTCCCCAGGTACTGTACCTCTGGAGAATCTCTCGTGAAGCGTTTATGTGAATCATTCTGGGTATTGAGCAAGTCTGCTGCCCGAGACATGCAGTAAAATTCAAGAAGCGCGGCGGTCATGTAATTGGCATGGCCGTCGGCATCAACATCCAGGGCGTCCTTGGACTCATCGGCTTGGGATTCTTGACTTTCCGCTTGGAGTGACGGAGGACTTGTGCGCCGCCTCGAGAATTGAGGTTTACACCCCGCATGACGATCTGTGCTCGCAACCACATGGTGCTCGCTCTCGTCAAAGCTGGGCTGCGAGTCAGACGAGGAATTGTCCGCTGCCGACTTGAACATTGACATCTTAGTGATAGCTTCTCCGACTGTTTAAGAAATGGTAACATTTGACTATCATAAACACGTTTGAGCTGCACGTGGATCGAAAGCGGTTAAGGGCACCTCTAGTAGCAGCTTTCATGCATAGTATACTGCGGGTGCGGATACAACGACGAAGAGAGTGCTGGAAGTTGTCCCGAATGTGATCTCAAAATATTCATAAAGCCCTGTTTCTTCTGACCATGGTAGGAATCCTTCCTTCACGCAGTGCATAGGAAGGGATAGGCGAACTTAAAAGGCGATTTGAGAAATGAAACTACTGGCCAGATCCGCGTTAGCAAGTATGGGTCACTTGGACAACCGGCAGGCTTCCATCAAATTCTAAGCCTGATCAATGCAATGTCAATGACAAGGCGTAGGTAGGCAGTCGTTCAGCTGCTCAAGACATCTGTCCACTCCAAAACGTGTTACACTGTGGATTTGAGACCAGGTGTCCAGTCCAGCAGTTGTCCTGACTGGCAGTGAATTGCAGATGGAGATCCAATCAAGGCGATTTGTGACTCAAAAAAATCGGGCAGGCCGCACTGCTGCCTCAGGCCGTAATGCCGTCATACATGTGCAGATTATCTAATAGTGCAATGTACATCCACGTGATCTGCGGCCAACGCGTAAAGAGGTGTCACGTCAGGCGCGACCGAAACACGAACTTGCATCGCAGGAACAGGAAGCGCATTTCGTCCGCGCTGGAATTGTGTTGACGTCGCTAGATACTGGAATCTGAATCCCCAGAAATCCTGATTCGCCTGATACAATCTGCTGAATTGATCCCAATCCACTCAACCATTGCCCTTTGTTGGTCGTATATGACTCTCCACCATGACTGAAGCCGTCGCCACGCCCCAGAAGCGGGTTTTAGGTGACGCAACCAATAACCCGCGCAATGTCCAGAGCTCCCCCAGTTCAATGAAAAAACGGAAACTAGATGCATTGTCATCTTCCAAGCTGGGCCCAACCATCCAGAGTGGCCAGCGCAAAGTGCCGGGCTCCAGCCAACCGCAAAAGAGCCAGTTTGAAGAGGAAGTCTTGGAGAAGCTGACACAGGACATAAATGACCTGAAGGGCAGCAATTCCGAAAAAGATCAGCAGTGGGAGCGACCCCCTCTGGGTCCGTTTGACCCGACAAAGGAGAATGTCTGTTTTCAACAGATCGACGCGGAGGAGGGTACAATTCTGGGCGGTAAAACAGCCGTTCGGTTATTTGGTGTCACAGAGGTACTATTTGCACGGCGCTCCGTTATACTAGGTTCTAACTTTTTCGATAGGCTGGTCAGTCGGTCTTGCTACACGTTACCGGATTCCAACATTATCTATATATTGCCGCTCCGGTGGGCTTCACGAAAGATGATTGCGACCCTTATCGAGCTTTCCTGGAAAGCAGACTGGGGCAGTTCACCCCGGTCATCCAGTCCGTTCAGATAACGATGAGGGAGAATATTTATGGATTTCAAGGGAATCAGAAGAGCTACTACCTGAAGATCACCGTGACCGAGCCGAAATTCATCAGCAAGGTGCGGGGCGCGCTGGAGAACGGAGCCCAGAGCGTGAACTACAAGGGCCTGTGGAACAAGTCAGATTCCGGAATTCTCACCTTCGATAATATCCAATACCTTCTACGATTTATGATCGATACAGATATTTCCGGCATGGCCTGGGTCGAGGCAAAGGCTGGAAAGTACCGCCTCCTGGACCCTCGGGAGAGGATGTCGAATTGTCAAATCGAGGCTACCGTTGACTATCGGGACCTAATTGCCCACCCGCCCAATGGTGAATGGGCGAAAATGGCACCGCTTCGCGTCTTGTCCTTCGACATTGAATGCGCCGGGCGGAAGGGCATCTTCCCCGAGCCGAACCAAGACCCCGTGATTCAAATAGCCAACGTTGTGACTCGGTACGGAGAATCGAAGCCGTTCATCCGCAACGTCTTCGTTCTAGATACGTGCAGCTTGATCGTCAACACGCAGATCCTCGAATTCGAAAAGGAAGAGAAGATGCTCATGGCATGGCGTGACTTCGTGGAGAAGGTGGATCCAGATGTGATCATCGGATACAACATTGCCAATTTCGATTTCCCCTACCTATTGGACCGCGCGAAACACCTCAAATGCACGAATTTCCCGTATTGGACTAGATTGAATGGCATTCGCTCCGAAGCGACGTCCTCGAACTTTTCGAGTAAACAGATGGGCAACCGCGACACGAAAACGACCAATACCAACGGACGAATCCAACTGGACCTTTTACAATTAGTCCAGAGAGACTACCATCTGCGAAGCTATACCTTGAACTCGGTATCTTACGAATTCCTGGGCGAACAAAAGGAAGATGTCCACCACACCATGATCACAGAGCTGTATAACGGGACTCCAGACTCGCGGAGACGTCTGGCGGTCTACTGTCTGAAAGACGCATATTTGCCGCAGCGGTTAATGGATAAGCTCATGTGTCTTGTCAACTACACCGAGATGGCGAGAGTAACGGGAGTCCCGTTCAATTTTCTATTGTCGCGTGGCCAACAAGTCAAGTTCATCAGTCAGCTCTTCCGCAAGGCTTTGGAACAACAGCTCGTCATCCCCAACGATAAGCCGGCCGACCAACAAGATTACGAAGGCGCCACCGTTATCGAACCGTCTCGAGGCTACTATCGCGTGCCGATTGCCACCCTTGATTTTGCATCTCTATACCCCTCCATCATTCAAGCCCACAACTTATGTTACACCACGCTGCTGAACAAGAACAGCATTGAGAGGTTCAAGTTAAAACAGGACGAGGACTATATTGTGACACCAAACGGTGATATGTTCTGCACGCCGAATGTTCGCAAGGGCCTTTTGTCGCAGATTCTCGAAGAATTGCTTTCTGCGCGAAAGCGCGCCAAGAAGGAGCTGGCTGTGGAGACGGATCCGTTCAAAAAAGCCGTCTTGAACGGACGGCAGCTTGCACTGAAAGTCAGCGCGAACAGTGTCTACGGGTTGACTGGTGCTACTGTCGGTAAACTTCCGTGCCTGCCGATCGCTAGTAGTACCACCAGTTACGGGCGTCAGATGATCGAGAAGACGAAGCAGGAGGTGGAGGCTAAGTACACGATCGCCAACGGGTATTCGCACGATGCGCGGGTTATTTACGGCGATACCGACTCGGTCATGGTCAAGTTTGGAGTGACCGATCTCGAGGAGGCGATGAAACTTGGACAGGAGGCGTCGGAATACGTCTCTTCCAAATTCATCAAGCCGATCAAGCTTGAATTCGAAAAGGTCTACTTTCCTTACCTCCTGATCAACAAAAAGCGATATGCGGGGCTGTATTGGACGAACCCCAACAAATTTGACAAGATGGACACGAAGGGTATCGAGACGGTGCGCCGAGATAACTGCTTGCTGGTTCAAAACGTCATCGAGACGGTGCTGCATCGGATCCTCATTGACCGGGATCCCGAGGGGGCCCAGCAGTACGTCAAGGAGACCATCTCGGAATTGCTCCAGAATAAGGTCGACATGTCCAAACTCGTGATTACGAAAGCGCTGTCGAAGAGTGACTACACGGCCAAACAGGCGCACGTTGAACTGGCCGAGCGAATGCGCAAGCGCGATGCCGGCTCTGCTCCCACCCTCGGGGACCGTGTGGCGTACGTGATAATTAAGGGCGCAGGCGGGTCGAAGAACTACGAACGGTCGGAGGACCCGCTCTACGTGCTGGAGAACAACATCCCGATCGACACGAAGTACTACCTCGACAACCAACTTGCGAACCCGCTGGGTCGTATCTTCGAACCGATTCTCGGGGAAAAGAAGGCGAACCAACTGCTGACGGGCGAGCACACGCGGTCCATCTCAGTAGCCGCCCCGACAATGGGAGGGCTGATGAAGTTCGCCAAGAAGACGCAAACCTGCCTGGGATGCAAGAAGCCGCTGACAGGCAAGGAAGAGATGGCGGGGGCTGTGTGCCAAAACTGCCAGCCGCGTCTCGGGGAGCTTTACACCAAGTCTCTGTCCAAGGTGTCGGACTTGGAAGTGCGATTCGGACGGCTGTGGACGCAGTGCCAGCGGTGCCAGGGCAGCTTGCACTGCGAGGTGATCTGCTCGTCGCGGGACTGCCCTATCTTCTACATGCGGATGAAGGCGAAGAAGGACGTGGAGGATTCGCAAAAGGAGCTGTCCCGGTTCGATTTTGACGCGGGGGCGTGGTGATCCATGTTCGACGGGATGGAACTGGGATTGGTTTGGAATCCTGTATGACTAGACATTGAACCTTGTTTTGCTGGGAATTGGCGTATCGGCAACGGCATGGACGCATGAAATGACGATGGAAGTCGTTGGTACTATATAAGAGGTGCCTAATTATCATTTGAACTTATTTACTCTTTTCATATTCCGTATTCTATAATTCACTCAATTCTGTTGAATTGTTTACTCACGACTATCTCAACGCCACTCTACATAGAAAGATGGTTACAATTGGGACAGCAAATGCTGTCGCCTAAGACAACCCAGCCAAGAAAGGCTCACAGGTATTCAGCAAGGCTTAATCAAAGCTTAGCCCACCATCTGGCTCAGAATGAAGCTGCCTAGGATATTCCTGTGTCTTATTATCCGTACGACAATCGGAGAATACTACCATTGCACCTCATGTGCAACCGTCATACGTAGCAGCCATCCGAGATCAAGCTACCAGGATTGGGTCGAAATGAGACACAAGACACCTCACTGCATGGTGAAATGTATAGCTCGCTGTAAGGACGCAGTATATAATGACTTGAGGCGTGTAGGTATATAGGTGAGGTGGTAGCCCTCTGGCGACACAAGGATCGCTGTGTAAACCAGGAGGCCATTCTCTGATATCAGTTTTTTTTTAAAAAAAAAGATCTCTTCACCCCGTTTGTCACTGTCTTTTTCTATTCAGCATCGTTCTCTTTGCTACCTACTCTACCGATACTACGATTTATGAGAACATGGCCTTCCTCGACTTCCTCAAGTCTTCTAAGAAAGACTCGGTCTCGGACTCCGGTTCCCAGCAGAAAGAGCCCACTTGGGACGCCGAGACCCTGACTGTGCGACAGCCTGTTAGTCCGGAGGCTCCTTCTGCTGGTAATAACCAGGTGGAGGAGTCCCAGAGGGTAATGTCTCTCTTTCTCCATCTACCCACACTCACAGATTCTTACCCTGTACACTCGTGAGCATGTGAGATTATCTATCTCACAATATCTACAGCCGAAAGAAACAGATTTCCAGCTGCGAGGCGGTGGTGCGGGCGACGTCTGCTGTGGAATGTAAGTCCACCACTTCCTTATCACACCAAGTAGTGGAGTATATGATTTGCGAAATGACATGATGGAAACCGATCTAATCCGAAACCTCGCAGGTGTACTGGTCTTCTCTGCTTCGAGTGCTGTGAGGAATGTTGTTAGGATCGGGATTTGGCATATAGGAGTGTTGTTTTGTCGATGTCTTCTTGGATAGGAGGTAGGAGGGCAAGACTGTAAGCGTTTAGCTGTGTTTGGGGAAATACTCTGGTATTTTGCTGCTGGAAGCCAGGAGAATGTGTAGTCTTGCCGTAATGGTACTGACATTTACATTTTGGTTGAGATACTATACTACTTGCCGTGTCTACGCATGAATCAATCTGTTTGCACGTAGTAAATACGGTCTCATCTCATGATAGAACGCTGGTATAGATGACTATGGTCTCCGTTGGAAATAACGCATCCTGTTCACCCCTGGACGATGTAGAAACTAACCTGACCTTCAACTCGAGAAGCTCCCTACACCAGTAAACAGCCTCTCTGACTGGAAGCTACATGTAGGCAAAGAAAAAAAAAGAACAAAGTCGGAATGCGGAACCAAACTACCACTTGCGCAAGTCGGTCCCCACCATAGTCGTCTCCGTCAGATCCAACTTGCCTGCCTCGTACTTCGCGGTGCCGTCTGGATAAAACCCGGCCATCTGGATGACTCCGCCGCTCAGCTCGTCGATGATCTGCGGGAAACGGCTACCCACGTTGACGTCGCAACGGGTGCTGGGCGATTCGCAATGCGCGATGAGGGCGGCAGTAGTCTTGAAAACGCGGAGGCAGCCGGGGCATCTATCATCGTTATTAGACAACATCTATAAACAATTATTGGGAATGATAATTAGTATTTTCAACGAATGGGAAGACGTACTGAGTGGTACGGGTCGCCGTAGTCTTTCTTAAAATGTGCATCTCAAATTCCTCCTTGGCGTCAAAACTCATACCGCAAGGGCACATATAGCGCGAGCTGGCGCCGTGCAAGAACCTGTTGGCATCCCACTTGGAATCCAGGAGCAGAAGCGTCTGGCCGGCGTTGGGCGTGTTTGCACCCCCACTGGCCGCCTGAGTAGACTTCAGCACACGGGGTTTGGGTCTGACTAAGTTACCATGGCACGGATCGGTCTCGTCGTTGCCCTGCTCGTTCAAAGACAGTTTGGGGAAGTCCTTGAGCTCCGTCTCGGGACGCTCGCCCGGGAGAGGCCAGTGCTCAAAGGCCATGTTGGCCGAGTCTTTCGCGACATGATCAGCCTGATCGTTCTTGGGCTCGGTGGTGGGCTTAGGGCGGAAGGCCATAGCCTCGAAATCCCACCCCGCGAGCGAGACCCCACCATCTTGGTCGTCGAGATTATCGCGTTCGGGGATCACCGGATGCGAGGCGTGTTGGCCACCCTTCAGCAGAAATTCCTTCATGATGAGCTTCTTGGACTGCTCGTGCAGCAGACGCAGTTGGGGGATCTTCTCGCATTCGTCCGCTTCGATGTGCTGCATCAGGGAGCTAGCGCTTTTGAACTTGGAACTGCAGCCGACGCAGACGATGGCTTGAGGAGTGCGGTGGTTCTGTCGGGCCAGGAGATCGGGTTAGATTTGGGACATCGATAAATGACTGTCGGGAGTTAGGTACTTGCCTGGCGAATGTGGGCGTCGCGACCTCCCTCGCTGTTAAACTCCATGCTACAGACAGGACAGGTGATGTGTTTGGTGCTCTTGAGCTTGTGGATCATGAAACTTTCCTCATTGTGGAAGTCTTCGTCACATCGCTTGCAGTAGTGGTGCTCGGGGAAGTTGTCTTTGTGATTCTTCATCTCTCTGATGGAGTAGAAAGCCTGAGGACAGTCAATATAGGTGCAGCGCACCTTGCCAGACAAAGATGCCGTCATCACTCCTGGTGATGTCTGGTTTGGAAAGGAAAGTAGAAAGGGGTAAAGAAGGAAAATGACCAGTGTGAAAGTGAAGGGGGCGGTGGAAGACAAGATCAAGTTGGTAGGAGAGGAAGTAAATAAGAGGGCAGCAAAACAAGCAGGTCGAGTCACGGGGCACAATCACTGGAGAGGTGGTGACTGCTCAGTACATTTCACTACAAGCTATCAATCAATGCAGACAGCAGTCATTACATGGTCATTGCTACGGGACATTCATAGGTAATCACAATAATCTCCAAGTCCATCCTTCCCACCACTCAAAACCGCGAGAATGGCAGCCTACCAATGTCAGTATACTCATCTCGAGACAGAAGACTGATATAGAGAGAACTCACCACTTTCCACGCAGGGTGATCACAGCCCAGTTGTTCCCATCGGTATCTGTCTCCTTCTCCACCTTGGTCGAAAACGAGATAGCACTCATGATGCCATCGCCGAACTTCTCATTCAGCACCGCCTTATACGCATACCCATAGTTCTGCACAATCTCATACAGACGGTAGATCAGGGGCTCCCGGGGCGGCATCTCCACCGAGCGACCGCGGTCGGGAAAACCACCCAGCTGTTCGGCCAGTGGTTCCTCGGGGATTCCCAGCAAAGTGGCTAGCTTGTGCACGTCTTGCGGGGATGCCTTGGCCTGACCATAGAAGATAGCCGCCGTGGCGACCTCGTTGCGACCGATGTGCTGGGCGATCTTCTCAAAGCTGAGTTTTTTGGCGGTTTTGGCGCGGAAGAGGGTATGCGCGGCCTCCGGCAGGTAGGGGTGCTGGCTGGTCTGAAGTCTATCAGTTCTCTATACAAATGAGTCGACTGGATGGAGAGTCAGCCTTACGTCGAGAGTTGCGAGATCCATGGCGAATAATCGGGTTTCTGATGACAGAATGGCGTTTAAAGTGAGGAGCTCATGGGATTACAGAGGGGCTTTAAAGCCCTGGGAATGTACGATGTCATTCTTATATAACTGCGAGCGGACCTTTCTCCAACAGTGTATGCGGGGTCATCATGTATCCGGTGGACGCCGATGAGGGGGTGGGGGAGTGGGAGGGTTGATAAGGGGTAAGTGAGGGGTGAGTGCCATGTGAAGTTCGGGTGTGCGGTTGTTTAGAAAGAGTACAGTACAACATTAGATGCATCTGTATCCAGAATACTCACCAGTCTCATTCTACCCCCATGATGATTCCTCGGTGTCATGATAACTACGGCGATGAAAATGATGTCGATATCTTATCTTATCTAATCCCCCCGCATTTGTACAGCCAATCAGAAATCGTGCTTGAATTGATAGACGCTATGCCTATAACGGTTAGATCAGATAGCACATACACGTGACTACTGAGTCAGCCGGAAGAATGCTGATCCATCCGGCTCCCGAGGGTTCCTGCTTACCAAGCCCTGCCGAATCGCACACACGAATTTTCGCCCGGAGTCTCCCAACAACGCTATCGATCTCGACCTTGACGCTGATTCCACCCTCTCGATATCGCCATCCTCCCCACGTTCACCCGCGAACACCGCAAGTCAACCATCCGTTCGCCATGGATTCCGCCAAAGTTCCCGTTAAGCTCGTGAAGGTCACGCGAGTCCTCGGCCGTACCGGTACGATTCTTCGAAGAGCCTCCGAAATAGAGGCCAGAGCCGTCATGAACAATTTTCGCTAACCCAGGAATGCAGGCTCTCGCGGTGGTGTCACCCAGGTTCGCGTTGAGTTCATGGACGACCAGAGCCGTTCGATCATCCGTAACGTCAAGGGTCCCGGTAGGTTCAAGTTTTGATTTCATATTGAGCCTTTCCCCGAAATGCGGTGGAAGGTGTTGGAAAGAGACCACCATTAACTGACTCGCAATTCCTCCAATCAGTCCGTGTCGACGACATCCTTTGCCTGCTCGAGTCCGAACGTGAAGCCAGACGTCTGCGTTAAGAATGCCCAACCACCAAGGAGGATGGATTCGAGTGGGATTTTTGGGGTAGTACACGGGGGTATCAGCTCATGGCGGCGCACCATTCGGACTTTGATTTTTTGTGTGCTAGAGTCCAGGATTTCACTTCACGAATGGATCCAAAAAGAAAAAATTTAATGCTTTTCCAAGGATAAACACGAAGAAACGACTGGTCAAGAATGGGTGGGATCGGGATTCCTCTTATCGCCTTTCAGGCTGCACGAGCCTGCGTCTCTACGATCCGCGGATGGAACACTTGTGGTGATTAGAAGGAACAATACAATTGCCTGTGATATCGAGGATTCCCGGTTGCCGTTCGTGTGGCTCCCGCGTTTGCTACACCTGAATTTTTGATTCTTGCGTCGATCAATACCAACTTTTTGTTGCCAACGTGCATTTCACACTCCATCCCATTTCGGTCAATTCTCGCCGCGCTACTCTCGCACTGGTGCCTGTGGATTGTTTCCGAACTTTGCCTTGTCCGCAGAGCGAAGACCAGTGTGCGATAAGTGTCTTCACCAGGAGCACTGCTTGAGATTGGTTTACGCAGGCGACGCAGTCCGTGCGGGTCGAGTGTATACGCGTGTCTGTAATTGCTGCGTGAACGTCTACCTGGGACCGCTCTACGGTGTCCGCAGATTGCGGTTGTAGAAAGTAGGATATCCCTCGTATTCCACGTGTCGTGATCTAAACCACCACCAATCCTGAGCTCTTCGAGATATCGTGATTAAATGATGCCGAATACTCCGTAAGCGGTGAAACTACTTGATATGCCACGACGATTCTCAGCATAGTCCACTATCCCTTATATTTGTCGTCGTTGCTATCTAGACAGATCCAAGGGAGTCAACCCCTGCCCAGTCGCTTTACCGTCGAGCTGATAGTGTTATGATTGCCGCCATGCTGATATAGAAACAAACGGTGCATGTATATATATATTAGCTTATATCAGCACAAACCACTATCTATTTCAAATCAGTCGACTTCAGTTCCGCGTCCCTTCTCGATCCTCCACAAGTAATGTCAAGATATTCAAATCCCAGCCGACTAAGCTGTCATTGCACCAACCAATGACGGCGTTATCTGAGAGCCAGGGCACCGGTTAGATCGGCACCATCCATGAGAGGAGAAGAGACTGAACGGAGCAGATCATCGGTCTTTCTAATCCTTAGTCACATCTGGTGGAATCTGTTCCGCGATTCCGTCCCCATTTGGAGCATGGCGGGGCTATCCCCAGACGGGGAACGCTCCTCTTTTAGGTAGCTTGTTGGTGTATTTCAACTCTCTACATTGATTGGGATGGTCCACTCTACTCACATTCCATATACCTGTCGACAGCCTGCACTCGTCAGTAACATTTAGAGGAAGAGACCCAGCGTTGAGTTCCTGCGGCGTGGATTGTCTTACAGTCGGCCCTGTTGGAGGCGCAAACGGCCCGCGCCGACATGGACGAGAAAGATGGCCATCGCGTGGACTATTCCCCTGCCGCTCAGGACCCGGCCTTTGAAGTGACGTGGGAGGAAAACGACGCCGAAAACCCCCAGCAGTATCCGTTATGGTACAAGTGCTTCATTGTCGGGTCAACTTCGTTCTCTACCACCAATATGTAAGTTCGAGGCAGGGTTGCTCGCGCACCAGTCTCCTACCTACCTCGGTCTTGGGCTTAGAGTGGACCCGTCTGTTGCAGAATAGTAGCTCACGGAGAAAATCCAATCGCGTAGAATCCTTTGTTCAACAGCATATACATCCGGGGTGGTTGGAATCCAGGAGTCGTTCGATGTGGCTTCGCGGACGATCACCCTCCTCGGATTGACGACGTACCTGTTTGGTCTAGGGTTAGGATGCCTTGTGCTCGCCCCATTATCTGAAATGTACGGTCGTCGCCCGATCTATCTGGTTACGACGGCTCTATTCGTGGTGCTAGTTCTCCCCGTCGCACTGGCACCGAACCTGGCGGCCGTTCTGGCGAGCCGATTCTTCGGCGGGTTCTTTGGCAGTTGCCCGGTTGCGATTGCGCCTGGCACGCTCAACGACATCATCAGTCCTCAGCATCGAGCGCTGGCGTTCAGTGTTTGGAGTCTTGGGTCCATGAACGGTCCTGTTCTCGGTATGGCCCCCCGCTCCCCCAGGTTCTGAACCAGACGTGGAGTCTGAACTAGCATGGCCCACCCATCAATGATCCCGCTAACACCGCACCCCACCAGGTCCCATTATCGGCGGGTTCGTATACCAGTATTTGGGGTGGCGCTGGATCAACTGGATCGTGCTCATCTGCGGCGGCGCCGCATTGATCGCCCTCTTTTTCATCAAGGAAACATACGCGCCCGCTATTCTGCGGCGTCGATGCGTCGCTAAGCAGAAACAGACGGGAGACATGCGATGGTGGACGCGCTACGATGACCAAAGAGATAAGGGGTGGTGGCAGATAATGCAGACTAACCTCGGCCGGCCACTCATCATGGCGGTTTTCGAACCCATCTGGTAGATCTTGCTCCCTTACCCAATAATCTACTTTACGCCCTGGAGACACAACTTCCCAACTGAGCCCAGTCACTAAGCCACGCTAATAAACATATAGTCTATTCTGGAACCTCTACATCGGTGTCATCTACTCCGTCCTCTTCCTCTGCTTCGTTGGATACCCCATCGTCTACCAAGACCTCCGCGGCTGGGAACCAGGCCTCGCAGGCCTCGGCTACTGCGGGATCGGCGCAGGCGTCGCCCTCGCCGTATCAGCCGAACCACTCCTCCGGCGCCTCATCGCGTCTCACCCCCGCGACCCAGTAACAGGCCAAGTCGCTCCCGAAGCCACCGTCTGCGTCATCTGCATCGGCAGCGTGCTGATCCCCATCGGCGAGCTCTGGTTCTCCTGGACGGCGCGACCACCCGTGCACTGGATCTCGCCGATCCTGGCCGGCGTGCCGTTCGGGATGGGTAACGGCCTCGTCTTCATCTACACGACGTACTACCTGGCTGGTAGCTACGGGATCTACGCTGCGTCTGCGCTGGCGGGGAACTCCGTTGTGCGGTACTTCTTTGGGGGGGTTCTGCCGCTGGCGGGGTCGAAGATGTATGGGGCTATGGGGGTTCATTGGGCGGGGACGATGCTGGGGTTGGTGGAGGTGCTTTTGATTCCTATTCCGTTTGTGTTTTATCGCTATGGGGGGAGGATTCGACGGCGGAGTCGATTGCTGGCTAAGACGCCTGAGGAGTAGATATGGCACTGCATGGGTTGGTAGGGATAGGTGGTGGTTTTGGACATTGGTGGAATAGAATTGTCGCCTAGAAGATAACAGCTTTGCAGTGTAGAAAAGTGTTTAGACATGATATATAGCTTAGTAACCCTCGACTGGTAGAATCCTACTGGCATTCGGTCTGGTTGTACACTCCTGATATTGAATTAATAGTTCACACGACTCTATATGAAAAGATTCTATGATCTTCTAGACGCGTGGTCGTAATCGTTGTATCATACAGCCTGTAATAAAGCACAGGCATTGTTTCCTGCAGTCCAGCTGCTAGGAATTCTTTCGTAGCTGGTCGTATCAGCACTCGTTCATAAGGGGGGCACATTCCCAATAATCCGGGATCCATAACGCTGGCCCGTTGAACTTGATCAAAGCGCGTGTAGTCCGGCGAAAGGGTTCCCTGGTGTGGATGAGCCAACGCCTGTTCTGAAATGTAGATGAGACTCTGGCATGGCAGCTTAGCCCTCGGATATCGAATTATCGGCAGATGTAGAGCCCTCTGTGTCGTCTAAATAGCGCGCTTCCAAGTCTTCGTACAATAGCTACATGTACCTGTACAGAGTATCCTATGTAGCCTCACCCATGAATATGCTCTTAGTATAGTGATGCGGCGATATTTGACCATGATTGGACGGCTTGGCGAGTAGCAAAACGGTTCGTCGAACTTATCGAGGAATTCCACGGGGATGGTGGCGGTGTGGGCGTAGAGGTACATTGCCGATGCGCATGTGACGGCAAGGACGTGGACCTTTGGAGATCGGATTAGGACGAGATAATCATCGGTGGGGAATTAGGCATACCTTGAATGACTGAGCTGCGCTTGGAGCCTGTTGCCAAGCGAAGAGTCTTACCCCAGCGAGAGAGGCGGCCTGCGGAGCGTGTTGGGTATGTTGATTCTACAGCCGCCATCGTAGGCTCATCCTCCCCGTCGCAGCCATCTTCGTCCGAGTTTGAAGTTGTCCCCGATGAGGTCGATGAGGATCAACACGAGACGCGGCGAACTAAACCGGAGGAAGTGACGGTCCATCTCCTGGTCTGTTTTCTCCAATTTGGCCTCGACCTCTGTCTTTCACAGGATTCAACAGACGGTTGTGAGGTACAGACACGAGTGAAGCGTAGGAAGTGTACAACCTACGTGGCTGGGATGTATCAAATCAGTGCAGAAGACGACGGTGGAACCTACAAGGTGCGCCACCATGATCAGGACTGGGCAATGAGAAACCCATCCCTAGCCGTTCTTAAGGCGAAGAAGGCGTTCAAGTACATGCGTTTTGACAAGACAAGCGGACAACTCAAGTCAGTGATATCAAATGCGACCTTGGCTCAGTACCTCGGTGAAGCACTGGTTTCCTGGAGAGCCGCCAGACAGTCCAAGCACCTTCGTTCGCTTTGTGCATTTCCAATTCGCTTCCGACTACGAGGAATACATAGCCGTTTCAACCGAGGAAAACCATAGAGTCTTGGTCGACGATGAAGACAACGACACGTTCGCCTATATGAGCACCACCAATGGTTTAACCTTCAGTCTCCTGAGGGACGGCGTGATGCATTGTGCCATATCCTAGCGCTTCTACGATGGCATGATGAGCACACAGCAATGCCTGTATCGGGCCCAGACGAACCCATGGCTTCTGAGGACGATGACGACCCCGTTCCTTCTGAGGATGGTAGATTCTTCAATTCTTCTGCAGACGACAACTATCCCATGCTTTGATTCCTCCATGGACGACTCAAGTGGAGGTTTTGGCGAATTATCGATGGCTTGATAGGGGAGCCCTGTTTGCCGACATATCACATCGACGGGGTTACAAGCAGGATGGATGGCATCACCGAGATCCCTCCTTGACTACTCTCCCCACACCATGCTGTCACCTTGGATCATGAGCTGTACTATAGGGACGGGTCTCTTAGAAGTCGGCATCAATGGCACGTTTGCGGTGCGGTCCCCACACCCCAACTGTCGTTTGACTTGCGCTGGACTAATATATATATATAGGGAGTAGCACAATAGGTACCGTGCTTATGACGGTTATTTTCATGGACATCTGGTCTTGATCGTGTGGCGAAGTATCAGCCACCAACATGAGACTACGATCCTCTTCACCAATGATGGGAAGCCCGTTTGATGATGGCACCATCAATCCTTCGAACCAGCTGAAGGAGGGGCATTGCACCGCCACAAACATAGCGCATCAGCTGAACCCAGAAGCTGGGAGGTTTCACGGCCCACCGCATAGACGCGGATTGGATGAAGGACCAAGCTCATTAATTATCAAACAGGTGGCAGCCTAATGAGGGGAAGTCTCGTTTCGGGATAGCGGGGCATCCGGCGGTATCGAATCGAATAGGATGTTTGAATCTGACAACGGACAGAGCTGGATCTAAGGATATATTGGGAATCCAACTGGACTAAATGTGAAGACGGTAAAGGTCTCCGTAAGTAGATGACCTAGTAATCCCTGGAATTAATTACATGCAGCTGAGCTGACCTTTATAACAGATGCCATCCCCCGCTTGATCTTTTCCCGCTTCCTCCTCTCCATCTCTCCATATTCTACTCCCTCCCCCTCATCCCATATTCGATCATGTCCCACCGCGAGGACCCCCTGGCCTACGGCCACTATCACTCCCAGGATGACGGATCTGGAGCGGACACCGCGCGTGGTTTCGTCGGCGATACTTTCAAGAAACTCAAGAACACCTACAAGACCCACCAAACCCAGTCGGGGGGCGCTCACGGCGATCCTGCTGGCGCATACGGGGTACAGTCCTTTTCCTTGGTCGCGATGAACCTCTAGTGCCCCGAGGAGAAAAATACATGAAATTAACCAGGGGGAGATCACAGGGTCCGTCCTCCCAATCCGCCTCACATCAGTACCCTGGCGCATCAACCTCAACTCGACCGCCAAACGCCCCGTATCAAGACCCCGAGTATCAGAGCACACAGGCCGCAAAGCCGGATAAAATGGCTGGCATGTTCGGCAAGCTCCAAGGCACCGTAGCAGGCTTCGGAACCGATTTCGCCCAGCGCCTGGGCAATGCGCTGGACCCGCAGGCCTATGCGGAATATGGCCAGAGCGCGAATCCTGCCAACAATACTCGATTCGGAAGCTTTGCGCCGGATCGGCAGGGGAACGATGTGAAGTGGTATGTCGATGGGTGTTCGTATTTCTACGCCGTTTCCAAGGCGCTGGAAACTGCTCGAGAATCGGTCTGGATTTTGGACTGTATGGGTGTCCCTTTTCTTTCCATCCCCTCGTACGATGACGAGACAAAGGCTGACATGACCAGGGTGGTTGTCTCCGGAGCTGTATCTGCGACGGCCTCCGGCAAAAAATGAACAATACCGGCTGGATCGCATGCTGCAGGCTGCCGCGCAACGGGGAGTGAAAGTCAATATCATCGTCTACAAGGAGGTCACTCAGGCGCTGACGCGTATGTAACTGTCCTCATTTGAAAAGACTGGCTCCGTCCATCATGCTAACCCTCCTCAGTCTCATCGCACCACACCAAGCATTGTCTGGAGGACATGCATCCCAATATCGCGGTGTTCCGCCATCCGGACCATCTTCCCGATCGCCAAGGGCTGCATGCCTCGATCACGGAGTCCCTGCAGAACCTGTCCCTGGACGCCCCCAGTCTAGTCAAGATGTCGGGCGATGCCATCAAGGGCATCTATGGCATGAACGACGATGTCATCCTCTACTGGGCGCACCACGAGAAGCTGTGTGTGATCGACGGCCGGACCGCCTTTATGGGTGGATTGGATATGTGCTTTGGCCGCTGGGACACCAATCAGCATTGCCTATCTGATGTCCACCCCACCGACCTTAGAGAGATCGTGTTCCCCGGTCAAGACTACAATAATGCCCGCGTGGCCGATTTCCAGGATGTGGCCCACTGGGAGCAGAACCAGCTGGACCGGAAGCAGGGCTCCCGGATGGGATGGTCTGATATCTCCGTCAGCCTGCACGGAGTGGTCGTGGAGGACCTCCGGCGCCATTTCGTGGAACGCTGGAACTTTATCATGGACACCAAGTACCAGTCGCGCAATGACCCGAGATATGCGAGACTGGCATTGTACGGCCGTCCTCCAGCGTCTTCCAGCCGACCGACTTCGTCGGGTCGACCTCACTCGGCGAACACCCAGCAGCAGACTTCCCAGCAGCAGGCTTCCCAGCAACATGCTTCCCAGCAACATGCTTCCCAGCAACAGACTTCCCAGCAACAGGCTTCCCAGCAACAGGCTTCCCAGCCACAGACTTCCCAGCAGCAGACTTCCCAGCAACAGGCCTATCAGCAACAGGCCTATCAGCAACAGAACTACCAGCAACAGACCTACCAGCAGCACGCTTCCCCGGAACACGGGGCGGCGCAGCCGACTTGGCAACAACCGTCATCCCCACCATACTCAAGTCCCGGCAATACCGGTGCATCGGCCTATCCGCAGTCTTCGCCGTCCTCGGGGCAGTATAACTACACTGGCCAATCGTTCCCGCCCCCGCCCCCCGGCCCTCCTCCCAACCAGAATGCTCAAGCCTACTCACCCCCAGCCCAGGGAACGCCGCAAGCTCAGGCGGAGGCCCACAGCCAGGTGCCCTACTTCCCCCCACCGCCCGGCCAGGAGCCATCGGGGCACTCCCAGACGCGGGGCTTTGACGAGAACTACGAGGTTGCGCGCGGGCGCGGTGGTCAGAGTGGGTTCGAAAAGGTGTCAGGCTTTGTGCCACGTCGCTTCCGAGAGGACTTCGACAAGTACGGCAACTCCCTGCGCGGTCAGCTGGCCGGTCAGATTCACCAATATCAGGACCGGTTGACGCCGCATGGCGGACCGTCGAACCAGCCTCGAGGCAACATGACCTGCCAGATTGTCCGCAGCTGTGCAAAATGGAGTAACGGGACGCCCACAGAGCACTCCATCGCGGAGGCCTACGCGGCAGTGATCCAGAACAGCGAGCACTTTGTGTACATCGAGAATCAGTTCTTCATCACGGCCACCGGCGATGCCCAGGCCCCGGTGAAGAACCAGATTGGCGCAGCCATCGTGGAGCGGATTCTGCGGGCCGCGCGCGCAGGCCAGAAGTACAAGATCGTCGTGGTGATTCCATCGGTGCCGTGTTTTGCGGGGGATCTGGCCGATGACTCCACCCTGGGAACTCGCGCCATCATGGAGTTCCAGTACAACGCCATCAACCGCGGCGGCAGCAGTATCATGGAGCTGATTGCCAAAGAGGGGTACAACCCGATGGAGTACATCCGGTTCTACAACCTCCGCAACTACGATCGCATCAACTTGAGCGGACCTCTGATGGAGGCGGAGCGTCGCAGCGGTGTCAATTACGAGGACGCTCGCAAGCAGCAGGATGTGGTCACGGCCGGTCCGGGCGGTTACGGCCCTGGTGCGCCGCGGACTGCATTCGATACCAGCGCACCTTTCCAGCAGTATCAGCAGGCAGGTCAGCAGGCGGGGCAGTCGAAAACCGGACGCACTTGCTGGGACAGTGTGAGCTCGTGCTATATGCTCCACGGGGAGGATCTTCGCCAGGTGCCCTGGGACGGTCCCGCCGAGGCGGAGATTGACGCTTTCGTGACCGAGGAGCTCTATGTCCATTCCAAGGTAAGTTTGAGCACACATATATGAGATGGAAGGAATGAAGCAACTAATCCCACCAGGTAATGATTGCGGACGATCGCATCGTGATCTGCGGCTCAGCCAACCTGAACGACCGATCCCAGCTGGGCGACCACGACTCGGAGATCGCGATAGTCATCGAAGATCACACGCCCGTGGCGTCCAAGATGAACGGTCAGCCCTGGACAGCCAGTCGCTTTGCCGCCTCTCTCCGTCGACAGCTATTCCGCAAGCACCTTGGCCTTCTGCCCCCGCAGGACCCAGAGCGCCCCGACGCCAACTCGGAGCCCGTAGGCGTGCAGCCCAATGCGTTCGACTTCGACGCCCCCGAGAGCCAGCTAGTCGCAGACCCACTGGCAGACCC